TTCCAAGGCTCCAAACAAATCTGCTAAACGTCTCGTATAGGACTGATACAGTAAGCGACACGTTTCTATTCGAGATACCAAAGAGAATCGTGCAATTAGAAAAAACGCTGAGGAACCAGCAGGCAGCTAACGCTTTCTGAAATATTAGATAAAATAATGATACAGATAACATTTCACTAGTAAGTAATAAAGATAAGGTGTTTTTCCAAAAAATTGAAATAAAAAAAAGAACAAGAAAAAGGATCAGTAATTAGAGGTATAATACCCTAGACAGATGTAATTTATAATTGATTTTTTCAAGAAACGCCGATGTGCCGATCCCTATTATGTACGCTGGTATTCTCATCCATGGTTTCGCGTAGATGGAACCGACCATTTCAAATTGCATATCGAATCTATTATACAAAGTGTACCAGACTGTAGTAGAATCTCCATATTCAACTAATATAGCTACAGAATAAATAAATAAATAAATAAATAAATAAATAAATATTTTTTACACTCACGTAGGAATGTATCCTATGTCGTATGTTATATAAGCGTGCACCAACGTGGATAAAAATATAGTAGCAATGGTTAAGCTTAGGGCAGTGTAATAGTAGCTGAAAGTAATTAAATTATGTTTCTACGAATTACTGAATATGTATGTATGTATGTATGTAGATTGATGGGAAAGCAGCAAAAGGTTGGTTGACACAGTTACCTGCTTGATAATATCAATACAAAGATACCAAAAATAAAAAACTGCATGTTATCGGTGATATACCAGGTCCATGTCAGGCACTGAAAAAAAACAATTAGTATACCTTTCTGGAAAGTGTAGATTTGCCAATAATAATAGTATACCATATCAGCCCATTCGAAGAAATTATTGATGTAGAGTATATTTCTCCACCAGTATTTTGAGCATACTTGGTGCATCGGTTCATCGAAATACATCAATGAAAATTTTTCAATCCAAGCGACGTTTATGATGACGATGAATATTATAATCAAGTACGTCGGTGTAATCCTTTTGAATTTTAGTTAAAATTTTTTATATGAAACAAGTCGATACGATAACATCAAGAAAGCATGGGAGAGTGTACCTGACGTATCTTTTGATGATTGCACTAATGAATATCATTACATTCCTGCTAAATGAAACGTTATTTTTGTTTCTTTGTGATTTCAAATATCCAAACACCACGAGGAAACCACTCATAAAGAAAAACGTATCCACGGACAGTGTACCATTGGTTAAAATTTGCGATTCGATATTAGTGGTCATTATATAGGTCTCTGCCTTGTTACCTAAACTTACCGGAACAGCATAAGATTAGAGATTCAATGAATATAAGTGACTAGAATTTCAAGCAACTTTAGTTTACTTTACCTGTAACGTTCAGTGAGTATAATAAAACGTGGATAAAAATGATCCATATCATTCCAAACAGCCTGATGCCGTGAAACGCGCTAAAATCTTTTGAACTATTCTTTAATTTGAATATTTCTTTCATGTTCGAATAAGCTGAGAAACATATAAGGATTTTTCCAATTCGATTCTCTGCTTTCAGTTTTGATGGTACAGCATCCTCCTCTTCGTTATATTCCGATTTCTCCACCGTGTACTTCTTCAATTCTATTATTGAACAACAACAATTCTATTATTAAACAACACCAGGATCGCAAAACTATCGCAAAACTATTGTAATTGTAAATTGTAAATTGTAAATTGTAAATTGTAAATTGCAAATTGTAAATTGTAAGAATCGTTTACCGATAATGTTGTCGTCTGTTTTTTTCTCTAGATGTTTCTGGTAGATGAGAATATCGTATAACGTGGCTACTATCGTCGTACCGAATAATACTGTCAAAATAAATCTACGAACAGGGAAAATTTAATATTGAAATTACATTCTCGATCGGTTCTTTTCTCCTTCTATTTAACCATTACGTACAAAATCGTAATAATGTTTCCATTCAGAAGCCATTTATAGTCATTTTTCAGATTCGACACTCTGATCAACTTAAAGTCTGTCGAATAGAGTTGTCCAAATAGAAGAAGCCTATCGACGAATACCTTCTTTAGCATTGTGCCCACTTCGTTTTCGCTGCAGGATGCTGGTAGACAAAGTCCGAGCACTATTGTCTCCTAAAAAGATGTCATTTTAGAGGTATACCTAGAGGTACCTACTACGTTTCCTCTATTCTTCTGTTTTTAGATTGTATCAAGCCACTCTCAGGTTGAGAAAAACAGGAATCATACGTACATCGATAGGAACCTTCATATGATACTGCACAGTGCCATTCTGACTGAGATGAGCACCAAAGAAGTTGAGCTCGAAAGGTGGAAACTCTTCAGCTGGATTGCGATAGATTGAATTATTTCGAATCTTCTTCTCTGACAATGGAAATTGTCTCTTCTGGCTAAGGTACTCGCATTCTTCTTTGTTTCCCATCCAATAGTTGTTTCCTGAAATGTATCCTGATGTTGGTTGTCCGCTCGCGTCCAACACTAGAAAATCCCATAACAGTGATGATTTACCGAAGAAAACGAAGAAAACGAAGAAAACGAAGAAAACACACTACTGACTTCTGATACTCCAGAGTACACCTTGGTTTACCGCGTCCCGGAATATCTGCATTTCTCTTCGGCATCTGGTCGAATTTAATTGCTGGATACCGCTGGTGACCGCGTAACCAGGCAAATTTTCCATCAACGTTGCTGGATTTCTTACGATCCCTTCGGTTAACGTACATATACAGAGGAGAAAAACGATTCTGTTCCTCTTCTCTTCCATCCTCACCTCGTTTTTTATGTCTTCTCGCTTCGTAAAACTTGAAACAGGGAAGACTTGGATTCCAAGACGATGTTATATCTCTTTTAAACGAGGATCGTTTACAGGATGAACAAGTACAGAATATATCTTGATACGTACCGACCACCACCAGCTAATAATTGCCGTATGGAAGGAGTGATTACCGAATCAGTGAAAATAAAAAGGACCGTTATCCTCAAGGTCATACCGACAATATCCCACCAGCAGGTATAGTTCAAGAGGATTACCATTAAAATACATATTTATGTTTTACGTTATATCATCATGGTTAATCTGCTCTTTCTTTCTTTCTTTCTTTCTTTCACCTGAATATTATATGACGAAATATGCAAAATCAAAATAACGATGCCAACCAAAGGTCAATCAATCTGTCGATTTCATTTTATTTGTAATTCTGCTTATAAAATTATATAAATAAATAAATAAATAAAACAAATATGTAGATAAATAAAATTGTTAGAATTTAGAGTTCCCTGAGTCAAGGTTTTCTTTTTTTATTTTTTTTTTTTATTTTTTACTGATGGTAGAAGGAAAAAAAAGCTTTTATCACGAAAACGAAAAAAAAAAGACCAAAGTAACAAGGAGAATTTAAATATTATTTTTTGTGACCTTGCATAACGTATTCAAATGAAACGTTATAGAGCAGCGTGGCGCACGTTATACATACGTACATATTATTATGTACAACTATTTTCTTAATTTTCTTAATTTTCTTAATTTTCTTCATTTAACCTAACGTGACTTTGAAAATATTGCACAAGGAAATAGCAGTAAAAAAGTTTAGAAAATTTTCACAGTTGCAGTAATCAACCGTCCCTGTTAGTTAAAGATAATTGGGATACAACAATGATTATCCTCTCTATGGTATGTATTGTATACTCATTCCTTTCTTCTAGACGAAGAACTGACTGTTCGTAAGAATATTATCGTAGGTACTTCAATGATCGCCGACAATCCAAAAGACACAACGTAAGTAACCGTACATATTCCGATGGTAAAAACAGCCTGGAATGAAAGAAATGGTTATTTTCACAAATCACATGACACACTGTAGGTATATCATTAGAAAACTTACACTGGTTAAATATTCAACGTTAAATGGATAATTGCTGAACGTAGAAATAGTTATTACGATAAATGGATTGAAAAGATAAGCAGTGTATGTTACTCGACTGGGAGGAATCCAGTATGGTAAACGCAAAAATTCATTTACGATTCCTGGAAGTATAAGAAAAGTATTTCAGCACTGCATATATGTATGTATGTATGTATGTATGTATGTATGTATGTATATGCGGTAAAATGAAATGAGGTAATTATAACGCATTGTTCTGCGAAAGGAAGATGGTGCTGAAAAAATTGATTTACCGCCATTGTTTGTCAGACACGCAATTATGAGCCACGCTATTCCAAGGCTCCAAACTATTCTACTAAAAGTTTCGTAGACGACCGATAAGCCAAGCGTCATATTTGGATTTGCGCAACCAAACATAATAGCTAAAGTAGAAAAAATGCTGAGAGTCCAACATGCAGCTGATGCTTTCTGAAACACGAATAATATAATATAATATATAATATATAATATATAATATATAATAGATTAATAAAAATGAAATAAAACAAAAGAATTACTTTTGACAGATGCAACTTATAATTCCATTTATTAAGAAGCAAACCCGTTCCCATTCCTATCATGTACGGCTGGATCCTCATCCACGGTTTTATGTACATGGTAGTCAGTGTGTCAAGCTTCGTGTCCACCCTACGGACCATAACGCGTTTAGATATTTCTTATTTAATTAATAGCTCAAATACTCACGTAGGAATGTATCCTGTATCATACGTTATGTAAGCGTGCACCAACGTTGTTACAAGTAATATTCCAATGCCTAAGCTGAGGGCAGTATAGCGATAACTGAAATTATTAACTATATGATACAATCAGAAATTAGAAATACAAAGGAACTTGATCGTAAATAAAAAAGAAGAAATCGTGGTGGGACTTTTACCTGGTGGTCGATAAAGTTAACAAAAGGAGACCAACAATGTAGAATTGCATATCATTAGAGACGTACCAACTCCAGCTCATGCACTGAAACAATTATTATTTTTTATTGTAGACGTAGACCTACTACATCGATACATTTCTATCGATAAAGTTACGCATACTATATCTTTCCATTCCGAGAAGTTATTGATGTAGAGTAAATTTTTCCACCAATATTTCGAGCAAAGTTCGTGCATCGGCTCGCTGAAGAATGCTACTGAATAGTTTGCCAGCCAAGAGAACGTTACAATCACGAGCAATATCGTGACGACGTATACAGGTGTAAGCCTTTCAAGTTTTCATTCAAAAAAAGTTTCATATAAAGTAGGTAAATAAAGTATAGTTAAGTATGTAATTTAAATTACATAAGTACGTGTCTAGGCAGACTACCTGATATATCTCTTGATGATTGCATTGAAAAAATCAATCATTTTCTTGCGAAACGGTTCACGTTTCTTTTCTTCCGTTTGCATTTTCAGGAATCCATGTACTTGCAGGAAAGCGCTTATAAATAAAAAAGTATCCACGGACAGTGTCGTGTTTGAGAAGATTTGGGTTTCAATAAGGCTGGCCATCACATACGTTTCCATCTTATTACCTACATATTACAACGGTTTAGTTAGATTTCATTAAAAATATTCTATTATAGAATAAGAAGACTTGACTCACCTGTGTTATTTATTGCATATAAGATCCCGTGACCGGATATGATCAATATCATTGCAAAAAATTTCATCCCATGAATTATTGCTATATCTGTTGAATTGTTGCCCATTTCAAATATCTGTTTAATGTTTGAATAAACTGAGAAACATATAAGGATCTTTTCGATTCGATCGCGTCGTTTCAGCTCTGATGGAATATCCTTTTTCTCGCCTTCAGCTTTCGCCTCCGCATCGTTGCTGAATTCTATTTTTTTTTTTTTTTTTTTTTTTTTTTTTTTTTTTTCAATTCATTCTATTAACCACAATGTTTTGCTAATGTTTTAATTAATGGTTTCAATTTAGATAACCCCATCCACCGCAATGATAATAAACTGAAAAATGAATAAATTATAAAGAATCGGAAAATGTTATTACCGATAGTGTTCTTTAGATTTTCGTCTCCCTTCTTCTTCTTTTTCTTCTTCATCTCTAGACGTTTTTGAAATATAAGAATGTCGTATAATGTGGCCACTGTCGCGATACCAAAGTATGCCACCAAAATAAGGCTATGAACAGAAAATTGAGTTGGAGAAACTTGCAACGACGAATATTTTGTCTTGTCTTGTCTTGTCTTGTCTTGTCTACGTACAGGATTACAATCATCTTTCCATTATGAAGCCAGATAAAATCATCTTTTAAACTAGAGACTTTGATCAAAGTGAAATCCATCGAATAGAGCTGTCCAAGTAGAAGAAGTCTATCATCGAATACCTTCTTCATCATTGTAGCTACTTCCTGTTCGCTGCAGGACGCTGGTAGGCAAAGACCAAGCGCTATAACGTCCTAAATATGTGTTTAACGGTTAGCTAATTGTTGTTAGTCCGTTAGTCATTCAATGTTACATTTTCAACGTCACTGCGAAACGTCAACTTCTGATATCGTGAATTCATACATACATCCATAGGTAGCGGAACATGATACTGCATAGTGCCATTATGATGAGCTTGAACACTGAAAAAGTTTAGTTGGAAAGGCGGAAATTCTTCGTTCGGGTTACGATAGATTGAATTGTTCTTCATTTTATTCTTCGACAACGCGTAGGGTATCTTTTCGCTAAGATACTTGCACTGTTGTCTGCTGCCCATCCAAAAGTTGTTCCCCGAAATGAATCCCGATGTTGGTTGTCCGCTCGCGTCCAACACTGGAAAATAACAACGTTCGTCGTGTTAGATAAAAGGATCGTCGAATAATAAAATACCCTACTAACTTCTCAAACTCCATAGTACGCGATCGTTCACCGCAACACGGTACTCATCCATCTCTTTTCGACATTTTGTCAAATTTAACTGCTCGATACCATTGGTGATCGTATAACCGGGAAAGTTTTCTACCAGTCCCGTTGAGTTTCGTACGTTCGCTTCGGTAGACAGGCACACACATGCCAGCAGTACGATACTTATCCTCTTGTACTTCATCCTTATTTAATAAATAATAAATATCTACAGCACAATCTAGACGAGTAGTAGGTACCTACTACGGTACAGGATCAGAGTTGAAATGAAAAGCAACCACCGTCTTCGAGGAACTGCATTCCCATTCTCGTTTTCATTAAAATCACTGCTGCGGGCATGAATCGAATCGACGTCATTATTTCATAAGCAATCATGTTTTCATGAATCTAAGCTAAGCTCATGAATTTAACTAACCAGCTGACCAAGATGTATCGAGTATGTAATGAACATTTCTTCAAGTGATGCTGTCATAGCCGAACAAAGGGCTGAACGATCATTTGCCAAGTCCAGTGTTATGGTGGTCGTTCGTCTTTTACCCATAGACAATTTCCTCTAATTCAAACTTATGCATAATGACTTATACGCTATACCTGTTTCTACTATTTCTTACACCTACTACGTACGTCACGTTTTCTCTATTGCAAAACAAATTCTCTTGATGAACGTCATTATCGAACATTTTTTGCCCGTTTTATTGCAATTCGCGAAAACATCATTTGCTCGAAGCAACTTTGTAGCATTTTTCGCTTCCTTTTTTTGCGACAAATGCATTTTCTTCCATCATTGGACAAAAACATTAACTCGTTGACAGACGCAAGATGACTAGAATAGAATTAGTAGTACCTATAATTTGAAAATTATGAACAATTATCAAGAGGTATTCGTAACTGCTTTTGCGGCATCCTACCTGATATATCTTTCAAAATATGGCATTGATAGATACCATTTTCTTCAAAACTGCTGAATGCTACTTTTACTCGATAACGTGTATTCGAAATAAATTATACAAATGTCGATATCGTTATTAAAAAAATGTTATCGGTGCAAATATGTATCTTACGAGGTTTAACAAGATGAAAAATTGCTTAAATTGCACAAATAATATTTCTTACATTTTTTTCGTTTATCGTCAGATGCCGATTACAGCATCAATAATTTTAAAGCAGGATTTTTTCTTTTATATTACTACGAAATTACTACGAAATTACTACGAAATTACTACGAATGAATTGTTAATAAAATTTTACACCTGAAATATGGTTGCCGGATACCATATACGCATTACACTAACAGGATCAATGATAACGAATTATTATTTTACTTTTTTATATACACGTGTATTTTTGTAGATTTGGCACATTTTCATTTAACAGTTATCGCTCGTACTGGATCATTATTTAACAACTTTTCTTCTGATAATATTATATTGTATAATACAAACAGGAGATCAAATCAAATCAAATCAAATCAAATCAAATCAAATTATTGATTGGCTTTAATTGCAATAAGTGGAATCCAATACGCAATACCGACAATACGGTATTGTCTTATCAAATATTCATAATTTATTCTTTAATTTCTAGTTTTAAAGGAGCAACTGCAGATCTCGTCAGCATCACCTAGACTTTCAGGTTTATTCATTGCAGGCGGATAACGATTCTTTCCCATTTATTTAATCATCTGTAGTTATTTATAAGTGAATTTCTTTTTTTTTCTTTCGGATTAACATGCCATTTACAATTAAATTTACATCGCTATGTACAAAACGCTAGTTGCATTGTTAAAAAAAAAAAAAAAAAATATCTTCACAAGGTTCTTCTTTCTTTTCACGTATTAAGTTATAGAAAAATGTGCAATCCTAAAACAAAAAATTAATCATGTTAATTATTACAAAAATAATTTTCTCGTGTTCGATAGTGAAAAATAAAGAAAAATAATTAACGTTTATATGTATACATTCATTTCATTCTCCTGCTGGAAGTACTGATTGATCGTAAAAATAATATCGCCGGTACTTCAGCCATTATCGACAATGCGAATGCACAAACGTAAGTTATTACCAATATTCCAAGGGCTATAACACCCTGAAATAAAACAAGTGATTATTTTTACAGGCAACGACGAGACTATCTACGAGATCCGAATATCATGAAAAACTTACAGTGGTTAAAAAATCAATGTTGTATGAATAATTGCTAAACATACTAATCGACAGTATTAAAAATGGATTTATTAGATAAGCGCAGTACGTTACTCTACTGAAGGGAATCCAATACCTTAACGACAAAAATTTACCTACGATACCTGTAAGTAGAAATAAAAAAGCGTATTTATTTTCATAAATGTAACGGATATGAAAAGAATCGTTTTACCGGCATTGTTCGTTACACAGGCGATCACGAGCCACCCTATTCCAACGCTCCAACCTAATCTGCTAAACATCTGATAAAGCATTGATAAACCAAGCGAGATGTTTCCATCCACGACACTAAACAGAATCGTGCAGTTACACGAAATACTGAAGCACCAGCAGGCAGCTAATGCTTTCTGAAATACAGATTAAAAAATATAGATATTTTGTTTTTTTCTCTCTAATGCAGTAAACGCGTTAACAAATGAAAAGAATTAATTACTTTGGATAGATTCAATTTATAGTTCAATTTTGTAAGAAGCAGAGCCGTGCCCATCCCAACTATATACGGCTGGATTCTCATCCATGGTCGCATATATATGTAAGTCATCGTATCAAGTTGTGCGTCCAGCCTACGAAACATACCTCGTTAAGATATTTCATAATTAATGATGGATAATAAATATTTTTGATACTCACGTAGCAATGTATCCAGTAGCGTATGTTACATATGCGCGCATGAACGTGGAGAAAAGTAACGTAGCAACGCTTATACCGAGAGCAGCATAGTAGTAACTGTGAAAAGTAGGATACATTGAAATGAAATGAAATGAACAGAAAGGAACAGATTGCAGATCGCCTTACCTAGTCGATAATATCAATAGAAAGATGCCATAGATATAAAATTGCATATCATTGGAGAGGTACCAACTCCAGGAGAGGCACTGAAACAATTGTTGTTTCTTTTAGTTATTTCTCTATGATACATAGTACATTGTATTTTCAATGTAGATTGTCAGTAAAATGACACATACTAAATCTTCCCATTCGAAGAGATTATTGATGTAGAGTATATTTCTCCACCAGTATTTCGAGCATAATTGGGGCATCGGCTCGATAAAGTACCACAACGTAAACTGTTCGTGCCAGGAGAAGTTAATAATCACAAGCAATATCGTAGTCAGATATGCAGGTGTAAGCCTTTTGAATTTCATTTAGAAAATTTCATATATAAATGAAGTATAACGATTCAGAAATGGCTGATGGTACACATACCTGATGTATCTCTTCACGAGTGCGCTGATAAAATTCATCGCATTTCTGCGCAACGATACCACTTTTTTCTCTTTTTTTCCTTGCATCTTTAGATAGGCGAATGTCAGTAAAAAACCGCTAATGAAAAGAAATGTATCGACAGATAATGTGGCGTTTGACAAAATTTGATTCTCCACATTAATGGTCATCATATAGCCTTCCGCTTTGTTACCTTTTAAGTGTAAACACGAAACGTTTAGAAAATTGAAGGGGAAATAATTCATTTTCCTCAACGACTCATTTGCCTCACCTATAATATGCAACGTATAAAAAACCGTATGCGCCATAGTAATCCATATCATTCCAAAAAACTTTAATCCATGAAATACTGCTATATCTTCTACACCATTATCTATTTTAAATATCTGTTTAATGTTCGAGTAGGCTGAGAAATGTATAAGGATTTGTACGATCCGATTGTCTGGTTTTATTTCGGACGGTATATCATCCTCCTGATCGTGTTCCCGTTTCTCTTCCATATCGTTTTTCAATTCTGTTTTTCAAATTTATTTTATTATTATTAAATACAAGCGTTAACAACAACAACAACAACAACAAGCGTCAACTTGTCGACGTTGTCTGGTTTTAGGTAATTTCTAATTGTGAAAATTTGGAAATTCCAAGGAGTAGAAGAATTTTTATTAACTAATCCAACTATAATAATAATTTAGAAATTATGTAATTTTTTAGTAATATGAAAGGCATAATTCGAGATAAGATTATACACGTAAAAGAAATGAATGATAAAAATGTAAATTATTTGAAGCTTTACCGGAGGTATTGTTGTTCTCGTAAGCAAGAGATTCTTTCTTCTTCCGTAAACATTTCTGGTATACAAGGCTATCGTATAACGTGCCCATTATCACTATACCAAATAATGCAGTCAAAATAAAGCTGCGAGCAGAAAATTGACCATCCCATCAGTAATTGATAAAAATTGAATAATTTCATTAATTATATTATATTATATTACTCGTTTACGGTTTACGGTTTACGGTTTACGTACAGGATTGTAATTATCTTTCCACTGAGAAGCCATTTATGGTCATTTTTCAGATTCGACACTTTGATCAACTTAAAGTCTGTCGAATAGAGTTGTCCGATTAAAAGAAGTCTATCGTCGAACATCTTGGTCAGCATTGTAGCCACTTCGTGTTCGGTACAAGACGCTGGTAGGCAAAGTCCCAACACTATCAGCTCCTAAAAAAAAAGGTGTTACATACATATTTGAATATGATAACAGAGATGTAATTTTGTAAATTCTTCATTTGCCCCCCCTTGGTCGTCTTAAGAAAAGCAAGAAAAAACATCCACGTGCTTACTTCCTTGGGTACCGAGATATGATACTGCACAGTGCCATTTTGACTGATATGAGCGCTGAAGAAGTTGAGCTGAAACGGTGGAAACTCTTCAACGGGGTTACGATAGATGGAATTGTTCCGAATCCTCTTGTCTGACAAGGGCAACGCTCGTTTCTGGCTAAGGAACTCGCACTGCTGTCTGCTTCCCATCCAATAATTGTTCCCCGAGACGAAACCAGAGGTTGGCTCTCCGCTAGCGTCCAACACTTGAACAAACAGAGTGGATGCGATTTGATAATCGTGAAACGGTGCATAGAAACTCGCTGGAGCGCGCACAGCTGATTGATTTAGAAAAAAAAGGAAATCAATCTCGGCCAGTATTATTACGACCATACCCGCTTTTCCGCGCACCAAAGAAACTAGTTTCTTGTGTAACGCGAAGAAAGTCGATGGCCTGCTGGGGTGGCACGACGAAAAATCTCCACGCAATCAGGACACAATATATACATACATATATATGTCCTACATGTGATCTACGGCGAAGACTATTCGTAGAATTCGTGTTGCACAACACGATCATTCTTTCCCTTCTGTTTAATTCTGTTCGAGTGAAAATTCAGCATGAATGTAAAGCTAGCTCTACTATTTACTAACTTCTCAGACTCCACAGTACGCCACGATCCACCGAGTCACGAAATTCCTTTACTTCCGTTCGACATCTGGTTGAATTCAATTGATCGATGTTGGCGGTGATCGCATAGCCTGGCAACGCTTCCCTCAACGTCTCTGGATCTCGTACATCCCCATTGATCGATGCGCATACACATGCCAACAGTATGATTCTCGTCTTCGTGTATTTCATCGTGTTTAATTAATAAGTTTTCGGTAAACTAACTATTCTGATCATTCACACTACTGATGATTTTGATATCACAACCGTTTAACGATTATACATTTGTTTTAGCTCTTAACTGAAAGTGAAAAGGAGAAATGCTGATATTCTAAATACTGGTAGGGTTGGAGGAGAGAGTGGTAAAAAAAGAGAATATATGTGGCGCGATCTCGCGATGTGATAAACGTTCTATCGATGAAGGAACAGAAAATTTATTTGCATCAGCACCGCGCTGAAGAGATACGACGACGACGACCGGGAAAGGACTGCCGTGCAGGAAAAAGTAATCACAGAATCCAAATGGAAAGCAAGCCCCGTCGCGTCGTCCTCGTGGCCTGCGTCATCATCGTTGTTATCTTTCAAGTGACACCGCGACACCCCACCACGTACGCGCGCTCCAACACTATTATTTCAAATTTACAATTCCTACAAATTTTCAACTTATTAATTAATCTAATCATTTTAATCCAGAACAACTATGTAGTACATTGTGTCTTAATTTTTACTTGTTTTCTGTCAAAATCAATTGTACATAGGTACATATGTGTATCGAAAGGATTAATTGAAACGCTTTATAACTAGAGTTAAAGGAAACAATTGCTTCAACATAGAACAAAACTTGGACTGGACTTGGAGTCAAGGTCTAAAAGGTTTAAAATTTGACTAATTTTCTAACGCCACGTGTCGTGTCGTGTCGTGTCGTTTCAAGTGTTATGGAAGTAAACGATTACAAAATATGTAGCCGTTCTTCTTTTCACTTCCTCAGCATCCTGTATGTCTAATACAATCTACACTAAAGGTCTACATTATTATCAATCATTTCTGCGAAAAAAAAAAATAGCTTAACTTGTTCGTTTTCTTGAAAAACTTTCACCTCTATTTAATACTGTTTCGAGGCAACTTCACGTTCGCGTCCAATTAACATTCTTATTTTATTACTGCGATTAGGTAATCGAATTTCGCCAACGTATAATAAACGAGCGATCCGATCCGATCCGATCGGCCCGGTTGTTTGTCCAAATTTCTTCGTCCAAGATCAAGTTTTCATTATGGTCGAGTTGCTTTCTTAGAAAAAGCTTGTCGCTTGTCTCTCGCGATTTACATTTCTTGGGCTTGGATGTTGAAATAAAAAACATAAAGAATTAGTCGTGCTTTTAAAAATTGACCAGCTACTCTGATGCGATCTTCTTTTCTTTCTTTCATTTATTCGTCCACGGTGTCTACCGGTAATGAAACGAATTCAACTTTAATAAGTGAGAGTAGAGTTTGTTGTCGCCAAGGCACCACTGTGCGCCAGTATATTTCCGTTTTACGAGAACGTACCTGAGAATGACAATTTACACGATGACTACTTCTGTGATGTCACTGAAATAATCAGCATATCAGTTATTCTTCGTTCCAGTTCCGATGACAGGTGAAAATTATCACGAGGAATCAAAAACGATCGATGGTGTCCTTGCATGATGGCGACAGGCAAAGATTGCTTCGTAACTCATCATTATCAATGACGTTAATCATTATCAATGTTGTTTTTATTTGTGTCGTCAAATTTTTATAATCCCCACAGTGATTTTGCATCTTTGTATAAGGTACTGTGCTACATATTCTGAACAGGGTACATACACGTTATGATAATGAAGATCGTTGTGACCTCTTTAGGCAAATGAGAAACAGGGTTTTTTAAGTTTCAGCTTTCGATTCTTTTAGTGAGAATACAACTAGTGGAAAAAATGTTTATAGCGGGCGTAACACTGTATGCATACTCCTGACCATACCCCTTTCAAACGAACATATGAAAACTTAGCACTGATTGCTTTTCTTTTACTACCTCTAACTTTGGGTAGAACCGAAACGAGCAATATCTTTTTCTTCACTTTTTTCTTCTATTAATGTCGGAACCCGATTAGTATACATGTATGTATGTATGTATGTACAACACCTATTGGAGTGTGACGCACATTATTGTTGCAACTAGTCAGCCATTTTTTGAATATAAATGGACACACGAAGAACCAGACGAAGAACAGGTAATATTGATTTCAGACGGAATTTTAACGATTCGTAATAAACAAAATAGTTTTCGTACGAATTAGTAGTGGTAATATCTGTAGGATTGTAGGAATAAAAAAAGTATTTGCGCATCTAATTTCATTCTGATAATTAAGGATTTAAATATTATTATAATATTTTAATGCAACGTATCTGTATATGTAGCATTTCAATAATAGTAAAACGTAATACATTCTTCTTTCTTTGAAAGAAAACAAGAACAAGAACAAGAACAAGAACAAGAAGAAGAAGAAAAAAAAGTTTAGTCATTGTAGAAATATGTTTAGAAAAACTACACCTGCTGCAGTGTACAATGATTTTCGAGAAAACGTAAACAAGCGATTTGCGTAAAGCTTTTTTACCGAATTATATCTTGTATCTAATTAATTAGTATACAATTGTGTTGGTAATTGTGACAAAGTGTCAAGTAGACAGGGTGACGGATAAAAAATATGCAAATGTTCAGATCTTTTACACACGTTTACGCTATTAGTATGCTATTGTAGAATCAGAGAGGAAAATCATTGCAAGATCAAAGACGATAATATACGTTTCCACGTGTCACCGAGCCATCAATACAGGTATCGACAAAAAACAATTGTTTCATCATGTAATTATCAGTTTCAGTAATCAGTAATCAGTAATATATTATACATATACCAAATCTATTATTGAAATCTATTATTCTGACTGACTGTCCTCCCCCAATTAAAGTATTCATAATTATTAAACTGAAATTATTAAAGGAAAAACTTTGATATATTAGAGAAATATTGTTATACATCTAGGAAAGTATTTATATTGAAGCAAAGGAAAAAGGAAGATAAAGGAAATTGTTACAACCGCAATAGACTTTCATGAGAGTAACAACCCGTTTTCTCGTCAAGCCCCACGTTCTATTACGTTCGAGGGCAGGATAATCTATCGTTCGTTTCCATTCACGATCAGACGTAATACATAAGCGAATTTTTCAGATTGTGAAAGCGTTTCGCGTAATATCGCATAACTACCCAAGTATCTACGGTGTGTAGAGATACAGAGGTGGAGGTATGAGCGTGAATCCGTTTCAAGCAGAGAAAGCGAATCATTTTTTCTTCCTGGTTCATGGATATCATTTTGATTTCAATCAACTTCTTCCTCGATACAACACCCGTTCATCATTACCTTCGTGAAATCTTTTTTATTTCAGATCAACTGTGTTTTCGTTCTTCTTATTAAATGTCAACCTGTAAGTCTAAGAATCTCTGATGTAGCCAACACTGACGAAATTTATAGCTAAATGCCAGTTAGAGCAGTTATGATGCTTGAGAAACCTTAGGACGGTTTAGAGGAAGGTTTTTTTCATTTTTCGATATGTTTTAAACGACCGAAAAATAAGTTATACGTGTCTTTTTATTTTCACCCGTTTTCATATTTACGGGGTGAAACGGGATGTATACATATAATTCCAAAACAAATTCTTTATAATCGTATTAATAATTATAAAAGTAATCACAATTTAAATAATAAGAAAAAAGAACATGAATATTTTTCTCAATCCATTGGTATATTATATTATGTTTTTCTATATTATAACAGTGCATGGCACTAAATTAGGTTAATATTGTTTTTATCACACTACAATCTATGTCAGCCAAGCATGAGTCATATCATATCACTTACATTAGAGTATCTAGTGTAGACAATTAATCATTCATTTTGCACTTTCTTAAAAGTGAAAAGTTCTGCCACTCGTATTTTTCTACGCTTAACAATAGCAGTTTATCAAGTGATGCGTTCAATACCTCGACAGTTGATTAAGTTCTTTAATCGATCACAGCATTGATTTTGTAATATACAGCGATTAAAAAATCATGTAAGAAAGCATTTTGTTTAAAAGATTTTTTTCATGAATATCACTTCTGCGACAAATATGAATATTAAGTTAAACTGCGTGCATCTTATAAAAGATTCAGGTTATAAATTTATACCACATGCACATACCTAACATACACTTGAAATATAATTGCACAAATCATGTTACTAATACCGGGAATTAATTGATATTTATTATATTCCTTATCATCTTTATCGCATATTAATACGTAAGTACTAAAGTAACCTTTATTAATATTCGAAGCTATAAATAATTTTACTAATGCCTAGTATACATGGTAAACGCTAGATATCGTAATGGATATTAACCGTGCATCCATATATGTATCTGGTATGACCGCGACCCTAATCGATCTATTAATACTATAATATTAAAATATGCAAACATAGTATACATATAATACACCAATGGATTTTTTTTCTTATTATGTAACATAATTGTCATTACATTTATCTATCTATCTATGATAGTTTTCGAGATAGTCTATTGTAAAATATAGGAAAATTTAGGGGATCGTTTCACCCCGTAAATATGAAACCGGTCCAAAATAAAAAAACACGTATTACATATATCCTCAAAGATGAAAACAATCGGAGGCGGACAGCTAAAAAACCTTCCTTGTGAGTAAGGCCAAATTCCTGTCCAATTCATCTTCTCGATGCCTCTTGTGCCGAATAACTTATTTTATCATTTCGTCGCGTAAATACCTTTTATATTCCACAATCAACAATCTCGTGGAAATTTGGTTATATTTGAGGTGCATCAAATATAAACAAGACCTTTTCGTGTAGCAGTGTAACACTGCGGAGAACAAATATGGAGAACAATTAACTTTCTAGCTATCCTAAAAGATGAAAATCAACGTCAAGTAAATCATGTTAATTTATAAATTTATATGAAAAGCCTAGTTTATATTTAATACGGATAATTTGAAAAAACGTACAGCAGAGTTTTCTGATTTTTAGAAGTGTTATTATCAGCACATGATAGTATTCCTTCGCATCCATCTCACAAACGTAGGGATCAGAACAGAACAGAACAGAACAGAACATGTTAACAGTTACAGAATCAGAATGAAAATCAGAAAGGAAAAGAGAAGGCAAATCATCTTACACGCCGTTATAATTAAAATTTGTAACACGCTGGCGATAACGAGTAATCATTACATTATTGTAAAATATCACAACATGTTAATATCTGCCGGTTAGGGTCGAGGACCATGCGGTAGAGCCGTGCAGAGAGAACACCTACATATTACTCTTCAAGCTGACGACACTATGCTCATCGCATAAGGCTTATTGTGTCTAACAATAAGAAACAGAATATCATAGAAATGGGCTTAATTTTCAATATTTCTCAACAAATCATACGTTTATTTCTTTCAACCGTGCGTTATAATGTCTCTGTCCTCAGTCTTAACGAACCGAATATGTATACATATATGTGAAATCGGAATAACCATGGAAAAAAAAAAAAAAAAAAGAATCGATCACGCGCAAGGTTCGAACGTCTCACCTTGAAGATTGGCTATTCCAAAATCTGTCAGAAGTTGTTTAAAATGTTTTAGAAACTTATAACGAACACGTGAAGAAATTACAAAATCCCAATCGACTTAATGAAAAAAGTTTCTTTCGACTTTGCGAAGGACCTACACAACAGACTCGGTATAGGACATAAAAATTGACGACAAGCAAAATCAGTCAATATCTCGAGGCTATTCTGTTCTATTCCATCTCTGTATTTCTCTCTCACGACTCGGTTAGACCTCGGCACAGAAACGTACGCTATACACGTGCACCTTGGCCAACGAAACGCGATACATTCTTTGACCTGTAACCAGCGGATCATCGCGTCGTTACACGAGAAAACGAAACAGTCGCACCAAAGGTTCAACGAAGCTTCTGATCAAGGTGAGTGACATCGGTTCACCGAATAAATTAACCCTTTGACTTACAACATGCGATAATCCTGTCAACTTGTTTCCTTTTTTCCTTTTTTCCTTTTTTCCACTGTAACCAAAAAATTTATAATATCTTGAGAATAATAACAATTTGTGTATAATCTATAAAAACGTTCACTATTTTAATAAGTAATAAGTACATGTTAACCCTAGGAAGATTGAAGGAAGTTTGTCGAGCAGCAGAGCAGCAGCAACGAAAAAATATTGAAATCCTATATTATTACTCGTATCTAGAAAAGTATTATTATTTTAACGTCGAATACCGAACAAGTGAAGATACTAGGTATCCATCTTTCTAAGGTTAATTCGCAGTCAAAGGGTTAACGTTATCATTTTCTAAATGCTCATTTATTGAACAATCTCGTTTTCATTTGGTAACATTGAAAAAATATCAAACAAGATGTAGGCTGATCGACAGCTTCTGTAGATCTACGAAGAAGAAGAAGAAGATGAAGAAGAAAATGAAAATTAGAATAAGAATGGAGAAATTTGTGTGCTCGATGCTCGATGCTCGATGCTCGATGCTCGATGCTCGATGCTCGATGCTGGATGCAATAATTGTATGAAAGTCGGACAAGAGTAGAAAAATACTGTATACGTAACACGAAAAATAGATAGAAAAAGAAGAAACGGGTGGTAAAGGAGGGCGAACGGAGAGTAACGAAGGAGTTCCAACCTCTCGGTTGCAAATTCCATCCGGTGATGTTTAAACGGCGACATTTTACTGCTGTTGCGTAACTTGTTTCTTACCACTAATACTATTCCGAGACTATTCAAGGAGTGAATTCCTTATTAAAACTTTCAGTGCCACGCGGGGCATCCATGGGCCTCCGTAATCTTCAAAGATATTCCAGAAGATGCCCATTTCTATGAAATCTAATTACAAAGAATTCAAACTTTTCACCTATCAACTTGTTCCTCTCCAAACAAATCGATTCAACGTGTCAAGCTGTGTCGATGAAAAATTTCTAGGCCAATGACAGATTTCTTTTCTCTCATGCTTAAAATTCATCAAGTAATTGCTTAATCCAAGACAGTTGGAAATCTCTTCGAAAAGAATTAAACAAGAATCAGTCATTCAAATTCCCAGATCTGGAAGGCTCGTGGAATCGTAAAGGTAAAGTTACAGCGAATATTTGTACACACGATCACTAGTTTCACACTTTTCTTATCTTTCTTTCAAATTTTTTTTCTCTGTTTTCGTTAATCTACGTGAAATCAAGGACCAGTCGCAAAGATCTAGGAATTTAAGGACCTAAGGACCTAAGGACCTAAGGATCAAGAGTAAGGCCACAAGGAATGTTAAAAATGTACTTCTATAGTTTTGCAATGATTAATCTGTTAGCAAAATTAATTCTAGTTTATACCAACAGATATATCTCTGACAATGAGAAAAAAAAAATTAATGATAATAGTAATAATTTTTTTGCCCCGTGACCTAACGCATTATCCTCTTTTTCAAAACTGATTCATTATTGCGCCGTCACACCTATACTATATACATATATACACACGCAACAATGAATCACTACTGCAGTCGCCTGATTGCACCAGAAACTGAAAACTGAAAACTGAATAATCAAAGAGCAATTTTTATTTCTATCTTTCTCTCTGTTTAGATTCAATGGGATATTGTAAAAGGAGAGAAGGTATTTACACACATCCAGCCTCGAGAATTAAATGAAATATTCTGCCACTTGTTGATGGATCATTGAAACAACGGCTTCGATCCTTCGCTCTTCTTCTCAACGAAAACTGGATAAATCGATAAAAATAGAAATTATCACGAAACTTGTGATCGCGATCGATATACAAAGATGTACCAGAATATATTGGCCGCGTGCTGTGCCACTGTATTCTACGAAAGATCAAAAATATTTACAGAGATGAAAACATTAACGTTAATAACAGTTTCAACTTTCATAGAATATATTGGCACAGGGTAATCAGAAATTCCCGAAACATCATGTATATGATATGTACAATATACATATGTGTATACACGGAATACTATAAAATGGAGTGAATCTGAGAATAAAAATAAATACCTCATCGAAACACCGACGAAAACATCGACGATATCCGCTTAATTCGAGAGCGGACAGAAGAACCGAATTATAATAATAACGATTCTATTAACACGCTGACAACAACAAATTTCATTCACTACCTTACGATTTCTTTTAAATAATTCAACCATTTCATTCCGCTTGTGTTAGAAGAGGAAAATTTCAATTTGATACTCAATATTTGGAAACGTATTACTTTCTAAGTAATATCAAATATTTTTGTCAATATCGACAACAATCTTTATAATTAATTAGATTTCATTACTCGAACGATGAGATATCTAATTGGTTTTTTCCCTGTTAACAACTATACTGTGCTGCTATTATACATATACTGCTTTTTCACCGCGTCAGTCAACGTGTTAATGAACATTGTACCTTAAAACGATAATAATAATAAGACACGACGAAAGGAAATCCGGTTACGTATTTAGCACGCGAAGCGATTCCTTGCTAGAAACACACTCGTTTATCTTGATCGTTCTTCGAGGATCGAAACGAAAAGAAAGAAAGAAAGAAAGAAAGAAAGAAAAGAAAAGTTGTTTTCAAACGATCACTAGCGATGGGCATTCTTGTAAATTCCTGAATTTTTACCTCTTCAGTCTTGAATTGATTCTTCAACCAAAAGGAACACAAACATAATCGTATTCGAATCAACAATATCTTATGTATAATTTCATCGTATTTCAACCTATTACAACTTATTACCATTTTCATTTTTCATTCCTTTTTTCAATCAAATGTTTCTTATTGAAACAAGAATTACAATTGAATCTATTACTCTATACTCTATATTGTAACAATGAAATCGAATTGATTTGTAGCCCATCGCTAGCTGTTACCATAGATCCTCAGGAATATCTGAAAATAAATTCAATCATCCTTTACTTAACGCAATGGTCAATGTTTTAATTTTCAGTCTTTCCAGGACACGTTCAAACCTAGAGTCTTGTTCTACAAACAACCGATGAAAAATTAAAAAAACGTGTGTGCCATACATTTGAATTCGAATTAACATTCGTTTCCATGTTGACATTAAGGAATCTGTTATGTTTCAGGATTAATTAATAATATGATAACAAGATTTCGATCAACAATTTGATCGAGAGTTTAAGAAGGAATGAACGTCGGAAAGACGGATGCTCAAAAGGATAATTTTGGATAATTTTAAATAAATCTGAATAATTTTCAACAATTTTGAATAAGATGGTTTCCGCGTTTTGTTTCGTTTCGTTTCGTTTCGTTTCGTTTCGTTTCGTTTCGTTTCGTTTCGTTTCGTTTCGTTTCGTTTCGTTTCGTTTCGTTTCGTTTCGTTTCGTTTCGTTTCGTTTCGTTTCGTCGTTCACCTTCATTTTATCAAAGATAAAATCCCTTTCTTTTGCTCTTTCTTTTTCTCTTCTCGTTCAGCAAGATCGTGTTTTCGACCTCGTAACTACCGTGGCTCTAAGGCCTCGTAGACGAGTTCTGGCACCAGAGCCAACGAAAACGTGGCGGCACTGGCCTGTCTTGCATACTGCCTTCTCGTCCCGATAGCTTCGTGTTACCTATTATTCTCCTCCATAACCACCTGCTTGAACACCCCAGCGGGCATCTGACTTTTCACCTCGTGGCTACCGAGTGCTGTTGTCCCGTCTTTCGCGATGAACAGCTGCAATCCAGTCGCTAGAAAAACAAGAAAATTTCAACGATTAATGATTCCAAAGTTGCTTACTTAAGAAGGTAATAGTAATAAACCTACTCTCGGAACTTTCGAGATCCGTTTGCTCTAAATTCGTTGCTTTCAGCAATTCATCAATCAGAGAATCTGGATTCGGCCTGGTCACCTCGACCCTGCACAAAATTGAATTTCCCGTCCCATCCTCAGCCTTTTTCCTTCGTTCCAAAGCGGCCTTTGCTCGGTCCAAAGATCCTGTTTCGCTCAGGCCAGAACCGCCAGAAGGATTTCTGTGAAACAAACGTTCTTTTTTCCTACTTTGCTAAATAATCTTTATATGTATGTGTACACCGTCTATTTACACAGAACACCAGCATGGAAACAAAGACACATATTACACGTATATTCTTCACTTGAACATCCTATGTTCAGCTTTGCTGCGAATTTTTATGGTCCCAACCACGACCCTCCTGATTTTCAAACAAAACAACTAAACGATTCCATTCTGGTGCTCGTATTATTATATTTTCAACGCAGAACAATGAAAAATTAAAAGATCAATCAATTCTGACACGACACAACACGACACACCGCGTGCAATAAACAGCTACGCTCGATGCAAAACAAAGGAACACGAGGATCGTTGTTGTTGTTGTTGCTGCTGCTGTTCTTATTGTTATTGTTGTTGTTGCATTTTGTTCGTTGCAATACAAATGAAAAAGGTGGATGAAAGCGATAATGATCATGGGTAGCAATGAAGGCTCTAAAAATGCTTTAAAAAATTGACCCCAACTAATTATTACTAACTAAGGAAGCTCATGATGCATGATTCAGAATAAATAAATAAAAAAAGGGGGGAAAAAACAAGACGCTACGATTATTATAATTACAATGAGTGTTGAATTAAAAAGGGTTCAATCTTCATAAATGCCATGGCAATTAAACGGAAAATCTTTGATCAAAGCGAAGCAAACAGACGAAGCAGTTAAGAAAGACTCATTTGTTGTATTTAATATTTAATTAGAGATTCATTTATAATGTTTTCCTGTTACCTCCAACTAAAATTCAACTTACAATTAGTATTATATCATTATATCATAGATTTCATCTTGGGTGAAGATGACAAAGGAAAACACTCGATAATACATCAATTAAATACAATTTCTTTTTTCAAAATTCTGTAACGAACGAGTCTTTATACAATAAGAAGAGGCAGGAAAGACATTGAAAGAGAATGATAAATCGTGTTTAATTAGCCATGAATCAGTCGTTTTCTTCATATCATTTTTTCATGCTGTAAATCAGTACCGACTGTGGAAATTTATTAGTTAACACTTTACATGTTATCCTTAGGTAAAACCATTTTTTTTTCTTCTTCTTCTTCTTCTTCTTCTTTTTAATCACGCATATATTTTCTGCTGACGTACATCAATGAAATTGTAAACATTTTTTCTTCAACAATTATAACGTCAGAGACACTATGTAGTATATTTCGAATAAATTGAATTATTCATATTAGCGCAGCGTTTTATTCAATGGTGTAATCGCGATTATCTCGAGCCATATTTGTACATTATCAAAAATATGAATTTATAGAATCTATCATAAAATTGACCAACTGACGAGTTATAATTAGTGAGTGAGCTAAGTACAATAGCTGAGAAGGCTCCTTTGCTCTTCAACATCGTATTTGAAGTGATCTCCTTGCTGTTTTTCTTAATTTTCTGGAAATCAATTATTCTGAATGATATTCTTGAATGCCATGAAAGTTCTTTGGATCTGTAAGGTGTTAACTGTAAGGTAAGTACAATTGTCAGGATGTAGAATGATAAAGCGAAAGAAAAGAGAGAGGGGAGTGGTGGGAATGGGAGGAGAGAAGACGAGACGAGTAGTGAAATATTGAAAAAGAACAGATTTAAAGACGAAAGCATGGGGACTGACGGTGGGGTTATGCTGTTTCGGTGTTGGGAGCTCGGTGGAACGACTTCCGGTACCCCTAAAGAGGACTCCTCAGAGTCCGCTGGGCTGGTGGCGACCGTAGCCAGCTTGCCACCCGCCCCGTCCAGCAACTTCCGATGACCTCCGCCGATACCCCTGCAAGGATTCACAAACCCATCGAAACTGGAAGCAAAGCTACATCTCATTTCTTTTTTTTCCATTTCTTTTCTACACCTATGGTATGCTTCTTTTTTTTTTTTATCTCTTTCTCTAACATTCACCCGTTTTCTTCTCGGATGTGTTTCGTTAACGTCTTGAAGCAAATTTTTTCTTTTTTTTTTTCTTTTTTTTTTCTTTTTTTTTCTTTTTTTTATTGCAGAAACGCACAACTTTTCTACCTGTGATTTAATTATACAATATTTGCACGCATCGACAAGTTGATTGAAATTTATAGATTGTTTCAATAATGTATCAATGTATGTATACGCCGTGGAAATTGCAAATTTTTCGTGATAATTTTTTTTTTTTTTTTTTTTTTTTAAAGGAGAATTCGTTGTTGAATACCTTTTAACGTGCAGCTATTACGTAAATATTTAGTGATAAATACCGTTCAAATACCGTGAAATCACCGTTTCCGTGAAAACCAAATTTTTCTTACACCCATTCATCTTGCTTTGACTTTTCTAAATATTACATTGAACTGGCTTTGCGAGAAATACCTGAAAAACTGTTTTAAAATTCCAGAAAGATGGACATGTATACCCATCCGTCGTCGAGTTACAAGTTATTCAACGTTACATAATTTCTAGACGAAAGACGATGAATAAAATAAATTATAGGTATTTACATTGTTTTACATAATTAAACTGAATAGAAAGAGGTACATATAAACTGGTATAAACTGATCCTTTTGTCACTGCTGAATAGCTACTGCTGCTGGTTGAATAGCATTTAAAATAAGAAATTTACACGTTCGGAAAACGAATACATACCCAGTATCCAGATTGTACTTATCATCCGGTTAGCTAGTACCTAGTACCTAAATACAATACATGTACGATCTAGGCACCTAAACAAAGGGAATATCTTCATTTTGAACACATGTAACGAAACACATCCTCTTTCAGCACCTTTGTTACGTGTTAAATACAGTTGCCCTGTATTGGATGTATACACGTTATTTTACACATTATTTTGTACTTTTTACGACTTAAAATTAGCCAACATTTATGATTGACGCGACTTTCATCGTTGCAAAAAACAAAGCGTTAAGAGGCAGAGCATTTAGGAATTGTTTTTTCTCTGAATTATGCTTTCTCGTCAACGATTCTAATAACAGATTTATTAGCATTAACACGTTCGGTGCCATTTAGAAGCTTAACAATATCTCGTTAACATTTTGTGGCACAGGGCACAGAACGTGTTAATAAAGCAAAGCGGAAGCTCGTCTCGCTATGAATGTGAATGTGTATGTGTATGCGTGTGTTCGTTAAGCGTTAGACTATATCGACGCGTATCAAGTTGTCCGTGATAGTTAATTGTCTCGTTTCAAGGATCCACGGAAATGTATACCTGACTTAGTAAGTATAGAATATAATTGATTGTTGTTGCTGATTTCATGATTCATCAAAAGAACTTGTCAAAGAAACAGCAGTTAACAGATCAAGGAATGAAGAAAATGAAGGTAGTTGAACGCAGAAAAATATAAAAAGACCAGAGAAACCGAAAGTTAAACCCCTCCCTTGCGCTCAATGGTGTCTAAGATGATTTAACGATAGAAAACTAGCCTGAAATAGCATTTATTACGGTACATCAACTTCAAGACTACGCGTTTAAGAAAGTTTCAATTACCGAATTGTCCTGATTTCATTGTTCAAGAATGAAATAAAGAAAGACGGACGACAAGAACGCAAGGGATCCAAGTGAAAAAATCAAAGTGACAAAAGGTAAAAGAGAAAACTGGTTTATGAATGAAACCTACCTGAGGTTCTGAGCGGTCGTCGCGGAACGTAGCGAGGCTCTGGGGTTATCGGGCCTATGAAGAGGATCTGGGGAGGATACGGCTCTGGCTTGGTCAGCCAATCGCAAAACAGGGCTTGTTTTACCCTTCTCGATACAATCACAGGTTTTCGATATGCTTCTCCAACCTGGTTGACCGATTCTTGGTTTTGCGACCGGTACAACCGAGTTGCTGCTGCTGCTACTGCTGCGGCTGCGGCTGCGGCTGTTGCAGTTGCTGTTGCTGTTGCTGTTGCTGTTGCTGTTGCTGCTGCTGCTGCTGCTGCTATTCTCTTGTTCGCTTCGATCTTTCGCCATCGACGTATTCGAGGCATTATAATTATTTCGCAAATCAAAGCTATTCCCCTCGTAATTCTTTCGCGAGTGTCGTGGCACGTTTTGCGATCTAGGCACCCTGAACGCGCCAATCTCTTGGTCCTTGTTCTTGCTTTCGTTCGAAGCTACACCGTTTTTCAATCTACCAGTCTGGTTTCGTTCGTTCGCAGAAACTGTCGTGACACTCGTCCTGCTGCTACCCTGCTGTCTGTTCACCTTTCCATCGCGAGAAGAAAGAGGACTGGATATCGACCAGAACCGATTTCGTGGGTCCAATTGCATCAAGGAAGACGAGGATTGAGAATCCGAGTCGAGAGACGACTCGGGTCTGGTGGGTAGTTGGCTCGAAGGGTTTTGGGAGACATGTGGGATACGTGGAGCCCATACCGGCCAGGAGGGTGACCTATAAAGATCACAACACAAATATTGAAGCATGCAAAAATAATAATCAACTGAATAATACATAAAGGAATAGTGCCGGTTCAAAGGTTGTCATCGATGTTACGTATCAAATTGACGATTTCGATGCAAAGAAAATTAATATAAAACGACTGTTTAAATCGAAAACTATTTTCTACTAACAGTATCGATAAATAAACCTTTATATAATCATTTTTCTCATACTTGATCAGTGCTGTTTCGCGATATTTTTACGTCATCAAATCACGTCAAATTTTACATGCTCCACAATCGACTGTCTAATATACAGCAACAACAACGACAACGACGACGACGATAACAACAACAACAACAACAACAACAACCCAATAGATAAAACAGAAACGTGAGTATGTGAGTATCTAATTAACAAAAAAGAAAAAAGAAAAAAGAAAAAAGAAAAAAGAAAAAAGAAAAAAGAAAAAAGAAAAAAAATAGAGAAAAAGATGGATGTTTTCGTCGGTAGATCTTTCTTGATAGCACTTTGTCGATTTCAACAGTCATTCAAGTTCAATAGCACAGAGAAGAAAGTTAGTGTGCATGGTTCGTGTAAGTACCTTTGTTAAATGACAAGAATTGTCCCGAGAATAAACCGACAACAAAGATCGGAGAACGTATTGTAAGTAAAAGATTGATCGAAATAAAGAGAAGCATAGAGTTCGAAAAGCGAAATCAAATAAGCGCGAACGCGTTCAAAATTGTTATATACGCGTGATTCGAAAAAGATTGTTTTAGCGAGTGTGTTACAACGATTATTTGCCGCGTCTTTTATGTTTTTTTTTTTTTTTTTTTTTTTGTATTGAACGATTCGTTACAAGCAACTGTATTCCTGTCACAGGATTTTCCTTCATCCCATATCCACCTAACCATTCTAGCTTACAATCTATGTAAAAGAGTTGAAAATATTAGAGAGAGAGAGAGAGAGAGAAAGAGAGAGAGAGAGAAGAAAAGATCTTCATCTGCTATCGTTCTCAGAAATGCTCTGGAAACGGTAAAATAAATAACAAAGCGATTAATGAAACGCGAAAGTAGTCGAACCGTGGTTCTTGTTATCGTACAAAAAGAAGAATCGAGGAGAATTGACCGTAATTCATTCAGTCCTTCGATCGATCTGGATTAATTTTGAGCCCCTTGATAAGCATTTCAAGTAAAATAGGAAGGAAGTGAAACTACCTAATGGTAATGTCAGAATTAAGCCAGATCCATTGGACGGTAAGTGATCGAACCTTCTAGGAAAAGATAAACGATTCTCTGCTCTATTTAATCTGCTCATTCGACTAAAAGTAGTTTTCAATCCGTCCAACAACTTTCTCGCTCATTCTCCAAGGAAAGAGTTTCGCTTGTTTCTTTCCGTTTTGTCTGCCGATTGGCCAAATGGCCTTACCTAATGTGGCCACTGTCACCACTACTGCTCTGTCTACTGTGTTGACTGTGCGAATTCAAAGATCCGTAGCCTGAGCCTTTGCTCAGCTGGCTGGTGTTACTGCTATTACGGGAATGGCCCGATTCTGTGTGCGCTTCAGCTAAAGTTTCCACTGGAAGAGCCGATGGTACGATTTCACTGACGGTTATCGGATCGTACGACTCTGCTCCGCTAAGGAGCTCTGAAAAATAAATATCAAAATATTATTATAACGGGAAGATGTAGAAATTGTCTAGATAGGAAATAAAAAGAGAAACATGGGAGTACCCGAGGAAAAGAGGGCAGGCCTCTTTTTAGGAAGACTGCCGAAACCGCTGCTGGCACTTGCTACACTTCCGGCTAACGAACCACTAGAAACATAGTCTTCACGATTGGTACATCTTTCGGATGCACTTGCCTCGTCCGCAGTTATACCGGAAACACCTGGGACACCAGGTACAGCGAGTTGAGTTTGCTTCAACGACGGAGAAGGTCTGAAAGAAGGTGTAAATTCGAATCAATTGAAGAAAAAAAAATCACACTGGTGTTAGTATAAGCTTACACTTTGAATAGAATATCTCCGGAGAGCATGTTCATTTTAATGGCAACTCGCAACATGGAGTTGTCTTGCCGATGCCTCGCGTCGTAACCTTCCAGAAGGCACCTCGTTCTGCAGAGACCAGCTCCTGCGAATTCGGCGAGGTTCAGGTCGGTGAAGCCGAGCTTCTGAAAGGACCTGCCTCCCTTCAATTCCTACAAAATCCACCAAAAAAAATTCATTCAACGAAAGTTAGCTAGTTAAACAAAGAATTATTGAAGAAATTCAAGAAATTACCTTTCTGACGGATATCCTCAAAATGCAGGGATCGAGGACACCGGTGGACGCGTTGGCACTCATTTTGCATAAAAACTCAAATTTAGCGTTCCACCTGACTGTGTGCTCCTGGACTTCCTCCCTGAAACCAACATGAACAATACAAGTATCAAGTAAAAAGAAATATGTATTTATGTAACTAATGGATTATATGTATAATAAATAATGGATATCTGTTGGAAAATCAAATCGTTCACGGAACCCAAAATAGTCTCCTTTATTGCGTCGCCAACTAAATGTATCGAAATGTTCTGTCATTGTTGTCTACATACATATATCTAGGAAACTGAATTACTGATCACCTTTCGTGGTTGGGCAACCTTTAACAATTACCATTTCATTGGTAACAAAAAAGATATCGATCGCAAAAGTTTCGTACCCTCGTGTGAATCAATAAGTTCGAATAATAATAGGTCGACTATTATCTTAATTGTTTGGCAAATGGTTAAACGTTTTTATATCTTGCGATCAGTTGTAGAAGAAACTGGGACATCAGAGGGATAGAAGGGAAGAGTTTTCCACCAAAAAGAAAAAGAAAAACCAAAGAAAAAAAATTTATTTAAAATTTCGACTTTCTCTCTCTTTTTTTTCATCCATCGCCATCATCTCCATTTCCGGTCGTTGGATAAAAGGAGGAAAAGAAAAGAGAAAAAGGACTTTAACAAGGATGAAACGTGATGAGGCATCGAGTCGTTGAATTATATCCAACACGAAACGGAAGTACCCGCTAGACTCTGAATATATCGATATAACGAGAGCAATCTTCTACGTCCTTCTTACGACATTTAAGGTGGGAAAAATCTCTCTGATCTCTTTGTCTCTGTAATCATTTACCTCCTACGATCTATTGAAAGTACGTTTGTTTGGCTGGAGGATAACGCGATTATCTGACCACCGTTACACCGGCAAATTATTATATCTAGCCAACGAATTTGATTATCCGAAGGTAACACGGGGATACTGTGGCAGCTCGTCGCGAAAACAGGGCGGAGGCGTCAACAGTTTCCCTGTCAGACATTCGACGATCCAAAAGAATCGAGTGGGATACGAGTGGTTAGAAGAAGGGCAAACTGTTGTCCAATCAACGGGACGAGCCAATTACCGTGGAAATTGGGCCAACCTATGATCCAACGTGTCGAAAAATTTCGATCTTTGCGGTCGTGAGAAAGCAGTCAAGTGCTCGGAATTGATTTTAAATCGAACTCTACAAACACGAACAATCGGAATCTAATTGTTAATAATCTTCAAAACACTGTAATTGTTCGAGTCTGGACTTGTCTCGTGTCTGGTGGCAACGGTTTCACAACAAAAAGGTACAACTACTCGCCGCTACAAAATTGATCGATTACCTACTCAATAAAAGTAGATACACACAACTGACACGCGTGTGTAGTATTCAGGGAATCGAAACAACCCGGACGAAACGATTAACGTGTTTGGCTCGCGTGCCAGACTACTTCTTCTTCTTCTAGTTTCGATTGGTAAAAGTTACCAATGTATCGACGTATGTATTTGGAGCAACGCGACTTGGTCGAAGCCAGAAGTGCAGTCTTTCACTGCTGCCCCGGGTAGGGTACCATTTCGTCCCCCTCCTGTCCAGGCTCCTTTTCCCCTTTTCTTCTTTTCTCCGTCGCGTTGTTCTCGTTCGTTATCGATCCAATGTCGTTCTGGGACGACACAGCCGAATAAAATGATTGAAATAGTTTCGTTATTTTAATAAAGAATAGAGTTTTTCATCCGAGTTTCATCCGAGATCCACAGGAAGGATTGCGAGAGTTGCATTAGCCGTGGGCAAGGCTGCTCCAAGGCTGTCCAGATTGTGTGTCATTCGCGGTTTCGTAATTGAGCTCGGTCTCGTGCTTGCACCTTGCTTTTCGTAATGAAATCGGTGCACGCTTCTCGACGTATTACATATAGTACTTTCACGCTTAGCTTGGCTAGATCGCTACCGAATTACCGATAATGAGACAGGGGTCTCACCTCGTAACTGTACGAAATCGGTGACAAACAAGTTGCACAACCTTGAAATTACAACATATTACAATACTTATTAAAATACCTAGATAGGATAACGAACTATTCTGATTCACAATGTACGTATTTCAGATTAGACTTTATTCCCGCCTTCGATCCTTCCCGTAAAACGTTTCACATTATCTCGCCCCTAATCTCTTCTAATAAATTAACCTACCTTCCAACGACCGCTTTATCGAACGATAAATCTAACGAGCTACACTCGAGCTCCGTGGAAATTAAAAATCATTTTTCCCTGTCAAACCCATCCTCGACATAGTAAATTGAATTTTTTCATTTTCTCATCCTCGAAAAACTTTTTCATCACTTTGGTTACGAAACTTTGGCTTTTTCTCATCCACGTAATTACCAATTTAAGCAGATTTAAGCCAGTTTCGATCTAAGGAGATTTAGCTAATCTCGATAGCACACATGATGCAAAAGCGTGTTGCGTCAAGTTCACTTTTCCACTGATGATTACTACACTGATCTCTTCTTTGTAGAAGAAGCCCGATTTCTACTTTCCAAGGAAACAACCATCAAGATTCGGAAATAACCACCGCCTACAACTGCTGCATTGACGTAACGAACGCCCACGAAATTCGATGTCTCGCTTTTCCGTTAATTGAATTGTTCGATTCATTGACACGTTTCATTTTTTTTCATGCAGAAATGACAAACGAAAAGTTTTCCTCACTTTTGGGAACAAGAGTACATAAAGGGTAAATATCGACGACGAAGGGTAAGTGGTTTACGCGATTCCGGATCGACCAGTTTCAACAAGCTATTGCACGCCGTCTTACGACAGCTTTAAGCTGTTCCGTAATAAGATCGGGGCTGAAATAGCTAATCGGAGCCCACTTGGGCAGAAAGAGGGAAAATTCAAAATTCTACTTTCCGTTAGAACAAGTTACTTGAGAGAGAAAAATATTATTTTCATGAAAATTGAATCATATCGAGCAAGTTGCATTTCTCCAAGAGGAATCGTCGAGGCGGACGATTATCGAATTGACTTGAATCGAAATGCACGCGTCTGAATTGTCCAAGGGAGAATGGATAGTGGAAGAGAGCCGTTACGTAGGCGTAGGCTATACATATGTACAAGAACCGGAACAGGGCAGGAAAAGAAACGCGGCTTTGGAGTTCGCTTCCGGCGCGGTGTACAAAATACTAATAATAAGACCAGGCTAATTATAAGCTGACAATCGATTAACCGAGACCTTCCGTTCGAGAAATCAACACGATTGCGCCTCTCAAACATGATTTCGTTTTCGAAATTTAATTAGACGCTAATTGACACGGTTTCGAGCGGCGCGGCGCGGCGGTACCGATAAACCGACTATCGTTATCAATCGTTATCAAGCATTTTATCAGCCGTTATCGCGAGTACCACGATCCGCCACGTTAATTACCGATAAAGGTGTCGCGTACCGTACTGTTCGATCATCAGCTACCAGCTACTAGCAAACTACTAGTAACCGATACCGAACCAACAATAATTATCATCATCATCATCATTTAAGCTCTGTTCAACAGAGTTTTGTGCCAACCCACGCGTCGTCTATTAACGCAACAATTGATTGTGTGAGACATTCTTGTTCCCTAGGTTCGCACGATCGCGATCGATACAATTCCGAGGATCTTTCTCACGACACTTACGCTAAACGCCCCCCATCCCTTAAAGTTTAAACGACGCGAACGCATTATCGCCAACGGATCGATTAATCGTAGAAAGCGAAAGTAAAACTTTTATTTCCCTAAAATCGATATTGTAATCAACGAACTTTGCTGAATCGAGAAATTCGCAAGGTGTGTCTTTTTCTACTTTCTTCTGTGAACGCTCTTCCTTAATATCATCTTCACTTTGCATTGTTATTACGTTAATCGAGATTAAACGTTACTTCTTGGAAAAGTTATTTTGGCAGCTAAAGAATCGATCAGGAGCGTACATATAAATTAAGAGGGGAACGGCTGCAATGTGAAAGCAATAGAAATCACAGCCTGACTTTGGGACCAATGCCAAAGCGCCTCCTAAACATTCTAATCAAGGTTCACGCGCGATCCGTTTCTATCTACGCGACCCGATTTCGTTCAACACAATCGACTAAGATCCTTCCATTCTACAATATCTTTTGGCAATAGGTTTCGCATTATTTTCATTTTTCAAAAGCAGCCATTATTAATTAATAACAATGACAAAAACGTTGAATTATTATCGGTGGCCTCTGGAATGCGATATTGGAGACGACCCTGTCTGCGGAAAGGTTTCCACGCGAGTTCATTTACGATAACGTTCGCCCACGTGACCGGGGCATGAACATAATAAATTCGAATCAATAACTTTTTCTTAATGGGTTACAAAAATCTAAAATTGCACCAATTTAGTTTTATTCGGATAAATACTAGTAACTTAAATATAAAAAAAGATCAGAGAGCATCTAACCGATGATAGAAGAGAAACGAGAAAATTCGATGACGCAATTGAGAATAATGCGGTAATAGTCGCATCGCGTGGTAGAATTGAAATTATTTATCGGCTTAGCAACCTTGCAAATATGAAGATTATTTTACCAATCGATACAAGAGAAATACCTCTTGCGGATTCAATGCCAATTGTTTCTCGTCTCTCTTTTTTATCTAGCAACCGGATTTACTATAAAATCATCCAAAACTCTACGTTTCTTCTTCGAACATCCTTCTTTATCACCGATTTCTATTAACGAAATTATAATCCTTGGTATATCTATACGAAAACATAATATTCATTATTTCACTGTAATAGGTATGTACCAACGATACAAGATCTAAAGGGTTCTCAAATCGACCGTTTTACCTAGCTGCTTGTAACTAGAACACGACATTGACCTTAAGAACCTCAAGAGGATGCACGCCACGCATAAAATTATACACGTGTCGGAGTAAGATTTATCAGGCTAGTCATTAGATGAAGTTGTAAAACGATCGAAAGACTCGATATTCTAATGGTAATTATATGTATACATATATGGGGAAGAGGGGGACGACGACGACGACGACGACGACGACGACGACGACGACACCCTATAGAAAATTGCCTAAAGAGTCGAAAAATTGACCGATTGAGCGATAACCGATAAAGAGAGGAGACGATCTTCTTTTCTGACAGGATGCTTTTTATCTGGTCTGAAATTTTCAATGTCGAAGGTCGACCATGGATGCAAGTACTGATGCAAGTCAAGGTTAACCAATCAATGCTGGAAAACTGTGGCTTGGCATCGGGCCCTAGCTATCTACATTCCTGCTACGAAGACACTGACAAAAAAACAAACTACCCTCAACTGTCAAGAAGCAAAAGAATCACTCTTTAAACTTAGAATTGCTTCGAGGGAATTAATTTTCATGGAATTTTCATGGAATTTTCATGGAAATTTCATGGAAATTGGCAAGGAGAAAGTACGCCTCGTGGATGAGACACGTAAAACGCAGCCTTGGCCAAGATTGACATTGCACTATGCCACTATGCCACTACCGATAGTGTTCAAGCACATGAAAAAAATAGCTTCGAACCTTTCCATATTACATATTACATATTACATATTACGTTATCGTATAGGTATACGTACTTGAAATATATTTAATTTTCAAATTACTTTTATTTCATTCTGACTGAAAGTCGTTATTCAGGGTGAAGGGGGATCGTATATCGGAGTGACAACTTGGCCAATACAAAGTTCTACGACTAGCAGGAAATTCTCGCGTTTCGTGGAACAGCAAGCAGGAAATCTAGGCTAACGCGTTGTCCCACCCACTCACCCAACCACCCTCTTCTGACCTAAGGATGGATACTCCTCGATGGAAAAGCTGAATGAAGACGAACCACGGAGAGAGATACATTGTACATAGATATCGTTGGCGCAGCCGCGAAACACATCAGAGGATTTCAAACGATCGAACGCTAGATTCGACCCACGCTAGATTCCATAATGTAGATTAGCAAAGTTCCTACTTTCTTGTCCTTCTTAGGACATAACCAGATTCGGTAAATAAAGGGTTATCAATGTTCAACAATGTGCAGAAGAAAGAAGAGAGACTGAAACAAGACCGTTCGTGTGAATAAAAATCATTCTCCCTACGAGACTCGAATCCTCTATACTCTATTCTGCAAATATATGTAAGTATGTATGCACGGTTATAATCAACCGACTACTCGACACATTCTAGGTATCCATACATGATCGTTCCTGTGGATACACGCAGAAATATTCACCGCTTTGCTTCGGGCCGAGCGTTATAATCGGCTGTTTCCTCATCACTGCATATTGAAGCGGTGTCAGGTCCTCCACGGTGGCCATTCGCTTCCACACAGCACACACGAAACACGAAACACGAAACACGGGACATCGGACGCGACAGGACATTGTCCATTATCATTCTGCTCTCTTCTCGTCTACTCCTAATGTAGACGGTGTCCCTAAAGGTTGCGGGCAAATTGATACGATCCGTTAATAAGCGATTAAAACAAGATTTCTCCAAATTTCCTAGTAAATTTATGCCTGAAATTAAATCTAATTAATCGGATTCACTCCGATTTCTTCTCCACACTCTTGTCTAATAGCATTTTCGCTCAACGAATATGTAGTTGAAACTTTCCTCTTTCAATTTTCGCGGCTTATAAATCAGAACGAGAACGAATCACCGTACACTACACTTTCTATAGCGGTATCGAAGCTGAAAGAATCGTGCCCCGGTTTCTCTTTCTACCATTTCCCACCGTTTCCCACCGTTTCCCACTGTCGCTTTTCTTTCCATCGATTCTGACTTTCGAAACGTACAGGATTCACTGTTACCTACTAATTTTTAACGATGCGATCAGCAGAACTTGCAGTAATTTGCTAAGAATCATTCATCTTTCTCGCGTTGAAAAGAAGAAAAATTTAACACCTGTACAATATATGTACATTCTAAAATTCTAAATGATATATGTATCAATCTTTTTTACCATCTTCGCGAACCTGCTTCTTCAAACTTTTCGTCACGAGACGGTCTATTTCCAGCCCCTACCTAGTTCATCCGATTCCACGGAAGGTCATGGTTCAAGGTAAAGGACGACTACCTGACGACTAACGATCAATCCATTTTCTCAGTTAATTATTTAACTTTAATCAATCATCTATTAGAAATAACGGTGAGCAACTTTTCTAGATTATCTACTACTCAACTTATCGTTAGAGAAGCGCGTGAACGAGAGAAACCTCGCTCGAAACTTGCATCGTTCTCGCTGACATAGATTCTTTCTGCTGCTTTCTTATCCTATTTTCAAACTGCTAATCGGAACAAAGAGAAGACGGATTGAATTTCTTAATTCGATCAGAAGCTACCAATTCTCTGAAAATCCTGTGAAAATTTCAGGAGAGATCAAGAAGGATGCAAGAAGGGAAACTTTGACAATTCTACCGAAACTCTCTTAACTCTTAACAACTATTCTGCACAGTTTGATTAAAGATTTCCTTCTATTTTCCAATAGCTAATAATCATTCCTTCTTTTCCTGGCAGTGAGTTTTTTCGATCTACTTGCGGCAATCAGTTGTCGTTGGCCCCCAAAACGTGTTCGGTAAACTCTATGCGAGGCCTCGATCGATTCGATCTCGTTGAATCCGCTTCGAGGAAAAGCTGTCTTGTATCCTTGACTCGAGAAAACCTTGGACTCGGGAAATCGAGGGAATTGATCATTTCGATAATCGAAAGAAAAGAAAAAGATTAAGTACGAATCACGATTCGCGAGGAGAAGGCACACAGTTTCGACAACAACATTTTTCTCTCTCTCTCTCTCTCTCTCTCTCTCTCTCTGTCAAATGATTATGGACGAACCGAAACATGCTTTTTCATATTTCCATTATACATATGTACATACCTATATACGTATGTAATAGGTTAGGGTTATAAAAGAGACTGTGCTAAATTTTACTTATACAGTCAAACTGTCCGTCGAGATAAACTTTAAGATATCTTTTCCTCTGTTTAGATAGATAGCTTTAAAGTAGATAAAATCGATCCTATCATTTCCTTTCTTCCTTGCTATCCGCTTTAATCGGACCACCTCCACTCGGCTATTTTTTTACCCATCAAATACTACATTGTACTTAACGCTTACTAAACCAAACCCTGATATTTCAACCTTCCCTCTGAATATCTAAAAGTAACAAAAAATATACATATACATATACACATCGAATTCAGTATTCTCCTCCTTTTCGAAGTCGAACAAGTGAATTCTCGTACTATCGTAAACCGGAACATGAAATTCACGATGCAACGATTAATTAGCGTCGAGAGCACATGTTTCATTCACAATTCACAGCCAATACACGGCGAACATAAAATCCAAGTTTAAACGAGTTTTTAACGCGCTTCCGGAGCTGTACTTTCAACAGGAACTTAATCATATCCTACTAAACATAGAGACTATGTAGTCTAATTCGAGTAGTCGTAAAACGTTCTTCACCAAACAGAAGCAACGCGTGTTTAAGAAATTATCTTGTCTTGAAACATAACGAGATGCCTAAAAAGCTTACACATACGTAGGTAATTTTACAAACTTTCGACTTTATTCCTAAATATACTTTTTCTTTTTTATTCTCAACGATACTCGATACACCTTCACCTAGAGTCGGTATTCTACTTTCTTCGTCGAAAAAAGAAAAAAATAAACAATATCTAGATACAAGTTTCCAAATGAAAAAGAAAAGATTAAACAAGACAATAAATCAGTTAAGCTTACCTTGTCGAATGATCGACGAAAGAACCACCGTCTAAAAGTCGAAGTTTCGCGAACAGTACTGCGTTCACAAACGGTACCGCGGTCAACTCTTCCAGGTCCACCTCAACCGAGAATTTATACTTCTTCTTCTTCATCATGAAGGCCATATCTCAGAGCGGAGCCAATATATACGCGCATACACGCGCGCGCGAGCGCGCGCGCACACACACAATTCGCTTTTAATCAGAATCGAGCCAGTGGACTCGCAACGATGATTTTCCACTAAATACAAGCATCAACGCGAAAATATTTCGATTCGAAATTTTTATTCTCACAGAGAACGATCGTCCCCACTAACTCGTCTTATATTTAATAGAAAAAGAAAAAAATATATATATATACGTGTGTGTGAGGGCGGGGGGGGGGGGGGGGGGGGGGGGGGGGGGGGGGGGGGGGGGGGGGGGGTTGTGTAGATGTAGGTATGTATATATAGGTATCTCTTGGCGTATTTCTGTTTTGATAATAAGGCAGTTCCAACTTCCCTTTCCGTTCTTTTCCCTTTTCGAATGCACAAAAGTTGCCTTGCTTTCTTCTTTTATTACAAGTAGATTGGTTATTTGATTTATAACGATCTCCAGCGACGAAATTGAATGTTTGAAACCGACTGAATGGATCTCGTTCGAAGCCTCTTCAACGACATGTTGGATTATTATTATTATTATTATTCTTTTTCTTGACGCTCCCGACGCTCAGAAACAGCGATCGTTCTTGTACGCCATCCTCGTTGTCGAGCCTGAAAAATTCAGGGAATCATGTTAGTAAAAAAAAAAAAAAACAAAAGTATCATCTCCTAACAACGTTATCTGACAAAAGGTTAGGTAAATAAGAAAAAAAAAAAGGAAAAAAAAAAGGACCATTCAGTTCTGCGAAGAATCGTTAGTAAATAAACAGTGCAGTGTCGTTGTTCGTGGGTGAACGTTCTCGCAGGCGAATGTCAGTGAACCTTTATCGACATTTCCAATAGGCATGTTCGCACGACTTCGTATGCTACTACGCTACTACTCTACTACTCTACATGTATGTACATACATGCATATGTATAATAGCTAGTTACTACCCTTCCGCTCGACAAAGACGTATCCTCGTCGGGTACGATGCGACAGACAGACAGACAGACAGACAGACAGACAACTCGAAAGCAATCGTGTTTTGAAAATGTTAATTACTCGAGTAGAAACGTGCGAGTAAGCGAAAATGAACGCGCACTTCCTCGACTCGGCTTTCAAGCCGCAAACTACATAAATGACCAACAATTGTCTACTACAAACAAATTACAAGTTACCCTTTTCTTATGGACCACGTGCATAACCTATCACATATCACATATCACGTGGAATAAAACAAACACGAAATAAACAAATTCGCAAGTATATTGTTATCTCGAACAAAGTTTCAATTGTCACAATCAACGGTACCAAGTAATTTTCAACTTATCAAATTATCGATAAGATGGAATATATATATATTATTATTGTATATTATCGTGTCGGATAAAGAGCAGAAAGCATCCCCTTCTAACGGATATCCTCGAACGAACCGAGTAACACAAAACTAAAAATTGTAAAGCGGTTTATCGTGTGCGGTTTGCAATTACGATAATGCAATGCGATAAAAATACAAATAATTTTCAATTACGCACATACATTCGCGTTGCTGTTCGTCAAAAACTCAACGCGAGAATATTATGATTTGTATAAAGAAAAGAGAAAAAAACACTACTTATTCGTCGCATTTCCTTCACTGTAGTTTATTTAAACAATCCAAGTACCTCTGTCACGTGTTCACAAAGTACGCTCCGTTTATATAACGTAGGAAATTTACTTGTGGCAAACGACGAGAGAGCATCCTAAGGAAATAACCTAAAAACGGATTTTAAAATTACGTACCTTTTAAAAAAGTACATAATTCGACTATTTTCAGCTTAATAGATGGTAGAAACGACGCCCGAATAATCCCGATGACATTTTCCAACTGACATTCGGCTTTTCTAAAGATAACATTACACGAGAATAAACAAGCGACAGATACATGTGTATGTATATATCGTTGTCATTCGGCTGCGTCCATTGCAATGACAGATCCGTGGATATTAATTTCCCAACAATTCCGAGAGGAATTCTGCACCGATATTTTATTCCTCCCTCTGTCAAACGACCTTATTATCACTGACAAATGAAACGTTAACGATCGTGTATCGCGTCGTTACAGTATACCTACTTGTATACATATATGTATACCTCCTTTTTTTCTTCTTCTTCTTTTACTTTTTCTATCTTCTTTTCCAAATCGAATGCAAACAATACTCGATGAGAGACAATCTACCGTATTGTCTCAATGTATTGTGCAATTCGAAAACAGCAATTCCAATGAGATAAAAGGAACCGTTCAGCGCAGCGGATTCGATGCTTCACAGAAATACAAAAAACCATCATCTCATGATGGCAGGTGCAGGACAATATCCGTCTTAACTTTATAACCTCTCCTTTTCGTTCCTGTCTTACGTTAACGTAACGAAAAGTTATACGCCTTTTATCTCGCGGATCTGTCAAATTATACGCAAACGGATCTCTAGATGCCGATGAAATTTTCGTAAAACATCAATTGCAAATGATACGCGACGCCCGTTTCGAAAAAGAAGCAAATCCTATTCTCAAGCTCTGAATTCTATATACTCACTCGTTTTCGACTGCTTCCTCCTTCCTCCGATGCTAGCCAATCTCGCACAATCTCACACTTTTCATGATTGCAAACTTATTACACGGAAACCACGATATTATAACGAACTTCGGTGCGGAAACCCGACGACAATTTTACGTCGAAAATACTTTATTTCACTTTATTCACAACACACGAAACGGACATCGTCTGTGAACTACTGTAAACTGACGCGTCGCGACTCTGGCTGCTGGCTCGCTCTCCAACGACACTGCGCCACCTATCGACACCCCTTCATACCTTATCCACAAGCGAGAATCCTACTGGCTAGAAGACAGCCGCGCGACAAACAAGACACGCTTTCTGATTGGTCCTCGTGGAAACGCACACTACATCTTCTGACCTATAACGTTCCTCCTTTAATAAGGTGATGCTAGCGTGCGTGGAGGCCAAACTTCGAATTCCGCGTCGGTAAAACAGTCAACGTCTCATCGAAAATTAGGCCGAACAGAAACTGATTTCAGCGCCACCTCAGTTATCGCATCCAACTAACGGCATGCTATACTACGTCACTTTTTGCATTCACATTTAAATAACACTTACACGAGCTGCGAGTGATTGCGCTGTCGAGCATACTAAACGAATCACCTGCGCCCTACAGAAAAAACGAGCAACTAAATTTGTAGTCTGTTTTACCTTATTGACGTCTTTCACGAGTGAAAAATCAACGATATCGTAGTTCTCACTATTTTTCTATACGAAAGCTTGTATATCATCCCCTCAGTCTCTATCTGGACATACGATTCGCAAAAATCTTTATATTACGAATAAATTAATGCAAGTGAGTCTGATCCGCCATTTTCTTGACCGTTGACAGACATAAATTTCAATGTTTTATAACTTTTTCACGATTTCGATAATATAAGGACCATTCTTTAGGGCCTCCTGAACACGTTCCTCAAATTTTTTTCAATTCTGTTTATTCCGTTAATGACGACGTAATTTGAAAACTCGTTTCTAGGGATTTTTCTATAGACTGTCGGTAAAGTTTTCAACGCTAGCTAGCATCGAACAACTTCCGTTTGTTCGATAACAACGAAAGGTAACTGCTCAAATCGAATAAATACAATATTGCGATAACTAAAATAAAATCAATTCCAATGTTACATATATCTTATTATACTTGCGTATACTTGCGTATTACACTTGCATCAAAAAATAGAAAATGTATCTTCTATATTTTATAACTCGCAACCGATATGTAGATGTATATATATTATTTAATCTTTAAATATTGCTTAAAACAGCTGCTACCATTTATGTCTAATTTGTAGCAAGTCGGAAACGTAGATGTAAAACCTTATACTCTTTATATTCGATATATATATGTATAACTACATATGTAAGTACATACTATTTACCGACACACATGAGAAAATCCGAAATAGATGAAAACAGCTATACCTTTCTATAATTTTTTACAGCATTATCTGTTAAGATTGAAACGATGATAATTACTCGAATCAATTCAAAGTTGTTGCGCGCTCTCAGCCAGTTGTTCGGTAATTCGTCGTAGTCGTAACAAACGAGACTTCCGGTACCTTAGTGCTCGAATGGCTGACTCCAAGGTTGTCATTTCTGTCAAACCAACTTGATATTACCGATGCGAGTAAAATCATGTAAAACGTTTACAGACCGTTTAAAAAAAATCGTGTAAATGCGGGTAGATCGATGCGTGAATCGAGAAATCAGGGTGTGTCCGTGGCTTTAATGAATGCCAATGCATCCAGAGAGACCGGTGTCCTCTCGAGTTTACGAGTAAACCAGAGGGTAATCCCTATTCTTTGCTGGGGGTGCAAATAACAAGGGAGCAAATAAAGCATACCGCCGCGCCGCGCGCCGAGCCGATCAAATTCAGACTCGATCAGACTCGTTTGACAGATGCGTTTCAGATGATCCGAAACATTCAACAACCAAATCGACATTATGAATTCGAGTTAGTGTGTTTTTAGTGATGTCGTGTCGAACTTTGTACATACGCCCAATGCTTCTTTTCCTTTACACTTGGAACCGAATGAATTATTTTCTTTCTATTCAGATCTAACATACTGATAAACTATCAGGTTGATGCTCGTCAGTTAGAAAATATCTCGTCAGAGAGTGAAAATAATTCCTCTTCGCTTCAATTGTTTTCATCGAATTCATTACTCATTGTCAAATGGTATTCCCAGACCACTGAAAATAAACATTATATTGTATTTGAAAGATATAGTGAGTAAAATATAATCAATTACGTGAGAAGCGTATTCCGCTTATGATTCATTATTATTCCATAAATAGAACATGAATGTTATGTATCTTTTCTTGCGTACAGTGAGCATGCAATTCAATTTATCTATCGATTTAATATGTGTAATTTAATATTTAATATTTAATATTTGATATTTAATATTAATTAAACACTTGTATCATTTTTATTTACCTTTTAATGTAATTCTTTCTTTTATTCCAAATTATACTTAAATTTTCATGTCCAAGTATTCCGCTGTTAAAAACTAAATTAAAATCATATGTCGTTTGTGTCATATGTATGTTGCTGACAGAATTAGTGTATTAAATAAAAAAAAGAAGATTTTTCTATGCTATGTTGTAGACATAGTTATGGAGGATAGTATGAGCGTTAAGTCAATGGAATCAGTGGCAACAAGCGATGAATATGAATTTGTAAATGATAGAGGCAACGGGAAACAGCAGCAAACATTGATTGAACTACCAATGTTAAAAATTGCCAACAACGGCAATTTGGAAGATCTTCAGAATAATCTCCGCGAGGTTTGTACATGTACATTTGTCTGATATTTTCACGATAAATGCTTTAATCTATGTTATCTTGATTATTGTATCGCAACAATATTTATCCGAATCACTGATAAAACTCATAGGTGTTAACAGAAGACTCAAAAATGGAAAGTAACGAGTACAAAATTGTGAGCAGCGGACAGCAAAATCAAGGAAAACCGAAAAAAGTAGGGCATAGTAAATTTTACGACGTAACTTGTTGCATTGTTACGTCAGAGAAACAAGATATCATGAAACCAGAAGATTTTCTTGACCAAGGTATGTGAATTATTACTTTTTTTTAACTTTTATAAATATTACGTACTAATGTATATTGTACAATCATTATTATATTGCAGAAGTAAATTCTCTGGCCCATGTACAACAAGAATGTACTATTTTCAATGGTGTAACTTATTTGGGCTCGACAGCAATAAACGTACCAAAATCTGAATCCGAAATACAACGCAATATGAATATCTTAAATGCAGAGCAGACCCTTAATTTAGGAATAAAGGTTTCTGTTTCTGTGCCTAGTAGTTCTCAAGGTTCTGTTGTGTATGTATGATTTATACTATAGTTGAAAAAAATCTTATTTTTTTTACATAATTATATGTATATCATTATCATTGATACGATAGTTTATACGATGCTGCTACACAACATCCAATTGCACATTACGAGGTACAACGAATTTTGTTTTACGCACGTGGTGAAAGCACCGGTCCGTGTGCAGCATGTTTTGCTTTTACGTGGTCTCACGGGGATACATTGGAATCTGCTATATACCAGTGCCATGTTTTTCGATGCGATATACCCGAAGCGGTATGTGTAAATTTCATAAAATCATGAATTGAAATCAACATTGAAATAATAAAAATGTATTGTATTATTTGGTTACAGGTAGGACAAGTGTCTGCTTGTTTCTCTAAAGCTTTTCATAGAATACCGCGATCAATGACAAGTTCTTTAACAGGAAGCGATTTCAATGGTTTCAATATTGGAAGTGAGAAAACCAATTCACGAGTATTTATTTTTGAAGTGATAATGGAGATAAAAGAAGAGGATGGAAAGGGTGGTTTTAGTACAGTTCCTAAAGATAGAAATTGCTTCAAGCTGAGGAGTAACGTAGCTAAACAAGTATGTTTAAGCATTCAGCAAGTATCGAGCAAAGAAGGAGGAATTACGCTTGAAGTTGAAAGGTGCTTTGGAGTTCTTGTTAGCCCTGGCCGTAACGTAAAGCACAGTGACATGCGATTACTTGAAATGGTAATAAAATACTAAAATCTTTATTATCCCTGATTTCAGAAACATTAATATTCTTTTTTCTTTGATTTTCATTTTCATAAATAAACTACTGTTTTCTAGCAAGTGAATGCTGGTCCAATAGTCCAGGATAAACAATGTTATAACATATGCGGCCACTGGGATCCTGCAGATCCAGCTCTAGAAGCTCTTAATGTAGAAATTCCTAGAGAAGGAAAAATTTACATGACAGTTGCGGTTGACTTAGTGATACGCGGTATTCGAGAACCTGTTAGATTCATAATAGAAACATCGGTTAAAGTATTTCCACAGAACGAAAGATTTTGGTATTTTAATAAACGAAATCTTGTACAACAGTTTTATCTTAATTCAAAAGAGGTATCATTATCGATATCATTATGAATGCAATAATTATGTACATATTTGACGTTATTTTTATGTTAATTATTATTCCCAGATAATATCCGGGGATGGAACGGAAGTTCACTATGAAGTACAAAGTATTGAAACTTCAGGGGAATTAGACAGGAACAGATTAAACCTTGCTCTTAATTTAGCTTCGATGATTCGGTCACCATCTTTGACCAGCATTGACACACTAACGCCAAAGGAAGAAATCGATTCAGGTATACATGTTTCAGATTACTACTTGGTTCGTTATGAAATATTGACAAGCATAGTAACGATATGTTTGTATCATTATACAGATGGTGACGAACCAATGTTAAGTGGTACAGGCGAGGTATCAAAGGATTGTTCCAGGGCTGAACTAGACAGTTGGGCGGAAGTTTTGGAAAGCTGGCAAGTTAACGAACAACGTCCAAAACTTCTGATAAAACTTACGAAGCAGGGTATTCCCGAAGCTCTGCGTGGGGAAGTATGGCAACGTTTGAGTAATTGTGATAATTCACAAGAAATGATGGATAAATATAGAACTTTAATTACCAAGGTAAATCGGAACGATTTATCATATACGATATATGTATATCTTTCCATTATCATTACAATATGTATATCATATTGAATTTACAGGAGAGCAGTTGTGAAAGTGTTATTTTAAGAGATATCAATAGAACATTTCCTGCCCATGACTATTTTAAAGAAACAGGTGGTTTGGGACAAGATTCTTTGTATAGAATAAGCAAAGCATACGCAGTCTATGACGAAGAAGTTGGATATTGTCAAGGACTTAGTTTTTTAGTTGCTAGTTTATTACTTCACGTAAGTAATAGTCAGACCGTGTTTATACTTTGGGAAATTTTTATTCCTGCATCTGTAATGGTCGTTCATTAGGGTATTTAATGAAAAGAAAAATATTAGGTATTTCTTATAGATGCCGGAGGAACAGGCTTTCTGTGTTCTGGTTAAATTGATGTACGACTACGGTCTGAGAGATTTGTACAAGGATAGATTCGACAATCTCCATATGCGATTTTATCAGCTCAATAGATTGATCGAGGTTAGTACATTTTACTTTTTATTACACAACAACGGCACATACTTACATTACATGTATTTTTTTTTTTTTCTTCTTTTTCTTTTTCTTTTTCTTTTAGGATCAGTTGCCAGAACTTTATAAACATTTCTGTGATCGTGGCGTAGAAACACACATGTTTGCTGCACAATGGTTTTTAACGTTATTTACCGCCAGGTTTCCACTTTATCTCGTTTTCCATATACTCGATGTGTTCCTTTTGCAAGGGCTCGACACATTATTTCAGGTCGCTCTTGCATTATTAATGGTAAGATATCAAATGTGTATATACAATACATATTTAATTATCGATCATTGTTAAGTCACGAAACAACAATATGTATAATGTGTTCTCTTAGTTATGTAAAAAGGAACTGCTCCAATTGGACTTTGAAAGTATATTAAAATACTTCCGGGTACACTTGCCTAAACGTTGCCGAAACGAAGAAGTATCACGCTACGTAATGAAGTTAGCCTGCTCGGTTACTTTAAAGAAGTTGAAGAAGTACGAAGCAGAGTTTATGACGCTAAAAGGTAATTTCATATTTTATGTTTGAATCACACAAACACACAAACTCCTACAGTACCATTGTGTATATTTGACAAATCACCTAATTGTTATATAACGAGAATATGACGGTATTTTGTGTGCATGCGGAATCAGCATAAGAAAGGTTGTAAATTTACAACAATCGTTTCATTGTATCGGACCTCTTCACGTACGCGTTTTATCGCGATATTTTATAGTTGAAGTAGTACTAGTAGTAGTAGTAGTAGTAGTAGTAGTAGTGGTTTGGCTAATTCGATTATAACTTGGATTTTCAACTAGTCTTGTTTGCTAAGAAAATTGGCAACCATCTACCGACTATCAAATTACGATGGTACATATCACAGTGATGTTAGTTACATTCAAAATGTGTTCATCTAGTCTTGCAAAAAGTTTATTTAATAATGTTTCTTTGTAAGTTGCTCTCTGTTATTCGAAATTAACTTACTGTACAAAACGTGTGGGTGTTGATCGAAATGCTATAACATTCTTAACATTGTGCAAAGGGTAAGAATTTTATAACAAAATACCGATCGTACGTCTAAGAAGACATTAAAAATAATTCTCGATAAAGATAATTACAAGTGGTCTTTACATTTTCAAATAAATTATTTTTACACTCGCGGTAATATTTCATTTGATCTTGTGTAATTTCATCATTTCTTGAACACTTTATTAAATTCAGCTGGACAGCAAGCTGTATAAATGTGCTGATAAAACATGAATTTAATGATAATTAAGTGTAAGCGTGAGATTTCAACCAGTTGATGAATCACAAAATATATGTACATACATATGTAATATTATTGTTATTGCCATCTAGGTTTACCGTTTACCGCTATTTAATATCGTATCGCTTCAAATAAGAAGCATTATCAAAAATATTGTACTTGAATCACTCTTTAAATTCAGTAAACTTGCAGGAATCTCATAGCTGTTGTATGTGATTGGTTGTGTTACGCTTAACTCTGGTATCTTTTTTTTTTTTTTTCCCACAACTGCTAATGAACCAAAAAAATTATTAGCATCTTTTTTTATCACGATCAACACGCATTTCCTACACTTATATTCAGATTTTCTTTGGTTTTTTCTTTCTTTCTTTCTTTCTTTCTTTCTTTCTTTCTTTCTAATCAAATTATTTATGTTGTAACATTTGTACATTTCTACAATTGTGTTGTTTATAATAAAAATATTTTCATGCTTATTCAGTCATGTTGCTTTGTATACTGTCTTATATTTATTTTTATACGAAAATTATTTATTAATTCTTATTGAAAATAAATCGTCCATTTAGAATATTGTTTTTAGTTTTGTCAATTTACCTATATACATCCTCCTGTTCCTGAAACATTCTTGGTTTGATTTCTCTGCTTCGGTTGGAATTGCATGTATATCGTGGTGGTACTTGGAGAATACAAACGCTTTCAGCTTTTATTTGACCACTAACTGTTAAATAGAATAAACTGTCTTGATGAACCTACTTAAAATTATTCTGTAAGTCAATACTGTATAAAATACATAACAAAGATCTGTATACAAAGTTGTCCAAGCATTGATAAATATTAAAAGTGATCATAGAAAAATATTCTAAACCACATGTCCCGAGATACATATGATTATATGATTTTAAACGCATTGAAATTTCATTTACCAATATAATTATCTACACATTTATAATTTATAGTAGGTAATGTATCTGTGCCAGCAGTTTAAAATTGGTCATGGTATGCTCAGCAGCAAACAACGAGTAGTGGGACATTGGTATCTGTTTTTGCAAGATATCGCGTGTCCGCCAGTAACATTGAAGCCATCTGGTTTCAATGTTTCACCGTCAGAATCATGAGCTATAAAGTAAAGTCATTGATAAAACGTAAGCTTTTTGCATAACGACAAATTTGGAACATTGTTAAGTATTCCTCTAGATGATACATCGTATATAGAAATGTTTCTACATCTCACTTTTGATATACCTATTGTGTTATTTGAAACAAGATTCACACTGACACGTAACGTTTGTTCGTGACATAGAAGCACAAGAAAATGCGGATGAATACAGTAACGAGGTAGAACAGCTACGTGGTACAGTGGCGAGGAACGAGGAAGAGAAACAAAGATTAGAAGCTGAATTGATTCAGATTAAAGAGATGTTGCAACGGGAAGTGACTAGAGCAGATTCGGAAAGTCGACGAAGTAATATTATCATTGCTGAATACAAACAGGTAGACATCTATAATTTTCCTTCTTAGATAAATTCAAATATACTATTTTAATATAATATTTTCTTTAGATTTGCCAACGTTTAGAGGATGATTATAATGCTGCCAAAACAACACTGAGCGAGTTACGGGTAAGTGATGAACTCTAGATTCTCATTCAAGTATTCTACGCTCTTTCATTTTTTTGTTTTTTTTTGTTTTTTTAATGGGGAGGGGTAATGCAAGGTAAAGAGAGAGGGAGAGAGAGAGAAAGAGAGAGAAACAGAGAAAAATAACACCTGTGTTTTATAGTCTAAAGTTTCCAAGTGCGAAAAATGTAGGAGTTGCATAATGGATTCGTCCAACATATTGGCAGACATTGCACATCCTTTGGAAAACAGGATAGACCCTATGTTGCACAGAGTGCAGGAAAGGGTACGAGAATTGGAATTGGAATTGGCCCAAACTAAGCTCGCTCACGTTGAGGCCGAATGTAGAAATCAGGTAAAACGAGGATACCATACATTATTAGCGTGTTTTGTCTAGAGTTTGAAGGATCACAAGGCTAGTTTGCTTCATAGGACTTGACGCATCAGTTACACGCCACTGCCTCTGAACTTCAAGCGGCAAGAAATAGCTGGCCATGGCTTAGCAAAACGCTATCGAGTATAAAAGAAGCGGCTAATAAGAGGGAAGTAATCGGTCCATCCTTGATTAAAGATTTGAGACGAGACAGCGCACCTGGAGGTGAAATGCATCACCTGATACATTCCCGTAATCGCGATACTCGCGATAATCTCAAAGAAATTGTGTGATGCAGTAAGTATTTTGATTCGAATGCACACGTGCGTTCAAAAGCAGAACGGCTATGTTAAATCAGAAACACATACTTAATCATCGATGTGTATAATTACGCGTATACGTATATATACTTGAATATTAAAATACAGTTACTTTAACTAGGAAAAGCGTTGGAAGAAGAACTTGTACGTTACAAGAAAGAGACTTATGTCAGACACAATTTTGAATACACAATGTACGTCCATGATTACATGATGTAGTATTCTATTCATTGTCAGTCTGTACTATTCGTCGCGTGCTTTTAGCGAGGGCAGCTTTATCCTACGACACTGATATTGATCTTGAGATATTACTTGTTTAAGTTTGTTTTTTTTTTTTTTTTTTTACTATACTCATTTTCTCCTCTCTTTATTTTTTTAAACTTAAATTCGGTACGTATCTTATTGTTAGTGATATTATTTGACAGCTAAGTTTCGTGCTTTACACAGTGGTTCTATTTCAAACGATTGATTCAGAGATAATGGGTATAGAAAAAAGAAATCCAAAAAACGTTAAAATAGATATTAGCGATAAGTTCACTACGTTTTGTATGAAACTAGTCTAAGATGTGGAAAACTAAAAGTGCTATAAGATCTACTGTACATAAATGGTACTCTCAGGCAACTAACAAACGTAACATACTCCAGATATTGAAGATTTCATGTTCAGCGAACCGTGACAAGTGTGGATCGTGTGTATCCGCAATTTCATTTTACTTTTTCTACCAATTTATTACAACGACATTCCAAAAGCACATGACCGCGTTCCTTTTTTTTATTCGAATAACGTGTTATTTTAATTAAAGATATCGAGGATTTATCAAGCTAAATGACGTACACGTTTTCATAACTAATTAAGTCACCGCGAGTAACGCTAAATTAATGGCAAGAAAAAGAAACATCACATTGTACAACTTTTATGTTCGACTATTTCGTAATGATCTTAATAATCATTTGAAATGTTTTTTATAAAGCATAACAGCTTTAATGATATAGGTAGTGTAATATAAGACTAGTTGTAATCTTTTTCCGATAGTTTGATTTTCTATGTTTGAAAATTCATAAATGACACGTACAAAACGTCAGGCTCAAAAAGCATATTTAATTGCCATTTGTGTTTTGTTTTGATCAAATTTACATACAAGTGTGTATGTAGGAAGTTAGACGTAAAGCCATAAATTATGTTAAGGCACGAACAATGAAATGAACGCTTTGAAAGTATATTTTAGATTGCTAAACGTAGCTTCGTAATTAGTAGTAGTGCCATTCATTCGACAAAACAAAAAAACCGATACCGTAGAGTTATCAACGATTAATAAATAAATATCGTGCCATTATTTTGCATCGTACACGTTACGGAAGAGATTGCTGACGATCATTTCTTTCCTCTTTTCTATCATTTCTTCTCTGAAGATGATAAATTATTTAATTTAGAATCGGTTTTATAATTAACAAACACATAGACACACACGTGCGCGCGCGATGAAAGGCAAAGTTTCACCTTAGAGACTCGTACAGTAGTTAATAATAAAGAATAATAATAATTATTATACGTCTTATACGAAATAAAGGATAATATACTTTTTTTCTGTAAATACTAAAGAAACAAATATCTTATCAGAGGCAAACTTACTAACAAGTCATGTAAAGATTTAGAATTATTACATATGTATCACTGTACACCTTGTAATGTCATTCCACTATTAATGAAATAAAGAAGGATATCATATCTGTCTATTTCATAAGGGTTTAGTAATGTTAAAACAGTATACGAGAGCCTACCAATCCTTTGAAGCGAGTAACTCAAGGTAAATTATTTACTGAGAAGATATACATTCATTTTATTTGTCCAAAATTGACATCATGATGAAAACGGAATGATATGCTATTTCAGTCTTAGATTTTAACGCGTAATGGAAAACGTTATTATAAATTAATGAAACATTTTATTAAATAGATGCAAGTAAACAAAAAACTTAACGTATTAATAAATTTTTGTAGACCATACATAGATGAAATAGCCCATCAGAAATTCTACTTAAAAAACAACACGAAGAGGAGTAAGTCTTGAAAATTGTAAGAAAATATATATATTTTTTGTTACTGCCCCCTTCTCTCTCTCTCTCTCTCTCTCTCTCTTTCCCTCTTTGTTTAATTTAAATTCGACGTCTTAATACTTCAAGGGATAACAAGTAAATCTTATCAATAGCATAGAATCACATACAGATACCGAAACACTGTTCTCTACGTTTGCTAATGATACTAATTTGTCGTTACAAAAAAGGAGATGCAAAGACAAATTATAAAATTGTTTTTGCGCGATCATACAGTGTCAACTAAAAAATTATTTACTCTTTGTATAAAATAAAAATCCGTCTTTTTCCCAACAAATCAATTGATCTCTTTTTTCTTTTAAGAATTTTATATCTCAAAATATATTTATGATATTAATGGAAAAAAAACTAATTACACAAGTTATTCAAGAAATATAAGGAATGCGAGAAAAAAATATGTACAAAGTAAGTAATTACCTTCGAATTTGTCTTTAAATTTTGCAAACGTAGCAAAGAATGATATATATGTGACACCATTGGTAGAATGATCAAGTATCGTTTCAATAGCATCACGAATTACTTGCAGCGATCCACTCTTCACTTCCACTATCACTATTTTCGTTATCATTTTCAATATTATCACTGGCGTCACTGTTGTTGTCATTTCTCATCTCATTGTTTTCCAAGTTGCTATTCTCTTCAGAACTACTGTTGAAACCCTCGTCATGTTCCATATTTATATATCTCGCATCGTCACCTATTTTTCAAATAAAAAGAAAAATCATAATCGTTATTTCAATTTTCACTAAAATAAAAATAGACAATTACCTGCTGCTGCATTTGGGAATCTTACTTCTCCATGATCTCTCAAATGTATTTCAACATCAATAGGATTGGCCATGTTAAGTATTCTCAACAGCCAGAAGGGGAAACCATTCTCCAAGACGTAAATATCATTCTCATTTTCCATATCATTTTCAAGTACATTAATCAATGGTTGCAAATCTTCAAGATCATTTAATTCTGCAGCTATCATATTATTACCCTCGTTATCTCTATTGTTGTTTACAAGATCACCGTTTACAACTTCAATTACCTCAGGAAGTTCAAGCCTCGGTGCTTCCGCTATACTTGGTGGCTCTGAATCTGATATATGATCTTGTGCTATACTTGATAAGTCGTACTCCGGTGTCATGTCTTGAGCCGAGGTTGAATTTGGATAACCAGAATCCATTACTTCAGGTGACCAACTGTTTGGAGGAGTTTCCACAGTTTCTGAAGGAGAGATCTTCGATATTTCGTTATTTTCTACTGTTTCTAGAGCATTTGAATTTAGAGCTTTACACGTGGATTCGTTAAATTCAGCTTGTTTTTCATCATTTTTTAATAATACTGATGTGGATTGAACATTCTGTGTGTTTTCTACGTAAACACTACAAGATACAAGAGGTACGCATTCTACGCTACTAATTTCTTTGGCATAATAATTATACGACGACTTGCTAGTATCTATACCTGTATTGCTTCTTAAGTTAGAAATATCGCGTGATTCAGATTTTCTTTCAGTCTTTTTTTCATCATTTTTCACATGAACAAAATCCATACAAGATCCTGATTTAACGATTAACTGTTGATCAGTTAATGGAACTTTTTTATCACAATTTGTTGATTCTATAGTACTTGACGTTGCTTGAGCAATGTAACCATTTGGCTGTTCTCCTTCTTCAATCTCAATGAAATTATTAGTATGATCTAGGGGTAGCAGCAGTTTGTGTTTCTTTAAATTATCATCGTTCCTTAAAGTACTTGTTAACGAGAAATCATCTGTAACTTGTTCAAAATGAACATCATTTAACGTTAAAGCAGCAACTGTGGATACATCGCTACTTGTAAACGTATCGTCTTTTCCATCTGTTGATATTTCAATTTCACTCTCACACAATTTTTCACTTTCCTTTTCATTACAACTAAGCTTGCTATCGCTTTCTAAAGATACTTTATTGTTACTTTCTAACGAATTATTGCCATTGTGACTCGTTAAGCAGAATAGCTGTACTCTTTTTAACGAACTGTTACTAGATTTTTCCTTGGTAAGTCGATCTTTATCTGTAGTATTTATCTTTCCAGCAACATTTGGTGAACTTGTAAACTGTGGTTGACTTTCCGTCAAAACAGAACTAGTCAAAGATACGCTACTGTTTGAATGTAATTGATCATGCGATTGAGAATTATCTTTCGAGTCGTCAGGATGTTGCTGAACACTTTGCATTTGTTTTAAATTAAAATAGTTTGAACTAATGCTTTCGCTATTGGTTAAAAGTTCGAAATTAGAATGTTCATTTTCTATGCACGAGGTATTTACATGTATATTACGTAGACAACTATCGTTAATATTACTCTGTGCCGATAACTTCTTATCTTCGATATCACTTGCGTTTCCGCTAACATTTAGAGAATTATCCAACATCCAATAATTACTCATACTACTATCGTCCGTGAAATGCTGCTCGATTCGAACAGTTTGCAAGAGGTATGGTTCAGGTGAAGTTGACGCACGTGAAACAGACAAGTATGGCAAAAAATCTAACGTTTCATTGAGTTTCGGTCCGGTATCTGATAATAATGTACATTGCGATACATCCGGTGGTGGTGGTAAATTAAGAAACGGATCATCCTTTAGGTTTTTTACTTCACTATTTAAAGAAGAAGAATCTACGAAAAGCGTCGTAGATTGTTGTAAATCTAATGATAAATTATACTGAAAAGCATGATCAATATCGGTTGTTTCGGGCTGTAAATTTCCTTCGCTATTAGCAGTTTCGCTATCCTTTATCGCCTCTGATATGTTATTTGATAAAACATTTTCTTCGTCAAAAAGATAGGTATTGTCTTCGATGATAGAATTATTTTCTGGGATGATAATACTTGGCTCCTCGTTCCAATTCTCCTCGTCCCAAGCGTCTGAAGTGTTTTGCTGTAAAAATCTCGAAGAATTGATAGGTGGTCCAGGATCTCTGTTCCAATCATCCTCATCCGTAGAATAGTCATTGGACCAGAAAGCTTCTCCGACGGTACTGTAGTCAGAAAATGTTGAACGCGGCGGAACTTGTACAACCGGACCGAATTCACGGTTCGTAACTGTCCAACCGGCTTCTTCTAAAATCGACTGCAATATGTCTATAGAAATATGAAAGGATTTTAACATTTCCAATAGTTTTTTCAATGGTACTTCCTCTTCCATAGCGATATCTTGGAAGGATAAGTGTCTAATGTAATACTCGGCCTCATCGAGAATCTTTTGCTCGTCGGAACGATTGTCTACCCGAAATGGGTATTCGTATCTAGCTACAGTTATAAATAAACCCTCTATACCGGTATTAAAAGCGTCTTTTTCGCCAAGTCGATGAAATATTGCCATCTGCGTACAACATCCTAAATGTTCCGTACCTTCGGGTCCTTTACAAATACCATCAAAAGTTACTATATAATCTGGGTATCTTAAAATTATATTTTCGGCCCTATTAATAATTAAAATCATATACATATTAGTACTAATACAGGATGTGTTAATTAAAAAAAAGGTCTAGCTTATTTACCAATCTTGGAACTGTTGTCTAGTCCATTCAAATTTATGATCAGCGTGTCTAAATCCAGAAAAATTCGGGAAGAGCACATTGAAATCTGCGTTAGGTGTCGTTATCACTGCTAATTTTGGTTTAACGAATCCAAAAATATTATAAGGAAGATTCATCAGAGTATCTGGATACAAATGCTCGATCCTGAGGGCATCAAAATATTTATTCTTTAATTTACTTATTAAAAGTAAAAAGTTAAAAAAATAATTTTCTATCATATCGTTCGACGATGATGATGACCCACAGTTCAATGCAAATCACAGCATCCGTCTTTTCTAGTTTCTTGTCGTTATGGGTAACACTACCCTCGAATATTTCAACCACAAGAGGTGTTGTCCTTCTGTGTAAATACTCAGAAATCAAAGGGGCACCCTTCTCTTTATAACTTTCTAACAGTACTCGATCGATATCGACGCATAATATTTCTTCAACGCCAGTTGTGTGTTTTAGATAAACTAAAAAATCAAGTTCTGCGCATCCAAAATCAACAACCTATGGAAAAAGTCATTTTTATATAAGTATTAGATGTTAACAAGGACAATAATAAATAACGTGAAATCGAATGATTCGATCAGCATGTTCTATAAATCAACTGGTGAAAACGTATAATTACTATTTAAACGCTAAGTAAAACATATGGAATATCGAAAAACGTGTTATCGAGAACAAAGAAATATCTATATATGTATATATATACATCCATATATGCATATTAAGATATTAAGAAATACCTTGCGTAACTTTCCTTGATACTTGAAACTATTAAGAACCTCGCTAACAGCAACGTATCTTTGTACGTATGCCGGTGGAAAGAATCTTAAAGATTTTTCTTTGAAATCCTGAGCTGCTTCAGGATCTATCATTCTATAATCCTTTTCGGAAATCTCTAATGGTTTCTGCGTGTTGGTCACCTCATTGTCTATGGCTTTTTCTTTCCTAATTCGGTAATTCTGGTATACAAACTTTCCAAAGAGGTAAAGCACGTGAAACAGTACAATGATCATGACAATGACGCAAATCAGTTACCACTTTTGTAAGAATCAAATTTTAACAACGCATCCCGGTTCAGTTCCCGTTTGGTGCGTAGGGTACTAGCGACCATATTGTTTTGTTTTGACGGCGGTCATAGAATCACATTTCATTGGTCGAAGCAGTTTAAAATGGACCAATTAACAAAATGATGTTTTACATACAGTCTTTGGCAATAGTATGTGACATTGCTTCCCTAGGGAAAACGGCGTTACAGGAGAATCCAGGGTTTTGTATTGTCACGAAAGTCCATAACTGCGAAAAGACCAGTTTTCGTTCATTTCTGCGCATTACCGCTCTGATTGGTGATACTTCCAGCGGAAGTGGAAAGCGATTGGCGGATCGCTTTCCCCCACCATCATTTTCCAACCTGCGCGCTTAGTTACATATATATTGTACATACTACATACTCAGTTTCAAGTTATATATTCAAAGGTTATGCAATTCTGCGGTGACACGAATCCGGCTAATTTATGTTCCGTATTAATTGTTTATTTATATGAGGATTAACGTAAAATAATTAAACATGAAAACTGCGCCTGATCCAAAAGACGTTCAGGTATTACATTACGGTTACTCTTTAAAAAATGATTCGAAAAACAATTACATTATAGCCTCTCTAACCTTTTATTTCATTTTGAAAGTCATTTACGACGCTAATGCAGAACATAACGAATGTTTTACTACGATTACATATATATATATATACGTGTTTTTCTGATTCGTATGGATTCATTGTTTAATATTTTTACGTTTACTGTAATGGGGAACCTCTGTTTCAGGAATTTTTATTCAAACAATCGCATACTTCCCAAATTTTAGATGCATTTACGTCTGTACCAATTGCTTGCAGTTTATTGACTGCAGATAAAAAGAGAGGATTATTATACGTAGGTCAAAGCAATAAGATAATCGTTTTAAAACCTGGCCAAGATAATGAACCGGAGTGGAAGCTGGAGTTGAATATAGCGGTAGCTGTATCCAAATTAATGGTTAATTGTGATTGCTCTTATTTAGCAGTGGCACCTCACGGACCATTAATTTTAATTTACGATGTACAGGCACTTTTGGCAAATGTATGAACATTGAAATTTAAACCTTACGTTATTTAGATTTCGTACAGTCTCGTTAAACGATTAAAGAAACTGTAATTTTCTTTTCCAGAGCGTACAATTATTATACGAAATTAGGATTTCTACATCAAACAGCGATGTATTTGTAAACGATCTACGATGGAATCCCACTATACCAGGAATGCTGTGTACAGTAGCTAGCGATTACACAGTTGGTAGTTTTAAAATAAAAGAAAAGAAGGAAAAAAGTATAGAGTTGAAAGCTTTAGAAAAATTTAACGACTTGGATGTTTTGTGCGCAGCATGGAGTCCTAAAGGAAAGCAAATAGTAGTAGGTTGCAAAAATGGAAGTATCGTGCAATTTAAACCCGATCTGAAAGTTGCAAGAACAATTCCTGGTCCTGATCTGTACATCGGAGAGGTTATTGGTATTTTATGGATCAGCAATTATCAGTTTTGCGCTGCTTATTTAGGTAGCGAACAGAAACTTAATGTTCTAATAATCGATGCTCCTAAAGGTGAAACAAATGCCATTTTTACCAGCTATGAAGATATCACTTATGGAATAACAGATACAACGGAGGAAGGAATAATACCACGTTATTACTTTGATCATGTACCAGAATGGGGTTTAATCATTGCTGCTAGTAGTAACAGTAGCGAAGTGGCGGTTTTGGGATCTACGGACGGAGGAGTTACTTGGAGTCAGTGGCAATTGGTTGACAGTGGCAGGGCTGAATTACCATTGATCTGTACTACGGAAAGTTATCCAGTTGGTTTAGCTATCGACAAATCTTCTGTTCGAAAATTACCATGGGGCGCCGAGTCCACCTTACCTTATCCAGTTCCTATGCTTCATATCCTTTCAACATCCGGACAATTATGTACCTTCCATATGGTAAATCTGATTCCTAATTGTCCTGACATTAATTCCCCGCCTACAGAAATAGTTGCACCTCCCTTGCATTTACTACAGTCGAATGTTAATTTATCCGAAACGTCTATCGTTATGAATGGTTTAATAACTAGTACCCCACGCCCTAAACAACCAGAAAATATTCCTGAACGTCCGAAACCAATTCCTACGAGAAATATTTTTGACAAATCTATCGAAGGGAATAGTTTTTTTCCACAATCCACAGCTGAGAAGCCTAAACAATTGGAACAGAAATCCGAAAGTGCTAGCAGAGAAATGATGAAAATGGAGCCGGTCAATGAAACTGTAAAGTCAGATATGAAATTGGCGGTGGTACCGATGAAGGAAGGAGTTTCGCAAGAATCCGTGAAACAGAAACCGTCCGCAGATGAGGATGGTACAGATATCCGTGCTTATATAGAGGAGCATAATTTATTTGAAAAAGAATTGCGTAACAAATTGGAACGACAGACATGGGAATGTGGTACCGAAGAAGAACGTCGAAAACTAGTCGAAACATCTGTTATAATAGATCAGTTTCTTCGAGAATTGAGAGAAACAACAAACAGTTTATCCAGTGACATTTCATATTTGAAGGCATTACTGTTACAGTCATTTGCTTGGGTCGAAGAAACCAAGTCAAAAAATGCAGCTACTAACGACGTTACAACTCGAAATTGTGGAGATACTAATAAGATATCTGATTTACAAAAACTTTATTATTATACTCGCACGCAAGTTAGTCAAGCTAGTAAAATTTTGGATTTAGAATGGTCGAATCATAAGTCTGAAGAGATGTCGCGAATGAAAATTCCACATCTCGAGTTTGTTTATCAAAATCTGATATTGCATAATAAGATAATACAAGAAGAGAAGAGCAAATTGGAACATCTTAAGAAACGATGGAAATTAATTACTCGTAACAACAACATATTTGGATTAAATCGTTCGTTATCTAATTTAAGTATCACGTCGTCTAAATCATCGACTTCGCTTCCAAGAAATGCAGGAGTAATAGAGGCGCGTTGCAAGGCTATCGCTTCCAAGACTTTAACTTTTACTCAAGAGAAAGAAATTAAATTAAGGGAACATTTGTCTGTTTCTTCTCCAAGGATTATAAAACCCGTCAATCCTTCACCAATTCAACACCGTTTGGAAGCAACTTTATCCTCTTTATCTTCTCTTGATACGACAGTTGCCGATACCAAGAATAAAACGGAACATTCTGTTTTAAAGCAGATCACACCTAGTAAACCAGTAGCAGCAGCTGCCGAGAAACCGAAACAACAAAGTCCGTTAGCTTCTTTAAATAGCATCGTAGCAAGAATTGGTACAAGTGAAACTTGTAATAATGTATCAACGCAAAACAAGCAACTTAACTTTAGTATTAATTTTCCGGCACCGACATCTGGAAATAAACTTTCACAGGTAGAGAAAAAATCAACTGTACCAATAACATCATCTACGGTATCTCAAAGTGGTAAGCCAAAGCAAGATACTGTACTACCATTCGGTCAAGTTAATTCTTCTGCTCAGCAGTATTTACCTAATTTGACAAAATCTTTCGCCAAAGTGAACACAATTACGTTTGGTACACCGGCGCAAAAATCTGAAGATAATACTGCAGAAAAATCATCTGCACTAGTAGAGTCTGGTACAAAATCTGGAAAAGAAAATGTACCAAGCGATTCCTTTAAGATGGAAAACAATTTATTCGGCACTGGCACATTAAAAAATGTATTATCAGAAACCACATCGGACCGGGTACAAGGAATTTATCCAAGTAATTCGGTAAAATTTAGAACGGCAGTATTTACAACAACAACAACTACAACAACAACATCGGTAATACCAACCACAACAAAGATTGAAGCAGCTACCACATTTAGTTTTGCTACTGCAAATACTGCTTCTGCTGTTGTCAAAAGTATGTCGCAAAATGCACTTACTACGCCACAAACAAGTGCACAGACATTTTCTTTTGCTTTAAAACCTTCAAACGTTACTACTGCGTTCAATTTAAAGATGCCACCGGCAGCAGCAGCAACAACAACAACAACAACAACGGCATCTCAAACGCAAGACTCATTAAACGTAACAAATTTAATTGTAGGACTTGAAACATCTAATCAAACAGCTACTACTGTGTCTACCAGTAACGTTAGTGCCGAAGGAAAATATAACTATAAACCTACGTTTGGAGCATCTAGTTTTCAAATGTTATTGGGACAAAATAATACATCTAGCAACAATCAGATTTCTATAAGTCTTGTAAGTGGAACTCCTTCAAAAGAAACTATTACTACTACATCATCGGTTACAATTGAGAATATACTCTCTACGAAATCAAAAGCACTCAGCCTTACAACAAGTTCTGTACAAGCTTCACCTGCATCTTCTACTAGATCCTTTTTTAACAGTCAGATTAATACTCCTAATATTTCTGTATTTGGAGGAATGCCAAGTTCGACACCAACTACTACTTTGCCTGGCATTCAGATTACAACCAGTTCATCTATTCCAATATTTGGTGGTTTTACAACCGCGTCAATAACAAGCACAGCAACTACAATGGTAACAACTTCCAACACAGTATCATCTCCATTTCAGAGTTCTTTAACGAAACCTACTTTTGGCGAAATTGCAACGAATTTATCAACAGTATCAGCTGCTGCTACTACTATTACTAGTACTACTACTACTACTACTACTACAACTACTACTACTACTACTACTACTCCTGTTACTACCGCTACTACTGCTACTACCACCGCCGCCACCACCACCACCACCACCACCACCACGTCTACACTTAATTTTGGTAGTATTACAACTGCTTCTTCAGTTGCTTCGGTTTTTGGTAAACCCGCTTCGACAATGAATACACAATTTTCTACCACATCGGTCGTTTCATCGACTGCCAGTACTTTTGGAAAGTCAGTTATTAGTCCTACTTCAATGCCATTTGGAAGTTCTACAAATGCATCCATATTCGGTCAGATTCCAACAACTTCAACGAATGCTTCAGTCTTTAGCGGAAGCGGTGCTACCTCGATCTTTGGTGGAAATACTCAGGCATCACCATCTGCTTCGATCTTTGGAGGGGATTCATCGTCAGTAAATACATTTGGAACATCCCAGAAATCCATTTTTGATAATAATGCTCAAAATTCAATATTCGGCTCAGCGTCAAACAGTGGATCTACATCTTTCTTTGGCGGAACCATAAATAATACGACTCCAGGGGCATCATCGCCTGGTTCACCATCTGTATTTGGCGGTGGTACAGCTAATAATGCATCACAAATGGGTTTAGAACAACCTGCTTTCGGGCAAGCTCCTGCATTTGGTGCTAAACCAGTTTTTGGATCACCGCCTACGTTTGGAGCATCAAAATTGGCTGGTTTTAGCAGTGGATTCGGAGCAACTGCATTTGGAGCTAGTGCATCGCCTCCAGGTAACATGTTACTATAATTTCTTATCTACCACAATAAAATCGATTATTAAGAAAAAGAAATTATATAAAATAGCGTTTGGAAGTTTACCTGCAATGGGTGGGACGACCCCTGCACCAGTTGATAGCAGCACCATGCCGAAAGTTTTTGGAAATGTTGATGGTAGCAACACGTTTGAATCCTTAGCGAGTCAATCGGGTGGTCTTAGTTTTAGTAGTTTAGCGCAAAAAAATGTAGAAGCACCAAAATCTCCAGTATTTACCAGGTATGTAGACCATTTTTAAAACGTTCTCTTCGGAACCTATACAGTTGAATCGTATAAAAAAAATTTATAATAATTAATTGTTCTTTATTACAGTGGGAGTTCGTTTTCCACCTGGCGGTAGTGTACGAATGTTTGTTTAAATCAAATCGACTAAATCATTTCATTATTTTTATATGTAAAAAAGAAGAAAAAAAAGAAAAAGAAAAAGAAAAAGAAAATATAATACACTTTCAGTATCCCTTACACCACAGCTTTGATCATGTATTTATATCAAATTGCTTTTTATCGGAGACATTATTCAACATCGTTCGTTTTAAAACAATTGTTGTTATCCGTACTGTAGACAAAATCAATTGCGATTTAGTATGTTTTGAATTTTTATTATTTACAATAAAGACATTTTATGAAATTAATGGTTTAGAATTAATATTTAGATGCCCCTTTTGATTGGTTTTGGTGCAATTGATACTTTAGTAGGCTTACAAAGATCAATGACACACGGATCGTCGAGGGGAGAATGTGTGCAGACGGCCGACGAAGATGGGACAAAAAGTGCAAGAGAAATTTCTACGTTGCAAGCTTCCATCCAAACTTGATGGGAAAGTAGTACGGTCGTTTTCAATCTATAATCGTTCTGTTCTGTATTTTGTAGTCGTAAATCTGACTGACGCGGTAGCAATAATTGTACTTGTTGGTCGGGATGTCTCAGTTTTATACGTAATATACTAGGATCTCGCAAGTTCAATATTTTTGCCGTTAACGGGATCCCTAATAAAAGTCCTCCTGTAAATTTCAATGCTGCGTCCGCATCGCCTCTAGGTTCTTCAATGATTGCTCTAGAAAATCTAGTGGACACCGATGGTCTTGGGAGTCGTTCTTCTCCCTGCGATGCCGGTGTCAAAAGTAACGGTAACAACAGCCTCGTTAAAGATCCTGGCTTGACATCGGCTAACGTAGGAATCTGAAGTACAAGAGCTCTAGAAAATGATGGCAATTTCGACGTATCTTGTGGTAGGGTGTCAGCTTCGGAGAGAAAATGACGCGCTAGTGGAAGAGCGCTTCTTCCTGTTACGCTTCTCGTTACCCGAATTAATTCTATCGCCAATGCTTTTAACCATACGTCGTTGGCTAGTATCATTTCATTTTCACTTAATCCACTAAAAAGTCGCTGTAACCTAGAAATTTATTATTTATTATTTTAAATTATTTATGGAAAAATTTTGACGCGTAGAAAGGAAAAGATAAAAATCTGTACTTTTGTGTATTTTGTAGCAAAACTGACACGTTGGTGGTTGTGTTCGGCAAAGGGCTCGTCGATACCGAATTTGTCGATGATATTGAAAATTCTTTCAATACAGACTTTAAAAGTAACAAACATCGTATGTAGAGGACAGTGAAACGTGCGGCTCCCTCCATTCGATGATCCATTTCTGCTAAACGATCGAGATCAATGGCTGCAGCTTCTAAAAGTTGGGTATGAACTCTGCCACCGGGTCTAGCATTTTCAACACCTGTCACTACTTTTTCCAAAAATTCTTTTCCGCGTTCGGCTTCGTCGTCGATTTTATCTTCATTTCCAAAACCTGGTCCACTAGTTGTTACGGTTGGCCGTAATCGAGGAACGAAATGCGGCATAGTGTCGCGTAAGTAATGATAATGTTTCGAAGCGTGTTCTGTAAACAAAGCATGCATACTTGGACAATGCAATGCGGCATTAAATATCAAAACCAGAACGCTTGCATCTATCATTTATAGTTAAGAATATAATTAAGGAAAGTTGATTACGAAGCAAATATAAATAAATTAATTAATTAATTTAAAAAAAAAAATAAAAGGATACAAGACGGTTCGTCAACGTCTGGTTCGGGTGTATCGAAAAAGGGATGTCGTCCAAGAAGTTGCGGTACCAATGGTAACGTTAAATATGGGTGCGAAGCTCCTAGTGCCGCTAAACAGCATCTAATACTTTCTTTGTCTTGTGGATAACGACTCAAATTATCAAGAAGACGATTTACACACATATGGAGACAATTTCTAGTAGCAAGCCGGCTAGCAGCCAAAGTAGCGTGTAACCCTTCTCGTACTTCGCCTGAAAAATCCTCTAGCGCGCCCAAAATTGTTTCTAATTGATCTTCGCGAAGCGTTACGCTTGCCGACATTTTTCTTAACGATTCGATAGCACGCAATCGTACATCTTGAATTTCATCGTTGAACATATCAACCATAAAATCTAAGGAAATTCTAGCTATATTTGGTTGCTCCAAAGATAACGTGCATAGAGCCTCAACTGCTGCTGTCCTTACCTGAATATAATATATGTAATTTAGCTGAAAACTTATTTAGCTACATGCATGTAAATAAATATATTATTACCTCTAAAAATTCGTCCTCTAAACCGTGAATAAACGCACCGCAAGATCCACTTTTTTCTTCCACTTCTGGTCTATCTGTTTCCACAATTTTTTGTTTTTTATCTAACGCTTGTTCTATATATCGTTGCGATACACCTTTCATTGTTCCAAGAAGAGACATTGCCGAAGCTCTAACTCTTGCTGATAAATCACCCATCAGACCGCATATTTGAGAAAATGCACAATCAACCATACGTATATCTTCTCCGTCTGCTCCCATGATAATGCTATTATAATATAATCAAGGTGGTAGAGATAGCCAAAAATGATAATTTGTGGTTGGTTTAAAAAAAAAAAAATAATAAGAAATCAACGTACTTTTCAGGATATTCTCTCCCTAAAAGCCATATCAATTTCAGAACATTTCGACGAACTATTTCATAATCATCGCGAAGCGCAGCACAAGCTTCTGCAAAGAAACTTGCGGGCAATCTGCAACCTCTATGAGAATGAAGTTCAGCCATTGTTTCAAATGCCTGAGCACGTACTCTTGGATCTTGAGAACGTGCGTAATTACCAACAAAAGTTAATGTATCATCCGCGGTATTTGCAGTCAAATATCTACCTATAATAGAAAGACAACGGGTTTGTACGCCGTGCCAAGTATCTGGCAAATGCTCACGGGCAATTTTCAATACAAGCATCCTAGAAAAATTGATTCGTTTAATTTTATTTTATCCTATCATTAAAGTAAATAAATTTCAACTATGTACAGAAAAAAATACCTATGATAATCTCCTAATTTTAATAACGTTGCTAAACCCTGACTTTTCACTCTATGTGATTCTTCGTTTCTTAAAAGTTCTGAAGTTTCGGTAACGATTCGTGTCTTTTCGGTTGCATCGTTTGTAACTTCTCCCAATTCTGCAAAGATCCAAAGTATTTTCGCACGGACTGCAGCTTCAGTTTCTATAGTAAATCTTTCTGATAATTTTTTTACTACCGATGGAACATCTTCCGGAGAGATGTAGGCAATAGTATCAGATATGCGAACAAGAAGCTGTAAAGCATCATTGCCACATTTACTTTTCTCAAGACATTCGATATAAGCCAATGCTGAACTTCCTTCTGTTCCATTTTTACTACTACCTGGAGTAGCTGCGAGGCGTAATGTTTTTAGCCTCTTTAACGGTGGTTCATTTATAACCTGTATATGTAATATAAACACAATTGGATATAGAAATTCAAATAAAAATGTTTCAAAGTCGAAGAATATTTTTACCTGGCTCTGGTTAAATTCTGCTAAAACTCTCTTCTTCATTAAAGCTGCCATACTCTAATATATTAGTATTATTATATAAAACTCTCTTACTATTAGTATATAAATACATACATATATTTAAATATATAGTATTTGATGTATCATATGAAAGTTGAAGCTATACCTTTTACTGGTTCAGCATGATAAATACCAATAATGTTTATATTTTTCGCATTACCTATAAAACTTGGAATTATTAACATATATAAATATTTACGTACATATTTATTATTTAGTATATGTAAATAGTCACTGTCGCTGGCTTTCTTCTAGTATTACTCCTCGATTCATCAAAAGGTGGCGGTAACTGTTGGATATCGAATGTTAAGGGTTAGGAAGGTAGCGGTTTTATTGTTTTCCGTTTTTGTCGCGTGCATATAGGTACTTAAATAAATACTTGACTTGTATGTAACGAATATGCATGTAAGAATATGTATACAAGAGTATACGTGCGAATATACGAATTGATAAATATAACACACATGTTTAAGAAATAAAACCGACTGTTATTGAAAGTGATTAACACAAAGAACTATATTATACATATATATATATATAAGAGAAGAAATGTGCTAAAAATTGTTGTTGTTTGTTCTTGTGATTGATCGTAACCTTTGTTTATATATGCGCTTTTAGTTTCTATTTCGTAAGTTTCTATTGCTACATTCCTCGGAATTCGTTTAAAAATGGTACCACTTGGACCGTCACCGGGGCATCAAACGTCTGTTAATAATAGTGCAAGTACTCCAACGTCTGGAACGAAGAGCAGTTCAACATTGGTCGGCAAAACATGTTCTTTTTTCTTTTTTCTTTTTTCTTTTTTCTTTTTTAATAAAACATATTTTCACTTTGTTCTTAAAATCTCTAATTCTTTTTCTGTTTTTACAGAAACCAAATTACACTTTGAAATACACTTTGGCAGGTCACACTAAAGCAGTTTCTTCAGTGAAGTTTAGCCCAAACGGAGAATGGCTTGCTAGTTCCTGTAAATAGAAATTTCACTTTACTTTAACTCGAATGTTTCTTATTTTGCGTGAAAAGTTAATCAAATTCATAATTACTTTTATGCCCGTAGCTGCGGATAAGTTAATCAAAATATGGGGATCGTACGATGGAAAATTTGAAAAAACCATATCCGGTCACAAGCTTGGTATTTCAGATGTGGCATGGTCTAGCGATAGCAGATTGTTGGTGTCTGCCTCTGATGATAAAACCTTGAAAATATGGGAATTAAGTTCTGTAAGTTAAAATTTGGGTAGAGAAACGGGATAGAAGAAAAAGAATAGAAAGAAAATATTTACCTTCTTTTGTCTGTTTCTAGGGGAAATGCTTAAAGACATTAAAGGGTCATAGCAATTATGTGTTTTGTTGCAACTTTAACCCACAGTCGAACCTTATAGTTTCTGGTTCTGTAAGTATTATTTTAACATTTCTATTTGTTTGCACTTAGGATAGGGTTTATCTTATGCAAGCTTATCGTGTGCAAGCTTCTAAATTATTGTACACATAAACGTACTTTATATGGTAACAGTCGGTAATATTAAACATGCTAGAATGTAAGAAGAATGTAAAAATAGTAAAGGAAAAATAATGAGAAAAGATGAACTTCAGTTTAATCATCGGTGAGAGATGTTAATGGTATATTTTTAAAGATACTTGAAAAATGTTTCAACGTTATTACGTGCTTTCATAAAAGGGTTTGCACACACGAATCACATAATTATTCCATACATACATGTGTCTGTTGATTTAATAAATATTGCTACCAGTTCGACGAAAGTGTTCGAATATGGGATGTTAGAACTGGAAAATGCCTGAAAACGTTACCCGCTCACTCCGACCCCGTAAGTGCTGTTCATTTTAACAGGGATGGATCGTTGATCGTGTCTAGTAGTTACGACGGGTTATGGTAAGCTAGCATGTTTAGTTTAGTTCATGTACATGTACGTGTGCGTGCTTAAATATGAATAAATAAATAAATGAGAATTATAGTAAAAGATACATGATTGTATAGTCGGATCTGGGACACAGCATCCGGTCAGTGTTTGAAGACTTTAATAGACGACGACAATCCACCGGTATCTTTCGTTAAGTTTTCGCCAAATGGAAAATATATTTTAGCAGCGACGTTAGACAACACGTTGAAACTGTGGGATTATAGCAAAGGAAAATGCTTAAAAACTTACACAGGTCATAAGAACGAAAAATATTGCATATTTGCAAATTTTTCAGTTACAGGCGGGAAGGTATGTTATACACATAATTAGTAATGAATCGAAATAATCGAAATAATCGAAATAATAAATTAACTAAACATTGTTCTGCTATTCAACAGTGGATCGTTTCGGGTTCAGAAGACAATATGGTATATATTTGGAATTTACAGACTAAAGAAATTGTACAGAAACTACAAGGGCACACAGGTATAGCTAAAGAAAAAGTTATTAACATTATTGTGCGATGCGTACGTGTACTGATAACAGTTTATCGATTCGTAGATGTTGTGCTTTGTACGACGTGTCATCCCACGGATAACATTATAGCATCAGCTGCACTTGAAAATGATAAAACGATTAAACTATGGAAGAGTGATACATAGAATGGGCACAGGTTCTTTACGATATTTCATCGTAGGTACTATAAAAGAAAAACAAAAAGAAAAAAAAAAAAAGAGGTGTTCACACCTGTTGTAGACGGCCGTCTTCACTCTTTTTCTCTTATCCTCTGTAATTTTTCAGTTTTCCAGTTTTCCATTTTCGCATAAAAATATGTAGCAATTTTAGCAATTTTTATTAGCAAACAATTGTATAGAGAGGCAGTAGAATACGCGCACTCAAATGTTTAGATTTTATCGAATATAAATAGTACCAGATAGGCAGGGAAGAAGAAAAATGTACACTTTTAACGCAGCATTTATCTATGCAAACTGAAAATTAAGAATTCAGTAAGAGTCGAATATAGGTGTGTAAGTTATTAACAGTTACGGTTATAGTAAAGAGTAATATGAGAAAAAAAAACTGAAGGATACAAATACGAGAATGTAATTTTTAAAATTATACTTAGGCGAGTGATTGTTTTTTTTATCGTTTTGATATTTATTGTATAGTTGATTGATTATAACTACGTCAAATGTTTAACTAATATACTTTTTTTTATCTATAACTAAAAATAAAATAACTGTATGTGTATAGTCCGTCCAACGAAACGAGTCAGTAAATAGGTATTATTAAAGAAGAACTGTGCAGCGATCCTGCGCTATGCACCTGAATTTCTATACATTTACCGACTCGTCTCGTTGGACGGACTATCAAAGGACATATTTTGTATATATATACACACACACACACACACACACACAAACACACACACAAAAAAATGTATATGGAAGAAATGAAGATATAAAGTAAACGAATAAAAATGAATTCTTGTAAACTTAAAAATTTATGTAAACAAAGCGAAAAGAAATATATTTTCGTACCTGAGATATGAAGTGTTTTGTTAATTTTATTCTCTTTCGTTATCAGGCTGAAATATGTAGAAAAACTATAAAATTAAAGTTTCGTATTTTTATTAAAGCACATATTTGTTTTCATTTTTTAAACGTACAATCATAGAATCGAGTAATAACACCACGCGATATACTGAACGTTTTTTTTTTATATCCTACCGAAAGCAAAAAGGATCACCCGCAATGTACACAGCGGTGCGAGTATATTAATCGGAACAATTGAGGTCAAAGCAATCGGTGATTTAGCAAAAAAGAGACCTATAAGAAGATATACACGAGCGACATATATATTATTATTATTTTTTTTTTTTTCTTTAATATTATTTTATATACTGAAAAGCAACGAAAGTAAAAGAAACGTGGAATTCGGAAGTTTAACGCATTAAATGGTGATATTTATGTTAAAAGTTAAAAGGGAAATGGAGGACTCTTTTTAACACCATTCGTATTATTGCTTAACCAAGTCTTTGCAAAAGGTCGCTTATGTACGTAGAAGGATTTGTTATATCTTCCAACAAGCCTGAAACAAAAGTGTGAAAAGTAATGAAAAATTAGAAAAGCGGCGTCGTCGTCGTCGTCGTCGTCGTCGTATTATTATTCATTCTTTTCTTACCGAGAACATCAGAAAATTCTTCGAAAGATGTACAAGGTAAGAGTTCGTCGCGATAAGTAGCAAGTACGCGTTCCGATGCCTTTAGCATAGCTTCATCGTTATGTCTGATGTATTCGGCCAAAACCGATGGCCATTGATCGTCTGTCGATACGTTGACTTTCTGAAATAGTAAATAATGTAAGTAAGGAAATGATGGATTTATAAAAATAAAACACTGTATCGTTTCGAACATACCTTGAAGAAATTGGCATAAATAGAATCGATTAGCCCAAAAAAGATGAACGCGCTTTTGTATACCGCGTAATGCTTCACGGTTACATCGGCAATGGTCTTGGTCGCAGCTGACGGTGAAATGTATCGTTGATGAGCAAGAATAATCAATCTATTGAAATGAGCAAGTCTATGGGTATTCCAGCGGGCTGGTGTAAGAAGCAAAAGTGACATGGTGCATTGGTAAAATGGTCCTTCGGCTTCGTAACAACTCTCGAGCCAGCTAGGTCCAGGAGGTGTTTCCAAGTATCCCATTAATGTTTTGTCTGCTCGAGCTGCTGCTCTTGTGCTGCAACCAAGTATTGAAGACACAGTATTTGTGAAATTTCAAAGAAACTTGATTTCAATAGAAAGTTATAATATTTACGTACGTGTTAATTACGTAAAGAGCCGTGTGAACGAGATACGGAAGCAAATGCATATTCGACTGAGGTCCTCCTCCACCGCTATCCTCGTGGAAACTTTTCTCTTGAGCGAATCGTAGCAATAGCAATTTCAGGTCATGAACGGTGGATGGGTAGGATATATCTCGATGGCTGGTACACTCTTGTAGATAGGTATTGTGTCTGGCTAGGCAACCAGCGAAAGCTGATTCTAAAACTTGAGGTCCCCATAACGGCAACAGTCCGTTACACTTGGTGTTGGCATTTTGTAAAGCCGCGCTTTCCCATTCGTCTCTGGCGCGCGCTAATCTTACCGCCGACATATGGCAGTCAACGTGAACGACGTTAAAGTGGGTAACAGTTGTGTAGCCTACCGTCTTTCTCTGTTTCGTTTCAAACTCTTCCACGTTGCAACGTTTCGAGAAGGTGTATATGCCCAAAACCTGTAAGAGAATAAGAGGAATACACGATTGATGGATGGATGAAATGGAAAAAAAGAAAAGGAAAAGGAAAAAGAAAAAGAAAAAGAAAAAGAAAAAGAAAAAGAAAAAAAAGTTGTAAAGCAAGGAAAAAAAGTAGCAAACGTACCATGTTCGGTTTAAATTTGTACCCTTCCCGGCAGATAACGCAAACTAACCCTGTTTCGTCTCCTAGATCTTCCATTTGTTGAAGAATCGTTCCGCTAGCCATTACTTGACCCTTATCGTTTGTTTGCATTCCCAACGCGCCCAATTGTCTCTCTCGCATGGCCATTGCCAAGCGTTTCTTCTCGCTACGAGTATGTTGTCGAGCCTCCTCGATCAATTCAGCGACGCGTTTGTTGGTGCACAATGCTTCCAATAGATTCTCCGCCAACGAGCCGACGTGCTCGTCCGAGGATACCTGTTCGAGTCGGTGAATGATGCTGATGGTCACCTGGGAGACAGCGAGTTGCGTGGGCTCGTGATCGGTTGCTAGGCCGGTAAGAAAGCGTAGAATGTATTTTAGGGCCGGCTTCGATATGAAATCCTTCAGCTCGTCGCTGTCCGTTCTCAAGAGCGTGGGTTTTACGCAAGGGGCGTGTACGGTTATATACTCGAAGGCGTGTTCGACGATTCCCATGCCGATCATGTAATCCTTCAGTGTATTACCGATTGCGTTGCGCTCGATAGCTTGGGTTAGAATACAGAAGAGTTCGAGCTTCTGCTCGTCATCCGGCGTGTGTTCAAAGTCGAATTTATAAAAGTTCAGGACAGGCTTGAAGTAATCGTAAAGCAGGGCCATTTTCTCGGTATTCCCGTAAGTAAGCGCTGCCAATACGCGGGCAACGTGAGCCAATACGTTGCTACTTTGTCTGACAGCGGTCGACTGGGTGCAAGATAGAAGGGCCTTTACGTGTTCCGGTCCGCCCAATGTACGGGAGAATATCTCAAACGTTGAGAGGGGTTGCGAGGCGGCGTGCGTTAAAATCGTTTCCATTATGTCCAACAGCTGTTCTGTAACCTTTGCCTGGGAATTGTCTGATTCGGTGGCAAGACAACGTTGCAGCACGTCGAGCAACACCGTTACCGCTCCGAGTTCTGGCTTGCTCAACACCTCCTGGTTCCTCTTCACCTTTACCGATAGACGAAACAGCTTGAGGAGAACTTGAAGTAGCGGACGGGCTCGATTCACATCCTGGATGGCCGCTAAACGATTCAGCATCACCTCGAGGCCACCGCACTCGGCAAGAACGTTCGCCATTTTATAAACTTCCTCGTTGTTCACTTCCTGTTCGCTGCTAGCGTTCAGGCTCTCAACGAACTCCTCGGTAGCGTCACCGAGCAATCCTCGCATTCGATAGACGACACGCATCGCGTCGCATTCCCCACCCTCCATTACCCAAATCTTTTTGTACACTTCCTTCACCGGTAAATCCAGACTGACGATCTTGTTGTTCACCAACAGTTCCATTCCGTTGTCGTCCTCCAGCAGAGCGACTAGCTCGCAATCCTGACAGATTTTATTCTTCACGTCCCTCATCAACGGCCCTAATCCAGGTTCGAGGCTGCTGTAAGGATTTCCCAACATTCTGCCTTGAAGAAAGTCTTCTTGTTGCGAATCCTTCTCGAGGGTTAAAAAGAATTCACCTACGTCGTTCTCCTCTGGATAAATGATCGAGCATAGCCGTTCGAAGATAAACACCGGTGTACGTACATCCTCGACGCTGTACTTTTGCACCGTTTCCACGCAGATCGCCATGAACGCTTTCGTCTCCTCCTCGGTACCGGTGGTCATCTCCTCGAGAAGCTCGAGCAGTTTCTCTTGCGTGTCGTCGATCAGTCTCGTTCGCTGAACGACCAGCCTCCTCAGGGATAAATAACCATTGAGAACAGCGGCTACCAGCCGACCCTTGTACTGTTGTTTTATGTTCTCCTGTTCGAGGAACGTAGCCATCAATTCTGTAAGCATCTTCAGGGAATAACCTTGAGCCAGATCACTGGTCAGAGTCGTTTCTTCCAACCGGTGGAGCTCCTCGATTTCCCTGGTCAGAAGATCGGCGAGCAATGTCATCACCCCTCGTACTGCCAGGAACTGTTTCCACGGTGGTTGCCGTATCAAACTTTGGTACAACGCGAGAAATTCGGTGCTACTTTCGCCGGCTGTACGCAACTCTTCCAAGTAACAGGTCAACAATACCAACACCTCCTTCTTCCGTTCTGTTCCTTGACAGAGACTCTCGATCATGTTGCAGGCGACTTGTCGAGCTAGTCGAGAACTCGGATTGAATAGGACTTCCTTCAGCCAAGCGCCATCGGCCAATTTCAATGGCTGAACACCTTGCTGTTGTTGCCTTCTATTGCATCTATTACGCCATCTGTGTCCATATTTTTCCATTAAATAGAGTACTCGTGTTTCCTCCTTCTTCAACGGCTTCGTCGTCGATTCCGTCGACTTTTTGCTTTGTGGCATACGACGAATCCATTCGGAATAGGAATGCTTTGGGTCCCCGTTTAACCATTTCCCCACATCGATGGTCACGCATTCGGGCACCTGTACGGTTGCCAATGATTCTATACTCTTGTCTTTGTTCTTTTTCGAGACCGGTTGCTCCGGTTTCACCAGGCCCTGGAGTATCTTTAAGCAGGGTAAAATGATACTCTCCATAACAACGGGGCTTTTTGATTCCTTGCAAGCCATTAGGAACAATTGCATGATGCAGCGAAGTTTTTGCTCCCAGCATGCATCTTCCTTTTGAATAAGGGCAGCCAATAGAGCCATTTCGTGTCGTACCGCCAGTGCCAGGTCCGAAGTAGAGACTCGACCACGAAGCATCAACGTGATACGACCGGTCAACAGAGAGCACAGTTCTTTAGTGGATTGAGCGTTATCCGTAGTTACGAGACAAAGCAACTGTCTCACCTCTTCCTGCATCTGAACCGTACCCTTGCGTAAATTATGTTCGACCAGTTCTTGAATCAAGCCCTGTTTGCACAACACGTCTTTAGCGACTTGATTGGTAGCCAGAGCCCGTAACAAGGTGAGACAGTGTTCCGTGGCTGCGGTAGCGCAACCGTAACAACGACCTATACTCTGAGGATTCACAGTTGCGATCGCGGCTGGTGTACTCGCTGAGCTACTGCTTATCGACGTCGTGGTTGTGTTTGTGGTTGTCACCGTCGTTGACGTCGTTGACGTCGCTGCCGCTGTCGACGTCGATGTCGATGTTCTCAAACATTCTTCCTTGGGATTTGATGAATCAGCGATAACGATGGTGGTGGTGGTGGTGGTGGTGGTGATGGTGTTAGAGGAACTACTACCACTGCCGGTTACCATCTGACCTCGTTGCTGTCGGTCGTATGCTACCAATTCTCGTCGGCAAGCCAATACCCTTTGTATGATTTTGCTCAATTCTTCAAACGAAGTTTTGCATTCGCCACAATATCTTTGAGCGAGCAGTTGTATGGCTCTGTTTACTTGTGTACTTCCGCTAGACACCTGAATAGCGCTGCTACTGCCACCATCTTCGAGGGTGCGATCCAACCGATGTTCCGATATTTTAACCAACAACATTTCCAAAGTCGGTTTATTCGATATTAAATTCTTGTACACCCTGTCAGCTTTCTCGAGCAAAGCATTGATCGTTGCTACAGTTTTCTTCCGATCGTCGTCGCTTTCGATCGGATCGACGGCGCAACAGGGTCTTCCGGTTAGCGTGTAGTCAAATTTCGCGTATTTACAGAAACCACAGGCGTGACACAAGAACGGATCCTTCTCATCGTAGTTGATTGCACGACACTTGTGGCATTGAAACACGTTCTCTCCGCAATTTGCGCAGACACCTGGATTTGCTGGTACGTTCGCTGAACAACGTGGACACTGAAGCGTCTCGGAAGAAGCTTGAATGTCCTCGTAAAAATCCGCGTATTCGATCATTAGATTACAAGCAACGATCGGTAAAGGGAACTCCATTTTGATCTCTGTTTGTCCTTGAGCTAACGTTATCTTCTTCGCTTTGTGCCACATGGCAGGTTTATTTTTCAACTCGACCACCGCTTGAACCGAGCGATTATTGTAATATATATTGATCGTGCGCACCATCTTTGTTCTCTTTAAATCACCGATACGAAGAGTGATTCGACTGATCGTGTGACTACCAATTAATTTCACAATCTGCGTCGTTGTCGTGAATTTCGAATCGACTTTGATCGAAGAAAGTTTGATCGTCGTCATTGGAACTTCGGGATTGTTGCACACCAAACAGGGTTCGCTCTCCAAATAATAGCCATCCAATTCGACGAATTGAGCCAAATTTGCATAGAGATTCGCGTTCGGGTGACGCGCAAGCAACTGATTTTGTGCTCTTAAAACCGCAACTGCTTGCTCCATGTAACAGTGCATCTTCTTGTTCGCCTGAGGTGTCTTCAGAGAAAAGTATCCCAACAAGTCCACGAACTGAGCTGCTTTTCTGCCGTATGCAGGCAACAGGGGCCACAGACGCCACAACAAATCTAGCAAAATCTCTTGATCAGCTGGATTGCAATTTCTATATAGGAAAAAGGATTATTTCTTTTTTTCATTTTTTCGCGAATCCTCTTCAGACAACTGGAATAAGACTTACTTGTAAATAGCCAGTATCAGAGAATGAGCCTGCCAGCGTACATTGGTATTGTTCGTTTCAAGTAAAAAAGTCTGAATGAATCTAGTTAGCAGACTCGGAGATACTTGCTTCTGAATCTGTTCAACTAAAGCTAAGCACTGAGTTTCCTCGAATTTAGCTTCCGTATCAGAATCTTCAGACTTTTCGCGCTCTCGTCTCTCTTTGCTTCCTGCACTTGCTGCTTTCGACTCCTATGTACGGTATATATATACATTATTAAATAATTAACTAAATATATGGTATACACGTAAATTTGTATGTAATACATATTGTTACCTTCGTTTTACTATCCTTCGTCTCCTTCGACTTGTTACTCGAACATATAGCGCACTGCAATAGCTGCAACACCGTAGGGCTGACACCCTCGTCTAACAGCGTTGATATAGTAAACAGATAAGACAGCACTGTGTTCTGTTTCAAACAGAATCGTTGCCAATTTCCCGTACGGCTTGTAGCAATCTCGACGCAACATTTCAGGTGTTCGATTAATTCCACCAAAGAATCGTACGGCAAATTGATGGAATGTGGACGCGTTTGAAGAGGGTCAAATCCGCCGGCGGTACAACACTGCTGTACCGACTACACTCGCAAAGATAGACAATTTTATTTTCTCACTACAGTTAATTATAATTGATTTGAAAATAGGCTTACCTGAACGTGGGAAATTAGAGCGTGCAAATCCCGTAACTGTCTGTACTTTTCTTTGTTACCACAGATGAAAAGAAGTAACTTGCGTACTTGACGTCTAACCAGAGGCGTTTGATACGACATCATGTATTCGCACAGGTAAAAGTACCATGGCTGTTCAAACGCTGCTTGTGATGAATTATTTTCTGCATATTTGTGCACTTGATAAGGTAATCTCAATACTATTTCAGTTAATAACTGAGGGTACGGTTCGAATATGTCACCGGCATGACCTTTCACGTGTTGCCGCAAAAAGAATGGTGACATATCTGGTAGCGAAGTCGTGAGATGTTCTTTAAGTAATTGGCCGCCGAGAATAGTTCCTGTTTCCTCCGTCGATGTCCTGTTCCAAAAAAGAACAATAAATAACACGTATAATAATAATAATAATAATAATAATAATAATAATACATGACACGAGTCAGTATGATAGTTTTTTGATAATTGAAGAATATTTTACTTACGTTTTCCAATATTCCAACAATGCTTTCAATAACGTCAAACAATAGTCAATTACTCCTGCTTTGCTGAGTATTCCAGCTGCCATTTGAGAAACGAAATTTGAATTTTCGCTCTGTGTTTTAGCAGTATACTTTGAACGAGACATTAAAACACCTGAAAGAGTAAAGAATTATATATGTGTAAGAATATAAGAAATTGAAAGCAACGACGATTAGATTTTTTTTTCGATACTCACTTAACAGTCGCATAATAACCAAATGAACTTCTCTCTTATTACTGCGCTGACATATATTTGTTGTATCCGGTTTATCCATTTCTAATTCTTTTACTAATATTCGAAGCAGTCGTTCGACGCAAGCTCTGTCTTTGTCGTCTTGTCCATCCAAGTCGGCCGTTAACATTAATAAAACCTAAAGCAGATATTTCGTTAACTCGATTAAAAGAAGGAACTGAATCGAATCGAATCGAACAAACCTGCATAAATGGGATTGCCAAGACACCGGGTACGTTTGTTAAATTTGGTATAAATTGCATAAGTTTGTCGAGTAACAGCAAGCGAACGGTATGCAGCTTTGCTGTATTTTCGCAACTGGTATCATTTTCCTGTTCGGTAACGTGCTCCTGTTCCGTACCTTCTTCTTGTTCGATAACCTAATAGAATGATTTGCGACCCTTATAATATGTCGAAACTTTTGCTTATTGTTAGACGATAGGACGAGAGGAAAGAAGAAGAAAAAGGGAGAATGATCTTATTCGTACTCTCGTTGGAAGAGAAATGGTAGAGAAATGGTAGAGAAGAAAATTATGAAGAAAGTAAGCGAATGAAATAAATGATCGGCAGTGAGTGAAACGCGGCGGAATTGACGGAAGAAGCACTTACGGTGAAAGCCGTGGGAACACCGACGGAATTAATTTCAGTACGTGGTGCTTGGTGGTTGACTGTAATTCCTCCGATCGGAGGTATAGAGTCGGGACCATTGTCGCCGTAAGCGGAACTCCTTCCCGATACGTTATGTTCCCCCGTCATACTGTCTACAGCACTTGCTCCGCTTTCGCTTCCACCGCTCTCGCTACCCTTGCTACCACCACTACCGCCCTGACATAAAATATATTCCAAACGTTACTATCCTTCTCCCTCTTCCTCCCCCTTCTACTATTTTGCTCTGATTTCAATTACGCGCAATTAAGAGGAAAAAACAGGCTCACTTGTTCTGCAGGAGATGTCCTTAACGTGCTACCATCGGTAGCGGCAGTTGATCCCTCGTCGTCAGAACCACCAGCAGATGCTGTCGTATCTGAATAATGTCCTCCACCTTCCTGACTCTGGGGATATGGACAAAATAATGATCGAAGATTAAAAAAAAGTTTGAGGCACTCGATATACGTGTACTTACTTGACTGGTGGTTTGAACTTGAACCAAACCCTGTGCTGCTAACGTTTGTAGACTCTGCAATGCTGGTCCACTCAAGTTTTGAAGGTTCTCCAGGCCTTGTAAGTTGGTGGATATGTTTTGTTGAAATCCTTGTCGTAGTACTTGCAAATCGGCACCTCCTCCCTCATCTTGTAAGCTAAGCGCGATCGCTAGTTCCATCATTGCCTCGTCGTCGGTGTCTGGTGGTACGTCTAATATTTGTGAAAAACTTCCGGAGCTTAGTAACGTTTCAAAGGAATTTACAGCCCCTCTTGTAGTCGCTGATCCGCTGCTGCTGCTGGCAGCAGCGCTACTGCTACCAGTCGCGTTTCTAATCGTAGCAGTGGATGTCGTCGCAGCACCGCTTGCAGATGAACTAGATCCTTGATTGTTCTCCGCAGCTAGCACCACCGCTAGAGGATCCACCGATCCTACAGAATCAACCTCCAAATGTTGTTCAGTTTCAGCCGATGATGTTGTCGGTGCCGGAATAGGGGTTGAAGCGGACGACGCTACTGCTATCGCCTCTCGATGCGATTGTCCGGAGGAGGATGATGGCTTTTCTTCACCATCTACGGCTGTTCCTGTTTAGTTTGCACAAATGTATCTATTTATGTATGCATGTAGACAGAATGTAGACGAAACGAGTAAAGAAAATACATGGGAATATTGTATACCTGGAGTACTACAATTGGGTGGAGTTGGTATGTAAACTCTTCTTTTCTTATATCTTGGTCTTAGAACGCGAATTATCGCCTGTTTAGCGGTAAAACTGATCATGGTATCGGATGAGAGTAACAACTGTAGATATAGTTTAGCAGCCAAGGGAACATTTTTCTCAACGTCACACGTGGTGAATGCATGGATTATTTCAACTATCGCGTGAATCGTTCCTTCGGCATGAGTCAGTCCTGGGACTACAACAGGCGCCAGAGCCATATTCTTTGGATACGCCATATGCAAAGCCCACAGTATCTCCATAAGCTGAACGATCAAGTGCTGTTGGTTTCCATCGACGGTTTTGCAGGATTGGCTAACATTTTGTCGATCCTTTTCAAAAATAGCTATGTTTGTCTCGTCTATCGACTTATTTGTATACTGATCGGTAAATTTAGCAAGGTTTTGTGGTCGTGAAACGGAAATACTTCGAACAATCAATACAAGCCTGTAATAGTTTTCCGCGTCAATGTCCCGCGCGTCATTCAGCTCTCGCATCGTTTTTAACGAATCTAGTACATGAGAGAGTAGCACATGATCCTGAAAAACAATTCATCTTTAAAATAACTTGTTCGTTAAATAACTTGCTATTATTTACCTTATGGAGATGATATGCCTGTTTGGATGAATGCAATGCCGCAAGAAGAGCAGTTGTATGAATTTGCACCAAAGGCGGAGTCGGCAATATTAACAACTTTGACGCCACGTCGACAGCCGTAGCCTTTAACGATAATTTGTTTTCATCGTTGGTAGGAATATTGAAGGACAATTCCAGTACTTCCAACATGCCCGCAACCATTCTACAACAAGACAATAATAATTAACGTAACTTTCCAAGATTCTTTTATTTATTGCCAACAATAGGATAACAACATAATGAAAGATATTTTATACTATTAACTAATAAAATTCGTTACATTTCAATCAACTTCTTACCTTTCGATATTAAGGGAATTGGCCTTCCTCGAGCTAACGCATTATGCAACGATAAAAAAAAACAAAGATTTCGTTGTAACACGGTTAAGAAAGATTTACTATATTTCAAATGACAAGACACAACTAGTATGTACTTGATATTATTTTTCACCTACCTATCAACAGACGATAAAGGAGCAGGTGCAACCAGAGCACTGTCCGTATCATTGTTTATAGCGGTTACTGGTGCAGATGTAGACTGACCAGATGGAACATCCTCTATCTCTTCCGGCCAACCAAACGCGTCTTTCGTTTTACCGTATCTAAAAATGTAACACAAACACGATAATAATAAGATAACAAGTGCAATTGCAACTATATTTGAGATGAAGAAGAAGAAGACTTACATTTTAATGGAATCCACCATAATGACACCCTCAGGATCTTGAGACGGTCCAAACGTGATGGTTAACTTTTTATCAGCTTGAAGACTCTCTTCCCGCATTAAGGGAATATCAAACCATCGGCTTCTATTCAGTGTTGTGTATATGCTCCTACCAAATACCTAAAGAGACAGACAGAAATTATTAGAACAGTATTATTTTTTTACGTGTACAGTGAAGCATAGTGAAACGTTCAAGACTTTATATAAACACCTCTATATAAACTGGGGCCCTCTGAATATCTTGATTTCCAAGGAGTATCCTAATTCCAGTCATTACCAAAACAGGATCGTTATTGGTAACTTCAACGTTGAATCCCATTGCTTTTGTAGAAACAACGTACATGCCGGTGGTGTTTAATCTATGCTTGATTTGGGCTACATTGTAAATTTGCAACAAGTCGTTGCCACCAAATTCAACGTCGTTCATCACTTGACAATGTTCGAAGAAATCAATGGGAAAACTGATGGAATTCGAAGGTTTTCCAGTCTTGGTTGTTTTCTTTTTTCGAGCTGGTTTTACGTTTGATAACGTACCGATTGGTTGAACCATGGATGACATCCAGTATCCGGTTTGTTCCATTCCGGCCATATGGATCTTTAGACTTCCATCTTCGCATAATAATATCAAGGTTGTACGGTGTTCACCGTTCGAACTCGGATGTCTTATAGCAACCATATCCATTATTTTAGCCTTTGCTGGGATCACTTTAATCTCTTGAATCATTATCGTGTCCGGTTTGATCATCAATATAACAGGATTGTTTGTTGTTTGTATAACTGAGCAAATCAGTCCAGGATGATTTGCTACCTCGCTCCATTGACAGAGTGGTTGTGGTTGATTGATATTCGATTTGTTACCGTTCGAACTTTTATTACCAGCGAGATTGATTTGGAAAACGGTCGTTAGTTCGGTATCCATGTACTTGAGAGGCGCGATGAAACTTTTACCACCCGTGTAACTGAAGAAAAGCAATTGCAAAGCATGGGAATAATAAATTGATACACCACCACCGCCAACTTGACCAGTATCCTTTATTTCCGGATGATAGATATCAAGGGTATTGGTCACGTAGAACGGCCCGTGTTTCGCTAAACTTTCTTCGTCCATTACTTGACTGTAAATGTATCCAGCCGACGACATTATTAACAAGTAAAATACACCGTCTTCGGAGTACATGAACGTACAGTCCCGTATTTTTCCAGTCGGTACTAAAAAGTAATACTGAGGGCAAAGCGCGTCCTTAGCAAGATCATAAATTTTGACAAAGTCCGCGGTGACCAATGCCAGCTGAGTTTGCGATCCAGGCAGCCAAATCGCTTTTATTATGAAATTACCAGTTTCCAATTGAGGATGCAAAACTAAATGATCAGAGACCGTTCCAGATGTATTGAAGGTTAATACATGACAGTCTTTGAAACCACAAACGGCCAGGAAATCTTCGTTCCATTGATTACCAGTTATGGAGAGTACGGTAAAAGGTACAGGCGCCGAAGCGAGCCTAGTTAAGGTCAGTTTTCTTTTCGACGAATCGGGTTGTTTTAACAGAGCGCTCAACTGTAACACCGTTATCTTCCCTTTTTCATGCGAGACCGCTAGATGCTGCCTTTTACCGTTTGGCGAGGACAGACAACACATTGCGACTCGACGTATCATATGCGCGGACAATAATTGTCTGATGGTTTGTCCCTGATCTCCAGAATAGTTCATTCGAACATTTTCAAATGCACCCTCTTGCGATCCCAATGTCGGAAGCGTCAATTGATCGGTGTATTCAAACTTTTTATCCATCGTATGTAATTGTTTCAGTGCCGTTTGAGCACGCGCGTGACAACCAACCGCCGAGTTCTTTTTGCATGACGCATCCACCACTGGTAGCAACGTACCGGTCAAATCTACCAACGATGAAACTAAACCAGCCTTCCAGAGATGACTTTGTATCCACTCTTTCGATGATTCAAGCTGCCTCGCTAAATACGCGTGCCTTTGTTTATCGCGTCCTTGTTTTTCCTGTTTGTCAGAGAAATAAAATGGGCTGGAAGTTCTTCGTCGCAAACTATTCGTGAGGAACAGATCGCCGCGATTATCTTGAGAGGAATGTTTGTGCGCATTGCTGTAACTGCTGGGACCAGCGGTGACACCCCCGCCGGTTGAACCACTGGTGGAAACAGCTGTACTACTTCCACCGCCAACAGCAACCGCGGCGTTACCACCACCGACACCACCACCACCTTGGTGCTCCGACGTTTGAGGACTTCTTTTCGTCAATGCTTGGCAGAAACCGTCGTCTTTCGCTCCGCAATCGCAGAAGAAATTTCCATATTTCGCATAAGTTACATCGTGCCCGCGATGACAGACGCGAGCACAGACTGTGCAAACACCGACCCCGTCTACCATGTTGCAAGTATGGCAATGATACCAATGTTGATTCATAAATTCCTTTTGCGTGATCGTGAACGTACAGAGTTTGTTACAAAGGCTATCCTCGTCGGAATCCTCGGCAGCGCTATCCTCGTCTTCGTGTGGAATTTCATCCACCCAGTCGCTGTCATTTACGTCGTTTACCGGCGTACCACCCTCCCAGGGTGGACTTGTTGCTCGATCTTGAGAATATATCGATTGAGGAGAAATCGCGCTTACTATATCTGCTATATAATTCAATATACAGCAACCAGCCTCGACGAACGGCAATGGTTTATCCAAACTCTGAAGATCTTTATTCATCAATTGTTCTTTGCATAATTCGATCCATTCGATCGCAGCTTTAAACAATAAAGTATGACCCTTTTCGGAACCGGCATCTGCTAACGTCGACATGACGTTCATCAGTTCTGAAAAGCCATTGCCCTCGATCGTTGGGGAAAGAATATGATAAGCCAATGGTATAAGGGCTCGAAGAATCGTCACTGGTACACCTTCGTCCACGCTACTTTTTTCTTTTACTATGTAATTCGTGAGTGCTCGCAAAAGTCGGCTGTTTTCATGCATCGAATGTTGTTGTTGTTGTTGTTGTTGTTGTAATTGCTGTTGCTGTTGTTGCTGTTGCTGCTGCTGCTGCTGTTGATCATCAGTGATGCTTGCCGATTGATTATTACTTACAGAATCATCTGGCAACAAGATCAACCACTGATCTTGTTCGTTATTCGGCGCGTTACTAACTTCGTCAGCTTTTTCTGCATCATCTGTTGTCCCTGTTCCACTAACGGCAACCAACCTATGTGATTTTTAATAATAATCGTTGATAAACATCATGCTGATTAACGAAAATTAACGTTATTCATTCGTTCTAAACTAATACTCACGCATTTGAGGTTACTACCGTAGGTGTTTGAACATTGGTCGATGATGCGCTTGGGGAAATACTTGTTGCTCCTAAGATGACTTGTTTTAACCATGTTTGTAATTTCTCTGTTTCTACGTGAGCTAGGTTCGATACAGATCCACAAAGACGTTCCAATGATCCGTAATTTCCTTTTTCAGCTATCGACATATATACGCAATTCGTAGAAAATTTCAAGTAATAATAATAAAAACGCATAGAAATTCTTTTTTTATCACCATAGTTACCTGTTCTGAATAGCGTGTTGAAGAAACGTAAAACGTATGTAGCGAATTGTTGAGACGACTGTGAAGACGTTATACAGAGTAATACAGAAACAAGAGACCGATTGGTATTGGGCGCAAAGAATAAATCCAAAGCTTTACATCCAACTGGCTTTTCCAACAACTGTTCCCAATATTTGATACACCGTTTCAAAATTTTCTCATCTATCGTGATACTGAAATGAAATGAAATGAAATGAAATGAAATGAAATGAAAGAATCGAGCAATCGTTAAATCAAGTAATCATCCACGATAATATGAAAAAAAGTATTTCAAGCAGATACTACATACTTTACAGGATCCTGGGAATCATTGGTATATTCGATTATCAAATTGTACGTGTCACGCAATATAAACAAATGTTCCCGTAACTGTCGCGTTTCGTTGTCGGTATCGCCTAACATTTTTGTCAAAGCCTTGTTGGTCATATCTTGAAGGTAATCCGTACGAGCGTCCATAGATAATGCGACAAGAATATTCAGCGCCTGAGAACGTATCTCCGAGTTTTCCGGTGCAGTACTAGGACTACAGCAACAAAAAACAAGTTATATACAATTTGTCATACACCGTTTCCTGTAAACTCAAATTAAAGAGAAGAAAAGAAAAGGTATGAAAACTTACGTAATATATTCTACTATAAAAGCAACCAAGCTGTGCAACAAATTCTTCAGAGATGGATTAATAGAAAATGTTGGATATTCGGAAAGCGAGCTCACATGATGATTCACAGTTATCAGAATGTAACTTTCAGCCGGTATAATATCATTCGCGTAGGTATTCTGTAATTAATATAATGTAATGTAATGTAATGTAATGTAAACAAAAGTACATAGCATGTATGTTTAAACGCGTATACTGCTTACCCATGGTATGTAAGTAACGTTGATGGCTTTCCATTTATCGAGAACTAATTTTACAGAGTTTGGTAGAAAAGTGATCAAGGATGCTTCGGTTGCCCAGTTTGCACCCGCCATCGCAATTATATCATCGAGTACCAAATAGTCTCGTTGACCATATTTACCCTCTTCTTCTAACGACTCGATCATTTGATGAAGTATACTTGATCGACACGAGGCCAAGATAGCCTCGGTTAGAGAAAGAACGTGAGGAAGAATACTAACCATCATTTTGTTTGTATTTGTATTTGTATTTGTATTTGTATTTGTATTTGTATTTATATTCGTATTTGTATTCGTATTCGTATTCGTATTTGTATTCGTATTTGTATTCGTATTCGTATTCGTATTCGTACTTGCAGGTTCCGAACTTTGTGCATTTCTGTATATAAAACAATAATTAGAATTTAAATTTTAAACACGTATCGAAAGATGATACAAGATACGAATAACTTACTTTGAACTTTCCACGTTCTCGTTTTGATTTTTTGATATACTTTCGTCGAAAAGAACTTGCAATTTACCGATGACTGCTGCCAAAATACATAACGAGCTAAGCTTCGGTAATGCGCTTTTTGGCATTATCTGATCATTGAAATTAGTTTCTGGTTTCAGCGCCGTGATACAATTCTTTGCCACCGTAATATCGTACTTGAGAGCATTGACAGTAGACGATACAGTTTTTAAAAGATTCTCCGCGTACTGAGTATACATTCCTTGCCTAACCAGGTAATCCTAGAGAGGGAGAGACAACGATAACGTGTTGTTTTTTAATATGGCACTTTTTTAGGCTAAACAGAATCGGCGATTTACCTTCATCCAACTGGTAAAAGTTTTATAAGCAGCTCTAGGCCCCCAAATCAAAGAGTAAAGCAGCATAGGTCCAGCAGGAATTTCCTCGCCGAGAGCTAGTTTATCCATGTACGGGGTAGAGGGTGGTAACATCAGTAATAAACTATCAATGATTTAAAAATTCAATAAGATCCGAACGAGTACTATACATATACGTATACATATATATGTGTAACACAGATATAAATTAAGTAGCATTATTTACCGCCAACATATGGAAAAGCAATAACGAATAGCGCATAGACCTAAAAATGTTGACATTTTTTCTTTATCGTCGTTATTAATTTTCTTCTGCATATCTGTCTGATTCAGAACATTCAGGATATCTATTAACGCGTCGACTAAAAGTGGATACTTCATTTTATCCGGTGCGCCCAAAATGAAGTTGCATGCCTGTAAAATTCAATTCATTTCTTCTAATTATATATGAATTTTTAACAAATTATATCAACTTTAACAATCTTCATTTAATAGTAACCAATCCATCCAACTTTGGCGTGTCTTGATTATTGAAATCCGTAGTAGAAAGGTTGTAAAATCGTGGCTTCATTGAGAATTCGTCTTGGGTACCGTATTTACGATAATTATCTTCAATTTCGGTCCACGAGGTAAAAATTCGGGCCGTTTGTTTATTACCATCTTTTGCATCACAAACCAGACTTGTCGCCGAAAACAGATTCCACTGAACCTATAATACACAATTGTTTAATCGTTCAGGACGTTGCTTTTATAATAAACACGCTTAAGAAAGAATTTATATTACAAGATAAATGTACAAGATTCTTACTACCACTCAAACGTATCTTTCGATTTGGTGGCCCTGGTATCTTATTGCGTTTCGTTCACAATATGAACAGAGCACATTATTACTTTTGCATTTGATATTAATTAACGTTATTCAAGCTAGCATCGATAACGTGTAAGCTTATATCCCCGTAAAAAAAAAGAAAAATTGAAATAAAGAACAGAGAAAAAGGAAGAAAAAGGAAGAAAAAGGAAGAAAAAAGATTGAATGGTATCCGAGAGAATATAGTGTCGAGGAAATGAATGAGATTTTTAACGAAGGGGAACTAACGTCAAATGCTTTTCCGAGATGATCCCAATCTCAATTAAAAAATATCGACTACTTACTTGTTCGAGTAACGCAGGTGGTGCGTCATAAAGGTGTTTCATCATGTATTCGAGTAATAATAATAATCGTGACAAATGTAATAACTGAGAATCTTTCATAGGTGTTTTAACTGCTTCGCTGCAACGTACAGCGCCGCTACCAGTTACAAGCAATACAGATTTCTTTTGCATTAAATTAAGGGAATGAAATAGAATTAAAACCAGCTGAGCGTGTTCCACGTTTAAATCTGAAAAAGAAAGGGAAGGAACCATCAATTGTATCTTAAGCAAGCTGCGCGATTCTCACGGATAAAGAAATCTTAGATTTTACCTTCATTTTCCGCTTCGAATGTAGAAGGTGGATTGCACACGTTCTCCACCATTGTTGTCACCAATCGATGCCATATACTTATGCATGCCGCTTCTTTTTCTGACTGAGGTTTCAGCAAAAGAACCTGTTCGATTTTGTTAATATTTACAATTAGTTAAAGTTTAATGATATATAAAACGGATCTGTTCCGAAAAAGGGATACAACACACCTGTGCTAGTACGCTTAACGTTCTCGGATAAACTTGAAGTGGCCAGGTGTACGGAGTTGTACTTTCCGTTCCAGCCCAAGGATTTACGCCTAAATGTTGCAAAAGAGTGCTTTGTAAACTCTCGCTCAATGTATTGCGAGCAAGTAAATTGTGGGTGTAGCGGCTCAAAGCTTGAGAGAATTCAGAGTACATGGTGCCTAAAGTTGCACCATAGAATACCGAGATTGTACCTAAGAACAATACATATAATTAAATTATTAGAGGTAGGAAAGAAATAAATATCGAGAAAAAGTAATGGATAATCACCTGTTTCCGTTCTAGCAGTTTCATGATCCAAATCTCTGATTATTGCTGCTAATATAACCATCTGTTGTTCAACCAAGCCGTTTACTACGTATTCACGCACGTAACAGCTTCTACTACCGATTAAATGTTGATTCATAAATTGAAAAATCTTAGTGGCCAGGGATATGTACTGCAATAAAAAAATGTAATTGGTTATCAAGTACCCGTTATTATTGAAAAAAAGAAAGAAAGGAAAAGTGGATAAAAATTTACTTACACCGTGAGGTTCACGATTGTCAGGAACAATAGTGGTTACTGTTCGTTCGGCGCTGGTTTCGTTACTGGGTTCCTTTGTACCAGTCGCAGGTGATTCGTCGGACGGTGCGATGGTTTCCTCAAACCATAAACCCAAAATGGGTTCGCTGTCCTCCTCTACCGACATAACAGTTTTTTCTGTATAGCGAGAAAACGCATTCACTCTTATGGAATTGATAAAATAATTTCATGAATTTTACAATGGAGAACTATGCATTTGCAGATAATTTTTTTTTTCCATTTATTTCTCAAACCTCTCCTTCTTACCTTCATCGGTAGAATTATCTGAACAACTTAACAGATCCTCGTAATAAGTCGTCGAATCGGACTGACTTAAAGCATCGCCTTCGAAAGGATGCTTCTGTACCCTTTTCAAGGTACAAGCCTGTAAACGATACACATTTATATAGAAAAACGTTGTTGAAAACAGCTTTCAACTAACCTTTCTGTAACTAATAGTGGCTAAATAAAACAATAAATGATTAAGCGGTACTGCTTGAAGGAAAGTGACTGCTCTCTGAAGCGCAGTTGCGGTGGACAAAATATCTAACGGTGCTGGCTCAGGTGGAATCGAAGAATCGGCAATCGCTTCGACCGATACATCTTCCAATAGAGCGCTCATTAGGGTGAGCGCATGAGAAGCCAAGGCTACTGAAAGCACTCCAAAACCTTGCTGGCTGAAATCCAATTGTTTTTACGATTCTTTATTAATTTTGATCTGTTGCCGAAACAGCAAAAGATATATTAATATTAACTATGTCTATACATATGTATATCTATATATGTATGTATACGTATACGTATAATATCTTACACTTTCATCAGATTGACACGAGCAGTTCCATCGCGTGCTTTACTAGGTGATTTTCCCTTTTCTTCCTTACCCTTGTCTGCCGCGCTAAAACTGCTTACCGAAAGTTGAGCTTGCAAACCAGTCACCAACAGCCACACACCAATTAATAAATGATTCTGTAAAATCTGTAACGGAAACGAGAAAAAACAATTTCTTAGAACGTTTGATCGTAATAATTAAGACCGACGTTCGATTAGAATCGTAAAATAATCCCTTACATGGCCACCTGCTCGCGTACTGTTTTTTATCACATTCGAGACTAGTCCAAATATTTCGAGGCTCTTTTCGACAACGGTAATTGCCAAACTATCGTATTCTTCTTCCATATTTTTCCCACTTTGATTCATTTGTGTTCCAGCAGAGGTATTTGTACTACATTTTGGCGATACCGCATTCGTTATTCCAACGATGCTGGACGCGGTCGCGTTCGCGATCGAACAATACAGACAAGACATGGTCAGCACCGATAGCTTTTCTAGCTTGACCGTAGTCAGCGGTTCCAATAATGGCAAAGATATTACATTATGCACGATATTAATGTCATTTGCTACGGAATGCAGACTATGGCGTATAGCGTGTGCTTCCGAAGCATTAGCAGGTAAACTGAAACCTTTTTTGTTTAAATACGCTTGATATTTACGAATGTACCGCGACAAGTGTGGAAGATTCAGACACATGTCCAGAAGGATGTCACCTGCACCCATACTTTGGAGAATATTTATATTATTTACAACAAATGTTGTCTGTAAGCAAAGAAAAGGAAATTATATTCTTTAAGCGGCTTAAAATCCTACGCGATACCGTACCTTTGTGTCGGAGTGAGGTTCGTTTGCTGTATTGTCATTGGTAATTTTATTGCTCCCATCGCTGGAACTTTCGATAACACGAGGCACGGACAGCGTAAAGTCTTGTAGAGGCATAGTCAATTGTTCTAGAATGCTATTGGAGAGATCGCATCGTACCCTCGCAGAGTCTTTCGAGGACTGAGAAGAATCTTTTTCAACTCCAGGTGATTGGGACTTGACGCAAGGAGGTATCTTGGAATTTTTTATAGCAGCTATTAAGGCTACTTCATCCGCGGATGAAAGCAACGACTGTCCCATACAAAGAGCACGAATTGGAAGCAACAACTGCTTTGTGCTCAAAATAGTAGGTGTTCCATCACCCAGTTGAATTTCAGACAATTTGTCTACCAAGCGGCCAAGTAATATTCTACACGCTTGACAAACTATCGATATTTGACTTTTCGAAACTGTGAAATAAAATAAAAAAGAGAAAAGAATAAAATTAGATAAATCGCACAATCGCAGAGAGCCGTAACGAAAATCATAAACTTACATGTACTGGCGCAACCGCTGAGATGATCAGCCGTAAGGGCTGCGACAGACGTGTAGAAGGTGTCATATTGTTCTTCGTGAAAGACAAATTTATTTTCGCTAAAAATCATGAAAAAAATAATAATAATAATAAGAATCGATCTCTTATAGAAACGGTACGAATTGATATCAATTCGTTTCTGAATTGTCATTCCAAATAGGAAAGAATCCTGAACGATTGAATATATCCAGAATATATTCTTTACACAAGGAGCTTGTTTATTTCTAAGAGAATCCTTACCATTTAACGATACTCTTTGCCAATTCAATGACATCGTTTTTATCAAACGATCCATGCGATACTGCTAGTATTGGTTTCATTACTGATGACCACTCATCACTGCCACCGCTCTTGGCCGCCATTTTCGCAACTGTTCGACTTTGTTCGAACTTATCCTCCTCTCTCGACGGCAGCTTTTTACATACACAGTTTCACAAAAAGTTCGCGTAAACGTATCTTTTACGTATCGCGTATCTTCTTCTGTCTCAGCTGCTTGCTCTTCCTTCTCGAAATATCAAACACTTTATAACACGTAAACGTCGTCTACAAAGGTACAACTTACGCCATCTGTCCCGATCTATACATCGCAATAGAAACACGGCGTAAGAAAGCGTGACGCTAGCGTGGAGAGCGAACTTTAAATTCCGCGTCGGTAAAACAGTCAACGCATTTGATTGATGCGCATTGTGTCCACGTGCGGCGTATTAGAAATGTTAACAATAATAAAAAAAAATTTATTATATTAATTAGAAAACGAAAGTAAAATGTAGAATAAAAATACGTGTACTTATATACTTACTTAATTAATATGAGAAAATGTTTATTATTATCGTACAGAGAAATGTATATATTATAAATATATATTTATAGGTGTCGGAAAGAAATTCAAATTAAATAACCTATTTTCGTATTTTGCAGTTGAATGTTTGTTACGACGATTTTTTACACTTTTCCTTGTCATCTTGTAAATGATTACATAATAAATGATACTAGATGTCTAACTTATTACATAAAGTAATGCAAATGTATACATTTAATAGTCACTATGTTTGTACGCTAGCAAATTATGAGGTAACTTTTGTATGTATAACATTTACTTTAGTTATCTAAAATTATTGGAAAGTTAGCTTTGTAAGTAGCATATATACATACATATAATCATGGAACACAAATTCAATAATATCCTTCATGATGATAATTCATACAAGGTATATTATTCTCACTTATTTTGTTTTAATCAAGAAACAATATGTAAGAAGTTGTTATCATTCATGTACCGATTATTGTAAGAAGTTGTTATCATTCATGTACCGATTATATTTGCAGGCTGCTTTGAAAGCATTATGTAATTTACAAAGCAATGCTCATTATTTAAAATCAGCAGTAAAAAACAATCCGAATGATTTTAATAAATTATCTGAAATAAAAAAATATTTACTCCGGTAATGATTCTTTCTTTTTGTTATCTTAGATAATAATCTAATACATTTATAATACTTTCATTAAAATATAATTTTTATAGATGCGATATTACATCTGAAAAGTTGGATACTTTATCTGTTATACACGTAACAGGTACAAAAGGAAAGGGTTCCACTTGTGCATATACCGAAGCTATCTTGCGCGAACAAGGCTTTAGCACAGGATTCTTCAGTTCTCCACATTTGATTACCGTGAGAGAACGTATAAGAATAAATGGACAACCAATAAGTCAAACGCATTTCAGCCAACAATTTTGGAAAGTTTATAAGAAACTAGAAGATATGAAAGAACATGAATTTGATATGCCTATGTATTTTAAATTTTTAACAGTTTTAATGTTTAACATATTTTTAGATGCTAACGTGGATGTTGCTATAATTGAAGTTGGAATTGGGGGGGAACAGGATTGTACAAATATTGTAAGAAATCCTGTCTGTGTGGGTATAACTAGTTTAGGATTAGAGCATACATCTTTGTTAGGTAATACTATCGAGGAGATAGCTTATCAAAAGTCCGGAATTTTTAAGCCAAAAACCTCTGCTTTCACCGTTCCACAGCTACCTCGAGCAATGCGCGTATTAGAAAAGAGAGCTGTAGAAAAGAATTGTACGTTACATCTTGTTCCTCCCTTTGAAGAATATAGATGGGAAAATCTTTCACCTATTCTGAAGATAACAAGTAATATACAACAACAGAATGCATCCTTGGCTATTCAAATGGCTACTACATGGATGACTAAAACAGATAAATATTCAGATATTCTGTATAATGCTGAAAATGGTAATAAATTTTACAACAAGTATAAAGAAAATACTCAGCTAAGTACAGTGATAAAGCCAAACATAACATTCATGGATAAAATTGCAGTAGGTATATCTTCTTGTAAATGGCCAGGTAGAATGCAAATTTTAGAAAGTAGTATTGCTAATTTTTTCTTAGATGGTGCACACACGATTGAAAGTATCGAATGTTGTATTTCTTGGTTTAACGATATAACTAGTAAAAGTAGGGGGAAAAGGTTTCTAATTTTTAATACATCCGGGACTCGGGATTCGGAAAAATTATTAACACCGTTAAAATCTTTACGTTTTTCCAAAGCATATTTTGTACCAAATTTTGCGGGGATTCAAAGTATAGACGATGAAACGAACTGTTCGTCGATGGATGAACAAAGACATAAGTGTGAAATTAATGCCAATATATGGGGAACGGATTCACTAGTTAAAAACAGCGTTAAAGAAGTTTTGCAGGATATAAAAAAGAACTTTGAAAAAGAAGTTAATCGCGATAACGACGAAAAATATCAAATACTTATTACGGGATCGTTACATTTAGTAGGTGCAGCTCTTACTATTTTAGATCGAAATTTAACGATGAGTTCGCAGTTTTAACGGAATGTACATAATAGTAATATTTTTCTTCTTTCTTTCTTTCTTTCTTTCTTTTTTTTTACAAACAGTAGAATTATATATTAAATAACTATAATAACAGTTGTATGAATTCATGATTTAGTAATGAAATATTGTATCATTACTTCGATGACAATCATTAAGTACTCGTTGATATTTTTTCTTAACAATTTTTATCTCTTTTTTTTTTTTTCTTTTTTTTTTGTACTTTCGTATAAATATGTTTTTCATAAAACTACGTAAACGTAATGTTATAATAATTTGTACATGTGACAAGCAAGTGTTATATACGTTCACGTATGACATACAAAATACGTGATGTTAAAATAAGAATTGAGAAAGTGTTTAAAACATTTTTGTATGGTAATCTAATTCGGATTCTGCTTCTGTGTCAGATAAACTTAAAGAAACACCAGCTCTTCCTCGCATACGGCTGTCGTCAGGACTCTGTAATATGTATATAAAATATTATACAATGTTTCAAAAGCATACAAAGATATTTTTTATACTGCGTGTTGCGTGTAATCAGTTTTTAGTTGAATATTAAACATTATTTGAAAAAGATTGTAGATTAATCGTAAGAATAGAGATGAATACCTGGTCTAAAATACCGGCAGTGGGTTCAGAGGCATAACCTACTTCTTGTGCATCTTCCTCTAAATCCGCCTCATATTCTTCTAATTCATCTGTATCAGTATCAATATCCAAATCAACGTATCGATTCCCTCTGGAGACTTTGCAAACCATTTGAGCCAAATCTGTAAACGTATACGAAGAGAGGGACTGCTGATTCGCCGCTTGATGTTTTGCACGTAAAGCCCGTGCATTTTCTCTATCGGCATTAAATCTAGGAAGAACTCCAGCTTTCGATTGTCCTTCGAAATATGTTTTCCCTGTAAATATATAGTAATAAGAAGCTTCACAGATATTGCGCCTCACATTAATTTTCATTTGTACAGATGGACGACACAAGTAATTAATATTTACCGTGTTGATATCCGACATCTTTAATTTCATCAAAATTAGTAAACTGAAGAGTTTTATATTTGTCAATTGGAGGCCTGATATATTCACAATAATCGGAGTTTTTAACTTCTTCTAGTTGTCGTACACAACTCACGTATGCCAATCTGGACTGTATATCAGGTAAATTTGGAACTTTAACAGGGGTGGCGAAGGGATTCCATCGTTTCCATAATAACCACCAACCGGATAAAGAGTCTCCGTAATTTGTTAAGTCTGTATCGTCTTGTGACCCAACATCAATCGCCAAAATGTGATGCGCTCCCTGCCTCAACATTTCGTCAGCTTGAAACAAACAGATTATAAAACTGTACGTTGAAAATTGATCGCGCTACCGATACCATTAATATCTATGATAAAATAAACAATACACGTTTAAGATACCTGGCACGTTATTAACATAACACCCATCGACCAAAAGATGCCCGTCAAGAGGGTCGCAAATAGGAGGAAAAACCCCCGCAATCGTCATACTGGCTCGAATGTATCTCCATAGTAAACCTGAGTTGACTTAGCTATTCAGAATTTGACAAATGCATCTTTTATCAACGGGAGTGAGCTTTTTTTATTTTTTTTCTATATTCAAATTTAAACTATTCTTTTATCGAATCGTTATAAATTAAAGAAAAAGAAAACTGGGTAACAAATACACCGTTATCTATTCGTTGATGTATAACTACTTATAATGTCCAGGTAATTGTATGGAATGAAAAGAAAAAAGAAAAAAGAAAAAAGAAAAGAAAAGAAAAAAAGAGGATAATGATAAATTTAAACATAACATGACATGATATAACAAACTTAGACACGCTTTGTTAACGTATCGTTGAAATTACCTGGAAGGTTATTGACGTACCCGCCGTCGAGCAGGAGATGGCCATCAACTGGGTCACACATGGGGGGCATGTAACCAGACAAAGACATCGAAGCCCGAATATACCGCCACAGCGATCCTAAACACGACGAATTAAGTTCTTTAATTTATGTTCGCGTATTTCATTTCGATACTTCCTACGCTCGTTTAAGCTACAATAAGTATCGGTAGCTTCAAGCTCTTTGTTACCATTATTCAATTAAGCATATACAGGAAGATTGTTATTTATACATTTATGTTTCGAATAAAAAAAATAATGTTCGATAATTTTTTTTTCCTGTTCTTTTTAACAAACGATACAGAACGGAGAGTACGTCAACAACGATTTATTCAGAAAGCTCACTCCCGCTGTTCAAGCTTATTTCTATGCGATGCTCTCTACAGTAGCACATATTTAAAGATAAGAAATTTTGGGTTTAAAAATAAAAACTTTGGATTAGCATAATTGCGAGCGCTACAAATTGCACGAAAACAGCGAGAGAGTTTCCAGTTGTTTAAGGTGCAAGGAATTTAAGTTTCGTGTGTTAAATATATACTTAATCAAAGAGAACTGGAAACTATCAATGCTTTTTAAAATAATGCGTTGAACATTTTGTTTCTATACAGACCGTGCGTGTGCGTACGCATACAGGAATCAGTGATATCGGTGGTTATTATAAAGTACGGTAACCACAGATCTTCTATATACGTATCTCCGAATGTTGTTTGAATCGTTTTATTAAAATCCTTTCCTGAAAACATGGATGTTACTGGATATGTCAGATCCATTATTTGTCTCCACCACTGTGTCATTTTCTGTAACAAACAATGTACGAATCACACATTTAAATGTATATGTTTATGTTTATGTTTATAATTTAAAATTTTAAATGTTAATACCTTGGACCATTCACGTGCTTTTTGAGTGGTTGTTGTAATATTCTTTTCCATGCACCACAGTGCACCCATAAATGCTCCAATACTAACTCCACCAACCATATCAATAGGTATACCAGCTTCGAGAACTGCTTTGAGCATTCCTACGTGCGCCGCACCTCTAGCACCACCACCACCGAGCACAAGCCCTACCGAAGTTCCGGTTAACCAACGAGCAAGTCTACTAAAATCGCTATGCACGTTTGGTTCAGACATAAGAACTTTCGAATACAGTTCGTTCTAAAAGAAAAATAATAATAATAAGAAGAAGAAGAAGAAGAAGATGAAAATGGAAATTAAATTATTATAAACCGTTTTATGCGTTATATCTTACAATTCTATACTGAGATCTTCTTGTAAACATTCGTTTGGGACACTGAATATGATGATGACTAGAAACCCAAGATCTCATATTTAACCATTGTACTGTATTTGAAGGCCGTTGCCCACCTTCTCTGTGCAAAAGTACCAATTCTTTCTGCGTTCTCATCACTAAACGTTCAACTTCTCGTTCAGTTCTACCTATAGACGGAGGTCGATCCCCTAGTCCTACGATAAGAATGCAATCAGCTTGTCGGACACACCGTTGAGTCCACAGTGTATATGTCGAATCACATTGGTATAATGAAATTCGGTGCTGATCTTCTTGCTGTGCAAGCCACGAAGTTAATCGATATTCATTTACAGGTTCCATGATAGTACTACCTAATGTCTATCGATAAGAAGAAGGAAAAAGAATAACTCATCATCTCTACCTGTGTAGGAATCGAAGAAATTTCTGATCGATCTTAATTATACTTACTTTGCGAACGACTTCTGAGGTGAGACGTAAACACGGCCCAATAGCGCATAATGAATGATAAAGTTCATATGTAAATGCAGTTAATGGTACATCATCGGATACTGGAACTATTGCGACAGTTGAAAAATTCACTTGGGCTGGTCTTGCATCGACTGTCGCAGCAGCTCGTCTATCGATCAATGTAGATATATTTAGGTGATTTGACAAAAAAAAGAAATATGTACGATCATAAGAAAACATTTTAGGTACGTACTGTGTATCGTTACTACCGTTCTTTGCGTGTGCTTGTTGCCAAGTGCCAAGAATACGATGTCCAAGTAAATTTATCAGTCGTGTAACTACTATCGGGAAACGTAGTTTAATAACATTAAATAATCCTTCAGGGAGTTTTGCTAGCTCAGAGTCTCGTACTGCCATTACTGTTGTTGATCGTGGAGTCTGAGTGACCATTTCTACGATACCAACTAGATCTCCTTTACCATACTCCGCAACCAGTTCTTTTTTCCCGTTTGTATACGTAATTACTGATCGTAATCGACCACTTAGAACGATGAAAGTCGAATCAGATTCATCTCCTTGTCTATATACTGCCCTACCACTTTCTAGGAACAGCCAATCGAGAGCAAAATCGACCTTTGAAAGATTAATAAAAATTAAAATTAAAATTAAAATTAAAATTAAAATTAAAAAGTTTATTTTTACCTGCCGTACGAAGGGACTAAGTCTTCGAACAACCGAGTGAGCTACATGTAATACAACAGTAGGTTGTTCTCGCATAATAGCGAAAAATGTTGGTTTACTAAGAAGAGCTATGCGACTAGGATGTTTCGCTCTAATGGTATAAAAAGAAGGTTCTCCAGTCAATACAGCTAGTCCTCCGACTATTTCACCTTGATGAGCACTAAACATGTGGACTTCTTGACCTATGTCTCTTCCCTCTGAAACGCGTTGACTAACTAATAATGCACCAGATACAACATAGACAAGTGCAACATCCTAGAGAAATATCATCATTAATATGTACATACGTATGTATTATAAACTTTCACAAGTATGGAATTACAACCTTATGAGATTCTTCCTTCATTAAGTAAGTTCCAGCTGGTACTTCTCTGATTTGAACCTTGCCATCTTTCAGTATAGAGTCATCTTCTAAGCCAAGTTCTCTAACAAATGCTTCTGTAGCTATCTGCACAAGATGTGCATCATCGAGTTGCTGCTGAATTGGTTCGATCGTGGTAGACCGTTTTTTGTTCTGATGAGAATTTCCAGTGTGTACAACGTCCGGTTGTGATCCATGTTGCGATTGTTGCGGTGTCATGGTCGAAGAATTCGGCCAGTGAGAATCGCATTCTGGCACCATGTCTGCTGTGTTCTGACCTGATTGTGAACTTAAATTTTCATTTTTCCAATCAAGATTAGTTTTTGACCTTTTATGAAAGAAATGTTAATACAAATGTAATACATTCTTCTTTCGATTATTTCGATTATTTCGATTATTTCGATTATTTCGATTATTTCGTTCAACTTACCGTCGACTTATAACAATAGGTACAGATTGATGACTATTTAACGAACAAGTTTCACGATGAGGTATTTCACTCGAAGCATGTTGTTCCGATGAAGTGGTTGCAGGCGCGCTGAACTGATTTTCTGCACTTTGGCTAGTAAAACTTTCTTTTGTTCTCGATCTAACCGGAGATCCAGAAAATGGGCTCTGTTTCTTTTTATGCGTTCCTTGATTAACTAATTCCGCAGATAGTCCAAGATACTGATGTAAAGCAGTAAAAGTGACTCTCTGAAGGCGAACCATAATGACCTGGATAACTCGAACAAATGCATCAGGATGATCTTGAAAAACCTAGAACGGAGAACTCGGAACATATAAAAGATAAATTATTAATTGTAATATGTATACAAATGGTTTGTACCTCTTGAAATGCACTCATTGGTAACTTAACTACGATAGAATCCTCGACAGCTCTAGCGGATACTGTTTTATAGGTACTTGTATGCCCAGTAAGTACATCGGTAAAACTAAGAAGACTAGTGACCGATTCTCCTGTTTTTACCAGCTTTAACGATATCTGAGAACCATCAGGTCCTGTGATATAAACATTAACCAAGCCTTGCTGTACAATAAATAAATTTTCATCAGGATCTCCAATTTTAAATAAAGTACTTCCAGCTGGTAAATTCATAATTTCCGTATGTTTGCATAATTTTAAGAAAACAGGTTTTTCAAAATGACCAAATACTCTAATACTTTGTAACATATACAAAGCATCGGGTGGTACTCTATCTCCAGGGCCTAAGTCTTCTTCTAAATATTCAGCAGGTGGTTCCAGTACCTATTTAAATAAACAAAGGTAACAGAAAATATAAATAGAATAGATTAAAAATGAAGAGAAAGGGAACAAAATGGAAATACTTTTAGTTGTAGGGGCACCGTATCTTTCTTCAGCTGTAAAAGTCTTCGTGCAAATCGCATAACAGCCTTTCTTTTTTTCCCTTGTCCAGTTGCGTGTACTTGTCCACTGATCGATTTTGCTTTGCGTAACATCTTTCTTCCATAGAAAAGTAATTTGTCTCTTTTTCTGAATCTGGGTTTGCCTGTACCTACTCCAACAAATTCTTTTACTTCTGGTAGAAATTCTTTGTTTTTCCATTTTCGAAGAATGATTATCGATATAATTAATACAATTAACAGAATAGATATTATGATTATAAATAAGGTCTTTGATGTTTGATATTCTGTGATTAATTTGCCAATCCATCTTGATAAAATAAAAGATCCTAGGTTCTCGTTGTATTTATTAAATAATTCCACCACCTAAAAGATTAATAATAATTAAGTAAATTGGTAACGATCAACTTGTTGGTGAAAAAAAACAAAACGTTTTGTATACGCTTAGCGTTTATAACTCAATAACAGACAAAAGATAAAAGAAACATTATAAAGGTAATATGTACATATGTATATACGACCTCCATAGTGGGTACTCATTTCTTCCATTAAACTGTAGTAGAATTTTGGAGGAAAAACACGTCACGAACTCATAAGTAAAGAAACAGATGCAAATGTAAAATAGACGAATGAAACAATGTTTATTGCTTCTATGCAAGAGATCACTTGTCTAAATAATCTGAATTAATGACCTTCGATACTTTGCTCGAGTCATCCAGCGCCATTTTAGTCTTTTTTACGTTTAGACGATGCTCGAGCGCCCTCGAGAGGCAATAATTTTGAAACTACAATCTGCAATCTATTTCATCTATGGATATTGCTTTCGAAAAACATGGCGTTGTGCTCGTTCTATTTAATACACGTGTTTGAGATCAGAATTGTGACAAGTATATTTAATCTTTAGCGAAATGTTAGTTTGATCGTTGATATCAGAATAATTTTATTGAACGCAAAATGACATCAAAAAGTATAGTTTTTTATTTTTTCATTGTACAAATATATATATATATATATATATATATATATGTATGTATAGTTTAAAATTGATTTACTAAAGATGCAATTACTTACAGAAAGCAGATACCATGATCAAGCACCTATTAGTAAAGAAAAATTAGAGAAATATGGTAAAGGTAAAGGAGTTGACGTACAACGAAGAACATTTACAATAAAGAACAAGATCTTAAGACAAAAATTAAGAAGAAAAGAAAGGATTATTGACGATACGATAAAGGACACTGCTCGTACTGAATTACTTTTAACAGAAGAGTATGGTTGTTTAGAGGCTGATTCGGGAGAAACAACATTACAGTATAAACAAAGAGAAATTGCAAACAACGTAGATATAACCAGTGCATCCAAACACTTTACACTGGACTTGGAATTTGGGCCATATTATATTAAATATACAAGAAACGGCAGACATTTAGTTTTAGCTGGAAGAAAAGGACACGTAGCTGCTTTTGATTGGGTCACAAAAAAATTGGCATGCGAAATAAATGTTATGGAATCTGTGCACGATGTGTCGTGGTTACACGTAGAAACAATGTTTGCGGTAGCACAAAAGGATTGGGTGTATATATACGACAATGTCGGAATCGAACTTCATTGTCTGAAAGCGATGCATAGAGTTAATAAATTGGAATTTTTACCTTATCATTTTTTACTCGCTAGCGCATCTAAAGAAGGTTTCCTCGTATGGTTAGACGTTTCTATAGGTAAATTTATATCCAGCTTCAATTCTAAAGTGGGAAACGTAGCAGTGAGTATAAATATATGTAATGATATTTATGTATGTAGAACGTTTAATAAAAAGGTAATGACATCGTTTTATAGGTAATGACACAAAATCCGAGTAACGCGGTACTTTGCGTGGGTGACACGAAAGGAATAGTTTCTATGTGGTCCCCGAATAGTTCGAAACCGTTAGCAAAAATGTTATGTCACACTCAAGCGGTAAATAGTTGTACCGTTCATCCATATGGAACTTATATGGCGACCAGTTGTGCAGCTGGATACGTGAAGGTGTGGGATATCAGACAGTTGGCTGGTCCAGTAAATAATTATCGTGCACGTACCGCCGTTAATCATTTATCTTACAGCCAACGAGGTCACTTGGCAATGGCAATGGGAAATGTAGTAGAAGTTTATCGGTAAATTTTCAATGATAATCTAAATCTAAATTTATGTAATATTAAAAATTGTACATGTACATATAAAATGATAAATTTCTTCTTTTCTAGACCTTTTGCAGAAGAAACAAAACCGTATTTGCGTCATAGAGATAAGCGAGGTGTAACTAGTATGCAGTTCTGTCCATACGAAGATATCTTGGGTATCGGTACAACCGGAGGAATTTCTTCCCTCTTGATACCCGGAAGCGGAGAAGCAAACTTTGATGCTCTTGAGAACAATCCTTTCCAGACTAAGAGTCAGAGACGCGAAACCGAAGTGAAGGCATTACTGGATAAAATTCAACCAGAGTTAATTTCTTTAGATCCGATTACAATAACAGAAGTAGATGTGCCTAGTTTGAAAGATAAGATAGAGGCAAAGAAGAAACTTTTGGTAAATTAGTAAATTAGTAAATTAGTAAATTAGTAAATTAAAATTTAAGTTACTGCAATTTTATATGTAGTTGAATTGTTTCAATCTTTTTGTAGCATCTTAAACCGAAAAATATAGACTTTAAGCCTCGCAGAACAAAAGCTAAGGGAAAAGGAGGAACGGCTAAAGTAATAAAAACTAAGAAAATTTTGAAGGATTTAAGCAAACGGGTAAGTAACGAGTATTTATTAGACGGTAAGCAATAATAAAATACTAAAAAAAGAATCGTTTCAGGAAAGCATTGATATACTTGGTCGTGCAGATGTTCTTCGATCAGAAACGAATAAGATAGAAGAACCTAAAAAGGATTATGGAGTACTGAATAGGTTTTTATCAAAATCTAGTAAGAACCAGAACTGGTAATGTAAGTCAGTATACGTATTTCTTTATGTTCTCGTACAGAAAGTTTATTATTATTATATTTCTCACTATTTTCATTTTCAGAAACAGTTTATAATATGTTAATAGAAAAGAAATTAATTGATTAATTGTATGTATCGCGTTAAAGTAACAAGGAATTTAATAAAGGTAAGCATTTTATATTTGTCTTGCTATAATTTAATAATTGTTACGTTCGGGGGGGGGAATAAATTATTTGATTAATTCTGGAAAAGGGTGCGAGTAAATTCAATGTAATCCAATGCCCCTGTAATTGGTCGTTCTGTTTTTGGATCAACGTAAGGTTTCATGCGAGCTACGCAGTAATCGGCCATTTCCTTGGTAAGGTTCTAAAAAATGTATATAATGCATCGTTAATATATACGTAAGATATATATGTATAGAAAATTGTAGATTTTCTACTTACAGCGTATAATTCCTCTTTCGTAACGTATGGTCGATCTGCAGCGGTAATCGCACGGAATGCATTTTCTATTTCTTCAGAACTCTGTACGTTTTCTGTTTCCTTACTAATCATGAAAGCCATGTATTCTTGCAACGATACGTAACCGTCTCTATTAGGATCGACGATATCAAGAATATTTTCAAATTCCGGATCAGGCTGACCTTCTTCCACCATTGGTAAATCGTAACCCAACGCTCTCAAGCATGACTTGAATTCTTGATGATTAAGACGACCACTCTTGTCTTTGTCGAAATGTTTAAACATCATAGAAAATTCTTTCAGAGCATCTTCGGAAACACCCGACTGATTACGCGCTTGTATCTGCTGCTCCAAGTTGTGTTGCATACGCATTCCCAATTGATCTAATTGATCCCATTGTTGCGCCAATCCTACGGTACTGTGTTCCGTGTAACGATTGTCCAAAATTAAATGTTCCTCCAAAATTGCTCCTAGATCTTCAATCTTTTTTAGATCTTGTCGACGCGCACGAACTTCTTGAGTCTTTCTCTGTATGAATAATGTATAAAATTTGATTAATTTACAGGAATTTTACAATGTTACAATGAAACTAGACGAACCTAGTGCGTACCTTTGTTGCTTCCAATTGTTGTTCCAGTGATCCTGAGCCTTCCATCATGGATGTTCTGTAAAATAAGATTATTAGTTTAAAACCACCACCATATGGATAGGATTCATGATTTGGAGGATTTTTGTTGTGAAATAAAAAATAAATACCTTGTCTCTGCTAGCCATTGATGGAACGCGTTAGCGTGTTTAGCAAATTCTTTACGTAATTTGTCGTTTTCTTCTTGCCGTTGAGCTTCTTTCGCAAGCTCGACGTCGCGTTCTTTGATGATCTTTTGCAAGTTGCGCCATGTGTCTTCCAACGCTTCCATGGTGAACCAGGTGTACGGATTGGGACCAACGTTGAAATTTTTAATTTGTCTGTCAAGACCTGCGAGAGCCTCGAAATCCGCTTCGGCGGAAGATAAGCTTGCCTGGAACTGTGCGTGCGCTTCTCGAAGAGCGCGAATCTCCTCGATGCTATTGCAGCGGACAGGATCGGTTAGATCTTCTTCAGCATTTTCGAACCAGGAATTGAAAGCGGACGCTTTTTTCGCGAACGTCAGATACAACTCTTCGATTTGTCTGAACTGATCCTGCATTCTTAGCAAACGTTGCTTGCGTGCATCAGAATCAGCCAAAAGTTTCTGCCAGCGTGCAATCACGTCTGCGTGACGTTTCTGAATACTAGGTGTCTGATCGTGTCCAGAATCCACCAACATCTCCTTCAAGGAAGTGATGTTTTGTATTCCTTCGTGTTCAAAGGCATGGAGTCCCGCGTCGAAGGTCTCCTGCTTGGTTAATAAGGTTTGAACGGTGGACAGGTCTCGGCCAAATTCTTCGGAACGAACATGGGTCTCTTTGTCCGCTATCCATGACTCGACAACGTCAGCCTTCCACATAAACTGTAGGTAAGCCGAATTATCATTAAGTCGGGCTTTTCTTCTGGCTGCAAGAGCACCAAGCTGTTCCAGTTTATTCCGAAGCTGGCCGCATCTTTGACCTATCGCATCTGCACGGTGATTTCCGGCTTGGATCAACGCTTCACCAGCTTTACAAATATCCTTGCACCGTTCACCGTGAGCGGCAAAATCGGTTTCAAAGGCATCGTGTTTCTTGAGCAAACCCTGAACAGCAGCCATCGTGTCGCCGTAATCCTCGACCGAAAGCAACTGTTGTTTCTCAGTGATCCAAGCTTCTTCCTCTTCGACTTTGGCGAGAAACTGTTGATACGTCAGCGATTCGTCTAATTTTTGTCCTCTGTTAGCAGCCAACTGTTTTAATTCGGCCCATGCCTGGTTCAACAGCTTGAGACGTTGCTCGATCTCTGGTACACCCAAGTTCGAAACGTCCATCAATTTCTCTCCCGCTTCTTGAACAGCTTGTATAGCAGGTTCGTGACTTCCTAATTCCGCCTCTAACCTTTTGTGTTTCTTTTTAAGGTTCTGCACGCCGGTAAGATCACGACCATAATCGTCGGAGCCAACGAGAAGCTTCTTCTCTTTGATCCAAGACTCTTCGTCGGCGATGTCTCTGAAGAATTGATGCAACGTATTCGCTTCGTTCAGCCTGGCTTGTCTGTGAGCCGCAAGGTTACGAATCCTTTCGTAACGTTCGTTTATACTTTGTCGTTTCTCCTGAATACCCGCCGCATCGAATTGTCCGCTCTCGATCAGAGAATCAGCCTGACCGTTCATGTCTTTGATTCTTTCTTCGTGCGCTTGAATATCAGCCTCGACCAATTGGTGTTTCTTCATCAAATTCTGCACAGAGGCTAGATCTTTGCCCGCGTCCTCGGACGTGAGCAAACTTTCAACTTCTCCCAGCCAAAAATCAAGATCCTTAACCGCAGCGATGTAGGTGCGTTGTTTGTTAGCCTCTTTCAGTTTCATCGATTTTTCGGTCGTCTTTTGAGTCAGATATTCCCATTGATCGGCAATGGAGGCTAATCTTTTCTGTACCGCGTCCTCCGAACCGGCACACTGATGTTTATCGATCAAGTTACCACCCATAGCGAGGACCGATTGAATTCTGTCCGCGTTCGCAGCCAGCTCGGCCTCGAACGCTTGGTGTTTCTGATGTTTCGACTGAATGTTTGCCGGATCTTTGTAGTTCTCCTCGGTAGCCAATTGCAGCTTCTCGGCGATCCAATTTTCCATTTCATCAGCGTCCCGCGAGAATTGCTGGAGAGTTTGAGATTCTCCAAGCTTGGATCGTTTCTCGATAAGAGCATCCTTAAGATGTTTCCAGCGATCGAGAACTTGACAACGCCTTTCATCGATCGGTTTCGCGGCATAATGTTCCGCGGCGATCAATTGATCCGCCAGGGTCTGTAAAGTACCAATCTTCTCCTCGTGCGCGTTGATGGCTTTATCAAAATCTTCGTGTTTCTTGATCAAAGCCTCCACGTTGTCGCTACTGTCGACGGTGTCCGCGCTGCTCAAGAACGCTTCTCTCGCGCTCATCCAGTTTTCAGCTTGTTCGCAGTCCCTACAAAACAATTGTAACTCGAGATTCTGATCGAGCTGCATGCGTCGTTGTATCCAAGCTTTCTCCAATTCTTGACGCGCCTCGGCCATCGATTCTAGTTTCTCTTGAATCTCGACGCTGGCATAATGACTGGATTGCAATAATTGCTGGCCAAACAGCTCGAACGCTTGGAACGTGCCTGCTCTGGCATCGATTTCCGTTCGATGTTCCTACAAAAACATAACGATAAATCGAATGAAATTGGACGAAACATTTTATATCGACACTGTATTAAGCGAATACTAAAGCAGGCGTTAATATACATATATTTATTATTGCAAAACATTTACTCGCACGAAAACAACAAGGAAAGAGTGATTAATCGATTATTAATACGAGTATAACAAGTATTATATTTTCTTTCTTTCATGCTCCAAACACTATGATGATACCTCTGGAAGAACGCCGTATCGCGCGTCTATCTCGGCTCTGTGATTCTATAATTGAAATTACACTACTCGTGAACCAGGGACGACATACATACATACATACATACATACATAGAATATACGCATTATGAAGTATGTAGCATCCAACTCACCTGATGACGTTCCAAAAGAGCTTCCGCTCCGGTTACATCGGAAGCCAATTCTTCGGAAGCGACCAGACCCATCATCGAATTTATCCAAGCCATTAGATCTCGATAATCGCTGAGGAATCGTTGCAAATCGTAAGAATCCAACAATTTCTCTTTTCTACTGTTAGCCTTTGCCGTTAATTGGGTCCATTCCTCGTTGATCTCTTTCTGTTTCGCGTACGTTTGTTCGGCTGTTTCAGGATGCGATTGCATCAAACGATTTGCCGTTTCGTCCAGTTGCTTTATTTTGTCTCCCAACGCGGCCAAGTCTCTCTCGAGACCCTCGTGTTTACGTTGCAGGGCCTGCACGCTACGCAGATCCTTTCCAAGATCGTCGTTGTTCAACGCGGCATCCTTTTCACGGATCCAATCCTTCGTCTCGTCAACGTCGCGATGGAAACGCTGCACCTCGTGAGCCGAACCCAACTGATTGGCGCGTTCAGCGGTCAGAGTCTGCAAGCTGGTCCACTTCTCGTTCAAGTCCTGTATCTGGGTCTGAATCTTGAGCGCTGCTTCAGTTTGGCCAAGACTCATCAATTGTACGGCAATCTCGTTCATTTCTGCCAATCGCACTTCGTTCGCCTTCAGATCGGCTTGAAAATCGTCGAATTTTTTCTGCATCACCTCCACCTGCTCCAGGTCCTCGCCAACGTCCTGAACTTGCGCGTGATTCTCCTTGTCCTTGATCCAAGTGGCCAATTCCGCGGCTTCTCTCACCAATACGTATGCCTTGGCGGTTTCGTTAAGCTTGTTCTGTCGTTCGCGTGCCAATCGGAGAAGATCGTCGTACTGTGCCTCGATCTGGGACTGTCTGGCAGCGATCGAACTCTGTTCTCGGGCCAGATTCTGCTGCGACGCGGTCAAACCTGCCTCGGGTTCGACCCGTTTCACGTAAGCGGCCGGAACGAATCCTTGACGATCGTTCACCTCGACCTTCCACCAATCCTTGTTGTTTGAGTTCAACAGAGTCAAGGTATCACCTTTCTTCATCGACACCTCACGCGGCGATTTTTCCGTGTAATCGTAGAGAGCGACGACACATTCCTTACCGGTAATGTCGATCGTCGGTGTTTCCTGTTGACGACAGGACGCTGCCTGTTCCCTCAGGGCTGCTATAGTGCTAGCGAACGCTTCCAAATCGCTGACCAGTGCCTCGTGTTTCTTCAAAAGAGCCTCCGAACTATCCTCGTCCTTTCCGTAATCACCGTTCATCACGATTGGTCGTTTCTCCTTCATCCAGGACTCAGCCTCGTTCGCGTCGGCAAAATACTGATGAGCTTGAAGAGAGTCGTCCAGATCGTTCTTCCTCTGCCTTGCTTTCTCTTTCAATTGACCCCAATGTTCGTCCAACGCGGCCAATCGTTGGCTAATCTCTTCCGCGGCAAAGTGGCTCTCTTGCAGCATCGATGCACCTGCTTGACAGACAGCAGCTACGCGTGGCTCGTGATTGTTTATTTCCGCCAGTACGGCCTGATGTTTCTTCTGTAGATTCTGCACGCCGATCAGATCACGACCACGGTTGGTAGACGCGGCGACCGGTTCCTTCTCCCGTATCCAGGCCTCCTCGTCCTCGATGTCACGAAACAATTGCTGCACCTGCAGAGAGTCGAGTAATCGCTGCTTCCGGATACTCATCGGCCGTTGCAAAGCACCGTAACGTCCTTGCAACTGTTCCTGTTTCGCTCTGATGTTGTCCGCGTCAAAGTGACCGGAATTTACAAACTGTTCCGCGGCTTGAGCGATGCTCTCGATCCTATCCGAATGAGAGGCGACGTCCGCTTCGAGGAGGGCATGCTTCTTCTGAAGATTTTGCACGCTGGTCAAGTCTTTCCCGTAGTCTTCCGACATCAGTTGCCCTTCCACTTCGGACAGCCACAATTCGATGTCCTCCACTGTACGATTAAACTGTTGTTGCTGAGACGCTTCTTGCAGTTTCGCGCCCTTCTTCTCGGTAGCGTGGGTAAGACTTTCCCATAGGGACATAATCTCGTCGGTACGCGTCCGAATTCGATCGGTCGCATAATGACCGCTCTTTATCAATTCCTGTCCGGTTGCTACCATCTCTTCCATACGGGTCTTGTTCGCGTTTAATTCTTGCTCAAAGTTTTGATGCTTCTGCACCTTGCCGTTCAAATTCGTAGGATCCAGGTAGCTGTCGTCGGTGGCAAATTTTAATTTCTCGTTAACCCATCCCTTCGTCTCGTCGCAGTCGCGTTCGAATTGTTGCAACTTGTACGCGTCCTCGAGCAGACGCCTTCTTTCGGCCGATTTCTCTAATAGAACACCGCGTCTCTCCAACAAAAGCTGACGTCTCTGTGCAACGTCCTCGGCCGCGTAATGCTCTCCCTCTATTAATTTACCGGCGAAATCGTCCAACACCTTGATCTTCTCTTCTTGGGCTGCCAGAGACTTGTCAAAGTCTTCGTGTTTCTTGATCAGTGCCTCGACGCTATCCAAAGAGTCTCCTAGATCCTCGTTGGCCAAGAACGCTTCTTGTTTTGCCATCCATGCGTCCGCTTGTTCCGTGTCTCTGTAGAACAACTGCAAGTCCATACATTGTTCGTACAAAATCTTTCTATTCTCCCAGAGACTCAAAAGGCTCTGTTTATCATCCGCGAGAGAATTTAACTTGATAGCTACTTCTTCGGCGGCGTAATGTTTCTTCTCTAGAAGCTTGTTACCAGCCAACGTGGTCGCGTCGAAACTGTCAGCCCTCGCGTCGATTTCTCCCTTGTGTTCTTGATGTCTCTCTACCAGAGCTTCCGCGCCAGCTACGTCTTTCGCTAACTCGTCCGCCGATATAATTGCACGCATGTTGTTCATCCAAGAAACGAGATCTCTATAGTCGGCTAAAAATCTGTGCAAATAGTAAGACTCGTCGAGCTTCAACCGTCGCTCTTTCGCTTTTCCAGTTAGACTTTCCCACGATTGCAAGATCTCCGCTCGTTTACCTTGAATCTGCTTCGAATGATCCGCTTGATGAATAGCCGCCAGCCGATCCGCTTCGGCTCCCAGTGTATAAACTTTATCCTCTAAAGCTGCCAAATCGCGTTCTATGCCTTCGTGTTTTCTTTGCAGAGTTTGTACGCTCGCTAGATCTCGTCCAAAGTCATCCGAAGACAGTACAACGTCTTTCTCCGCGATCCAAGCCATCGTTTCGTCCGCATCACGATTGAATCGTTGAATCTCGTGGGCGCCGAAAAGCTTCTCTTGTCTCAATACGGCAAGTTGTTTCAATCTTTGCCAGGATTCGTTCAACTCCTCTTTTCTCCGTAGAATTGTGTCTCGTTCGGGATGTCCATCCAACAAAAGTTTATCCGCCAGCTCGTTTACCTCTGTCACTCTATATTCCTGGCTAGCCATATCCTTTTGGAATTCGTCGAATTTCCTTTGCAACACTTCCACGTGTTCCAAGTCGTGTCCAAACTCGTCGGTCGTTACAAATGCTTCTTTATCGTGGATCCAGAACATTACTTCGTCACAGTGGCGAATAAACTGTACAAGAACCAAGGCTTGTTGTAACTTCAGACCCTTGTCCGCCAATCTAGAGAGCAACAACTCCCATAAACGATGAAGATCCTCTGCAATGTAAATTTACTTATAAATTAAATCGACTCTAGATTTCTTTCTAATCCACACAAATCTATTTACCTAATCTTTTACGAATCACGTCGCTCGCAAAGTGATGTTGAGCTATCATTTCTGAACCGGTATTGTCCAACGAAACTATCGCATTCGAATGGGCTGCAACTTCAGCTTCGAACGCTTGATGTTTCTGTATCTTTGCTTGAAGATTAGTTGGATCTTTGTAACTTTCGTCCGAAGCAGCTTGCAGCTTTTCGTAAATCCATCCTTCGAGTTCGTCCGCATCTCGCTTAAAATACTACGGATTTCAAAGAAAACGGATGTCAAAAAGTACAATAGCACAGTGACAGAAAAACAAAAACAATCGATTTTCGGTATTTACCTGAAAGCGACGGGAGTCCTCGAGCTTGTCTCTCTTGTTACGCGCTTCCGCTTTGAAATTTGCATATCTACCAAGGACTTGTTCGCGTCTTTCTTGAATGTCCTCAGGATTCTCCAAGATTTTTACTTCCTTCGGCGTAATCTGATCCATTTTCTACGCCACTTATCTCACGCGCTGTACGTGGAACAACCTCTCTTCTCGTCCAAAATGGCCACAGGGTGTGGCTACATACACAGTCCACTGTCGCAGTAAAAATCAATAATTAAACCTTGACGATGCGTTTCTTTCTTCACGTTTCTCGATATTAATCACCGATTTTTCCAATCGTTTTTCTCTCTTTTTCTTTTTCTTTTTTCAAATTATTTTAATGCGAAACAATGCAAAAACGTCACGTACCTCGCACAATTTCTTCACCTTTGATCGCTCACTAGAACGGACAACGCTCTTCTTATATCGTCTAACGGCGAATGCAATTCGTTCCTGCCCACTACTTGGAGCGCTAGTGTCGTTGCTATATAACACCCCACAGCATACGAATCCGTATGTAATACTTTATACTTTATATGTATATATATATATATTTCGTAGAACAGTCTTGAACCCGTCTTACTAACCTAGTTATCGACTTATCGATCGGCTTTTCGACAGTCGGTAAGTTGTCGTCTAGCTTCTGCCACTTGTCGATAGGTGGCGCCAGTGGTCCCTAGCTGCAGAAAACCGATCGGTAAGTTGTCGAGTAGTTTGCGCCACTTTTGTATAGATGGCGCCACGGCCGATAAAAACCCAGCGCTTTGAATTCAAATTTGCTGAAATAAAATTATGTATATACCAAATTCAAGACACTAGAAATTTATAACAATACGTAATTTTACATTTATATGTATATACACACCCAGAAATGTTCACGTTAATTGTTAAAATTTTAAATTAACAATATTGAATAAACTCAAGTGCAGTGAAGTACACACATATAAATGATAACGTAACTGTTTATGAATAGATCTGTATTCTATGCATAAGTATGTATGTATGTATGTACATAGTACATACGCACATTAAGTAATCAAATACCGCATGCGGTTGCGCGCGCGTACGAGCTTAATGATTTACACCAGATTGTTTGTCTGCATTGACATTCTTGCCGTCGGAAAAAGTTCTATCTCAGATAAAACTGCTTTTTCGGTATTGTCTTTAAAAGCGATTCGTTATTCAGTTTTTAAAGATCTAATATATAAATTTTCAACGATGGCAGACATGTCCATAAATATTGTTACCCCGCGAAAAATGTCCTTTGGTATTAATGGAAAATTAAATGGGTTGGAAAGTAAAACACCATTTTTAATCGGAGTTTCAGGTGGTACTGCCAGTGGAAAAGTAAGTATGATATCTTTCCCTTTTTAGTAAGTCTTAATTTTACTTATCATTCTGTAAATAATATATTTTCGAAAGAACTTAACCTTTGTTCAGAAACGTGGTGCCTGAAGTTATAAATCTTTTTAATCAACTACTTTACTATGTAGCTAGTATTTATTAATGGTTTTTTTTTTCTTTTTTTATCATTTCAGTCAACTGTATGTAAACGTATAATGGAAAAACTAGGGCAAGTAGATATGGATCACATGCAGCGACAAGTAGTTTGTATTTCACAAGATAGTTTTTATCGAGATTTATCACCTACCGAAAAACTTAAAGCTGAGAAAGGTCAATATAATTTCGATCATCCAGATGCATTTGATAATGATTTGATACTTCAAACTTTACAAGATATACTGGCTGGGGTGAAATGTGAAATACCAGCTTATGATTACAGAACAAACAGTCTGTATGTATTAATAGAATCTAACTACGTTTAAAGTTATGCCAAATACTTTGATATAATATTGTTAATGATTTTTCGGGGAATTTAGAATGAAGGATCAGATTACAACAATCTATCCTGCGGATGTAGTGTTATTTGAAGGAATTTTAATATTCTATTTTCCTAAAATACGAGAATTATTTCACATGAAACTGTTTGTTGATACCGATTCAGATACCAGATTGGCTAGGAGAGGTAATAATATAACATAAACGCTACTTTTAATTATTAATACCATTTGTTATTAATATATTATTATTAAATGATTATTTTTTATTATTTTTCCAGTGCCAAGAGATATAAAAGAGAGAGGAAGAGATTTAGATTATGTATTAAATCAATATATGAATTTTGTCAAGCCTGCGTTCGAAGAGTTCTGTCTTCCTACCAAAAAATTTGCTGATGTCATTATACCAAGAGGTGCAGACAATACAGGTAAATTATATAATATTGTTATTACATTGTGTTATAAAGTTACATGTAATATTCTAACATAAAAATTGGATTACTTAATTTTAGAAATTTTTCTTGCCTTTATTTAATACTAAATGTATGTATATTGAATGTTATTAAGTTCATCATAAAAATAAATTTACCTTATATTATAATCTTGATTCATTTTTAACAAGTCTGCAGCTAATCAAGCACATATATGTATAATTCAATGGTAACTTGTTTTTTCTTTTAATTTGAAAACTTATCATTTATTTGTATTATTGATAGATCATACCATTTGAGAATATTTAGGTGCAGACTTGAGATAGTAAGACAGCTTAAATTTTTATTGTTTGTATTTGTATACATATATATATAGCATTCATGGGTGCTGCCTGGTATATAAGGGCTAACAAAACAAGCTGTCTTAAGTTAGTGCAGAAATAAAGGTCATATAAAAACGTACATGGTTTGGTTGTTGTATGTTTCCAGTGGCAATAGACCTTATAGTGCACCACATCTGGGACATTTTGCGTTTGAAAAAGGCTGAAAACTCATCCGGGCAGCATCCATACTTCTACCAACATAAGCGTTCCTCGACTTCATCCGATACACTCACCAGATGATTTAAGCATAATATGCTCACTTATAAAAACTATGTCTCTATATATCATACATTTGTGTAGAATCGAATTTTCAATAATCTTTTAATTTTTTTCTTTTCCTCTCTTTCTCTCTCTTTTTTTCTTTCTTTCTTTCTTTCTTTCATTTTTTTTTTTTTTTTTTTTTTTTTTTAACAACTTAATCCAATCCCCCTTCTATACTCTCATACAAATGTATTACATTTACACTGAGCAACCAAAAATATTGCTTCTAGTGTGTATGCATTCATTCAACTCTGTGGATGAAATTAATTTTACGCTGTTCCTAAAGCATGAACAAAATACATAATTATATGAAGTACCTTGTTCAACCATTGTAATTCTAGTGTTGCATAATTATTCAAATTTATACATAAGGTTAAAAGGATTTTAGTATTATTTACACATATAAGAATCTTTATAAATATGTATGTGCAGTTTTACATTTTCAAAAGTTTGAACTTTTTATATAATATTATCCTTCAATCACCGCAGTGATATAAACCAAAATGTTTTATACAAAACAATTTAAGTGAGCATAAAATACATTAGCATAATAATTCTTTGTAATGTGATATTTTCAATTTAAGCTAATTCATTATTCTCATACTGCCATATTCAAAAAAGATTAATTATACAATTCAGTGTGATACTAATCTCCTTGTTTGGTACTATTTTTTTTTTCTTTTTTTAAATGCTCAAATCATTTTAATCCTAATAATAGGATACGTCGTTATTATACAGCATAATAACCATTTTGATTATGTAATTGAATATATTGTTTGTTTAGACTGTAAAATGAAATAATAATAAAGAAATCGAATTTTCATCGTCATAACTTAACTAATTTTTAACCATTCATTTATATTTTATATTTTGTTGCAGTGGCAATAGATTTGATAGTGCAACATATAAGAGACTTCTTAAGCAACAGGAGTAGGGTTACAACCCAACCAGAAAGTTCAGTGTACAAAATTGAAAAATTATCCAAGAGGCCACATTAACGTTTTAAAGATTAAAAATAAAAAAAAAAAAAATAAAAAAATCGATAAATATAAGTTAAATTATTATATATTTGTTATTTTTAATACTCATATTTTTTAATGTAGAAATTCTACATTAAATTAGTGATATATTTAAAGCAATGAGCATTAAAAGAATAAATTAAAAAACATACACTGTAAACTATATGTATTTTGTTTTAATTACTTACAAATGTATAAATTTTAAACTACTTAAAAACCATTTTCAAGTGATCTAAAACGTTGAATATGAAGTATTTATGAAAAACGTTATAACGTGAAGATTATATTTGTGAAAAGTGAATTTGTAAAAATAATGTAGCAATACTTAGATGATAGGCAATAATATTAAACGCAAAGCTTTTATGATGCAAATGTTGATTAATAGTAATGTTATAACATAAGACCACTTTGTGGTTACTACTTATGTTTATTGTATAGTTATTATGTACACTGTACGCTTAAACATTATGTAAGATAGAAAATCATGAATCATTTAAATATACAAATTACTATTGTTGTTATATTATTGTTTACATCTAACGTTAATTTATATAACATTATTAATAAATTATTGGTAATAAAGTTCCAAATTCATACCATCATGAATTTCATCTAAATCGTTAAATTAAGGAAAAAATGATTGAAACCTACCTCGTATTGTATAATAATATAATTAATTTAAAAGGATACAATCTTGAAGTTTTATGTGATCTTTAAAGATAGTATACCATTTTTTCAAGACAATCTTTTCCCAATGAGTACCAGTTTGAGCTGCTATTAATTTTTTCAAGTCACCTATCGTATCATCTGGATTACACTTCACTCTAACTTTTTTCCCAAGACGATCGTTACATGTTATTTCTAGCATCTTTTGCCTTGTTTAAATGTAAAAAAAGAATAATTATATTAAAACGTACTATATTTAAATAATGTCCGTGTGTGTGTACACATACAATAAATTAATAATACATCATTTTAGTGGACAATCTTGTTGAGATATACAAAGTATTATTGACTTTGCAGGTTATGACAATAATTGCTGAACAATTTATTACACTACTGTATCATGTAATAATGTAATAATTTACTTAAATAAGTGCTTTTGAATAAGCATGATGTATTTATATAAAAATAACATATAATATTTACTTACAGATAAATATACTATATAAATATATCAATATTGCTCAAGAATTAATATTCGTTTAAAAAACACTTTGATTTTGTTTATTCATAAAAGAACATCAAAACTGTTTGTTTAAACGTTTCAATGATCAGTGTTATAAAATTAAAAACGTTAATCGAACGAAAAGGAAGTTCATACCGCGTACCAGTGATGCTACCTGACAGTGTATTTAGATAGCTTATGAAATTCTCTTCTATTTAGAACCGATATAGTAGAAACATGAATTTTACTCTTATTATTATAATATATCGTAGATATAAAGAACGCGGTGATTATAAAATAGAATAAAAGTAGAAAAGAATACGTTCACGTATTTTTAATATCTTCTGCCATTACCGAATCCTACCGAATCTGTACACGACGATGGCGGACGCAGCAGATCTTCCCGGCGCTTCATCCAGTCAAAAGATGTCGTCGAAACTTTTAAGACAAAAAGCACAGGAATTTCTGACTTCTAGAAAATATGCAAACAATTTAGTAGACATAATTGCTCAATGGGATGTAAGTACGAATTTTAAAATCATTTCAAATTGACGAATATATAAACTTTTTAAGGTTATGTCATTTACTAAAATTCCTGATCACTCCATCAGGAATCCACCTCGTCCTGTCTACTTACCATAGAAACAATATTTGTTGAAGTTTTGAAGAGAGGCGACATGTATTTGGAGCGTACGATAACGCTTACAATTTCAGGTATACTTAAAGATTTTAACATCTTTTACAATGTTACTTGACAGTGTTTGACTCTGTATAGTTTTTAATCTTTTGATTAAAATATTACGTTAAAAACATTGTACGAGTTTATATTTTGTGAAAATATGTTTTTGGACACAAAGTGTAAACATGAAGATAAAATGCTTTAATTTACTAAATATACTTAGAAACATGAAATAGCTTTTCCATAAGATTTATGCAACAGAGCCAAGTCCTGAAGCAAGATACATCAACTGGTTGAGAAACTGTTATGAAGAAGTATGGGAGAAAATACTTGTATCGATAGAAAAATACCGGCCTGCCATTCAGTTACAAGCTCTCACAACTGCTATAAAACTTATGGCAGAAGAGGGTAAAAATCCATTGGAACCAATTGGTAATTTAGGATATTATTTTCCGCTTCATCGGTTAAAACCCATCTTGATGAGCTTACTTTCACCGGAGAAGGACAATGCCAGTTTAATATCTAGATTCCAAGAGATCATAGAATACCCAGATGCTCTTTACTATACATGGAAGTGTCTTCCCTCTCTTACTCCAAAAAGACAACCGCACGAAATTTACATAAAAAATTTGCTCGAGCTTATACACAAATTACCACTGCCAAAAGAAACAGAAGGTACAAATTTGAAGATATTTAAATACTATAGTTTCCCTTGCATTTCGATTTAATAACCATAGATTGTACATTTTTTTAGAAAACGAAATATCTGAAAATAAGAGTCTATTGTGTAGACCTCAACAAGGTAAAGAACAGTCTGTTTTCGTTTTTTTTCATTATCTCTTGATATTTGTCGTGTCAATTATAATTTGTAATTTGTATATACATATGTCTATTGTATAATTTTGAACAGCCATTAAAAATTTTACATGGGATCAAGCTGGAGCAAGACGCGCCCTTAATAAAGTCTGGGCCTGTGTCATGCATTGGGTGTTGACGCCACAGTTACACAAACAGTTATTAGTAGTTCTTCTAGAAAGAGTCATGCCACATTTGGAAAAGCCTGTTCTATTAACGGATTTTCTAATGGATTCCTTAGATGCAGATGGGCCTATCGGTTTACTTGCATTACAGGGTGTATTTTTACTGGTCACTAAACATAACTTAGAATATCCAAATATTTTTACCAAACTCTATTCCATGTTTGAACCAGAAATTTTTCATACCAAGTATAAAGCTCGGTTGTTTTACTTATCTGATCTTTTCCTTAGTTCAACGTAAGTGTATTTGCAATATCTTATTTCAGAAGTATTTCATAATAATAAAAAACTGCTAACTAACTACAACTGTATTCTGTTGTTCTCAGACACTTACCAGAAGCACTGGTTGCTGCTTTTGCAAAAAGACTCGCACGTTTAACCCTGGTAGCGCCGCCCGAAGATATTCTAATTATTTTACTTTTTGTTGGAAATCTTTTACTGAGGCATCCTGGTTTAAAACGTCTCATCGATCATCCGCAAGGAGGAGAAATATCATCGGAAGAAAATAATGGTGCTGGTGATCCGTTCTTAATGGAAGAACGAGATCCGTTGTTAAGTAACGCCCTTCTTAGTAGTCTCTGGGAAATTAAAGCATTACAATGGCATATTGTACCAAGCATTGCTAGCGCTGCACGTTTTATTCGTGAACCACTCCCATCTGTTGAATACGACATGGCATCGGCTTTAGAACGTACCGGCGGACATTTGTTTGATAGTGAATTAAAAAATAAGATCAAAGATATTATGTTAACGTTTGAAAGACCAAATTCTATGGCTTTACCAAAAGGTGAAAGATTATTGCAATATTGGCAATTGACAACAATGCACTGATCGATCGGCGGTAACATTGAAGTTATGCATTACATACGCATATTGTGCAATATGCATTGTTATATAAAAGAAAATGAACTGTTTTTTTCAATGAAAAACGCAAACGAAATGATCAAGGACTTTCTGCGTTTCTTTTTTTATACAGTAAAACAGTAATAGGAAAAATACTGCAACTTTTTTTATTATTTAAAATCTAAAACAATTGCAAAGGAATTGATTCAGAGTATATTGTTTCACGAGCAACATGTAGATATGTATTTTTAGATCTTTAATCATGCAGCTATATAGCATATTAACAATTACTCGTGAATGCTACCAATTCTGTTAAATAAAGTCATTTGTATGCATGAATGTGTGATAATAATAAAATGAAAGATATTTTAATTTAATAAATCACCCGTGTTTCATTTGCATTTTGTAATGCATTGATCGACGAATAAAAATATCATACAGGTAAGCATAAATGGATTTATGGATTGAATATCATAATACAATTTTATATTTTAAATTAGTATTCAAATAATCCTATACGTTGCTATAATACATTTATATAAGCGCCTCGCATATGTATAAAAATTTTATGTACATAACTGGAAGTACTTAATCTGAATAGTATTATGTATACCGTTTATTCTCCAAAATCTGTAACAAAAAAAAAAAAAAAATAATGTTGATTATTATTTTGAATAATGTTAATTGTATATATTACACGAAAGGTAAACGAAACTTGTACAAAAAGCCATTGTTTTATAATGATACAATTTATTGTAAAAAATAATAAAGAAGAAAAAAAAGAAAAGAAAACATTGGAAAGACTTGAAATTTAATTGAAAGTTACAAACCGATATTAATTGTCGCCATTCGTCTTCGCTCAATGCATGCTTTATTTTCACTAAAATATTTGTTGGAATTTCAGGAACCGCTGTCAATGTACGTTTTTGTTTAGTAGGCACATATTCTACTTGTAAAAGCTCGGCTACCGTTGGCCGTGCTTTAGGGTCATGCTGAAGACATTTACGCATAACTTCGATTAAAATTGGTGGCGACGGTATAACTTTATTACCTTCCCCTGACGACAAAGTTGCAGGGAAAAGAATGTTTAGTTTCGGATTAGTTATAGCGTTTACTTTGGCCCATTGTGAACGAATATGATGAAAAGGTGTATGACCATAAACTAAACTATACAAAATACATCCTAACGACCATACGTCCGACTTAAAACTGATCTGTAACATAAATATAATTGTAGTATGATTTTATAACTCTTAACGGTTATCACGTGATTACAGAATCCACGTTTACTTTATATTTAACATTCTGGCTAGGAGAATCTGAATTTCCACCAGTGTCCATCAAAGCTTCTGGGCTGATGTAATTTAAAGTTCCAATCGGACAGTTTTTTACAACCGATGTCATATCTGCATTCATACTAGAAGCAATTCCAAAATCTATAAGTTTCAATCTTCCCCGCACCAGTAAAAAATTTGCTGGTTTCAAGTCCGAATGAATTACTCCTAATGGAAATTTATGCACATAAGAAAATCTTGGTGGCAATAAATGATTTTTTTTTTTTTTTTTTCCTTTTTTTGCATTAAAATCTTTACCATTATCGTGTATATGTTTAACGGCTGTTAACATTTCTGTCCAATAGTACAGAATCATTGTAAGGGGAATCTGTTTTTCTTGCAACATTGATTTTATAAGACGACTGAGATCAGTATCTCCCATTTCCATCACCACGTAAACCATGGGATACTTAATTTCACTGAAGCAGAAAACAACTTGAATGTAAACGTCACTGGAACGTGTGCGCATAAAATACATATCTGTAAAATAAATTCTTACTAATCAAACATCTTAACAACACATGGTGCCTGTAACTTATGCAACATTGAAATTTCTTCTAGACAACCCTGTGCCGAGTCCTTGTCCATACAAGTAAGATTAACACATTTAATGGCACATAATTCAAGCGAAGATAAATCTTGTGCTCTCAAAACTTTTCCACTCATACCATGACCAAGTGTACCCAAAATTAAATATTCTTTTCCTTTTATTAAAAGAGCTCTACCTTGTTTCGATTTAGGTATATTAGATGGAATTGAAAATTGTACGTTTGACGCATTATCTACAAATTTTTTTAACTCTTGCTGCCGATTTTGATTATTACACGTTAAATTCTTATTTTGAAAATCATCGCATACCGATTTCAAGTTTTCTTCACTACTATCTTTGGTACAATGAGTGTATCCATTATTTTGTGTTACCGACATCTTATTCAGTGCTCCTGTTCCTTTAACTGCTACATTTTTTGCATTTGGATATTCATTTTCTTTTGATTCTTCGTTAAAATCTGATTTCAAATGTACAACTTCTTTCGATGTTTCAAATATCGGTTTTTGCATACTTAGTTTATCGCACAAAGTATTGTTACATAATTTATTTTGAACCCTGGGTGTTATTTCATTTATTTTTAGCGGTTGAGATTCTTGTAGCAAGCGTCTACTTGAAGTATCATTTTGTGTGAAACCTCCTGTATCTGATACAGGTTTTCTTACTTTACTTCCTGTATTTAAATACCTACAATAAAAAATAAATTAATAGTAGATATAGAGATAACACGCATTTTGCATACCTTGGAGTATCGTGATTGGTCATATTTGGTGTAAAATAAACCGAATTTTTCGGAGTATGCATTAAGTCTCTCAAATTGTTACTTTTATTTTGTAACGGTGTTTGTATTACATTATTATGAGAACGATGACATGAAATTGTAGCTGGAGTTAATCCCTGATTGTTAGATGGGTTGGATAATTTATTTTGTGGTGTTTGAATAATATTTCGTCGAGAAACACATGGATCTGGATGTACAGCACCAATTAGCGCATGTTTCAAAGGAGTTTGTAATGCCCAATGATGATCAATAGAACCTACTAACGTTCCTGTATCTAAGCTCTTTGATTTATCATTAGAACATACATTCTCATGATGTACATTTTCTTCGTTTATCAATGCCTTCGATTCTAATCTTTCCACTTTAATGTTTGTATTGTGTAAATTATGAGATCCAGATTGTGGTACATTTTCAATAGTATTAATTAACATAGGTTCTTCAGGCTTTGAAGAAATAATTGTATGCAAAACTCCACTAATTTTTAAGTCACTCTTCTTTTTTATATTATGCAAAGGTAACGACTTATCCGATTCATTTTCAGTGCAATCATCTTGCGGTATAGGCTGTGGCTCATCAGAATCTGAATCGGTATTAGAATCCTGCGTCTTATCCTCACTTTCATCGTCATCACTCTCACAAAAATGTTCTAATTCTTTCACACGTATCGGTTGAAACTTTGGACGTGAATTTGAATGATTTTGAAAATCCATGTTATTCAACATAAACCTATCATCTGTTGAAAAATCTAAGAAATTCTTCGAAGAATACTATAATTAATTCACATTAATTACAAAAGTAAAGAGAACTTAAGCAATGTAAACATATGCAATGAGACATCAATTGAGGATATGGAACTATGTTGTGTGTATAAAAACTGTTGAACTTCCAAACAATTCGGTATATTCAGAAATTATTAATTACTCTCAAGAGCTACACAAAATAGATTGATTCCAACTATTTCGTATTTGTTGATTTGTAAGCATTGTTACTACTATTGTATGCAAGTTTGGTTTTCGTTTATAAACTGGTTTTCCGTTTATGTCATCAAATTCAAATACTATGGATGTGCAATGATTGGTTAAGGTTAACAGTGTTGCACTACGTGATAATTCATAAAACTAGGGATATTTCATGAAATTTTATTAAGTTTGTAGCAGATTGATCAATTCATCTCAAACGTCATTTTTATTCATTTTTATTAAATTACTTACTATTGTAAAGTTAACATAAAATACTTTTAATATTTTACATAAAAACATATTATACAATATGTTATGTACATTATAATGACATATCTCACAATATATTTATATATTATATAGAACAAATGATTGAAAAATTAATACTACGTATTTCTATTATATGAAACACAGCTTACACTTGCATTGCACTACAAATTTTTTCTAAAACAATAAATACGACCTGTACAATTAAATTTCATTCCGTACAAATTGTGAAAAGGTTTTTCTTTCTTTTCTTTTTTGTTAAAGATTTTATAATTTTCAATCGATTTTAAATGTTTATGTAAGTAGTCGTTCAAAAATGAATGAGAATACTATATGTATTGAAAAAGTACGAAAACTTTACATATATGTATTATGTAGCTATGAAATTTAATATTGAATAATTTGAAGCTTAATTTCGTTTTAATGCGATACTTGTAAGAAAAAGCTAATGAATTCAAAGCATGTAAATTATATTTAATTAGTTTTAAATAATTATAATGATGATAATACAAACACAATTGTATCACTAATTTTTTCTGTATGAACTGTTTATTCACATGTATGTACCTATATTATATTAAAAAAATGAAAATGCATGGAATTTTGTATCTGATTATTAAACATTGCACATTTGTCTCCTACGAATGGCAATAGAAAACAAGAATGTGAAATAGTAACAGTCTTTACTTTGAAATTTATTCCATACTTAGTTTATCTGAACTTGGTAATTTATTAAGATAAATCATGTATAAATAAATTGCAGTTTTTCGCAACTTAATTCGTATTTTGTAGGTACATTAAATTATATTTAACAAATTATCAAATTATATATATTGTTTTTCATATTTGAAAAACCAGAAACCAATGCTACCTACTCCTCTATCTCACGGTCGGTCTTCATTTATGATTTTTCTTACCCGTAGGAACTAGTTGGTAGCAATCATGGAAACGTAAAACATCTAAACAAGTATATTCTATTAATAATCTTCATCTGCATCCTTATACCCAATTATCTTAAGTATGCATTTCATTTATTTATTTATTTTTTGTTAATCGTCCAGATTTGATGCAACAATACAAACACGATTTGCAACATGAAAGAACATTGTTACTAAAACTGAAATAAAAACAAGCTCGGCGCTTAACGAATATTAAAAATTTGCTATATTACTCTTCAATCTTTTCGGTATGCTACAAATACCGTGGAAATGTACGAAAAGTATCGAGTGTCGCGTTCAATCTTGTAGTCGATGAATGATTAATTAAAGTGATTGGTTTTTTAGCGCCTTGCTAAAATGTGTAAAGAGCAATATAAAAAATAATATTTTATTTAATCTTTAGGGACGAAATTAGGAATTATTATGAGTAATGAAAAAAATGTTCTAGACTATGCTGCAATATTCTTAACGTTTTCCATTGTTATAATTAACCGCTCGCAATGGTGTTTTAAATGTTGATGCAGATTGTTGTTGAAACTGATATGCTAAAGGGTGAATTTTAAAGCCATATAACCTGCAAAAATATTATTTTTCTATTTATATAATTTTATCAAAAATGTAAATTTGTGTTTACATTATCATTCAACAAGGTCTTTATAGGAACAGTAAGAAAATGGTTTTTCTTTTATCTTACCTAGGTACAAATTGATTTGTTGGACGTTTAGGTCGGTACTCTGGATGAACCATAAAAAGCATATGTGGGAATCCCGTTCCAAAAAATGCTCCATCTGTGTGATGGTACCGAGAGCTTTTTGGTGTATAAACATCCATACATTTGGGGCAATAACTTTTTACCATTGCTTCTCCAGGGACATCGCTGAGACCCAAAGGTAGCATTGGCTGGGATTCACAATAAACACGTGGACAATGGCCAAAATCACCAGCTTGATACTTTTCAATCATCTGAGCGATACCTCGATTGGTAAGAATGTAACGTGCATGAATAAGTCCATAGAGTAATTCTGCTGCTTGTTCAATTAATTCAGACTGATTCGGATGCCCATCCAATTCATCATCTGCATACAAACGCGCTTAAAAGTACTTTTATATTTTCTAATAGAATGTTAATATTATATTTACCAGGTTCGAGATCAAGAATCATATCTAATGCTTGCCTATAATGTGGTACTTGCTCGTTTAGTCCAGTCAAGTTAAACTTATCTTGAATGTAATCCTCGTCAACCTGATGTAAATAACGATACATTAATATCGGTAAATATATACATATACATAATATATAAAATACAATATTTTTATTCTAGGTACTGGATTGTATCAATTTATAATATATAGATCTCTTATTATAAAGTCAATATAATTTTGAAGCTGCATTACATTATAAGAATAAAATTTCATATAAAAATCTAACATCAATACTGAAATTATTCATTATAATAAACAGCAGAATTTTTAACCTCAAAAAATGATATAGGTTAAGAAAGTAAAATATCCAAAATGTAATACATGATATCACAATCTTAAACCGTACTCACCTCACAAAAGAATTCATTACCCCTGAGGTTGCAAAACCATGAAATCCAGGATACCTCCTCAGAACTGCTCATCTTCCTGTGAATAAGAAAATGGTAGAAGTATTCTTTTGACACTATGTAGTGCAGAAAGATGGATCACCGCGTCAAAGGCGCGCAGGATTTGTGTGGAATGCGTAAAGATACGTGCGCAAAAAAAATTCTCGAATCTTCGGATATTATGCACACGTACATACACGACGTCGATGCTTAGTTGTACGCCTAGCAATTGGTTAGAAAGGCGCCAACGAAAAGCTAGATATGGGGAATTCAGAAGTGAGGGGCGCAAATGGAGTTTTCACTTTACTAGGCAAGATGCTCGACGTTACAGCCTGTCCTGCCAGTTCACCTACGTTTTGGTAGTCATTGCTGCTTCCTCAACACAACATTTTCAACATTTTCAACATTTTTAAACACAATATACAATTCGACACAATCGGGAAGCACATTATTTAAGAAAAAATCTTGTAGAACGAATGAAAACCCAAAAATAAACAGCCCTTACGGCTTACCTTTTGGTGCTTTGATTAGCCACGCTTGCTCTTCCCAACAATGTAGATAGCGCTGTCGTGCTTTATCCAGTTCGCCACCTTCCGGACCTTTTTTTTCATAAATTATTATTATTATTATTATCTTTTTTTTTTTTTTTTTTTTGAATTGAAATATTCCTATAATCCAATATTTTTCTTCTATGCGGAATCACAAATTTGAAAACTTCTTCAATGTAGCTAAACCTAATAACGGTTACAATCTATATAAACCCATCAAACAAAATTTTGATAGCCTTCACTTTGAGATTTTTGTCATCTTTATCATTGACCAATGAACGGTCAATGAATTTTCGATAACTATTTCAGTTATAAATTTTCTTATTAAAAATATAATTGAACGTCGAACGTTCTTTTTCTTCAAACCTGATGTTTGTAAAAGCTCATTCAGTACTGGATAGCAATGAACAGAATTTAAATTATATATGTGTGTATATACTATACCTTACACGATATGATATAACATGCCTTTGTATTCTAACGCTGCAATGCAACTTAAAAAACACTATATATAAATATATATATATATTGTATAGAAATAATTTCTCTTATGCGTGTATGTGCAAATGGATATTTAATGCTTGATTTGTGATTATTGGCAATTTATACATATGGTTTAATATTAAAGTTTGATGGAAACCTATTGTATATTCTATTTACACCTATTACTTCTGAAGAAATGTCTAATTTTACTTGACCTTATTACTATGCATAATAAACTCTCAAAGCAAAATGGAGCATACAGTAGTAATCTGATAAAAGTGTGAACTTTTATAAATATTACAATGTTTTTTGGTATGCTATCAATAAACTCTAAATAATGTGCAGTTGAGTCATTAATAAACAATTGGGTAAAGCTAGGTGGAGTTCAGAATGTGAGACAATCATATCCATAATCCTTATCAGTTTGAGTAATTAGCTTAAATTTCAGTTAATTAAAAAAGATTAAAATTGATTATGGTACGTACAATTTTGTGCAATCGTATCATCTTTTTTTCTTCTTTTTAAATACCAAATTAAATAGCAAATTTATGTATTTATTTATTTATTTATAGATGCATATGTGGTTTTGGTTTGGAAGCAATTTGGGTGATTTTCTTTTACCAGGATACAATGTTGTCACAACTTCAAGTTTCTTTTGCACTTGTTTAGGTTTAACTGCACTTGCAATATTATATGAAGGTATGAAAATCTTACAAATTAAATTACTGCAAAATGCTACGATGCTTATACGAAAACAAACACCCAGAACATCAGAGAATTCTTCCTTACTGTCTAAAATGTCTTCAAAGTCTATTGGGACACAATTTTCTTTACACTGGTACAATGCCTTACAAATTACTTTTATGTAAAGAACAAATGAGTATATAATAATGGATTAATATTATTGTTAATAATCCTCTATCAGCATATATTGGTCTACATGGAGTTTTCAAGTGTTACATTGGTCTGTACATACATTTCTTGGCTATCTCTTAATGTTGGCAGTTATGACATACAACGTGTATATTAATATTGCTCTTGTGTTGGGAGGATGTCTTGGATATTGGATATTTGGCCCTAAGCTTATAGAACTCAATTTGAAAGAATTTTATAAAAGGCAAAATATATTAGACTGTGATAAAGAATGTGCAGGTATGAATTTAAATATACTCTATAATTTGCTTTATAGAAACTTGATAGTACCTGTAATAATTTATAGATAATGCAATAAACTATGAGGGACAAGGATCAACAGTTTCTGTTGTTACAGAACAATTAATAACAGAGGCTACTATTGAGGTCCACATGCCAGTTGATGTTTAAATTAAACAAAAATTTATTGAAATAACATTTTATTGGTTTATGTACATATCTATAAACTATTTTATACAATGTATATGTATATTGTATATAACTAAATGAATACCTTTGACAAAAAACAAGGCAACTATAAACTATCAAAGATAATATATATATTTATATATATTATTTAAAAACATAATAGAGTTTTACAAATTAGAATCACAAAAACAAAATGTACCAGTTCATAGTATCTGTTAACGAATTTTAGCTATGTATAAAGAATATAATGTCACAGTCTTCTTGTATTCTCCAGATCTCCAGGAATAAAAATCATCTTAAAGCTTATCATTTTCACACGAATGAACGAAAAGAATAGGAAATGTGTCTCATTGGTGTATTCCTCGCCAAGAAACTATTTTAAAGATCACTTAAAAGTGTAATACAAAGGAACTTTCATAATTATTGGGTTGTAACATAAATTCTTTCGATCGCCGCAAGTATACGTATTAAGAAGTTTAACCGAATGAATTTATGTTACAACCCAATATAATCTCGCTATTGTGTATATTACATATCTTCGTGAAAATTATAATCAAACAACTTATGGAAACATGGTGAAGTGAAGTCAGTCGTAAAATGGAAATATGGTTGTTTTCCATTAAGATGTTGTCCACAAAGCCAGCAAAAATGAGCATTACAGTAAGTACATGTTATTTTATTACATCCATCTATTTTTGAAATTGGAGCCTGACAGTTTGGACATGATTTTGTATTTTCCTAAAAGTTTTATTATTACATTGTGTAATTATTAATACAATCCATTTTATTGCCAAGTTTTTTAATTAAGATACCTTTATATATTTTTTGGATAAATGTTTTTCAACTTCTTGTATTTGTCTTTGACCATACTTTTTTAGTAATAATTGTTTTTGACGTATGTTACCTTTCTCATAATTTTCCATAAGGTTTACCAATTCACTTGACGATATAGTAGTGCATGGTATATTTCCATGGTATGCCTGACATATATTTCATTAAAAAAAGTCAATGGGAACTTGTTAAAACATGAAACATAAAGTTAAAATATACCTTACGACAGTCTCTACAAAAAGCATGATCACATTTGCTACAAGTAATCCAGATGTTATCATTATCATTTACAACTGGACATTGGCATGAAATTCGTGGACAATAAACAATGTCTTTCATAGAATTTAATGTTATTTGTAATAATAAATTTTCGTATTTTGAAAATAGATTTGGACAAAGCTTTTTGATTTCATTATGCATAATATTAAACTTGCAATTTGAATCAGGGCACATTATATCTTTTACCATATTCTCATTAATTTTTGCACCTAGGTATTCTTGCATACAATTTCTACAGAATGTATGACCACAACTTTGAAGTTGTATACATTTCTTTCCAGAATATACTTCAAAGCATACTACACACGAGTAGTAACTACGTTCAAAGTTAAATTGCATTTGATATTCGTTGTAATCCATAAAAAGTTTTATTGGATTCAAAACTAGCACATTGCATATAGCTCTAACATCATATGAAAACGTAACATTTAATTTAAAGTAATCTGTTAGATTATAATATCTCAGAAATAGAAGTGAAATATCTAACGTCTCATTGATTTGAAGAAAATTAAGAAGATCGTGCCTTAAAAATTCAAACCATAAAAATAATACTTCTTGTTCCTTGTTACTTGACCATATTTCATCTAACTGTTGACAAATAAAAGATATTTGCCAAGGAGTAAGCCATGAGGAAGTTATATAAAAATTTGGTGAATTTTTTGTAGGATAATCCATTGGAAGTTGCACATATATTCGAACAGGTGGTAGATATTTGATTAAACATTTTAAATACATTTTACGAAGATTTTTGAGCATTAATACCTTATTATTGGTAGCAGGATAAACATTGAAATAGATTTGTATCATATCATCATCCTTAATGTAAGAAAATTCATTCTGATTATAAATACATGAAAGTGCTAAGATTTCGTTTTCCTGTCGGTCTCGATTATTCATTGTTTTTAGAATAATTTCTCTTCTTGTTATGTATGTATGTATTGTATCTACGACACGCTACTTTTTCTTTATATAATATTAACACTAATAATATACTTTTAAAGTATATAATATTTACTTATTTAATATCAACCAGTAGCTGCATTTAGCCATTTAATAAATAGCCGAATTCAAGGCGTTAAATACGCGCACTTTTTTAGAAACGATCACTTATCTGTACTGTATAGTGTGTTTATACCATTATACACAATGGCGCGTAATTAGAAAATGATACCTAATACATATACGACTTATTTATATACAAATTTTATAAGTAGGAATATTATGCGAAACAAATTTATATAAAATCAAACAGGTAAGTATCATAAGAGAATTTCTTTTAAAAGCTATTTATCATCATTTAGTATAGAAAATAACAATCGATGGATTTTTTTACCTTATCATGCTGACGTTTGATTTAATTTTGCAATTCAAAGTACATTATGTATGTACAATTAAGATTTTGAGAAATTAGTTGCATTTACGCCAATAATAAAGGAACCGTGAGTTCAATAATTTATTAAATAATATTAATAATCAAATTATAAGTAATAAAAGTATATTAATACAATATTAATGTTTTTTATCCTTCTCTTTTCAAATACAGAAAGTCGACACAGAGAGAGTAAATTATAATATTTATTAAAATTATCTTGAGTGTGTTCAAAATACATAATTGTAAATACATTATACACATTTCTGAACGATATAACGATAAAGAATCGCAAAATAGGATAGTCTAAATACTTGTAAAGATAAAAAAAAAAAAATTGAGGCTAAGTTCTACAGGCAAGTAGAGGCTAAGTTTCAAAACGTACATATTATAAAATGGTAGAAGTAAAAGCGAAACATACACTTCATAGTGGCATTTTTCATCCTGTTTTACGACAATGGCAATCACCAAATGTAGAAATTACAGTTAACAATCTTATGTATCCAATTTTTGTCTTGTAAGTAAAATTCATAATTACCGCTTATGACACTAATTTATATACATACACTTACATAGGTATACATTTATAGATGTACACACATATATATGTATATGTATATATATATATATATAATGAAATATGTTTGCATTTTTATTTCCAACTAGTAATAAATAGTATTAAAGTAAAAATAATTCAATTTTATTTAAGAATTTTTTTTACACGTTACATAACGATGCAGAATGTTACATTCACTCATTACTGTTTTATTTTTTTTAGAGATGAACAAAATGCTAAGGAGGCAATTGCTAGTATGCCAGGTGTTTATCGATATGGTATCAATGAATTACGAAAAACATTGTTGCCATTGGTTTCAAAGGGTTTGCAATCAATATTATTGTTTGGAGTGTCGAAACACTTGAAGAAGGTAAAGTACATGTAACAAGTATTTAGTAACGAATGATTGAAAAGTTGTTTTCTATTTTTGATAGGATCATATTGGAAGTAATGCAGACAGTTTACAGAATCCTATTATTCAAGCTGTACCTTTAATAAGACACTGGTTCCCAAATTTATTAATAGCATGCGATGTTTGTCTGTGTCCTTATACTATTCATGGGCATTGTGGAATTTTAAATGAAGATGGAAGCATAAATAACAAAGCTAGCATTGCACGTATTTCTGAAATTGCTCTTGCATATGCAAAAGCTGGTAAGAATACTTTTTCCTTTAGGTGTACATAGTACATATGAAATGATGTTCAATACTTATCAATAATAAAATTGCATCCTAAAGGAGCACAGATTGTGGCACCATCCGATATGATGGATGGAAGGATCGGTGCAATTAAAAACAAATTAGCAGCAGCTGGATTAATTAATAAAGTTGCAGTTTTATCATATTCAGTGAAATTTGCATCAGGATTTTATGGACCTTTTAGAGATGCTTCGCAGTCTGCTCCAAAGTTTGGAGATAGAAAATGTTATCAATTACCTCCAGGAAGTAATGGATTAGCCGCAAGAGCAGCTGTTAGCAATATTTTCGTTTATTTCTAAACTGTTGCATTTTTGAATAAATATAAAAGATATATGTATACATTTTTTTAAGGCTAGAGATGTGTCCGAAGGAGCTGATATGCTTATGGTAAAACCAGGTCTAGCTTATTTGGATATTGTTAGACATACAAAGGATGCGCATCCAGAATATCCAATGTTTGTATATCAAGTATCAGGAGAATATGCCATGTTGTATCATGGTGCTCAAAATGGTGCAATTAACTTGGAAAATGTTTTAAACGAAGTTCTTCTATCGATGAGAAGAGCTGGAGCTGATTGCATCATAACATATTTTACACCTTTAATTTTAGATATGTTGCAACCAAAAAGCAAGTATTAATTAAAAATGTTGCTACCCAGGGTGTACATAGTTATTTACACTGATATTACTTAATATAAATAAACATATCAGTAAATTCATTTTGTTTAGTGTTTAACAAAAATTACATGTATGCACAGTTCTGGTATCGAATAGTAAGTATTTATTTATACATATATGTATATAAATAAGTAAATCATGAAATAAAAGAATTTATCTTGTTAATTAAAGTACTTATATATGTATATGTACCGATCAAGTTCCGTTAGATTCTAAAAATTACATTAAAAAATAAAAAGTTCGCGATTTTAGCAAATGTTGGTGCTTTTAATATACAGATGATGATATGACTAGCCAACTAATAGAGTTATTGATGTAACAACTATTTAATCGTTTTATAATAAAAATAAATGTATATATACTAGGGTATGTTAGATGGAAGGTTTTATTATTAGGCCAGGTATCTGTGAATTGATAATAAAAAGTGTCAGAAATATCTTTTGACACACGATAAAATATTGACCGAAAATATTGGTCATACATTAAACGTAATCTTTTGACAATGATTCCTCCAATTGTAAAAGTATTCGAAATTTCCAGAATACGGTATCATTGTGACGTGGGCCTATCGATAGCAGCCAACTGTATGCGGCTCAACCAACTGGTGTTCGCTTTTCCATTGGTACGGACCTTCTAAGACCAATCAACATAAGCCACGACGAAATCGCCCCGTTAATATCTCGGTCCTGAGATCGTTCCGTAGTCAGTCATTCCGAGTTGTTCTTGTTGTTCGTTGAGCTTGTGACAAATTAAAAATAATTTCTACTTATAATAAAAAGAGATTGTATATAAAGATTTTCGATCTGGTGGTGAGTATTGCATATGATAAAATATAATAGTATTATTAAATTTCGAAAAGTATTGCACTTGGTAGTAAATAGTTGATTGAACGCTAAGAATATTTTAATTATTTGCCACGTCTTGCTACGAATAGATCAATTAATTTTTTGTTGCATCTAATTTGAATTTACTTACATATATAGCTAGATGTTTTTAAAATATGTTTTATGCGATACTTAAGCTACTTGCACTTTCTATAATAATTTATATGAAAATTTTTAAATTGTTCATGCGCTACGATACGTGTCAGAGTATATAATATATTAGTCATTTATTTTTAGTTCATTGCTCCTTACTAATTACATTTTAATATGTATTATGCTACTATTTTTTGTTTCTGTTAATAAAGTTTTTGTGTACGTATCGGTACTAGAATTTTCTGTCTATATATGTACCAATACCTCGTTTCCTTTGAAATGTTTATGAAATGCTTTGAAAATAGAAAGATTTATTTACCATATGTATGTTTTTTTTAGAGCTGTTTTTGTATCAAGAAAAATGAAGGGAGCTAAAGCTCTACTTTTAATAGGCTTGTTAGTAGCCTATGCTTCTGCGAAAGAAGAGAAGGCAAAGGAGGATATTGGAACCGTGATTGGAATTGATTTGGGAACTACATATTCTTGGTAAATAGGCTAAATTGATCTTCGAGTAACGAGAAAATATTTTAACTGTGATTTATCATTTTAGCGTTGGAGTGTACAAAAATGGAAGGGCAGAAATAATAGCCAATGATCAAGGAAATAGAATTACTCCTTCGTACGTGGCTTTTACTTCTGACGGCGAACGTTTGATCGGAGATGCTGCCAAAAATCAGTTAACAACAAATCCAGAAAATACAGTTTTTGATGCCAAAAGATTGATTGGTAGAGAATGGTCAGATCCTACGGTGCAACACGATATCAAGTTTTTTCCATTCAAAGTTATAGAAAAGAACAACAAACCGCACATAAGGGTAGCGGTTAATGGGGAGGAAAAAATATTTGCACCCGAAGAAATCTCTGCTATGGTTCTTGGTAAAATGAAGGAAACCGCAGAGGCATACTTGGGCAAAAAAGTTACTCATGCTGTTGTTACTGTGCCAGCCTACTTTAATGATGCACAGAGACAAGTAATTGTATATTTTTTATTTAACAAATCAGATTTAATTTTCAAAAAATTAATAAATTATATTTTTGGATTTAGGCTACCAAAGATGCAGGTACTATTTCTGGACTTGTTGTTATGAGAATTATTAATGAGCCAACAGCTGCAGCAATTGCTTATGGTTTGGATAAGAAAGACGGAGAAAAGAATGTATTGGTCTTTGATCTGGGTGGTGGTACTTTTGATGTCAGTTTGCTTACCATCGATAATGGGGTGTTTGAAGTTGTGGCAACAAATGGTGACACACACTTGGGTGGCGAAGACTTTGATCAGCGTGTGATGGACCACTTCATTAAGCTTTATAAGAAGAAAAAAGGCAAGGATATTCGCAAAGATAGCAGAGCTTTACAGAAATTGCGACGTGAAGTTGAAAAAGCCAAGAGGGCACTCAGTGTTAGCCACCAAGTACGTTTTATGAATCTTTTTTTCTTTTTCATAAGAATTTTATTTCATTTCATTTCTTTTAAACTGATTATTTCACGTTTGTATTTTTTCGTAGGTGAGGATTGAAATCGAATCATTCTTCGAAGGCGAAGATTTTTCGGAGACCTTGACGCGTGCGAAATTCGAAGAACTGAATATGGATCTTTTCCGTAGTACCTTGAAACCAGTACAGAAAGTTTTAGAGGATTCCGATATGAACAAAAAAGATGTAGACGAGATAGTACTTGTTGGAGGATCGACTAGGATTCCAAAAGTTCAACAACTTGTTAAAGAATTTTTCGGTGGTAAAGAACCATCCCGAGGTATTAATCCAGATGAAGCTGTCGCATATGGTGCTGCAGTACAAGCAGGTGTTCTTTCTGGTGAGCAAGACACGGACGCCATTGTACTTCTTGATGTCAACCCACTTACCATGGGTATCGAAACTGTTGGAGGTGTAATGACTAAACTTATTCCTAGGTAAGGAAAAAATATTATGAATACATATCTACTTATATGTATACAATTCACCTTTTGCGTTTATGAAAATCATTCGATTTTGTTTACAGAAATACTGTCATTCCGACGAAGAAGTCGCAAATCTTCTCTACCGCGTCAGATAACCAACATACCGTTACGATCCAAGTATACGAAGGTGAACGTCCGATGACAAAAGATAACCATCTTCTTGGTAAATTTGATCTTACCGGCATTCCACCGGCACCCCGAGGAATCCCGCAGATTGAGGTCACCTTTGAAATTGATGCCAATGGTATTCTACAAGTGTCCGCTGAAGACAAAGGAACTGGAAACCGCGAGAAAATTGTTATTACCAATGATCAAAATCGGCTTACTCCCGACGATATCGAAAGGATGATCAAGGATGCTGAGAAATTCGCGGACGACGACAAGAAATTGAAAGAACGAGTAGAAGCACGTAACGAACTCGAATCGTATGCTTATTCTCTGAAGAATCAATTAGCTGATAAAGAGAAACTTGGATCAAAAGTCACCGATGCAGATAAAACTAAGATGGAAGAAGCTATCGAAGAGAAGATAAAATGGCTCGAAGATAATCCGGATACGGACCCAGAAGAATATAAAAAGCAAAAGAAAGAGCTTACCGATATTGTTCAGCCCATTATTGCCAAATTATATCAAGGTGCTGGTGGTGGAGTTCCACCTCCTAGTGGGGACGATGACGATTTAAAGGACGAACTTTAACTATAAGAAAAAAGCAGTACTTGTATTCGTCCTAATATAGACTGAATTAACAACAGGCTCATGCAATTGCTGCAGAGATTATTACGTCGTTGATACGTCGACTATACAAGACTGATCGACGAACGTTCGTTTATTCATTAAGTTACATACATCAGAACTAAACAATACACGGCTGTAAAGGTCGCTCTGTGTATTGTTCCGTAGTGTGTATTTGTCGCATAAGGTAACAGTCATCTTGATCTTGAAATGAATTTTATGAAATGGAAAGAATTTTACTACTGGAAGTAGCTTTTCCAATTTCCAGAGAAGATTCTGCGCGTTAATTTATTTTAATTAATTGTTTTATATGTTCCATTACAAGTAATCGAATAAGCAGTTGTATAATTCGCGTTACAGATTTTCAGGCGTGGGTGCGAATCAGAATGATTGTTTGTGCAAGTGTGCTTGACTTGCGCCTATTATTATATCTGTAGAAAAACTATATCGTACTGTGTACAATATAGCTGTTCTGTGTGAATGAACGTCATATGTATCAGCATCACGGAAATAAACATTTTTTCAGTAAATTATACATACCGTTGAACGTCTTGTATTAGAATAAAATATTTCTGCTAATTGCAAGTTGTGATAAATGTTCAGTTGATGAAAGGAGACACATGTAAAATGAATTTCGAATAGATTTTATTTGAAGATGCAGTTTGATCTTGTAACAGAAACAGTTGAAACTTTACAGGCAGGATTCATTCTTTATAACTTTTTGTATCGAAATATAATATCGACAGACATAATAATAATAATAATAATAATAATAATAATAATAATAATGATAATGATGATGATGAACGATAACATACTCTTTTGTATAACTTGCTTTCTGATATTTTGTCGTTAGTTCATATCGTAGCGTTTCAATTATTAAATATATATTTCTAAAGTGTATGTACATACATACAGATCATTTTGGGTACAAAAATACCATTGGAATTCCATGACAATCATTTTCCATTATAGCGAAGAAATCTTTTGTCATTTAATTTCATATGATTGCCTTTTTCCTGTTTCCATAGAATAGATTTTGGTTTTATAATTTACAAAAAAGTAACGATGTTAGAAAAAAAAAATTAAAAAATAGTAATACTTTTTTTAAGCATAAAAACATACTATATCATTATACCATTCATTGACAATAAATAACCGACAACTACATATAACATCTTTAAAGGTTGTCGAATGAATGTCTACTTTGCAGAAAGTTTCCAACTTTTTCTCTTTCTCTTTTTATTTTATACAAAAGTAAGGCCAAAAAGTAGGCATTCCATGTGAATCATGATTTAAATACTTGAATTTTTGTAAACATTATTAGTGCATACCCATTTCGAATATATACCTATTTACAATATTCAGAACAAGAATTAAAATTTAATTTTTCTTTTCTTTTTTTTTTTGGCATTACTTCAAAAGATTTATACAAAACGATAGCCGTTTAGCGTTTTTCTATTGTATTCGTTGATGAGTAATGTACTAAAAATGCGAGTACAACAACTTTTCTCATTTTTTGTTGGATTTCATTAATCCTAAGGAACATTTTTTGTCATCGTATTCACCTCCGTTCTGAGACTTTATCTGAGAATATATTATTTGTAAGACAAACGATTTGTAAAAGTTCATTTTTATCAAGGAAGCTGATTTCTTTCTCGCTTGTGTTTGAACAAAATGCAACCACAATCAAGATTACCCGATACTTTGTGTAAACGATATATTTTGAATTCTATTATAATACAACGTATTGTTTTTCAGGTTTCAATCGGACAGAACAGCACGAACTGAAACCAGTATCTTCGAAAGAGAAGCATGAAGAATGTAAAAGGTATCGTTCAAGCTTTTTACCTTTCTTTTTTTTCCCCCACTATGTTTCCGTCCCTTTTGCAATAGACAATAAACATGTCTATTTTACGATCGAGAAGAAATTTCATTACGATTTCAAGGGCGACTGAATGTTTCTAATTAAATTTTAACAAATACGTACGATTGTTGAACTAGGTATTATTCGGTGAATTAATTAAATCTTGATGTAACTGCATCGATTACTTTTCGTATCAATGCTAAAGTTAGTTCACGATTACAATGTTTAGTACATAAAAAATGGCAGTTAAAAAATGACAGTGACCAAACGTAAGATTATGTTCTCTTCGATCGTTAGGTATAATAGCACGTATAATACATTAAGCTAGTTTTACGTGATATTATCGAATATAATAAGCTACAAATACAAATGTAGCATACGGTTTGTTACCTTTACGCAATGAATAAATAGTAATTAGATGCGCGACTTTTAAAAATATTTAAAATATTTTATCATCTACTATTAGTGTAATGATTTTATGAAGAAAAAAATGAATTTTTTTTTCCTCCTCGTTTCAATGGGACGACGGGAGAGACTTCGCTATATATGTATAAATAATCTTTCGAGCGCATTGTAGATCCATGAACTTCGATTAGGAAAACTTGTCTAAAAAATACTATCATTTCTTGATAACTTATGAGTTATAAAAGGTTCCATGGTGTCGCGCAACTAACAATAAGATTAAAGATTACAAGGTGAACTTCATTTCGGAGAAATATTAACGCTAATACATATACCTTTTTATCCGATTCAAATTTCGTTTCATCCTTATAGGGGAAACTATAATATCGCTATGCATCTCTCTATAATTTATGTACGTGTAATTCAAATTAATCATACACGATTGACATCGATCCATGAATTACCGAGAGGGCTGCAAAGAACACGTGAATATTTAGGCACTTAATTTAAACGTTTGTCAAACCTGAGAATTCATCCACGCTGTACTTTTTAGCGACATACTTTAAGAAAAAAATCTTGCTTTTCACTTTGAAAACTAAAAGTCTTTTTTTTTTCTTTTTTTTTTCTTTTTTTTTCTTCATAATGGTAATTCAAGGATCGATTTACACAAGATCAGAGGTATCTCTGGAAATTATCTCATATTTTTAACAATAAAACAAAAGAAAAGGAAAAAAGAAAATTGGTGTACTAATAGATGTACTAATCAACAAATAAAGCAGGCATATGGCGCGCTTCTGGTTTTACTTTTCACTTATCTTTTCTCCTAGTTTGAACAATAATAATGTACTTTGTATCACAGTATTATATTAGTATTGTATTTAGTATTTGTCGTATTTACTTTGGATATGGCAAATATGAAATATAACAGTAAAATTATACTAATGTAAGTCTATATTCTTTGGGGCTAAATGCATATCACAGTGGGAAAATTTTCAACATTCTATCTTTTTTTTCTTTTTTTTTTTCCTCTTTTTAAATTCTAATTCAAACTTCCAGAAGCGCACCAGCCCTAAATGTGTAATACCTTAAACATTACGTTACATCTATATGTATATATGTTTCGATAGAGATTTTACAGACACCTTTACCGTTAACCAGTTGAAATAAGCAGATAGGATTAAAGTAAAAGTATCTTTTAACATTAATTGAAAAATGCCCGAAAGGCTGTTTTAGATACTTGCCTCGTATCTAATATGCAGTCTTATCCTAATTATTTTGTTGTTTTTAGCTGCGCAACGGATTTTATAAAATGGAAAACGACACATTAATAAATCTATACCTGTTTCTAAATGACATAAAGTGGTCCATGTCGTTTGAAATATCTTCCTTTATCTAATCAAGTGGTCGATCACAGATGTATCACATTCATTTACTTGTCAATTATCGATTCATTTGTCATTGTGTTATCCGTTGTGTAAAGAAATATTTACAGAGTTCATTGGACCACCCTCGAAACGCAAATAAAATTATATCAAAAATTACACAGCTCACTCTAAATGCTAAAAACATGCAGTAAATATTTAGTAATGTTGAGATATTAATATTGATATTAGATAATTATAATGTTAGGAATTAGAAACGAATTAACGTTAAGTGCCGAACAGTTCTTTCTCTCTAATCGTACCAAACATATACATATGTATGTATAAAAAAACGAAACCGTATATTATTTCTTATAAATATGGCTTTTATATGTATGTATTAAATTAAATGTATAATGTCAACTGGTAATTTTTAGAATTAATTCGAAATCGTTGAGAGAGATTGTTTTAAATTAAATAATTTTTTCGGCATTATTTTAAAACAAATTTTTTTCTTTCTTTCTTTCTTTCTTTCTTTCTTTCTTTAATATCCTATTGAAATGTTTGCGTTGTTTCTGTTTGAATACTTGGAAACAACAAGTTAACAACAAGCTCTCTACTTTTCTTTTAACAGTAGAAAATAGTAATTTTCTATGCTTTGACTACTACATCAGCATCAGACTAGTAGAATTGATAGATTATTGGAAATTATTTTTGACGGTTCTAATCGTAACAGTGTACGTGTTTGAATGTATTCCTTAATTGACAATGCCATAATCGTATAGCGTAGTAATTGGTCAGCTAGTACTTGTTTGCCAAAGAAAGAACTGCTATGCATGCAGTAATTAAAAGAGAGATTTTGCAAAAGCCTGTATAATTACAGGTACAGTAGCGTCAAACCCGTTAATTGTTAAAATATTTCCATCAACTTTTTTCTTACGATACGTCGACGAAGAACATACAGCACAATTTATTAACCTGAAAATTAATAAATAAATTATTATGTTATTTACCCCTAACCCCGGTGTAATTATTTCAAGACTTATTTACTTTGTATTTGGAAGTTTAACTTTAGCTTTGTATGCTTGAAGAGCCTCTTCAGAAGTATCAGTTTTTTCGAATATTTGATCTACGACGTTAATAAATACGTCGTATTTATTATTTTGATAAGCGGCCCACGACATCGGTTTACCCAAATTTACATTTCCAACAGGCATCTGTTGCAATCTTCTCATAGCCTGACCAAAGGAAGCAGTTTTGTCAATGTTTACAGTATGAATACCAACATTTTTAAACGTCGCTATGGTGACATTCTTCTCACTGCGAAGAAGCGCAAGTGCTATCATGCACCCTGCTTCGGCACCATTTACATTTCCGCTACGCCAAGCATGCGTTTCCAACATCACTTTGTTCATATTAATTGTTACCATGTAACGTAAACCAGTTGATTGAATATGCTATACAGAAGATAGATTAAGTAGAATATATGGATAAAAGAGCTACTATATGTATGTATATTTATATGTAATATATGTATGTACATGTACACTTACAGCAAATGAAAGGTTTAACAGTTTATAGAGAGCATCAATGATTTTAGAATTCGGTTTAGGCGGAGCTGGCAAAGGTTTATCAAACTGTTCTCTGATTTTTCTTTTTTCATACGTTAGTGGTCTTTGAAAAGAATATATTATATAATTATTTTTCAAAGAAAAGTTTTTTTAATTGCTGATTAGCGATACCTACTTTCCAGAATTTTCATAATCCCTTATTGTAACTAATACTAGAGCTGGATGAACCTTACTTCGGGATATATTTTCGTCATTAATAAGTTGCTCTGTTACTTTAGAAACTGTTGGCGAGTTTGGTCTTAATAATTCAAGATTATGTATTCTCTGCAGATTAGTTAAGAGCATGTGCAAATCCATTGACGGTATTAATGCATTCCAAATCTATAAATGATGAATAATTATTTAGCATCAATACAAAATACACAATAGCATAATAACAATTTTTGTTATTTATGATATATACTTCTTTAGACTTTAACAAATGTCCAGGTACATGATCTAATGTCAGTTTATAGGTTTCTAAAAGAGCAGCAGCCCGAACTTGGTCGCTGCAGTGTTTAAAGTCTTCAACATTTTTAATGTATTCTATTATTTCCGTGAATTCAGAATTCTCATCAAACGATTTATTAATTTCTTCCAAACCTCGTATTATATATTTAAAAACAATTTCTCCACCTATTTAATAACGCATTATTTAATCCATTAAAACGGTTATTTATCCGATAAGTGCATTTTAACAAAATAAATACCAGGATTCTTGGATACAGGATGTGATAGTTTTATGATATCTTTATGCTTCCAACCGTATCTGCCTCTATACCTTGTTACACACTTTGCCAACTCCATTGGAGTTTTTGACAAATACCAATGATTTACAGCCTTTCTTAAGCCTTGACCCCATCCATGCTTTGAACTACTATTTGCATCCAGTTCTTTTTGTTTACTTATTTGGGAAGCAAATTTGATAAACAAGATAAAATGTTGCGGGGATGCACATATTTTATTCAGGGCTGCGTAAGCTGCATGACGTAAAGTCTCACTTTTCATTTGTCTACAGCAAACAGCAAGTGCAAATACTAATGTTTCTGGATTTGGAACAAGGTTACTTTCAAATGCCTATGATAGAAATTAATTATTAAAATTAATTAAAAATCTGAATTACTTGTAGATAATTGTTTTCTCTAAGCAAAATACAATTGTACCTTTGTAATAATTTCCACTGGTAACAGTTGCTTCTCTATATTCTCTGCGAGTTCTTCTATAGATGGAACATTTTTAGCTAAAAAGTAATTATGGACAAACCAATTTCCTGGTTGATAATCAGGATATTCTTTTCCAACATAAAGAAATTGTGATAAACGTATTTGAGGATCATTCGGATCCAAGTCTACTGCCATTTCTTTTAATACACAGTGCTGAAAGTATTATTTAAAGATTTATACACGCATATATGTACATACATATATATATATATATGCCTATACATGAAATGTTTAAACATTTATATTCCTTTTACAACAAGATTGAGTATTTATTTGACTCTTTATAAAAATAATTTATAGAATCTAAGCTTGATGCAATGCATAACTAACGCAATAACAGGTATCACTGGATGACCTGATAAGGTAATACGAAAATACGATATATGCTATTATAATAAACACGCTCGACTTCGTGCATCGTGCAACTAGGAAAATGTTCCCTGATTATAACAAACTTTATTGTCGAATAATAGAAACGTCATTACGTATATTTTGATTATCGTTACCTTGTGTTAACTGAAAAAGAAACAATTTGAAACACAACCATACAGAAGGACGTTTTTGTGACGTATAGAACTGTACTTACTACCATGTACTATTGTGACTACTGGCCAGTACAGACGGAACAAGTTATAAGATCTGTAGATCTTGCGTCAAGTATAAAATATGAAAGCTCATTGACCCCTAGAATTATTATAAATGTTTGAACAATGTCCAACTTTTTGTTCGATTAAAAGTACAGTTTTTTAACTTTTTGAAGTCTTTACTTAATCTTGTTCTTTCTCTTTCTATTAGAAATTGATAGATTTTCAAATATTTTCAAATGATTTTTTACCGAACGCAGTGTCACCTTGCACAGAACAATGGTGTAACATATATCTTTTTATTTTATATAATAGAAAATTTCTTATTTAGTTACCAATTTCTTCAATGATATATATAATGTATATCATTAAAAATAAAAGCAGAAAATAATATTATTAATTTACATTTATTGGTGTATGTAAATTTGTGTATTTCTAAAATTTTATAGGATTATGATTGCAAATATCTGTGGATTGTATTCTTTTTTTATTTCCTGTAATAATTAAAGTATGAACGGTTTATTATATATAAATATACATTATATTTTTATAAAAAAGTAAATTATTGTTTTATAAGTTGGTATTTAATTTTGATGGGGTCACGAGATCTGTATGTATGTGTGTATGTACAACATACTAGCAGTGACTATAGATACAAAAAGCCTGGATATGTCCTTTGTTCACCTTCGATCATGCTCCGCCACGCTCGGCGTCCTTCTAGGGAAAATGGCGGTCTAAGCCAGTGGAGCCAAGTTTGTCAAGCAATGATAATAACAATTGTTCAATCTTGTGCTGCTTTTGACTGATTTCTACGAAAAAAAAAAAAATAATATCAAAGGGAGTAAAAATTTGGTCTTTTTGGTTTTCAAACGTCAGTCTTTGGTGCGGTAAAAGAGGGACTGGTAAAACAGGCGCGATTATCATACCGGGGGATGCTAGCGCCATCTATCAGGTACTCGCGGAAACTACACGTCGTTTAGTTTCCACGTATTTCTGATAGATGGCGCTCACGGTCCTCTGTTTAGGAATATCGACCGGTTAGTTGTCGAGTAGTTTGATTCGCTTGTGTATAGATGGCGCTGAGATTGAATTTCAAAAAAATACTTGGTTTATGGAGGTCTTTTTAAAATACTTTTTAAAATCAGTTTTCGTCCTTGTGCCAATTGTAACTGATTTCTAAAAAGAAGAAAAAATCAAAGAGAATCAAAACTATGTCCTTGCGGTTGTTAGTTCGGGATGTCGTAAAAGGTACTGGTAAAACAGGCGTTGGGGTGTCTGAGACCCCATAAAATCATGACTCCCTCCAAAGCAAAGGCATGTCCAGTTTTGTTGTAATTACCTGTAGTCACAGACTGGTGAAACTTTCAAAAAAGTAATGTCAGTTATATGGCGGCCATGGCGGAGTGGTTGCAATTGAAAATTTTTCGTCTTAGCGAACTAAGTGACGTTGAAGAGAAGAAAAATGTTCTATCAGAAATTAAGATTAAATTGGGAAATCAGAATAACAGAGAAGCTGAACAAATTTCTCGTAATGTGGATTTTCGTCAATTATTTACACAATTAACCTCGAATGACAGGTATAATAAGAGGGATAATTTTTTTATTTTTTTTTATATATAATTAAAAAGAAATATGAAAGAAATTTGCTATAAATGAGAAGGAACACCTTTCGTTTCTTCTTTACTGTTTATTTATTTAGTTTATTTATCAATGAGTATATTGTTGGAAGTATATTATTATATAATGAAATGTCTGAAATTATACATTTACCAGCGGTTTTTCCATTGCAGAGAAGTTATACAGGAAGTGTGTGAAATTTTGAAGATATTGTTTACTATCACAGAAGCTGGGGAAGTATACGAAAGATATTCAGCAGAAATATTGGAATTATTAAATCATCCAGATGGCATAGTTAGATCCATTGTTTTGCATGAAATTTTATGCATCGCTTCTAATCCCGAAAAGATATCTTTGTTGTTGACGGATATCAATGTGCTGGTGACTGTTATAAATAAAATTGCAGATGATAATTTAATGGTAGCTAAATGTGCAATGTGTGTAATGAAAGAAATTGGTAAAAATTCAAATGGATTACAGATTTTATACACAGGTGAATCGTTAAGTAGTTTTGCTAGGCTATTGGTAAAAAATGATATCATCAGTTTTCGTGTATACGAAGTGGTTGTGGATATTGCAAAATCTTCAAAGGAAGGCTTAGAAGCAACTGTTAGATCAGGATTTTTGAATAGTTTGTTGGACATCCTGGAAAGCAATGATATATTAATTGAAGTAAATGCATTAGAAATTTTGACACAGTTGGCATTAACAGAAGAAGGGTTGCGTTATTTAGAAGAGCAAGATGTGTTGAGAAAATTGGTTGAAAAAATAGCACAAGCTAATGAAAGTCCATTGTCAAATTTATTGGTTCCTGGTTTGATGAAATTTTTTGGTAACGTTGCACGTTATTGGCCGAATGAAATATTTTCAAAGTATCCAATTGTTGTTTCTTCGCTGTTCGAAGTAATAGAAAGCGGAGATGAAAGTATACTTGGTGTTGCATTAGATACATTGGGACACGTATCAGCGAGTGTAGAAGGTAAATATACTTTGCAAAGTTTAGGGGATGCAATGCCATGTGCATTAAAAAAAATCGGCGAGATAATACAGAGAATGCCTACAGAATTAAGAATTCGTGGGTTGAATAATTTGGCTCTTATACTCGATGTACCAAAAGTAGAACAGGACAATAGAATTTTGTCATTAACGAAATCATGGTTCGATGCTTTATGCGATGATTCATTGGGCATGATTGTAACGATATGCAGACAACCATTTGCAGACATTAGGCAAGCTGGGTTAGAAGCGTTAGCGGTTATAGCATCTCAAATATGGGGTCAAGAATACATATCGTCTTATCCAGGCCTTGTAGAATTCTTATTGGATAGAAACATTGAAAGTTTCAAGGAATGTAAGGAAGCGAAATACGAAGTTGTAAAACAGTTAGTCCAGGCTGAAGAAAATATATTTGATGCAAATACAATAGAAAAGTTGAGGGAATTTGTAAGTCAAGGAGCCCACTATGTAGACATCGGTACAGAAGTCGCAATAGAAGGTGGCCTGTGAAACGTTATTTCTATTTTTGTTACTGTATTACTATATTGAGATATTAATAAACGAGAGTTATTTAAAGCATGGTATGATATAAAACAGTAAGAAGCAAGTAACTTTTATGGTAAACTTTAAAGAAAGAGAAAATGAAAAATGGTATATTTTCTACACACTTTGTGTGAAAATAAAATGCATTGATAAAAAGAAGAAAGGTAGAAATTCTTTCCCGTAGGATGAAAAAGTCAGACATACAAAGACAAATAATTTATTTTATAAGTAACAATTTTTCAGTAAAATTAAGGCTAAAGGAATGTGTGTTGGACTTGCACCATATTTGTAACATGTCAACGTTTTCTCACTGGTTTATGCTTTCTTTTTTTTTTTCTTTTTTCATCACATTAATTACATTAAAACATAAAATAAAGACGTACAAATAGTTTTACGAGACATGTTTTACCACTGCCTCATTGTATGCACTTTCGTTTTTTGGGAGAAAGTATTTTCAACATGCTCACAATAGGGGCCTCGAAGGAGACCGAGATGATGAACGACAACAAGTACGAGAGCACCAGTTGGCCGAAGAAAGTAATCATCTGAAAATCGTATATGATTGGGTGAATCAATGAATCTATGAATCTATGAATCTACGAGAAAAAAAAAAAGGATCAAGTCATTACCATAGTATAGTTTCCTAAATGAAACGGTGAGTCCAAATTCATAGCTGTTAATCGAATGACGAGCGGATGCACCAAGTAAGCACAGTATGTTATCCTGCTGACCGGATAGAGAATCGGTGCCGACAGAATGCTATTGACATATCCTGTATTGAAAGTGAGGATTTTTAAATGAAAAATGAATTACCAAGACGCTGTTGGAAAATGAAAAATATGTAATTGTATTAAAAAAAAAAAAAAGAAGAAGAAGAAGAAGAAATGTTTACCTCCATAGCCTGTGCTGCAGGCGACAACGATCCATGATAAACCAAGCGCCCAGATGCTATGACTTAACGAGGAATAAGCTGCTGACATTATAGGAGTAAGTTCTGTCTCGTACAAACCGTACAACAAGCTCAAAAGACATGCCGAAGAGAGAAGCCAGCCAATGAAGACGGTCGTCTAAAAAATGGCCAGCATATTAGATTTATCTATTAGAATTTTTCATACGGAACAGAGAAAATCTTTCATTTACCTTGGACATGTTCAGTTTGCAATCAGTCTTAAAAAGAAAGTATCCTATCGACATGCCTATGAGATAGGGACCTAGTCTGGTCCACGGTTTGTCGTAGATTTTATCGAATAATGCCAACGGGTCGTCCGAGCTTGGCATATGATTGTTCACCAAAGCGATGTAACCCGTGGTTAACCAGGAACTAAGTAACAAAGTGGTCAATGCGAAAGTAGCAATCTTGAAGTGGTTAGTAGCCAAGATTAGTATTACGGCACCGACTGTGTAGAATTGCGTGTCATCCGCAACGTACCAGCTCCAAATCATACACTAGAAAAAGTAGGATGTACGTTTTGGGAGAGAAGATATTATAAATGATATACATGATATTATGAAAACACTGACCATTTGATCGACTGGGAAGAGTGTATTAATATAAAGGAAATTTCTCCACCAATAATTAGGACAATTGTAATGATCAGCTGTTGGTGGTTCAAAGACAGAATTGGAATGAAACCATTTCATCGCGACTTGTACCACTCCAAGAACATACATGTACGGAGCTGTCAATCGACAGAATCTGTACATAATAAGTCCGACGAACTTGAGACCCCCAGCTATGAAACCCTTGGTACCGTGGGTTAATTTATTCAAGTCTCCTTTCGCGTTCGTTCGAAAGTACAAGAAGCTGACGAGTAAACCACCCATAAAGAAAAACGTATCGACACTGAATGCTCCATTGGTAATTGTTTGGAAGAGAAATTTCCTTTCTACGACTTTGCGATACTCCATGTTGTCGGAGTATTTGAAGGCAGTGATGCAGGTATGACCAAGGATAACCCAGGCCATGGATATCGCCTTCAAACCGTGGATAGTGCTTATAGTGTCACCGCCAACTTTGTCATCGCAGATGATGTTCACGTTGCCGCGTACCGAGAAGGAAAGCATCAGTTCTTCGATGACCGCTGCAAACGAGGTAATTAGATTTTACCAATTTACATACCTAGAATTCTCTAGAAACGCGAATTCCCTGGAATAACTTACCGAATTGATGTACTTGCGGACTAGCCGATCGTAGGCTACCACCCTCGTGATCATTGTTGTTATTAACCGGCAATGACTGTGATCCGTTGATGATAGTTTCAGTTGCTGGAACAGGAAGGTAGACCTTACCTTGAAAAGTTATGGAATATAATTCTTAGCGTGTATTGTCCTTGTACCGTGCTAGCCCCCGTAGTATGTAGAACGTTGTTCGTTCTGGAGAAGCTCTGCCCTGGAGGGCAGGAGGGTATACATATTTCAAGCGTATTAAACGGAAATCATTCGCGTCCTTACCACTTAATGGCTTTTCATTTCCAACAGCCAGTTGTTCTAGTTTAGCGTGCCTTTCTAAATCGTACATCACGTTTCTACCACGAGTGTATTTTCTTGTTATATAAAGGTCGTAGCCAGTACCAATTGCCATTAGAGTGATAACCATCGCGCTTACACCGCTGCAATAAATTTGTAATATTCATTCGAAATGAAAGGATTACGATTAGGCAAGATTCGAAGGTTGATGGTACAATAGAACGTACAATAAGATCCAGAAGACTGGGTCCTCGTACATGTTGTACATGTCGTGTTGATCACGAATCTTCTCGATGGACGAGTGTTTGGTTGCTAATTGACTCGCGGCCAATTTTGCTATTACGGAAACATCGGAAGCGCTGCATGAAAATGGTAGACAGACTCCAAGATAGATGGTTCTTGTCTGTGAATGAAAAAGAATCATAGTTTTTTTTCCATCTAGCCCATCTATGGTAAAGATAGAGGAGATTATTTACCATAGAGGAGAGTGATACGTTTACTGAAATGGTCATCATATAAAATCCCAATTTGAAAGGTGCTTTGTCCGATCTAGTTTCACTCCAGAGATTATTTCCACTAAAACCGTCGTTTCTTTTTCGCGGTTCCGTATTCGCCAGGTCCCGTTCTTCAACCTCTTGCTGGTGGTTCGTTTTCATTTTTCTGCTATAGTTTTCGTTAATATAAGCGCACTCGGTTGACGAACCAACGTAATAAGAGTTTCCCCAGAAGAAACCATTGGTGTATCTGCCCGAGGCATCGTCCACTGGAACAGACAATCAGTAAAATCGCTTTAAAACATCGGGGGTCAGATTATATTATACTTATATTATAGTATATATTTTGTAGTCGACGACTAAACGAAGTTGTAAGTTGTAAGCTGTAAGCTGTAAGCTGTAAATTAAAGTTTAAGAAGAAGAAAGAAAGTTGAACGTACTCTCAAAGACGCTAGTATGGCATTGAACAAGATATGTACATACATACATACATACGTCGTTATTACGAGTAAAAAGAGTTTTACAAAAGAAACGAATGGCATAGGTTCTGTGCAAGGAGTATGACCGGTTTGCAGGAAAGTCTGTTCCTCGAAGCATTACCTCGACCGTTCATGGTCGAGGTTTGCTCGTCACAGTTCAAGGGCTGTTGCAATAAGCGTTAGTGAAAAGAAAAAAAAAAAAAAAGCCTTGGTCTTAATTCGCTGCATGCATTCTTTGTTCGTTACTACATTGTCAATTACGAGTAATCGTAATTGTTGTATCGGTTTCAAGAGCATTCTTTCAAATTCTTCTCAACATTTCTAAGCTTTCAATTAAGTAAAGTAAAAGTTCCTTCGGGCAGAAAAATTAGAAATATTATTGGATCATTCAACAACCACTACTTTTAGCACCATGAAAACGTGCCAGATATCACGTTCCGGTCAGGGAAAGTAATTTGAAAAGAGAAAGGCTCTTCTTTACATAGCTGATCGTGTTGCAATATTAATGTCCCTCTGAACGAGAACGTGGACGTGGACGTGGACGATACAGACGATGACAAAAAGGATGCACTTTGGTTGCATCAGAATGAAATTATAACGCGTCCAACCTTTTCTCGCCTAATTGTACTTTGGTAAAGTAAGTAGTATCGCTTGAATGGTTATCATTTTATAGCGGATTTAGTGTTTAATCAAGTAGAAAGATGCATCAGATTCTCATTTTTCTTAATCGTATTAATCGTATTTGGCCCGTTGCGTTGCACAACTCGCACGCTCTGGTACAGCTACTTTCTACTTTTCGTATAGTTTTAATAAGCGATGACGTTCAGATAGGACAATAAAGTCGTTAATTATTTATTTATCAGAAGAAACTTGTTTAGGCGGTGGGTGCACGTAGAAAGTAGATAAAGGAACATATCTGTCTTATATAATCGAAACATTAATCTCTAATACAAGTTGCAAGTCTACTATCAGGTTGCTGCATAACTTGTATCTATTATGAAACAATGTAGAAAGATTTCACTTTTTTCTGACATGAGTGAAATGCGGAGTAATAAAGCTACTTTTTATGAAAATACTTTCAACAATTTTTTCATATTAATTACCTATGCCAAGATAAACGAGAGTTACGTATTCTTCATCTAATTTATGCAAGAACATGCAAGCACGGCATTCGCTTAAATATTCTGATGGCTTTTAGCTGATAAAATGAATTTGATTTTACAAAATTTCGGGCTGCTGTTAAAAGAAATAATCAATTTGAAAGGAAAGCTGATGAGTAACCTGATACGTAATATTGCTAATAATCCTCTACGAACTAGGAAGCTGTTCAGATTTTAATCGTTATGTCAGCTTTCTGATAACGTAAGAAAGATAGAAAGAAAGAGGATAAAGTGAAATGAAATAAGAAGAAATATAATATTCAAGAAAAGTTTGCTTACGTGAAAGTTACGCGTTTGCAAACCCGGCTTCCACGCAATCCTTTCAATTCAAACCCACAGTGACGTAATTTCGATAATTGTCGCGGTTTCTACTTCGACTTGTACTCTTTAGCATGAGTCTTCCTTAAACTTTCTAATCTTACTACTAATCTATCTATTTATAATATTTGTAATATTTGTAATATTTGTAATATTTGTAATATTTATAAATTTTATAGAAATTGCTAACATAAAAAATTTACAAAAAAGTTTTGGGTGTTGTAGGAGTACATAAATATTTTTACTTTTACCAATCTTTTTATTACCGGCTATATACGCCATACGCCATATGAAATCTCTAGGTTTGTCGATTTCAATGAATTTTCAACAAGTAAACTGAGCATTGTGAACGTTCAGAAAGTGAAGTATAAACCGGAAGTTTGAATGTAGGTTAAGCAGGATCGAAAGTTAAACACAGAATGGTTCTCACCATTAATGGTCGTCGCTATGATAATGTCATAACGGCAATGCTCCTAATCTTTCGCGACGCGATGCGACGCGACGCGACGATCTTCTTCCTTTCACCTTTTCCCTTTGCAATTGTACAAATTTAATCTTCTCTACGATGATAACAAAGCACGCTCTTCCTTCAGAGGAGAAAGCGAAGAAATTTCCTTCCATTCCGTTCCGTTCTGTTCGAATTTTTCTCTTGGAAAATTAACAACGAATTCTAACCGGAAACAATGAATGTCATAGAATAACAGCGATATACGACAAACTTTCTATCTTTCTCTGATAATATCGTTACAAGTTTTGGATCAGTTTAGAAATGAAATTTAAATCTTTCATCTAAAACCTAAAATATGGAAATACGTTTAAACATTCTAAAATGGTAGAAAGTTTGAAAATTTCACTGGTTTCCTCCAGTTGTTTATTACCGTTCGATGTTTGATTAAGTACTTCTTCTTCGTAACGTCGAAAGTAACGGCGAAACAATTCGTACCGTTTATTTATCTGTATAATTTCGAAGATATGTTTAGAAGATCGTAAGAAATAAGGAAGCAACGAGGTAGTAGCTGTTCTTCGACCAAGGGATAACCTTGGCACACTTAACCCTTTCACCTGTATCGTACAAAATTTTTCAAAATGAATCTTAAAGGTGTAGCGAGACAAAAGAAATATTGTATATGACTCTGGTATGCCGGGTGACATTCTTTTATCGACATGTTGCAATCGTTGCAATCGTTGCAATCGATAATTGTGGGTAAATTTATATTTACGATAGCTTGGGTTATCCAGTTGTAGTTGCAATTAAAATAAAAAATGAACATTATCAGTTAAACATGACCGTTGTCAAGGCGATCGTGGAAGTCACTGGTGGTTTGCTCTTTGTGTCGCGAAAAGTGAAATTTCACGATGAAAGTAGACAAACCGGGAGGAGGAACTACCTGCTGGATGGCAGATGTCTAATCGAGGACGTTTCTGGCAAAACCACTCGCGTGACCTATCAAACGAAATTGATCTATAAAAGAAAGAGAGAGAGAGAGAGAAGAATACTGATTATACGAATGAATTAGGTAAATATTATAAACCTTTAAAGTGTCAAAATGTTCCAAATTTAATGCTAATTTTCAATTATTACATTTACCAACTATCGAGTTTATGCATTTCGAATCGGCAAGTGTTCTCATCCATTTATTATGATTTAAATTTTCACTCTACCTTTCATTGCCCATCCTTCGTTTCTTCTCAATCCTTCGATATATCTTGTCACATCTTTGTCGCATTGTCCTTCGACCGGATGCTTCCCTTCGGTCCAGTTACTGGCAAGGTGGTGCACGTTAAAAATGTCCAATACCTCTGACAAGGTAGTCCAGTTTTTCTTCGGAATTCCTTCGATAACGCCTGCTGTCCAACTTTGTGTTCGTTGGCTTGGCAGAAGATCTTGTATAGGATTTTCTGAAACGTTCGAGGACGACTTTGCCCGGTGTACTGCGAGCCACCACACCAAAACGGCCCAACACCACGATCGGTTCATTGTATTTATATGAAAAACCGAAACACTGCTCTGTATTACACTGCTTGATATTGTTCGAATATTTAATTAATCCCGAGCGATCATGATCAAAATACCACGTGTTTTTTTTCGTACACTGCTGGAAACTCTTCACTGCTCTCAAGTCCTCTAGAAACGTTCTTCTTCTCGGAACGAATCTTGTTAAATATCACAACAACAAGAGAAAATATTACGTTCACTGGTCGAGGTTGATCAAAGAAAAAATGAAGGAAAATAAAAAATGAAGAAGAAAAAGAAGAAGGAGAATTTCGATTAGCTTCTTCTACTTTAGAGGATATTTCTTCAAGAACCTCCTCTTTCGTTCTCGTTCTCATAATTCCCGAGAAGAACAGACGCGATTCACCTCGACCAGCCAGAAACGACCCGAGTGTCTCCTTCTGTCTAACTACCTGCTGGTGGTTCCTCCTCGTTCGGTGGTCAACAATAAGCTAGAACGACGAGGCTGACTATGGTGGAAAAATGGCTCCTCCGGATGAATATCTTGGTAGTAATGAAAGTACCAAGATACATGGTGGGGAGCAAACCTCCCTGTACTGAAAAGTGACTGTCAGTGGCCGGATATTTTAGCCGGCCGACACACGCACCATGCCTCTCGTATTTAGCATAATTTCGTGTCCGTTCGCCTACAAAATTTTTTCGGCTTCCTTATAAATGATAAATATTTCAACGAAACTAAAATCAATTGAAATATCGTGGAGATAGTCTTTAGCGTGCGTTCGAGACTAAAGATTTATCGTTAGTATCGAATAAGTAGTATAAGACACGCTACAGGTGATTGGTTTCGAACACGTTAAATATAGTCAAACATTGTTCTTCGGCGGGTAGGATGTAAAAAAGAGGAAAGGAGCCAGATTTAGCTCGTTAAAATTAGAAAGCTTACACGAAACCAAAGATTTATAATACTGAACCGAACCGAACCGAACCGAACCGAATCGACAAAAATGTTTAAACACCGACGACTGACTGACCTTTGTAACTAGTCTCTTCTCTGGTAGATTTTTTTCTTTTTTTGCATAAAATATTTTGGAATTTCGTATGAAAATAATTTTCACCTTTTTCTCTTTTATTCTCTTTCTTTTGGATATTATAGAAAACAAACGTTCATTTTACATACACGTATATTTCATGGATACAATAATAATCAGGTAGAAGACATTGCTAGAAAAAGCGAATTAATAACTAGTAACCAGCAATGATGTTACGTAGCTTTTGACAATGTTTCGCATGAGTTAGTAGGATATTTTCCATATCTATCGTATAATAAAAGTTTCACCGTGAAACCATCTACCTGCAATTAGAGGAGGATGGTTTCTACAGAGTAGAATAGCGTTTTGTCGAACGCTGTCATTTACTGCTCGCTCGTGCTGAAATTCAATTTCATTTTCCTCATTTTTCCTCTTTTCCTTCGTTTTTCTACATCTCCTTCTCCATCATTACACCGATCTATCCCCAGTGTCGCAATTCTAAGTAGTTAATTAAAGTGAACCGTAACAGAAGCATCGGTAAATCGTATTCGAAGCGCATGTCCAAATGACAAACTGAATACGATGCACTTACAAAACGTAATACCTTTTTTTTATTTTCACCGTAGTAAATATTCTGGTAAATATTTATCGACACGTTGTTGTCTAGCAAAGGAATGATCGGTAGCGAGCGAGAAAGATGAATAATTAGCAATTACGAAATAGTAAGCTGGAAATGATAGATTTGGCTCTTCGCTTATCACTCTTGAACACTGACGATGAGAAACATGGAAATAAGTAATAAATAAAAAAGAAAATTATCTACCTATTTCCCAAGTTTCAGCGAGATAGATTTCTGATCATTACTAAACAGACAGCATAGCAAAACATGTTTAATTCTACTATACCGATCGACATATTTAATTAGTTCAATCGAATCGATCGATTATAAAAGCGAAATCTTTATTTAAAATTAGAACCCAACCAATGAATTCAACAGTGAAAGTATTAGAAAGAAATCGATAACTATTTTCGGTATTGCCACGCACCACGTGTTATGAAGTTCAAACCAAGATGAATATCTTTCGTCATGGTAATTACGTTCATCGTTCAGGTTTGAATAATAATGAATAAGAATAAGATTGTCGTATTCAAAGTCTACATCATATTCTTCCTTTTCTTCTTGAGTTCTTGCATTCTTCATCTTTCTTCTACCTTTTCTTTTCCTTTTTCTTCTCTGCAGCGAACAATAGCAAATCATGGAAGACGTCCAAGGGAAATTTATGTTGCGAATACGTGACACCCACTATCAAATTGTTAATAAGAAGAAATAAAAGAAAGCTGCAAATCATCGTTACTTTGAAGTTTCATCATGTAACGATTACCTTTTATCGAACGCGTTCGTTTAGAAATCTGCCAAATCATTCTGAAGAATCTTTCATTCTGAAATCATTGTTGATATGGTATTTTATAATAATTCAATATCTGGTCAAAGTAAATTAAATTTCATATCTTCTTCTTTTTCCCCGAAAAAAAAAAACAACTTTTCTACCAGTTTATCGTTCAAATTAAACGAAACGAAACGAAACGAAACGAAACGAAGCGAAGGTCCAAAATTGGCTTTGGCCGCCGATGGTTGACCTTTCTTGTTGAATGATTTCCATGTTTCATCAATCATCAATTTTCTGTTACAAAATTCTTCACCTTCGGATACCGTATCTCTTGTTGTTTATCTGTCTCTCTGCTTGCACATTTTCCTGAAATATCGTTTATGGTAAGGCTTATGGTAAGACGATGCCAACGGCTCCCATACAGATTTAAATCTGTTCATAGTAAATTTTAAACAGTATCTTGGGATGGTAATGTCGGTATTTTAAGTAATTCGTATTTGGAAACGAATCGAGAAGTTTAAAAAATCCACTTATACAAGTATGTATACACAAACAGACATGTATACGTATAGACTGCTTTTTAATTGCTCGACTAGTCTTCCTTGAAATTCTTCCTCCGGTTTGTAAATTTCCTGGATATTGCTTTCGAAATTTTTAATACAATTCGCTTTTTTTAATAATCTGATGAAAACATGTATGTACATACATAGTTGTTGTAAACTCAGGAAGTGCTTGTTATTTTTCTACGTTTTGAGCATAAGTAAATCTTATTTTTGACTTATATTTGCCAAGTTTCTTATATAATGTGTGCCGTTTCGCAATCAGTTATATTGTGTCTGTTGTTAATCAGAAAGTAGACCAGTGAGAAGTTGATTGTTTCTGTCGAACATACATAATGTTGTTCAATTAGATTGTTTTCTTCCATTGTCTCAAAGGATGAACTATTCTTAGTAAAGACACCATGGGAGCTTCGAAGAACAAGCTGAGGAATAATGAAACTGCGTACGTTGAGATTACGAATCCAAAAAATAGTATTGCCTGTAATAAAATATAACGATTATACATGTATGTAGATAGAATATTTCTACAGACTAAATTTTGTCTTTATTTCGAGCGGTATTCCTGAACACTTTCTCCGGTAGAAAGGAGGGAGAAGGTGAAAGAAAAGAGAGTGGGGAATGAAATAAATACCAGAAGAGAAGTTGTACGAGTCGAAATCTAACGGAGTCTATGTACAGAAATGGAATTGGATAGGTTTGCCAAATCGATAATGAAATTATTCAACTGTCGTGAAAATCTCATACCATAAGCCCTTGCGTTAAGTGCATTGAAGCTTCTCCTCGTAACACAACTGCTCGCATGATGGCAGGATGTATCAAATAGGCGCAATAAGTCAACCTAGAGAGAGGATATAAACCTTTCCAGGATAGTACTTTATTGACTATACCTGAAAATATCATAAATATCATAAATATCATAAATATCATAAATATCATAAATAATGTGTAAAACTACAAACCTCCGTGTCCAGTGACGCAAGCTATTAAAATCCATGCTATGGAAATCGCCCACCCAGAATGTGATAACGCGGTATATACAGCAGCCATAAATGGTCCAAACATGGTTCCGTATAATCCATACACTATACTTATCATGATGATGAAAGAGAGAATCCAATATACTAAGGCTATAGTCTGTAATATCAGGGAGAGACACTTGATAGTTGAGAATATTCCGTAATTGTATTGTTTAACTACATACATATAGTGGATAGTGGAAAAATACTCACTTTACTGACTGACAATTTGCAGTCAGATTTATAAAGGTACCATCCTGTTAGCATTCCAAACAAATACGGTCCGATTCTGGACCAGGGTTTGTCGTACAGGCTCTCGTAATGCGCGAATGGATCCTGAATACTATAATCAGTCTTGATTTATTTGAAATTCTTCTTTGAAATATTAATCGTTATAATATCAGAAAAATTACCTCGGTACATGGCCCATGTTTAAGGAGATAATCACTGTGGTAATCCAAGATATAATTAGAATGGATATTGTCATGATGCTGGCAGTACGAAAGTGTCTGGAAAAGTAAATTTCAAATAGTATTGCTTTGATACATATTTCAAATTGAAATCTGCCGATCAACAATGACCTTTTTTTCTTTGAGAAAAAGAAATGATAAAGCATTCTTCATTTACCTTACAGCAATTATAAGAATAATTATCCCAATGGTATAAAATAGCGTATCATTTGCTAAATACCAGCTCCACACGATACACTATTAAAACAGAAAATTATAAAATAACAAGGCTTTTTATTACTATAACAAGGATCGTCTACTCACTCGCTCATCCATATGGAAATAAGTATTAATGTATAAAACATTTCGCCACCAGAATTTTCTGCAATTTTTATAATCGAGTGTGTATATGTCGAGCATCGTGTGACTATAATACCAGCTCATAAACACCTCGATCAAACCAATTACTAAAAGGTAAATCGGAGTCAACCGAAAGTATCTATACCATATCATTCCTAAGAACTGGAAGAGTTGACCAGTGTTACCCTTCACCACCTTCTTCTTTTTTATAACATCTTTCGTAATCGTACGAAAATAAAGAAACGATACTAAACATCCACTAGAAGAAACAACGTTTCATTTATTTTTAGTTGTACATACGAGTATAAGTTTTCTTAATACCTTATAAAGAAAAACGTGTCGACAGCGTACGTGCCATTACTGATGGTTTGATAAAAGAAATCATTTTCCGCGTTTGATTTGAACGTTTTACCCTCTGCGATAGAAAAGAAATATGCAAAAGTTTACATTGCTTTACTTAAACAAATTACTATGTATTAATTAAGTTTTTATTTACCAGAAAGTACGTTCACGGTTAAACAAGTGTGAACAAGAATGACCCATATTATAGATAAAAATCTTAATCCGTGAATAGGTGCCAAAGTATCAGTTCCGACATCGAAACTAAAAAGTTTTGAAAGATTCAACAGCAAGCTGAAAGATAGCAGTGCTTCCGACAGTGGTTTTGGTACGCTATCTGAATCATATATATCTGAAAAATTCCATTGAATCCATCATCATCATCATCATCATCATCGCTTATGATGATTTCTGGAATTAAAGAGAAAAGAAAGGTACCCAACGTTCCATTATGTTTCTTGACCGACCATAATTTCGCGATCGTAATTTCTTCGACTGTAGTAGTTTCATTAATATTCATACTTTTCATTTCCGATTCATTTTCGTTTCTCATGTTTTGGTTTGTTTTTTCGGCGTATAATACCTGATATCTGAGATAAATGTCGTAGAAAGTAGCCAGGATCACCAACACACCCACTATGATGAATGTCACTCTGCAAATCGTGTCTTTATTCAGTTATCAAACCATGCTAATTATGATGATTTTATGAAAGAATTGAGCACAAGTACAATAAAGCATAGAATACTCTGTCTTCCCAAAGCGTGTATCCTTTCGAGAGGTTCCTAACATTTTCAATCACGATTTTCATGGATGAATTACTTCTCGATGGATCTTGAGCAAAGTATAACAGCTTTTCAGTGTCCTTTGTGTCACAAATATCGGGTAAGCATAGTCCAAAAATGATTTTGTAAGTCTAGAACAAATTGATCATACATACTATGTATATTGAATGAAAAACGACTGATAATAATCGTAGATGGTTGGTTACGAGTTGTGCTCTCGAGAAAGTGAATGTAATCGTGTTGCTTTTACCCCTTTCTATAAAAGTTTTCTTTCACCTCTATTTAGAATCAAAGTTACGCCAGAAACAAGTTACTTACGTTGTAGATATAAATTTTTCCGTATATCGCTTGAAATTATTTAAACGTTTAGTACCTATACGCTTTTAAACGGTACCGGTGGTTAATTCAGATGATGAAACTGAACTCGGTAACTAATAAAAGTTGTGAGCAGCTTGAAAAAAGTTTCAGATCAATTAACCACCGGTACACCGATACATCGTTTACTTAACACATACCTCGTTAAGCTTAGAACTTGGTACGTTTAGGTTGAAGGTAACGGATGACATGCTGACTAGAAATGGTGGTAGATTACTTTCGCGTTCAATCGTTTTGCTCTTTTGCCGCCATTCGATGAATTTCATCTCCATTTCACGACATTGGTCCACAGCTCCTAACCAGTACACATTGCCGGATAACAAACCCCAGGTGTATCTTCCGGTTGCATCGATCACTACGGACAAGAATGTAATCGTATTACATATGTATTAGGTACTTACATAGTTCTTTCGAAATTTCAATCTATCCTATTCGATTCGTATTTCTTTCGTAAAAAAATGATTAGACCTTTTAGGTAATTGTTAGAACGAACAGGTGATCACTGCTTACAAATGTTATTTCGTGAATGTTACGCGAATGAGAGTTGTAAAAATGAACTTTCCGAAGAAAGTCTCATCCATCACGGTTAAACCTGTCTTCTAAGGTGTTCTAACGACTTCCGTACATAGTACATAATACATACGTTACCAATTGCGCATTTCCTCATACCATGAAAACTTCAAACTACTTTCCTTATAATTGCATTCGAATATCGTGATTTACAGATAAGGAATAATCTTTTATGCAATAGGTATTTCATTATTACCATAATATGTATATGTATTTATAAACGTTAACGTGAGTATACTGCCATTTTCTCGTGTCTAAAAATTTAAAATATCACTAAAAATTACAATGATAGATAATTCTACTGTGTGTGAATCTCTGAACGTGTTGTGTATGTTTATAATAAGAAAATCGTTTTTCTAATATTATACATATATGTATTATACTAATTTTACTTGCTTTTTAATGCCCATTCTTCTTTTGCCAATAGAGCTGTCAAATATTCTGTCATGTCCTTTTCACAATTCGCTGAAACGTTTAAGAATTTACGAGCCTCGAAATCCCAAAATTTTGCCATCGTGTAGGGGTTCCAAACATTTAAGTCATATAGGAATGACATTGACCGATTATCAGGATCCTCGGTAATATTCGATAAGCTCAAAATGTTAGTATTCACCTTTAACCGATCTACGTTTTCAAATTTCCCCGGTTTTTCATTCAATTTTAATCCTGCCACCAATCCACTTAGAAGTAACACAAATGGTAAACGATCACAAATCATCATTTTATTCGTAAATTACGTGCCTTCTTGTGTAATAATAATAACAATAAATCACTGATAACTTGTATTATGAAAACAAAAGATGCAAACTGCAAGTACCTATGTATTTTTTATCTATGTATGTATCTATAAGTAATGTACACACATCAGAATTTTATTATTTGCAAACTTTATAAAACGATCAAAGGCGTTGTACTCATAGTTACTGTAACAATTTGATTAAGTGCATGGTCAGATATACCCAGTTTACCGTCTCCCACCGTTCCAACCTTTCATTCTATTCCACTGGAACCAACGATTACAATTTCACATTCATTTTTAGACAATTTTTCCTTGGTAATGTATTATTGCTTTCTTTCCGTTGTTTCGATTGCCAATCCGTAACAAGTATTCATCTTTTATGGAAAACTTGTATGTATACATATAAATACGTACATATATCTCTTTTAACCGGAAGTGGTAGTTTCGCGTGGATACCGCGCAATCGTTAGGGAAAAACTTACTTTTAACATCCTTGTTTTTTCTGACAATTTTCTTGTCCATTGTTTGCAATATTAAAATCGTTACACTTTAATATACTTGTGCGTTCAAAATTTTTAAGGATTACTCGATTATTCTGTGCATTTCTATCGAAAAAAGCGCCTTTTTCTTCGGTCTGAACTTGTTGCGAAAGATACCCACATAATACATAACATTTCAAAGTTACGGAGTAAAGGTATTTGCCTGTTTTTTCTATTTTATTTCCAGTAATGGATATTATTGTAGATACCACGGGTCAGACAGATTTATTAACGAGAGATCGTTTAGTATACAGTGACGATGATGATTTCGACTTTGAAGATACAGGTAATGAAACGTAGTTCCTGATATAGTTGTAATTTAGGTTAAAATCCTGAGACAGGTTAACAATAATGTTCTGTTGTATTCACGTTGTATTACTAATTTAACAGGTACTCAGCGGAGAAAGTTTTTTGATATTGAGGAAAATTTACTAGAAAATGACGTTCGAAAGAAAAAGATAACATTCAATGTGTCAAAAGACATTAATCTCGATGAATTCGAAAGTGAAATGGGATGGTCAAATACTGCTCGACGAGATAAAAATAATAAAACGGCCCCAAATGTGATAGCTTTAAAACAAGAAGTAATGGCAATAGATGCCATTATGAAAAATAGTGTTATCAAACCTGGGTCGGAGCAATTAAAATATGTACATAACGTACACGTAAGCAAAAGAAAATTGCAAGCTAGAAAACATAGAGAACGCGCTAAAACCAAGGGTACAGGCTGGTTTAATATGCCTGCTCCTGAAATAACTCCAGAAATTAAACACGACCTTCAAGTTCTTCAAATGAGATCGGTATTAGATCCAAAACATTTTTATAAAAAGAACGATCTGAAAGTTTTGCCAAAATACTTTCAAATTGGTAAAGTTGTCGATACACCGTTGGATTATTATTCCGGACGTCTTACAAAGAAAGAACGTAAAAAGACAATTGTGGATGAACTGATGGCTGATGCTGAATTTTCCAAGTATAATAAACGTAAATATAAGGAGATTATTGATGAAAAGAACAAGTCGCATCATAAAGCTCATAAGCGTGCAAAGAAACTTAAAGGAAAGAAAAAATGATGCTTGTAATTATTTTTAAATATATATTTTAGACAAATAAATCACGCTTATAATCAAATTCATGTATATAAAAATTCAGGTCATTCCCCCTGTGACCTCGATGGAAGCACCATTGATATAGGAACTTTTACTAGATGCTAAAAATACAATAACTTCTGCTACTTCTTCCGGCTTTCCCATTCTACGAAGAGGTATTTTTTTTATAAACATTCCTTTTACGTTATCGGGTACTGTTTCTGTCATGGGGGTTTGTATGAAACCAGGCAGCACTGTATTGACACGGACTCCAAATCTATAATCCAAATATACATCTAACAGTGTGTTCTAACCTGAGAACATTGTAAAGTTATTACTTTCCGATACTTACTGTCCAAATTCTAAACAAGCGGTTCTTGTAAGAGCTATCACACCAGCTTTTGATGCAGCATAATTAGCTTGACCCATGTTTCCTACTTTCCCAATAATTGAACTTAAATTAACGATCGAGCTATCTTTGCTTACATTTGCATCAATCATTTCTTTCACTGCTGTCTGGATCATAAAAAATGTTCCCCTTAAATTTACATCCAACACTTGATCAAAATCATCCTGTGTAAGTTTTAAAATGAACTGATCACGTGTAATGCCTGCAGAATTGATGATAATAGTTGGCGGTACTGAATATTTACTTATTATACTTTGAAATGCCCCCTTAACGCTTTGTTCATTTGCAACATCTATATTCAATGCTAAATGATTGGAATCTAAAACAATAGTAAAACGTAAGTACATTATGGTATTATAAAAAGAAAACGTTAACAATTGCTCTGTATATGTACAAACCATTTAAAGATGCAACAGTTTCTTGAACATTGTTTAGGTTTCGATCGGCAGCAATAACTTTGGCTCCTTGCCCTGCCAAGGTACGGCATACTTCTCTGCCTATACCGCTACCTGCGCCTATACTTTCAATATTTCATATTAATCTTTGCTTTAAACGTAATCTTCTTTTTCACGATCAATTTTTTACCCACCTGTTACAAATGCTAGCTTACCGACTACCATTCTTGTTTCTTACATTAGCGGAAAATAACTGGTAACTGGTAAGTATATAAGTAAGTATGTACAAAGTCTAACGAGTTAATGAGTTGGTAATATCATGATATGTGGTACTGATATAGTGAATTCTGTTGAAATTTTATTTATTCTTACATTTTATGATTGGTTTACAGATTGAAATGTTAATTACAATTTAATTGCAAAATTAAATCGCCAATAAAAATTAGTCTCATCAGATTGCGTCATTTATACAAAAACGGTGGAAACTACTCGATAACTTATCGACTGAGTTTCGGAGAAAAATTTTGCGGAATTTTCAACATTGATTTACCTATTTCGAAACGAATTCGGTTGTTCTACCAGGTTAGTATATATATATTAGGACCTTTGCAATTAGGACCTTTGTTTCCTAGGTAACCGTACCATATGCTGCTGACGTCAAACTACGTCTGCAGTGACGTTAAAACGCAACACGAGTAGTACTACTAGTTACGTTTACGGAAAAATTGAACTTGAATTATAGTTTTATAGTTGAACCGATCGTTCCTCAACAACGATGGAAACAGTTTCTGACGTTACATTTTACGTATTAAAAGACAGAATATAGTGTGTTAATTAAATACCATTTTTAAGTAATAGGTTGTAAAATCTAAATCAATAGTAACAACGTCAAGTACGTTGCTTACAAAACGGAGATAAATGTTCAATTATTTTATTTTATTGTTAGAATTATTTGTAATTTATCTTTCCAATGAATATTTAAGATTTTTTAAGTGTTTTAAAGTGAACTTTACAATGGTATGAGATTGAATGCAATTTGAAAAATGTGTAAAATTCGACAAAGGTAATAATATTATTTATATCGAAAAAGCTGTAAGGAAACTTTTTAAAATAAAAAGATAGAATTTAAACAGCGGAAAGGGGGAAAGAGGTTATACGTAGAAGGCTGGCAGCACCGGCGTTTCAAGAAATATAACCATGCGCCTCTGTTCTTGATCACGCAAAACTCGTGCCAATTTCTTTACGCAAAGTGTTCCCAGTGAAGAAGAAAGCAGGGCAGGGCGATCAAGGGATTGGAGAGTGAAATGAAAAATTTCGTTTGAATACAAGAGAAAGAAAGAGATAGAAAAGAAGAAAGAGGTGCGTGAGAAGAAAATCGTACTGGTGAAGAGAAACGACGCGATGACGCGGTGAACGCAGGAACTAGAGAAAAATTCAACGCGGCAGTAACTGGTAACTGGTATCGAAATTATCAAGCAAAAGAATCGTTTGAAAAATACAAAAACAGCATATTATTAGAATGTTGTTGGACGAAAGACAATAATGAGATGGTTATAAAGTTTTCGTGCTCTAGATTCGAGGTAGAGAAAATTACTGTATTATCATTGCCGCTGTTTTTCTCCATCGTTCCAGCTTATTTTCCTGTGATCGTCAGCGAAAAAGATAAATTTACAAGTTTATTCGCAAAGATTATCTAGCGGCGACAAAGGCAGAGGACATGAGAAAATAAGGAAAAAGAGAAAAGAATTGGTGTTTTATTTTGATGTCTGTCTGCCAGTTAATCTTGTAGCAGAGTCCTGCTTTTGGAAGTGGAACGTCAAAGGTAAAGTTAATGTTTACGTCGGAAAATGTATACATATGTAAATATGTATGTGTAAGATGAATATTAGCAGAAGGACTTTCGAGAACTGGAATTCCAGATGATCCCCCTGGTGGCAAGAGCGGAAAGTACCGCCACATCACCCCCCTGCCAGTGGTTAACGATATTCTGGTTGACTGTCCGGCGTCTCTTCCTTGGTGCGTGGTTAGGCGTTGTTGCGACGGTGGATGTTCGCTGAACCGCCGTTGCTATGTCCTCTTCTCGAGGCAGTGGCCCGGAATCGGGAGAGCTCAGCGATTCCGAAGATGGTTATATAGATACAGATCCATTAAGGTACGAACTGAGAAATATCCAAAATGTGATACACGTTACTCGACAAAACATTGATGCACTGAACAACCGGTTTGCTGGATTTCAACATCCACCCTCTATATATTTGAACGAATATCAAGAGCTAACTAGTAAGTTGCATGATTTAGAATCCAAGGAACAGAAGCTCAATGAATTGTTGAATGCCAGTCGAATATCTGGCAGTGCTTCCACGTCAGAAAGTGAATCTCGCGAAGCAAAGGAGTCCATAAGGGGTCAGAGAACACCGATGAGATCTCTACTGAGGGCTTATTTACCTAATCAACAGCGTACCAGTGTACAGGTTCGCGAAGGACTTTCGTTGAGGGACGCGTTGGCCAAAGCGATGAAACTAAGGAATTTGACTACAGAAATGTGCGTGGTATACATTTTGGGTGTAGACAATACGAAATATTACACATCATGGGACACTGACATCTCTTTACTGGACTGCGATGAAATATCTGTGGAAATTTTGGATAAGTTTCCTATAACTACTTCCATTTCGCATAACTTTGTGCGCAAGACTTTCTTTTCGCTAGCGTTTTGTGAATGTTGTAGAAAACTCCTATTTCAGGGATTTTATTGTAGAACATGCAATTATCGGTTTCATCAAAGGTGTGCAGCAGGCGTACCGGCTTTGTGTCATCAAGTACGTATGCAAGACGCTTATTACCAAGCGTTACTGGCGCATAATCTTGAGAGTACCGCTGGGATTCTGCAACTTCCGTCTGGTTATGGTTTAAGCAGAAGTATGTCTCCGTCTCTAGCACCTTCGAGGAATCAGAGGCATCCGCGTTCTTTGGGACAACAAGATCGCTCCAGCTCAGCGCCTAATGTTTGTTTTAATATGGTCAAACCAAGCGGCGAATCCGGTAATTTAGACGAATACAGTAGATCTCAAAGTTTAGGTCGGCCAATTGGTATTATGCAAAGTGCAGTATCACCTGGTAGTAGTCCAACGAAACATAGTCAGTCAACGCAGGCTAGTCCAACTAGTACTTTGAGGCCAAAAAGACAAAGAGCAAGATCAGCCGACGAATCGTCTAAAAATCTGTTGGCACCTAGAGAATCCATAGAGGATTGGGAAATTCCAGCGGATGAGATTTTAGTTGGAGCTCGTATCGGATCTGGTTCATTTGGAACGGTGTATAAAGCTCATTGGCATGGACCGGTAGCTGTGAAAACATTAAACGTTAAGATACCTACTGCTGCTCAGTTACAAGCATTTAAAAACGAAGTGGCGGTGTTACGTAAAACACGACATGTAAATATTCTTTTGTTTATGGGATGTGTGAGCAAACCGCAGCTTGCAATTGTTACTCAATGGTGCGAAGGTTCTTCGTTGTATAAACATTTACACGTATTTGAAACGAAATTTGATTTATTCACGTTGATAGAAATTGGAAGACAAACTGCACAAGGTATGGATTACCTACACGCAAAGAACATTATCCATAGAGATTTGAAAAGTAACAATATATTCTTGCACGATGACCTTACCGTGAAGATTGGCGATTTTGGCCTGGCTACAGCAAAGACTAGGTGGTCTGGTTCTCAACAATTCCATCAACCAACCGGATCTATCCTTTGGATGGCACCAGAAGTTATAAGAATGCAAGAGGAAAATCCATACAGTTTTCAATCGGACGTTTACGCGTTCGGCGTTGTTTTGTTTGAATTGTTAGCTGGCCAATTACCGTATTCACATGTTAATAATAAGGATCAAATACTATTTATGGTCGGACGTGGAAATTTACGTCCCGATTTAAATAAATTACGTTCAGATACTCCAAAAGCATTAAAGAGACTGACGGAAGATTGCATCAAATTTTCCAGAGAAGAAAGACCAATATTTCGCCAAATTTTGGCTAGTTTAGAGGGTCTTTCACGAGGATTGCCGAAAATCACAAGATCAGCATCTGAACCAAATTTGAACAGGACACAACTACAATCGGATGATTTCGTATACACCTGTGCTTCACCAAAAACTCCAGTGAACTTTCAGTTTGGGGCATTCTCTTTTTATCCTACCGGTGGGAACATATAAAAAGTATATCACTCGAAGCAATGAGTTTGATGCAATTTGAATAAATAAAATATTTAAAGAAGGAGCGGGAGAAAGTGGAAAAAAGAAAAAGAAAAAGAAAAAGAAAAAGAAATTTCAAAGGAATGATAATAAACTTAGCTACGAACAATCTATGCAATTCTTTCCAACTACACTTTGACTGTGTTGCAAGACTGTTCCCTCGATGTAGAATGTGATTTAAAAAATACTTAATGCAATTAAGATAAAAAAAAAGAAAAGAGACAAAAAATTCAACTTATTAATCATCGTATCTGATTGTATTCGGCAAGAACGCATGTGTAGCTTTTACCTTTACATACTTACTATCTATGAGAAGGACTTTATTTGATGAGTCGTCACTCGTGTGTAAATGCATATTTCTAATGCGTATACAAAACGACGATGGTGTGTGTAGAGGTCTGTTACTTTTGTGGAAATCCTTATGAAGGATGTAAAAATAAAGTAAGTAATAGAATTAAACGGCATTTAATTCGCGTGGGTCGTTGTTTGTCTGTCTGTGAAGTATTTTTGCAATCACCGAAGTGATTTTTGTACCTACTTCCTTCATAATGTCTTGAATATGCTCACATAAGAATTGTTCCTTTTTTTCATAACTTGTAGTTTATTGTTAGAATGTGTATTAGGTTTCGTTTAAGATCACCGCCGAAACTTGTGTATATCGTTTTTAAAAACAAATCATAAACACCCGGCGACTAATTAAGTTGATACTATAGTAATGGGTGTAACGTTAACACAAATTTCACATTAATAACTCTCTCTGTTTTTTATTTTTTATTAAATTATCATTTTTAGTACCAATCTTATTCGACTGATGATTTTTTACTTACACGTTTTTATTATTATTATTATTATTTTTTTTTTTTCTTTTTCATTTTAATAGATTAAACTGTTTTGGTTAAAACGAAACTGAAAGAAAAAGAAAGATTATGCGGTATCGAAATGACAAATCAAATTAAAAGTCAAATAAAAATGAAAGTGATACATGTACACTTGACCTATTGACTTTAAGCTATTTGGCATTAATAAAATATTCGACTCTATGAATTGTGTGAGTCACTTATTCTAGCTTAAAAGTTTATCGAGAAGCATAGATAGGAATTTAGGGCCTAAGCCAATATAAATTTTATCAACCGACAATTAAGGGAATGCGACTTACCTCATTGACGATGAGAAGAAGAAGAAGAAGAAGAAGAAGAAGAAGAAGAAAAGAAAAGGGAAAAAAAGAAGGGAACGTTATCGATTAACTTTCATTTTTATCCTATCTTTATAGTCGACTTGTTGTTCCTCGTATTTTAATATTTATTCGCTTATATTGCAACTACTATTTTCTTTCTTTTTTTTCTTTGTAAGTCGTTCATTGTTCGAGACGGACAATGCAGGAAGGGGCGCGAATTTCACTTCGAGCCGATAAATCGGAAAATAAAAAGATAAGAAAAGTATTTGTTACATAGGATCGAAGGTTCGAGTTGAATATGTATGGCAATTAAAGAAACTTTTGTTACAACTAAACGTGTTTCAGATAACGGCTCCGACGAGTAGTAAATAAGTTAACAAGCAAAACGTGTATGAACTACGAGTATGTATAACCACAAGTGTATGTACAGGGTGTCTCGCGCAATTTCTTTTTTAAATTTTCTTTTCAAATACTCGTGTATTTTATTTTCAGGGATAATAAATTGATATTTATTTTCTTCTTTAACGAGAATGATACGATACCCTGTATATATGTAGTAGGGAAGTACTTGAACGTCGACAAAGTCCGTGTATCAAAATTTATTTATTCCTCTCGAGTAACTAGAGAAAAGTTAATAAGAAGGTGAAAAATTAGATAAACTTGTTACAATATTTTGCATAATTTTGCGCTTAAATTCAACAGTCGACCCGGAACACGTTTCCAACAAGTGTGTGTATGTATATATATATACATATATAAAAATGGCCTAAGAGGAAATCTTCGAAATTGATTATATTAGTTGTATAATATTATAGACTATTATAGAGTGGTCTTGTTTCGAAAAGAAAAGCACGCGGCATCCCGATTTTTATTATTTATTTATTTATGTATAATCCAGTGTGATATAGACTGCGATTAAAAAATATATAAAAGAGGAAAAATATTTGTTGGAGTGTAGAATCTCGTCGTAAATGTATGAAAAATAATAAACTGAAGTGTTCAGTGATATAAAGAAAATGAAAGAACAAGATTGAAACGCGCGTTCACTGGACAGAAAAAGTCGAAACGAAAAGAAAGAAAAATATTGCGAAAAATGAAGAAAGGGAGGAGAATGAAGCAAATGTAGTTGCTTTGCGAAATTCTTTTACGTTGTATATTGACACTTTGACGCCTCAACATTTCATTGAACCTATGACTTTTACAATTTTATATTTCCTGTCATACCTGTTATTTATTTATACAACTATAGTAAGGTATCATGTTAGAGTCAAAGTAGTAGACCCCGTCAAAGTTAAATCCAAGTTCTTCTATGAAAAATGAATAGCATTGTTTATTAAATTTCATTTAATAATTAATTGGAATTAAGGTTTTCTAACCCCGTGCTTTGCTTTCTTCCTTGATCGATCTTCCTGTACGTCATTATCAGATTTTCCAATGTTATTATTACTTACTATTATTTTTCTTAGGAGACATTCCTCTGTACATTGCTTCGATATTTATATCGTATGTCGTATGTCGTATGTCGTATGGTATAGAAAGATTTGATATACGATTACAAGTGATCGAGAATGTGTTTTTATGTTGATTCGAACACTTAGTAACTTAGGAGGTACGTTGTACAGGATGTTTCAAAAGGTAAATGAACAAACTTTGTCGTTCTATTTTACTAGTAAAAACGAGATAAGATATAAGAATTAAAAAAGGAATTTATCGACAGTCTAACACGATTTCACGAGGAAAAAGTATCGCAAAATATCATATACGATAGGTTTATCTTAATTTTTTTCAACATAAAATGACTACGTGTCAATTACAACTAACAACAGTTGATTTTAATTTTAATTTTGAAACATTCTGTAGAATCTAACAATAAGAGTTATCTTTTCGAGACGTATGTACAGTCAAATACAGTCGGCTCAGTTTCAATAATTTAAGAAAGCAAAAAATAAATAAAATGACTTGATGGATCGATCTGCGAGTCTCGAAGAGTTAACTTGAGTTTATGGATGAAAACTGGTCTCCGATGTTTCATAGATCAGATGTTATCGAAGCAAAGTGTGATTACTCTAGAGAATATAAGGCTATAAACAGCATCGACATTGGTTAATCGTCTACGAGTTTAAAACGAATCGTTTCCTTCGAATTCTGCCAGATAACGTAGCTTTGACACGAAAGGAAAGAAAAAAGACTGGATCAAGCGAGATTTTTAGTTTGATCGTAACAAGATTTCGGGCCATCGTTTTTGTCAAATCACGCTGAAACTGCGTGTGACCGAGATCGACGATACTTAATTCAATCTCAATCATACCGATCGATTGATCATTGTATTCAACCAAGGAAAAAAAAAATAAAAAAAAAAAATTGACTCTTCATGTAAACAAGTCTCGTCCTCTTTATCTTTTAGTTATTCAGTTTGATCGAATACTTTTTTTTGGGTAATGCTCCCAAGTGTAATAAATGTTTGATCGTTGGAATTTGAATAGTATCAATTTGAAGGATTTTAAATAAAATTGAAATGTTATTGATTGAACCGTAATACGATTTTAATTGAAGGATCACTTGAAAGAAAGCGATGAGTACTACTGGCCTAGATACAACGTTCTTGTACATACATACAGTGTATGTACAGTCAAGTGCAACGTAGAAGGTTCTACAAGGGTAGAATACGTGGAAGAGCAAAGGCAAACGGTAACAGGCTCTTCTGTCTTTCGCCCTATCCCTTAACCTAGGGACCCGCGACCGTACAGCATAACGTGTACGATAATATACGTAAGTACTGCATCTGTAATTGCATCTGAATGAAAGATCATGTTAAACTTAAATATCCATCAAGTTCATTAGCATTCGTTAAAACTATTTGCAAAATGTTTCATTTTAAATTTTAGATTTCAGATGAAACGTGTATAATATATAAATACAGATACATATTGGATTATGCATGCGACTAATTTCAAGTTATCGATCTTGGTAGTATAGTAATTTGCATTTCGAATACGCATATAATAGATACAATCTAATTATGTGGGTACACGTGTACTTACTAGTATGTAACGATAGCAATATGTATTAAACAAGTATGATCACGAAAATGAAGAATGTTCTAATTCATATTTTTACGAATGCTGGATTAATTCCTTTTTTTTATTCTGTATCGCGTTAGATTAGCTTCGAATTAATTCATAACGATCAACTATGTACGTAGTTTAAATAGAACTTGTTGTATCACCTGCATGTACATTTGAGGCTACGATTTGTCGTGGGTAGTGTTCGTATGTGAGTAAGTAATAAAATAGTTTAGTGTTTGCATAGGTAGGAAGGAAGGAAGGAAGGAAGGAAGGAAGGAAGGAAGAAAGGAAGAAAGGAAGAAAGGAAGAAGGAAAGGCACGCATGCATGCATGTAGAGGTTTGTTAGAAGAATCAAGTTTGCTTGGCACTGCGCGAGTATTCGTGCATTTATATTGCGCCGTAGGTAGTGGGATGTATGTACGCGAAGGGAGCGCGCAGGCGCAGATCTAGCTGGCGCTTCGGCCGGCCGAATAGTCGATGCTGGAACTTCGAAGTGAGAGTGCTTGTGTTTCGTCGTCGTTTACAGCTCGTAGTTGTAAATTCGTACGCGAATTTATATCCACGTACTTACATACACGTATCTATATACCGAGATATAGAATAAGAAAAGAGGGCTCCGTTCGTTTATGTACGATTGTCGTAAACAGGTGGACGTGTCGAGGTTGCTCGCCTTCTTGCACGAAACGAGGTTAGTTGACTTCGAATCGAATTTCGGCTAACGTCGCTTCCAAAGGGGAACGACATTGCGTGTAATATACGCGACGAAGAAAGATCCTTTTTTACTTATTTACGTACTTACATACACGAATGCATATGTGAATGGTTGCGACTTTCCAGTTTGCGAATTATCGAGTGACAGTACTGGTGGGAATCTTCTAATTCTTTTTTCGTTTCGCTAATATTTCAGAGCGTATAGTGTATCGGACGAAAATAGTATCAGAAATTCAAGAGTTTATTTGAATTTCCCGAGACTTCTTTTACACCGATATCCAAGAGTACAAACTGGTGGCGTGGTATGTACAATTTGCGAAGCGTAGTGTATTTGTACGGATAACAAAGCCCGGATATCGGTATGCGAACCATTAGGGAACATTGACAGATCGTTCAAGCTAACGTTTCAATAAACGGTAAATAAGTATCTTGACGTGAAACTATCCTTTTGTTTTCTAACAAGCAGCTAGCGTAACTTAATCGAACGAAAAAAACGGTTATCATGAGAGAATCGATGAAGAATCAGTCGATTATACATACATACATACATACATACATACATACATACATCGATTAATCGTGAATCGTGAATCGTGAATCGTGAATCGTGAACGTATTGTGTGGCTGTAATTAATGTTTCAGCACGTTAGTGTAACGTAATATGGTACTAATTAATCTTGTTCAGTGGAGAATCAAAGGAAACGACATTGACCGAGAAAGTGGAAAGCAAGTGTCCCGTGTAAAATTTACACATTACATATACGCTTCTCGTTTATTCGATATCGACACGGTTTTACACGCGTCATCTATGTACGTATAATTATGTACTGCAAAGTGTAGTAGACTGTAGTAAGTTATCGAATATAATTACTTGAATTTTCGTGAGGTCGGCGACTATTCTGTCGGTAAGAGGCGATGATAAGAGTCCCGATAACGCGGAACTATGGACAGAGATTGATTTTCACGGAAAATTGTCAACATACCGCGAGCATTTATACGACGTCAATTTTAAACGTGTAACGCGTTCGATTTTTACGTTAGACATGCGTGTGTGGCGGGCGGGCCCGTTGAAAGCTGTGGAGCGCGTTAGACATCGTGCCAAAATGAACAATATCGATCGCTTCACTTTTACAATTGTTTTATTGATGCATACACATATTAAACCTGAAGAAAGTAAAGTGTAACACCGAGACACGATAGATGGGAGGTTCAAACGGAAGAAAGTTTCATTCTGTATTTTTTTATTTTGCAGAATCCGATCAGAAACGGAAGAGAGAATTCGGTAGAGTGGATCACGTAACCGAAACATGTGTCAGCCAGTTTTTTAACCACGTTCAAACGTGGTCACTGACTGAAACCGGAAGTCGATTCTACGATGGAACAGTGTTGTTCAGACTCGATTAGTTGGTAAGGTGGATCGTATAGAAATCTGGGTTCAGATACATTCCTCCTTTTGAGAGAAGAACCAGTGACGAGCAAACGAATGTACAGGACGACGATAGATTGGGAGGATGCACGATTGGCTTCTTTGGACATGGGATAGATGATAGATAACGAATGATGGGGTGGTAGAAGAAAGTTGAGACGCAACATGGATTGGGTGACTCGGCTCAGGTAGCCAGAGACGAGAAAGTCCACGGCGACCGGGGCGAAACGAGCCCCGATAGCTAAGTTCTTTGGTCAAAGACAACTGATTTTGTCAGAAGGAAACAGAGAAAGTTATGTTAAGATACGCTCTTTCTACAATATATACCTACACATACATATACACATATAGCTGCCCTTTTGAAATCGGTTCCAAAGACTGATGAACGTGTTAAAAATCAGTTGGTTTAAACTGGTGATAGCGTTAGTTGAATGTAAGAGGAAAGTCTCTGGTTGATGAAAAGACTGAATTCGTTAAATGTTTTAGACTTTGTCTTTCGCGTTTATTGTTTCGCATCTACATACAATACATATCTTTTGGGATCTCGTGTGATTAACAATCTGCCTGCTTTCTTTATACATACATACATACATACATACATATATACATATATATGTTTACACGGATGCGTATAAAAGAAATATACGTACATGTACGTATCTGTATGTAGGTAGACATGAAAAAGTTGTTTCGCTGCCTAATATGTAGAAGAAACTTGTATCTTTGAACGACCACGCAAATGTTAACGATAGACAATGAGGGCAATGAGAACAATTCTTTCGAGTTAATTTCTTCAGAAAAGAAATCTTTTTTTTTCTTCTTCTTCTTTTTTCTTTTCTCGAGCGAAACGATTGTTTACGGAAAGTTGTAAAAGAAAATTGAAAAGTATTGGAAGTTGGTGGAAAGTGAAGTTCAGTGTGAGCAGCGTACGAGCACGCAACAAACCAGGATGGGTTGTGGACAGAGCAAAATCGGTAACATCTATCCGAAGAATAAGAAGAACAAGAACAACAATGGCAAGAAGAACGGTGATTCTGTGGGTAAGCGAACAATTACTTACCTATTATTTTCTAACGTAAGCTTTGAATGGATGATTCACATGAATATTCTCAAGAATAATCGTATAGTATTAATTATTCTCGAGTAAGTAGATAAATCGAATTAGGTTCCAAAACAGGTGGAACGTTACGGAATATCGATATCCATATTTAGATTTCGCGTATCCATCTCGAGGCTAAGTCGCAATTCTCTTTGTATAATTACTATATTAGTAGTTTCTCGTCCCGAACTGCTTATCTTCACCTCTGCGTATATCGAATATACACCAATTAACGAGTTTATTTTTTTTCTTTGGGAGAGGAAAATGGGTGCGTGGTGACACGCACGCGTGTTAGAATGATCGATTTTCTTCTTAACGTATATCACTTGAGGTAGATCAGGTTGTGCAAAAGGGGAGCGTAAGTTTTCAGAACGGTAAATCGAGGTTCAGCAACCACCCTCTGTTCGTATTGTTCGCCTCTTCTTTATTCGATAAAATTATTCAAATAATTTTCAAATTCTGATTATTGATTAGTGATTAGTGATTAGTATTTGATAGAGCGAATAATAATAGCTAATGGTGTATCGATTAAACTTATAGAACGCGATACATTTTTTTGTTTCTATAGATCGATAATCGAGTACGTTGAAATAACGCAATGTCTATTCCGAGAACAGTGTTTGTCGCCCCAATTTCACTGCTAATAAATTATCAACGATTTAATCGTCGTTGATAGAATAGATTTTTTAATTCGTCAAGTCACGTGCATCACTTATGTGCATACATACGATTAAATTTAGTCACGAATCTCTACTGACTGGACTTGATTTGTTTACTGCTCACTTAAATTTTTCACCATTCGTAATAAGCAATGCTATATACATACTCGCGAGCAATTATAAAAGAGAAGAGAAGAGAAAAGAAGAAGAAATCAATCTGCATGATGGCCGTTTTGAAATCGTATGACGGATCGTGGTTTGTTGTTTACCGACTTCGACGTCTGTAAGCTAAATATACCATGCGATAATTCTGATATTTATATCATTACGATGGCTTCGCTTATTACGGTACTTTGAGAAACATCTTGCGTTGAAATGTTCTATTCTCACATACTCTTCCACCTTTTCTTAGGTAGCAATCGTTTAAATAATAACCGTTTAAACAACATCTGGTGTACCTGTTGTTTATCGTTGTCCGTTGTTAACGCTGAGAAATATTCATGCATCGTCTTACCGATGAACGTGAAACTATGTAAGTACGTATGTACGTTAGGAATTTATTCGTTACGTCACGAAAAAGGCCGTTCTAAAAATAACGCTACGTTTTATTCAACATCTTTTTTTTCTTTTTTTCATTTTTTCATTTTTTCATGTTTTTTTCCTTTATGAAAAGTATGAAAAAACGAAAATAAAGTTAAATAGATAAAAGGCGAGGGTTGGTATTTCGATGGTGTACAAATCGATTGTACAAAAGAGTAAGCATACATACATGTACTTGTTGTTGTTTGGAAAATCATAAATATGTTTACGAATGTAAATTCGTTGATTTCTGGTCCGTATCGCGTTCTTAATAATTTATTTTTCTAACCCGATTATTGATTATGAATGAAAATCGGCGCAAATAATAGTATCACATTTGATTTAAAACTGATGTTAGCTCTTCTTGTTTAGGCAGTATAGTTGAGACATCCAGACGTGATAGAAGCCGACATTCTACCCGTGTTTACAAAAAAGTTACTAATTTTTGCCGGCGTAAAAACAAAGTTCAACCTTAATATCGATCGCGTGACTCGTTCGATTGTTTACGAATGTAAATCGATCGATTTTTTGTCGATGCGTTAGTTTACCGCGTTCTAAGATTGGCTCGATCGTAGCTCATAAATTTATCGAATAATGTATTGTTCTAATCTTGGTTATAAATATAAATCGACGTAAATAATGTGTTGCATTGAATTAACGTTGATCGTATGACCGCCGCGCCTAAGTACTTGCATACGTTACATATTATTGCAGTTTTCAATTTTTCGCTAACCTGAAAATGGTGCGCGCGCATCTTGCTTGTCAGTTTACACTGTTCACAGTGTTGCCATGGTTCGAGCGGGAGAACGCGTTGCTTTAATGTGAACGCGGGACGTTAGTAGTGTGTGTTTGTATGTATGTACATATTTTTTAGCAAGTTGCGTATATATATATATATATATATACATACCGAGTTCGAAAGCAATTGCATTTGGCCGGTACTTGGTCAAAACACATTGCACTTGTCGGTACGTCGCGACGCGGCACGACGGACGATTCGCGGCCAGTCGCGTCTTTTCTTGGTAAACAAGACAAGTTCCAAGGCCCGAGGCCGATATTATCGCGTTCGGTAGTAGAGCAGCGAACGACTTGCCTACGTGATCGTTGTTCCGTCTATAAAAGGGTCGTGCCTCTCTAGCGTCGGTGACTGTCTGTCGTAGGAATTTCATGTGCGAGCATCATTAACTTTTCAATTATTTTTGAAAAATACACTTTCGTTCTTTCGTTTACTTATATAAGTATCCGTCGTTGATCGTTATTCGCCGTGTGACCGTATACATACATATGTAAGTACATATAATACGTGCAAAAAGTGAGGTTAAGTAACCGGCGTTTGGAAGGAAGACACTTGTACGTTCCGGTGACACAGTGAACGACGATCTTATTTAAACGACTGGAGGATCCTTGTCCTACCCAGGACGTCGGATTGTGAGAATAAACAAAAGGGAGCAAAGATGTGGCTGAAAGTGCTCAGACAAAACATATCACACTTAGCCCGTAGAACGAAGGGTAAGTGTTTGTTGCACTTGTTCTTTGAAATCGGACAGTTTACATAGTTACAATTAGAATCAGAGAGGAAGAGATATAACAAATTATTTATAGTTGTATAGTGGAGTGGTTCGAGTCAGTTTACGCGCTGTGATCAATGATAAATCTAATTATACATATATGTAGTTGAAACGAAGGTCTTTCTCTGTCTCCTCTGTACGTAGTACGGGTAATTCTACACTCGAATTGGGCTGCATCTAAATTTAAGCTGGTCTCGCATTTCGGGTTCTTTCGGAGCAGGGGGGAATCGTGGAATGCCGTTGATGACGATGATGCGTTGCAGCTATGAGTGACTCAGAGCTGCTGCTTCAGCATGTAACGTACATGTACATACATATGTACAATATCCTGGCGCTTGCATTGTTCGACGTTTGTTAACCTCGTAAAAAAATTGTGTAAAAAAAGAACGGTAAACGGTTTTGTACTTATTTAGGTTACTCATCGTCAGTGTTAGAGATCGTGAGTGAGGATACCGCGTGACTCGAATAATTACAGCAAGCGTACTACGTTTCATTTCTAACCAGCTATCGCGCTTTGCGGAAAGAAAATGAAGAACGAAAATTATAAGTCTCCTAGTTATTATCGTAAAAAAGGAACATTTTGTTTTTCATTTTAACGGTCTAACTAGCCAGATAGTCGCAACTTCCGTGTTCGGTAAAACGTGATCGTAGTCATGTAAACCTTCGTCCGACAGTACAACCTTGAGAACACCAGATACGAGAGACGGACGCTTATTTCGGGCATTCGTTTCTTCTTTGTTATCGATACGCTGTTAATTCTGACACGAGCAATCATCACCTGTATCCTTTTTAGGCTTCTTCTGTCGGGGTTTGTTGTTTGTCAACATCAGATATAGCTGATAATGATATACGTATACATATGTATGTAGATGATACATACATTCGACGTTTCGAAGAGAGGATCAGCGTATTCCGTTCCCCCTTTTAAAAAGAATAAGCTTTATCTTTTACGTGACATCGATCATGAAAGCAAATAACCAACTGTACCATGAAAATAAGAATAGAAGTAGAGGGGAATACAATTGGTTACGGTTTCGTTGGTTAAACATGAAATTTCGGTAGGCAGACTTTACTAATTAACGATCACTCATTAAATCAATACGGTCATTTATATCGATAACTAGCGGAATTCGTGGAATGTGCAAAAGTAGGTAACGCAGAAATACAGGTCGGCGATAATGTATATTTTGAGAAAGATACGTTAGCTTTTATGCGCATCGGCTTTTAGAATAATCATTCTAAAAGCGTTATTTGAAAAGCATGCATCGAAGATAACGGTAAGATATTCGGTGATATCTTGTTCTTATCTGGTAATTAAAAAATCGTTGTTACATGCGAAATTAACCTTACCTCTTCCTGTCGTCAACTCGAGTGACTTTGTGCCAGTGCTTCTCGCCCCTTCTACTATACTCTATATTGTATATTGCTATCAATCGTCGTCAAAGTATTGATTTCCACGGAAACCAGTTATACCGCGGTAATTTGAACTCGCAACCCATATCCGGTATGATACGATTCGACACGACGCGACGCGACGCGACGACGGAGTAAATATCACTGTCCGTAAACGGAAAATTTCCTTCCGTTATACTAGATAACTTTTTCATCAATTCTTGGCCTGAAAAAAAAAGATTCCCTTTGCGATTATGCAACTGTCGACATTGAAATATCTATTAACTGTTAGGAGCATCGTTAATGATATAATATCAGTTTGGATAATCGAGGTTAACGATTGACCTCAATTTAATGGATCTCGTGTAAACGCGCGTTCATTGTCGTTCACTCGATATCGCGTGTTTCATCAAACGAGACCAGGCTTCACGAATGCTCCTTTTCTTTTTTGTATGTTAATACGAAACATGGGTCACCTTTGAAGCATTTAAATATGAACAGACATCGATGAATGCACACCGTTTGAAATTTTTTATTATTTGAATAATTGCTAGAAGTATAGGAGTTTTCATTTTCACGACAACTTGAGATCGCATCGCGAAATGAATAATTCATCGTTTCGTCTAGGTCTTCTTTCGAGCCTGAAAATATGTGTGTTGGCACGATAGCACAATCAACTGAAATTGAGCTTATCAAGTTCGGCCTAGAAAGAAAAGAAGAAAGAAAAAAAAATAACAAAAGAGTTTGGTTTGCAACCGGAACAGTATCGAGGTCAATTTTAGCACGAGATAAAGCTACATTCTCGATCGAGCTGGCATTCTTTCTCACTGAAATATCGATCCTACGTGGAATTTGCTGTTTCCTTTTTCTCTCGTAACTCGAGACTCGTGACTCGTGACTCGTGACACAAAGTAGAACAGAAAGCTACAACCGCTCCGTGTTGCAGATCGATGGATTTCTTGGCGGTTCTGCTTCGCGGATCATTCACCTCGAGATATGTAGTCACTCTCAACTCCTAAAGAAATTCAGTTCGAACGAATTGAGGGGACAGCTGAAGAATTCGTACTTCATCGATCTTCATTGGAACAGAAAAGTTTTATTTTATGGAATTTAACTACTTACTACATATTTGTAAAAATAAGAATAGAAATAGTAATTCTGTTGATTCCGCGAAAAATTGATAGGTGAGAAGGTTGGCGGGAAAAGTAGGTCGGCGTCAGACGACCCTATTCAATCGGTGGCTCGCTAAAATTAACGCACGTTGTTTTCTTTTCGTTTCGCATAGGCAAATCTAATTGTAGACGACGCAGCGCGGTTGGATAAGCCTCTGAAGCAGGATTTTATTGAATTAAGATTATCAAAATTCCGCTTTGCATCTATGTGTAATTGGAGTTTTCTTTTAGAAACTAATTCGTGACGCAATATATTCCTATATCATTAAATAGTGCAAAAAAACTTGAGATACTCTATAAATCAAGTTAGTTCAGTCCGGATAAAATATACAAAGAATTAGTAATCGTCATCGAAATAGTCATTGTCAGTCTGGTAGTTACGAATTACGATATTGAAATTCCACGTTACGGATGTCCGGCGAATAAAAGGCGCCGCCTATTGTGCTGACCAAGTAACGAGCCAACGGAAATCTGCCGTTCGACTGGCTGAATGATTATTAACCCTTTCACTGACATTGCGAATGCTCTTTTACACCTGTGCAAATTTTTAGACGATATTCTTGACTCGACTATATAAGCTATGTGCCTACGGCCTATGGGATGTGAACGTGTACCTAATATGCACATAGGCCCCACGGGATAAAAAGTTTTTTACGTCTTACGAGCTCGTCGCGTGTATCAGTCCCGCGAGCACGTGGAACGTGTTAATGAATCACGATTGCGATTCCAATACTGCCAGCTAAATATAGACTATACAACTATGTACATCCGCGAAACACCACCAGTGACAGCATGACAACGTGACAGAATGTATTTATGGAATACGGATTTTGCTTCGTTCGTTTTCTTCGAGTAAACGAGGGTAGATAGATCAATTAGAATCACGAAATTTTCTTCACTGCTATATCGTAGAGTGATAAAGTCATTGAGAAATTGCATGAAAATCGTGGTGTGTTAATGGAGTTAGGTCCACCGAATTCCTGTGGAATTCAATTTATCGAGTGCACACGCACTTAGGTACACGCACAATGTGAATCTATTAAGTGCAGGTCGAAGCTATCGAATTATAGCACGCGACACCCACGTATCCATGAATAATGGAAGCTTTTACCTCGACGGAAATGTATATCAACTATCATCTGTAATATCGGAAAAAGATCGACACCGACTTAAAATTTCATTCATCCATTTTATCGGTTCAATCAATAATGGTAATTGTTTGCTGGATTCGAGTGTCGAACAGAAAAGTTATCTGTCATTGTAATTTGCGATGGACTCGATCGATCAGTGTTACCTTGAAAAGTGAGACTGATAATCGCAAATATCTTGTTTGAAATTTGCGTTGTTTCAATTGAAACTGTTGCCGTTGCTGTTGATGTTGATGAAATTGAACCGAATAACGAATCCATTGAGTTTTATTATTTCTAGAGTGGAAAAAATGTTGATATATGTACATACATGTGTACATACTTATATCGAGTATAAAGAGTGAATATTCGTAACGAAAATTGATCGATTTCAGGGACAATCCTTCGGTATCAGATAAATATAAGTATTCGCGTAAAGAAAAATGGAGCAACGATAACTTGTGATGATAAAATCCGATAAATAATGTTTTGCGAAACGAATATCACAACATGTGAATTACTCTGTACATTGTGTGGGCCAAATAAAAAAGTTGGGTCCTTAATAGGAACAAAGAGAGAAACAGAGTTGTTGAAGTAAACGGCGGTGGCTCCTCTCTCTCGATGTGAAAAACCATTAACAAGTTTAATAATATAACGTCGATGAAAGGCCGTCGTTTTGAGCGACTCCAGGTCGGGAGCTGGCTCGCTGATGCACGATAAACGTGCGCGTAAAACACGTACCAGATGCGTAATTAACTGCGACGTAATTAGCTCACCTTCCAGACCGTGTGCTTTTGCTGCACTGTAACGGCCATGATATTGCCTCTCTATCTTTCTCTCTCTTTCTCTGTGTATCTCTATGTGGTGAGTTTTCTAATGGCTGCGCGCCAAGCGAGGGTAAACGCGTCTCTAACGCGTATGCGCGGCCCAAGTACATAGTGAGACCAAGGGAAGGGATGCTTACCCTCGTCGAGTCTACATATAAAAGAGCGTTTTAGGGGTTAGCTAAGACCCTTTCGCGCTCTAACTACCAATGATGCGCCAACTGTGACAACCAGTTAGAGAAACGAACGGTTTATTTTTGCGAGAAGAGCTGCAATCTAAATACAGGGTATAAAGAGTAGAAAGGGTAGAGAAGCAAAATGTATGCTTTTAGTTGGGCTTCTGTTTCAAGAAAGGTATCGGTACCTATTACCGAACGTTGTAAAGGTAACTTGTACTCTATGAAATTTCAGAATTTTACTCTGTTCGTGGACGTACCATGCGTCGGCTTTGACTAGCGAAGAGTAAAATTTCTCTACTTTTTCTTCTCTAATTCGATCGTTCAGTTAACAACCGACATGACAATCAGAAGAACGAAATAAAGTTTGAGCAGTGACTGCCGCGTCGTAATTGGCGATTCGCCCCGCAAATTGACAATCGATAGTTTTTATCCTATCTTGTTTCGCACAACCGAACCGTCGCGTCGCGTCGCGTCGCCTCGTTGATCCAATCTTCTCCATTTGATGCATCAGAATTTCAATCATTTCAAACGACTTTTATACTTATTAAACTTCTAATCGCCTAGTACTTGAGTAATTATAACGAAGCGAACGTAACGTTACGTTACGTTACGATCGTTAAGATTCACCTACTGACCTACACGCGTCTACAATGAGCCGGAGCAACCGTGTCTCTTTGCGCATGTTTCTCGGTGTCTCGGGTTTATTTGCGTTTCATTGTAATACGACGAGTTCATTCTCCTTTTCCTTCCCTCTTCTTCTCTTCTCTTCGTTTCGTGTCTCACGTTTGCCAATGAATGGACCATCTATACGACGTGTTATGTGTCTTTCAGCTCCTCCCCCTCTTTCTTCACCCCCTCGCGAATTATATTTGCAGCGTAAACAAAGATTCTTTTCAAACGGATTTGCAACCTTTCATTGCGATCACATTTCACCTACTGATTTATTATTGGATAAAGCATTTACTTTAATTTATTACCTGATTTTATCGTTATTTTTCTTTTCTTTTTAGCACTTATATACGCGCACGCGTACTTCCCTCGTCGCTGAGCGTTGAACGGGTCATTTATAGCCGACGGTCGGTCTATTTTAATCGAATATTCTGTTTGGACTCGGGCCTGAGTGTATAATGGCCCTTAAAAATGTCGAGCTACTCGTGATAAGATTATAAACGTGTTTACGAGTTAAATATCGCGAACCTTGCACTCGCTGCATCGCGTTTTTACGATTTGAAAAATCGTTCTACCCCTTCTGCGTCTGGCCATCATCGTTTCTCTTGCTTTGTTCGTCTAATTATGCACGATAATATCCCAGTTCGCGACCTTTCCGCGAGAAAGGGTTCCCTCCGCGTCTATGAGGCGCTTTTTTCCATGCGAAAAATTCTCCTATACGTTAACCACTCGCGTTCTACTTTGATGATTTATTCTCTTTTTTTTTTTCTTTCTTTCGCATCGATTTCGTATTTCGTGTTCAATAAACACTAATTGTAAGTGAATTTTATTATCGTTTAACTAATAATTCGTTCCTCTGATGTGTTTCAGGCTCTGCGTCCGTGGAGCAGAAGAATGGAAATGGTAACGCGAAAAATAATAAAACAAACAATAACGGGGTCGAGGTGAATCGAAACGAAGAGCAGAACGGTTCTGGCGAGATAAAGGGTCAAGCCAAGAAAAAGTCGAACGCACCTGGAAGCGGTCCTCTGTTGCAACAGGCGTAAGTGTCGAGAACATAGAAATGAAAGAAAAGAGAAAGAAAAGGGAGAAATTTCAATTGATCGCTATTTGTTTTCAATGTTGCAGAGAGATATCCACCAGTCAGCTTGACTTCTTCAAGATGTTAGACGAGAAGATCGAGAATGTAAGCGTTGCATCTTTCAGAAAATACCTTTCAACCCTTTCAACAGCAACCGAACGAACTTGTTCGATCATCCGTCAAATCAGCCAGTCTTTTTCCAGTTAACCCAGTTTTTTTATTTCTACAACCGTCAAATTATTAAATATCTACCATTTTACGTATCGTAGGAAAAATTGTTGGTATTGTTGCACGCACCTTGTGCCTTCTATGATGCAACATCGTCACGGTAATCCACTACGCGACGAAGCTTTTAGCTTTGCCTATGTAACGAGAATCGGGATCAGCCTCGAATTACGCGGTGTATTCTCTATACTCTATCGCGTCGGCAAAATACATTGGAATCAGGCCATGTAAAATAGATTGTGTCCTCTTAAGGCTTCGCCGACCTTTCCTGGCAGCCTTGTCACAGTAATAATAATAATAATAATAATAATATTAATTCGTGCATCAATTGGTCAACCAGTTGCAACTTTTATTTACTATGGGATATGAGTTTGCTCGGTATTTCATCAGTTGCATACTACTAAACGACCTTGCCTTCGTATCGTAGATGCCGTCGCTCGTTCCTCATCTTTTTTTCTTTTCTTTTCTTTTCTTTTCTTTTCTTTTCTTTTCTTTTCTTTTCTTTTCTTTTCCTTTCCTTTCTTTTCCTTTCCTTCTCCTCCTTCTTGCGTGCCGGTTGTTCTTGACCTCTCTAAGCCGTTCTCGATTTCTTGAATTCCTTATTCGTTCTATAATAAAGGATACAAGTGTAATTTTGCTCCGTAGATTACTAAATGAACCTAGTTTTTTTTTTTTAATTTTCTTTTTTCTTTTTCGATTTGATCAACCCCTTGAATCGTTCAAACAGATAAGAGTTAACAGATATGGTAACTTTCGTGTTCGCAGGGTCCTGATTACGACGAAAGTTTGGACACGACTGCGAGAGCCGAACGAGTATCTAGCCTTCTTCGTCAATGGGAGCTTGCCAGCGTAACCTGGTCCAGCGTGTCCGATCTAAACAGCACCTCTCCCTCTTGCACAACAAAGAATCGTAATTCTGGATTGAACTTGTCCCGTCAGAGTTTGACTGCTAAAGATAGAGAAGGTATGAGAAATATAGTCGGTGGTAGACCGGAGAGTGCTCCGATTTACGTGAGAAACGCGAATCGCGTAGACGGCCTCCAAGAGACTCACTGCCCCTCGCCGAACATGCCGAGGCACGTGTTGGAGTCCATCACCCAAAGTCCCACTCAAAGTTTGAAGAACGTCACTCCACCAGGCTCCTCTCCTACCAGTTTGATGCGTTATCATCAAGACAGCTACAAGGATAGCTGCAACGCCAATCATCCATCCGCCAAGACCGTCAATGTTCACTATGCTGCTACTCAGAATCCCATTAACGGAGAATACGTGAGCCAGCAGGCCCTCTATCGCGAACAGTATTTACAACAAACCGGAATCATTAACGTACCCTCGCAATATTCGACTAGCTCGCCCGGTGGCAACGTTCTCAGGAACAATCCGTATATGCAACAGTATCAGATCACAAACCCTCAACATTTTACCACCTCTAGGAAACGAGGCTTCAACGCCGCTCAAATGACGTGACCGGACTGACCCTGTACCATCAGATAAAAAGACTGACAAATTATATCCTGCGAGAGAGCAAGAGAAAACGAACGCGCGAGCTGGACTCGAACTCTTCGTCGAGACGATTCAAGAAGGAAGGAAGGAGAGAGAGCCTCTACAAGGCTGCAGACTGATCGACACACGGAGAAGAAGATACGGATGTTTCTCTCTATGTTCCTAATGATTCCGTACATTTTTCGTTCCGATCAAAACAGATTACGAACATATACAACAAAGGTATACATACATATGTGGATTACTGTCGTGGAAACATGGGGCGATGCACAGCAATGCTGGACCGCGTCGTAACGATGGCCTAAAAAGATATCGCGATTGGGAACGATAGACACAGCATCGTCTGTTTCCTGGAAATTCTTCTCAACTCTGCTAACAGAATTCTTCGCTACAAGTGCCAAAATGCTTTTCTAAGCAATTCACTAATTGTCACGGGAAAAAAGGAAGAGATATTAAGGTTCATTTATATCCAACCCTACACTGTGCTGTTCGTTTTGGGTCTGAGACTTCCCCCTTTTACTTATTCCTTTCACTTTCATAGGTTCTACTCTTGATGTTTTATTCTACTTTGGTAAACTATATAATTTTCCTCAGGAAATTATAGTAATCGAAATTCATTTTGAAATGAACGTGAAAGAGCAAAAGTCCCAGACGTGGAACGAATGCGATGTGATTCATTATAAATGGATCTGTAGCCGTTGAACCAATACTCCGTTCTTTGTAATTCGTGTAAATGAAACTTTTTCCACGTGTATATCATATACATACATATACATATAGATATATATATATATTTTTTTTTTCTTTTCGTTCATTCTTGTATATTCGTCCTTTTTTTTTTCATTCGGTAGAATCTTTACATACCATTGATACCATTGATAAATGTATATTTCTGTAAAAGAAAAAAAAAAGAACCACACGCTGTAGCGTTTTGTATAATTGTATAACTAGACAGAGGATATTTCCAAGATATATATGTACTTGGCATATACGCGTGTATGCATTTATGTATGTATCCAAAAACGAAAAGATGAAACGTGTTTAGGAGTCTTACTTATATACCGTGTATAGATTCAATTGTATGTATTGTATGGATACATTTAACTTAACGTGATGACTGTATATTTATATGTTGACCATGTTCAAAGTTAACGATATATATAGTTGATGATGAGAGTTTTATATTTCATGTTACGAATATGCTCTATATTATGGAATACACTTGATCGAATTCGCTGCATCACTGTCAAATTTAAAACTACTGTGCAAATTCTTTTCTCATTTTTTCTCTCTTCGGTTCAATAACCTGTGCTATTTTTTTCTTTTCTTTTTTTTCTTTTTTAAATAAATTTATCGTTTTTTTCCCCCCAACAAATGAAATGTATACTGTCGATTGTCGGATGCCACGGATTTTTAAAATCCGCCAAAAAAAGATTACCGTATGTAAATTGAATAAACATTAAAAAAGTCAGTATACTTAAAAGTGTCAAACTAATAATCATTCGTGTTTCATTTTCAACTGAATTTCATGACTTGTTTATTTCATAGTATTTCGGTGTTTCAAATATTTGTTGCTTCTAATAATGAAATTACAGTTGGTTTACAATTTTTAAATTAACAAATAACATTAGAGTCGTCGATAATATAGAATTCTAGTTGATATCGTTAATCCATATACCCACAGACTGCCCACAGCAACTTTCTAATATAGGTTTTGTAAGGATCCAGCCAGTAATTAATTAATTATAACAAGGAAAAGTTGGAGAGAAGTCCAGATACACAAGTACATCATTCCTGACATCAATTCAACATTGTCTTCGGAAATGCGTAAGCAGAACTTTTTTACTTTTGCTCCGAATTTAGATACAAATTTACACGGTGTTATCTTAATTATTTCTTCTCTATATCAATAATATGTTACTTTATTTTCATAATTTATTGTTTTAAACTCTGAAAAACAATTTAGCCTTTTCAACTTAATTAAGGTTATCTATTCGTGAGTTAAAATCCCCACCCACCATTATGGGTACACTGAACTTTTTTGTGATTTTGATCAGGTGCCCAGCATTGTTTCCTTTTTTGAGGCATTGTTTTTTGTCTTTTTTTGTACATATTCATCTTTCATTTATTCATACATTAGCATATAATATAATTTTGTCTAATATAGAATCATCTCATACGATACTGTTAGTAAAGTAATATTTCTCTTATTCATTTGTTAGATAATTACAAATAAATCAAAGTTAAATCAAGATATGTGTTGCTGAAAAAAAACATAGCATTCGATTTTTTCTTTGTTATTAATTAAGTGAACGTTTCCATTAGTATTAAAGTCGCAAAGTACACAATTTTCAATTTCTATCGATGACAGTGATTGGTCGACCCATCATGGCGTCCTCTCATTTCGACCAATCAGATTCATCGTTAAAGGGTATGACGCGCGGAGTGTGGTGGAGTGTAACAGTTCTCTTCGAAGCTTCGTCCGTTTGGCACGTGTCAGCAACAGGTAAGATTAAATTATATTTAAATATTAAATTAAATTGTCGATCGGGTGTTAACAGTACAAAAAACAGAAAGAAACATCGAAGAGAAGTCTGAATTCTTGATCTTTAACGTTAATTCAGCGTCGTTTTCAAAAATACGCGAGTTGAAAATTTTTGCTCTCGCCGCGAATGCACAATAAGAGTGGAACAGCAGAATCTGAATCATTTTCTTCTCTTTTATATCGTTAAGTTTCTAAACATTATTGAATGTTTTTAGTACTGTTTTACACAATTTGCTGTTTTTAATTTAATAACGTTCTTTTTTGAGCATCGTAATATTAGTCCTATTTAGACCTGTTCGTTGGTTAGGTATCGGCCATCGGCCGATAACAAAATATACCGAACAATCCCGAGCAAGTGCCGACCGGTCTTCGTCGGGAAGGAAGGTCTCGCCATTTCTGTCGCGAACGTCGAAGTGACAAGACGTGTTGAGGACATTGTAAGTACTTACTTACTTATCTATTAAAATATTTTGCATAAATTATAGTTCGAACGTTTATTAATGATAACTTTATTATTGTTGATTAAATTTTATTTATATAAATTCGTATTTCTTTTTTTATTACAGATATTTGATGGATGTTGAAAGGACGCCATGACACCTGATGTGGGTTTGAAATAGAATTTTGTAAGAATTTATTGTAATCAATTATTAACGTTTATTATTACTTTTCTTTCATTGAGTCGTTGTTAATTGTAACCATTTTTGATAATTAGAGACTTAATTTTAAAGATTAGAAGAATGTTATTTTCTTTGATCAATTCATAGAAAAAGGATAATTAATTATTCATTTTATTGAATAATTTTAACTAGTAGTTTCATGCATCTGTTGTAAACTAGAATAAAATTGAAACAATTTGTATTCTATTGCAGATAATTCCTTCTCTTCTGCAATTATTTAATTATGTTTTGATTATTTTAAACAATCTGTTAATTCTTTTTTCTTTTGTTACAGATAAATCTTTTGATTTTGTCGAGTTCCTGGATATCCTGATGGCCTTCTTCACGACTTCCGTCTTGGGCGTTGCTCCGCAAGGAAAGAGCGTAAGTATCTTATTACTTTACTTAATTGCTTTTTATTAAAATAGAATAATTTATAATTTAAAAACTTGATAATTGAGATTTCTTTTTAACTGCTAATATTTTATAAAATCCAGCTTTATATACATAATTTTATTACAATAAGAATTGATAATTATCAAAATTAACCGTGGTTCTTCTTTTTTTGTTACAGATGAGTTTCTGGATTTTGTCGAGTTCCTGGACATCCCTGATGGCTTTCTTCACGACCTCCGTCTTCTCCTATAAGGCAACCTCCTACCTGGTGTGCATCCTCCTACTTGACTGTCGGAAGAAGAGTATATCTGCAAACGGTAAGTCGCATGTTTTATGGTTCCTCCGGTGCCCAATCATGTCGTAGGACGAATGGTCCGAATCGACACGGGTTACTGGTTGTATACTTGATTGGCGAGCATAGTGACCATGGGTATGATTATACCCATGAGTAGTAACATTTTTATTGTTTCATTTCATTTAGTTCAGGCTAGGTCTTCTTGTACTCCGCGTTTTAATATCATTTCAATTCCACATATTCCAATAGATATTTATGAAATATATGAATACTCTTAAATGTTCTTAAATGTTCTTAAATGTGGAATATGAAATATTTTAATACAGAAACAATTTTATTTAGTTTTTATTCAAATCGATATAGGTAATATTGGTAATATAATATGTATACTGAATATACATATTAATTATGATTTTACATTAATTTCATTAGATTTTGTACATTGTAAATTCAAATATAATTGGAGACTTTTTTACGAGGAGTAAAGTTCAATTCATTTCATGTAAAATTGAACAATTTATGTGCAAGAAGACAATTCGTGACGGGTAGATTTCCAAGTCAGAGTGATCTATTTCAACACATTTTGCGTATTCTTGAAAATTTACTCTGAGGAGGGAGTCGCCCGAGGATGTTTTAATTTTTTATTAATTTTCATAATAAATTCTTTTTTCATTGCAAAGAATTCTTAATTAGTCATTTTGCTTTTAATAAAATATCAAATTCAATTTTGACATTAAATTCCTTTTTATTAGAGTTTTGCCTTTATTAAATTAGTGTTGCGAGAGTAAATATGACGATGCACTGACTAGTATTCGGTGGGAATCCTTTTGGTTTTTAAACTCAATCCTTTTTATTATTTAATTAATGAAATTAGTTAGAAGGATTCCGCGGCATAAGACCGTGAACACCATCTCTGGGAGATATACCCATGCATTACTAGGCCTTAGCAGGCGCAGCTTTAGAATACGGAACATATGAAAATATGTTACCATATTCTAAACTGCAGTCCTTTTGTCTATACTATGGGCGTCCGTCAATCTGACACCGTTGGATGCAACGTGTTGGACGGGCGGGTAGCGCTCTTAGCGAAGGGGTGCACTCTGTCCTGGCGTTACGACGTCCAGGCGGGGTGGGTGGTATGTAGCGTCTGGCGTAAGTCTAGGGGGCGTGAGACCCTTCGTTGCCAGCTGATATTAGCAGTGCACCATGTTTGCGTCATAATTGCTCTATTTTACTTTTCTGTATTTGCTATTAAAGCTTTATATTTACAAAGTCGAGTCACTTTTATTAAAATAGTGAAATATTAGCCCGTTAGATGTTTATGTACTAATCATGTTTCTAGATCAGGATTTTCAGGTTTAACCCCTTCCGTGTTTATTCCCAAAGCCCATTCACGTGCCTAGGTGCTACTTGGATGGGTAGAGGCAATGGGCACGATGACCTAGTTCATAAGAATAATAATTAATAAGCGGCTGGCATTGTGTTAGTATATCGTGCACGACGTAATTTCCACATATGGTGTGTGTGTTTTTAGGCTGTGGGATTGCGTCGGTTTAATAACTTTTACATTTAACTTTTAATTTGAAATAATATTTTATTCAATAAGATGTACAATGAAATATTCTATATCAAAGTAGTTAATTAAATTTTGTAATTATCATTATACGCAATGATTGCTAGCCTTGCCAGACGATTTCAGTGAAAAATGGTACGTACCGTAGAGTGTGATGTGAGATGAAACTCGGGTGACGGAGGCGTCCCGGGACGTTCTCCCTAGTTTAGGCTTTTGCGCCCGGGTGGAGTGTATGGGGGTCGTGGAATGAATTTTTGTGAGAATGTGATTTTGCCCTTTTTAAATATAGGGTTAGGTAGGTAGGTAGTATACCTTCTGGTGTGTGTGATAGATCGTAAGTAGGTAGGGCCGGGACAGGTTGTCACAGTCTCTTGGTCGGGTAGGCGCGATTTCGCGTGATTAACCTGTACCTGGAATATATTTGAAGAATTGACGATACGATCGATACGAATGGAGTATGCCGTTCGCCTTTGATCTATCTGTAGAATTTTTCAAATTTTTGGCGACTTCATAAGTCGTCATACGCGATCGCACAAGTTCTGCTCGAGCATGGCACGTGTGCACGAACAACGACTTATATAAAGTCCTTTTTCGTCCACGTGTCAATTAGTGTTTCGCGATATTTCTTTTTTGTTGATGGTCTTTTTTTTGTTTCGCGAATTTGCAAGTCTCGAGCTTTAGATATAAGTTTCAGGTGGGTGGACCGCCCGAAGAAAGAAAAGGCTGTATGCCGAAGAGCCCCGACAAACTGTCTTTCAAGAGGGGAACTACTAATGATTTTGTATCCTTTTGCAAAAAAGGATGGGAAATCATTATCGTTACTACTTTGTCACTGTGCTCGCCTGTAGTTGTAGTTTTGTAATTTCAGGACAAGAGGGGGCCCGTGACCCCCATGATTTTGGGCAAATCGCGTTTTCAATTTAGTGTTGCGAATGAATATCGATCACGGTTCAATTTAATGTTGCGTATGCATGATTATCGCGATTTTCATTTAGTGTTTCTTTCTTGCATTGCTTTAAAATAGAATTTAACTTTTCAATCTTGATTTTTAGTGTTGCGAGTAAAAGATTCACGGTTTGAGAATCCCCTTTTTTTGCATTTTAATTGCATGTCTGTTAAAGATAGCGTTGCGAATGACATTAACGCGATTGTATCCCAGTGCTGCAACTTATAAATACGCGATTGCTTTGCATTAGTTTATAGAGTTCCCTGCTAATTAGTGTTGCGGTAATGAATATTCGCGTTTTGCATTAGAGTTGCGATATATGATGAATTGCCGAAAAACGATCCAGTGGAGTTGCCATAGTCCATAAGGCAGCTATGGACCAGCTGCCGTGATACAGCCTTGGATTGGCTGTACCCCTTTTGTAGATTCGTTTCAAGCTAACGGAGAATATTAATTTCTAATTAAATTACTTTTATAAATTTTCACGAAATTCTTTTACGAAATAATACGAGCAAATTGGTTACGAGGTTTGTAGGTTGTTTTTCTATTTTGAAAATGGTAATGGAGCTGTGTAACTTACCGACACATGCAACATAAGGCTCTGCGGTTCTTGTATATGCTACCTTGAATGTTGTTTATAGATTTCTGTTTTTTTGCAAGAGTTGGCCGCATGGTGCAGCACCATTGCAACGCGGCAAGTAGTAAAACTCGGGCGGGCCTGATGAGCATTCTCTATTCTTCTCCGTCAAAATTAAAGTTTTCAAGCCTACTTGAAGCCGTCGATATTGAACATACGTCGATTAAGAATTCTTAATTCATAAATTCAAAATTAAATTCTTAATTGAAAACCTTAAGTGTGGCAGTTTGATGATTTTTAATTATTAAATATAACAAAATTTAGTATAAATGATTAATTAAAAATATGAAGAATTAAATAAATGTCAAATGAAATGAAATTTTCCCGCGTATGTATGTACATACATACATATGTGGGGCCTTCTCCTTTCCTTCATCGACATTTCCTATTCTACATGTATAAAACAGTCACGCGATGTCGCGTGTTCAATCAGTGATGTTTAAGTGTTGCGGCGTAATGCGAACGATATAGATTGTTGAACTTTTTTTCGATCGCCATATGGAATTTCGGTAGATCTGTATTGTTGCTGTTCTACAGGACAGAAGGTAGATATCGACGGAATCGAAAGAGACGCGACTGCGTTGTTTCTTAGTTAAACACCCTGTATGTACATACATACGTATATATATATATATATATATATACATATATAGTGGTATCGTCCTCGCGCATCGCGGCAAAAGAGCAGAGAAAACTGGCTTGTATGCGAGAGCTTGGCGCCGCACTGTCGCATCCTATATACAGAATCACTCTCGCACGGACTAGCAGCACACACTTAGAGACAGACGTACGCACCGCATGACTACGAGCTACAGACAGAGGGACGCATCGCGAACAAGTTGCAATCGATTTTCTTAAGAACGATATCGTTCTCTTTAAACTGCTTACCTCTCCTTCTTTCTTTTCTCTTTTTTTCTTGCTTCTTTTTATTATCCTTCAACACGTTCGCTACCAGCTTCCCGTATATACATACATAAAGGTATACCTATGTGACGCCATCGATTTCCCATACGAGATTGTAATTTTTTGCAAACATTGAAAATCAATGTTCCTCTGCTAGCAATGTACATATGTAGTAGTAGCCGAAGCTGCGTTAATTAAACGCAGACACCGATGCCCTATCAACCGCCATTTACCATTGCTGTAGAGGTAAGCAAATGGCTGCATATGCGTACGTTTAATTCGATTGAATTTACGAGCAACGTTGAAAAAGTTCGGTTAGTTTTGTTGTAGCAATTGCGGCAAGAAATCGGCGATTCAGTCAGTTGGTTAACTAGAGTGCAACTGGCTAGCTAAATCATCTAGGCAAACTGCTGCGACGCGACGCGACGCGACGTCTGGTTGGTATGTAGTACCACTTTGCTCCAAATAAGTCAGGTTCTTTTTCATTTCTCATTACTTTGCAACCACGAATCTTCCAAGTTGGAATTTACTGGGCCCCAATCCATTGAAAAGAGGTTGGTTTCAGTGGTGAACCAGGAGGGTGGAAAGGAGGGGCGGTCGGTCAGTGGGTAGTAAAGGCGTGCGTACCGTATTCGCGTAGGACCTAGACGTCGTAGGTCGGTCGACGCGACGCGACGGCCGCGGCGGTCAGCTGGCGCCAACGCTCTGCCAACCTCCCACCACCAAACACGGTATTTCGCCTCGTTAATCTTGCTTTATGATTCCACTCTTTTCTCGTCTCTTTTCTTGTCTCACGTATCTCTTGCTTGTCCTTCGTAATTAATCGATAATAAACCAAATCTCGAGATAGAATGCGATTCGTTAGGGTGTATTCAAAATGAAAAAGAAAGTACCTACTTATAAGAAAATGAGAGAACGGTGTTGGAAATTCAAGATACAACCAGCCCTATATTATTCGTGGCGCGTAACTGCCAAAAATTAAGCGATGTTCATGAAAGCGGCCAGACACACCTGCGTTCGTTAGCAGGTGCGCGCGTAAAATTTCTCCCCGTGTCATGTCGGAACTACGCTGTTAAGCGGTGTATCGCGACCCGTTTTATTCGGCCTTGCTGTTTCGACCGGAACAGCAATAACCGTGCCTCCTTTCTTTTGCCACGCGATCCATTTTAATTTTCTTGAAATTATGAAATAATGAAATCGTGTATTATCGTAGCGCCATTTAAGTAAGTGCGACGCGAGTTACACGCGTACTTAGTTTTATCGTTGCATATTAGCCGAGGTATGTATTGATAACGGGCACGATTTCACGTGGATGGTCGCGTTGTGTTCGAAGAATCCGGCTGCAACCGGTTGCTGCTACCGAACCAATCTCGTTTGTTAATCGTTTAGATTTCAACTTGAGCTACGCGTTAATTATGAAACTTTGGTGGGAAAGAAGGAGGGAGGATCGTAGTACATACCACCGGTCTACGTTCGTCTGTCGAATTTTATTTATTCGAATCATGAGAGATAGCAGAAGCACGCTTCGACTTTACGCAACATCGAAGGGTTACAATTAGATCGTGTTCGATCGATGTACAGAATCGAAATAGAGCGAACAGTTTGGAAAGATTTTTCTGTTCGCGATGAAATTCTTGCGAATTGTACGTTTTACATTTTACATTTTATATTTTATTTGTTGGACGACGAGAGTTTTGGCAAATTTGTATTCGCTATTCCGCCTCAAATTTCCCGCAAACGATCGAAAGAGAGAAAAAGTAGAAAAATTAAATGCGTAAAAGGTAAACGATTCGAGGCGAGGGTCGGTGGGTTACGAAAAATGGTACATAATTGGTTGCGCGGATCGTAATTCTCACTCAGTCTTCTTTTCTCTTTCGCAGTTTGCCTTCGGTTTGGATGGTCCTGGAAACGAGATCGACGCAGGCCCTCAGTGAAGTACCATTGGTCGGCTCGTTTTCCACGGTAGGGTTCACGATTTTACCAAGAGTCATAATGTAACTGCAGGCGATTCTCAAAACGGACAACTTTGATAACTTTTGATTATGAGAATAAGCAGGAATGGCTCGTCTGAGAGTGTCGAACGCGGCGCTTATCGTATGCACTCTCGTTCTTTCTCTCGCGTTCGCTTCTATTCTCCTTTCTCGGGTCATATTCTTGTAATTTCTCTGTTGACCCGCTACTGGATGTTGCCTCGAGTGACCGGTTTGGATGTTCGTGGTGGTGGTGGTAGTTGTGGCAGTGGCGGTGGTCGTAATGGTTGCGGTCGTAGACATCGCCGTTGAGAAGGAACCACTGCCAGTGGAGGAGTCGGTTCGATGATTCGGTTGACGATGAAACGACGAGGAGGATGATGATAGAGAGGAAGACAATGATGACGACGACGACGACGAGGATGAGGATGAAGACGAGGACGAGGAAGAGGAAGAGGAAGAGGACGAGGACGAGGACGAGGACGATGCGGAAGATGACAAGGAGGATAACGAAGAGAGGGAAGCGGAGGAAGAGGATAACAAAGCGGACGAGACGTTTGGTCGTTCGACGGTGTACGAACAAGGTTTTTCGTAACTTCCGTTTATTGCTGGATGCGAGGGCACCCTGCTGGTTACGTCTTCTCTCAGGACGAGCGACAATGGTTCTTCTTGCAACCTCGTATGCATCGTCGTGGATCGTAGTACAGACGTTGAGGTGACCGTCGAGGTTGTTTCCGTAACGCTGGTTACTGTCGATGAATCGAATTTTTCACGAGTCGCATGACGCAACCTTGGCGGTAGATGGTCTCGGTTTGTCTGTAACTCGTTTCGTCTTCTTCGGGACTCTTTGTTTCCCTCGGAATTTCCACAAACATCGTTATTCTCTGAATTCTGACCGCGTTCGCGATCATCCTCGAGGATGTTGTCGCTGTCGTCTACACGATTTATTCGCTTCGAGGTAAGAGACGTTACGGAGAACGGTGGTGCTTCCGAGAGTAAGGAGAACACACTCGGTCTTTCCACACCGTTCTTCTCAGTTATCATCGACGACGAGAGTTTCGAATCGATGCTTTTGCTGGAACAGTTCCATGGTCTGAACGGACTCGGTGATCGAAGAGTTCTGGACTCTTCGTCCTGCACGATTTCTTCCTCGATTTGCTCGAATCTTCTCTTCTTCAATGGTGCCGTACTAGGTTCCTGAATCTTTCGTGGTTCGGCTAGTTTCCTCTTGTTCTTCAAGGATATAGGCGTTACCTGCACCTCCACGCTATCCTCCGAGGCGCTCGGCGAGTGGAGACCAGACATGTCGTCCTCGTCGCCTCCGCTGCAGAAACCAGCATCCTTTTCGGAACCAGTCATCCCACCACCGACTAAAAAGAAACAAACATGAACGTCTGTGAGACGTGTTAAATCGAGTCTAGATCTAATAGAATTTTATCAAAACTATCTCTAAATAATAATATATAAGAGGAACAACTAGAACAGCTAGAAATTGGGGAGAAGACAATTTTTGTCTCGTCTCGTCTCGTCTCGTCTCGTTTTGCCTGAAATGTCTGAAATGTCTGAAATGTCTGAAATCTCGCCCTGCTTAGGAAACGGAATGTTTTCAGGTTTGATGCGTCATGCAACTGGTACCATCTGGTGCACAGGACTGGTCGGAGATTATAATACGCCTAACCCATCCCTCTTTTCGTCTCTTTCGGTTTCGTCTACATATTTCCATTACCGCCTTTTCCTTCGGGTTCGTTTCTCCTTTCTTTTTCGGTATCATTTTGAGTGTATCGTTTTAGGTGTTATTTTACATGTCGGATTCGACAAATTTTAAACCTGTACTTTAAACGGTTTCGTGTCGCCAGTCTCATTTGCTTGACCTATACGTCAACACATGCCTGATCCTTCTACGGATCCTGTATCGTATCGTATCGTAATAGTTGCCACTGTATTCTTCGATTTTATCGAGAACCGGAAGGATAGCGATCATTCTATTTCTTACAATTAGTACGAATCACGACACGTTCGAGTAGATAAATAGACGCGTAACCGATTACGCGTATGCTGTTGGTTAGCGCTTCACGGTGGGTACATATTCGATTGAAAGAGTTTAGTGACGAATCGAATCGCGAACAAGATCGATTTCCTTCGAAATCAAAGATACCGAGGACAGGGTCGAGAAATAAAACGGTTCGTGTACCTGGTGACAACGCGAGTCCAAAGAATTTATCATAACCACGATAAGAATACCTACTAGTTCTGTTTTTGATATCGAGCACATCTGCTCCATATTTTCCCTCTTTCTTTTTCTCTTTCTCTTTCTCTTTCTCCTTCTATTTCTATTTCTATTTCTATTTCTATTTCTCTCGTCGAATCAAACAGCGTGTAAGTACTTGTCGATAAGTTTGTAATCGCGTTCAAAAATGGCAGACGATAACAGTAAGGAAATTTTTCGCTTTCCGACGCGAAATAAAGAAAAAAAGAGAAACGGGTATCTATTTTCACTGGAATAAGATAACGAGAAAGATGCGTTGCAAACACGTGTCTTTGGATTATACTGGCGAATATGTTGGTACCACCTTTGTCGTGTCTCGTTCAGCAATTGTTCAAACAACCGAAAATAACATCTGGACATCTGTGTAAACTCGCGGTAAGGCGCACAGCTTAAAGCATACTGGCTGCTATATGTATATCGGATCTTTTCGTTCGGGCTCGAGTGGGCGATTTGAAATTTCTGCGATGCCTGCGATACTTGTATGCAGAAAACAAACTATATCTGAATTATATGTAATTTCAGCTACGATCAAAGATTCTTTAATTCGCAGCACGATCTTACAAAAGCTAGATACGCTCGAGTGTAACGTTTGAAGACGCAACTGCTCCGAAATAAGGAGAAGAGGGGATCGCGGCCAACTCTCGCGGTGATTATAAATAAGCGACATCGACGAAGTTGAAAGAGCGAAAGAAACGAACACCGACCAACACGAACAATTTTTCCCTTTTCATTCGGATAATTCGGATAATTCGGATAATTCGGATAATTCGGAAAATCGATAGAAACGTGGTTAACGAGAGGCATGATGCTCCGGCGAAGCAAACTAACATGGAGCATCCTCGAGGAGGGAAGACGAGAGAGGAGTCGAGGGGAGTGAAACACGGGCAAAAAGAGAAGGTGGCGCTAGCCAGATGGTGTCCAAGCGTGAGTGACGTTTAAATCGATATCATTGTCCGCGGATTCCATGGATACTTTTACCGATTCTTTCGCAGCCATTTACCATTTATCATCTCCTACTTTATTGAAGACAAAAACACGCAAATCGTATAAATATTTACTTAATAGGAGCGATTTCTATCCTCGTTTCACTGATTCGCGAGAATACCGATAGCGCGTTGCTCGAGTAGTCGCGTGCGAAAGATTTCTGAATGAACACGCGAAACATATTTTCCCTCGAGTGTGATAACGAAGGAGAAGAAGGCGGATCAAACGAAGAGAAACCACTAAGCAAGGAGCAAGGAGCAAGGAGCGAGAAAGAAAAAAAGATAAAGACGGGTTTCGATACGGATCCGACGCGACGGAAAAGATCCGGTTCAGGTAGCAGGTGCGATTTTGCGCACAGGTGGGTGGAAGTTTCGACGCTTAGTTAGCCTCCGTTGCTTTTCGTTTCTTTCTACCTGTGCGTACCTTTGCGTACCTCTGCGTACCTGTCCCACGCACAATACGGTATCGATTACACTCGAAAAATCTACTTTTCCGGGCTTTTCCTTCCCTTTTCTGCCCCTTTATCCTAGCCTTTCCCATCGACGCGACGCGACGCGATGCGATGCGACGCAACGAAAGTTTACGATAGCGCTCCGTAGGTAAAGTTCTTTCGCTTTTTATGCTCGTACTTTACGGACCAAGTTGTCACGGAAATGAAATCGCTTAGTCATTGTTTCCATAGGATCGGAATTAGCCAAAGGTCAAAGGTTTTTCTTACATCCGTTTCATGGTAAAACGTTTTATATTGGTCGTTTGCCGTGGCTCGTTTGCATTAAAAGGTAAGGAGTAAAACGAAATGGCACGCGGCGCGGCGCGGTGCGGCGTGGCGTTTAAAATGAAAAATGAAACGCGTGTCGCGACGAGGGAAATAAACGATGAAGAAACAAGTATTCGGGTAGCAGCGATTAGACGGTGAGTTTCGAGTTTGGTCAAGGGGTCGTTTGTTTCGTGCAAGTCGGTTCGCGCTGTTTGCTGCTGTTGCTGCTGGCTCGTCTGTGTGGCAACCCACGCTGGCGCCGCCGCGCCCTATCTCTCTTTCGCCTTCTCTTGCGGTGTTCCTTCCTTCATTCCTCGCAGACAAGTTTCTCTCTCACAATCAGCAGCCTCTTGGTCGCGAGTCGCAGGCATAAACCTACTACTTTATCTCTCTCTCTGTCCATCGTCTAGACTCTAGACTCCAGAGTGTAGAGGAGTTTGCGTTTGTCCTTTTCTTTTCGAAGCCGGGTGTCTCCGCGCTGCTAAACTAGTCGATCTCTTTCTCGGGGACGGCTGGCGCCGTTCATAACAATAATTATCGTTCTCTTTGCAACTCCCACCATGCACGATACCGATCGACGGAACAACGATGTTTCTCTATTAGGTATAACGTTACGATTTTCATCGAAGATGATTGATCGCAATCGTTAGAACCGATGGAATTATTCCGGAAATCTCGACAGATAGGTATTTCGCATCCATATCTAATTTAACGAAGAAAGATCGCTTAGCGAAGGGGAATAGCAGCAGCAACCCTGAAAACAGGGTTGAAAACAGGGTTCAAATATTCACCTTTCATCAATGTGGACAGCTCCGAGATGGATTCCAGCACGCGATGGGTCATTTTTGTCAGCAGCAATAGTCACGGGTGGTGCTAAACACAGCCTCTTCTATTCTTGATCACCGTACATCCACTACTACTTTCACACACTATTCTTCATGGGGTGGATACCACCGTACACGTGTAACGGACAAGGTTTCCTTTTCCTCTTTTATCCTGTTTTCTTCCACCACGTACACTTTCTGTTTCTCCGTTACAAGAGTTTTAGAAATCACTTGAAAAATCGAATGCGATCCAAGCACGACTCGTAAACAACAATCGACAAAGTTCAGATTCAAGTAAAAAGAGTGAAAGAATTACGGAAACGGAGCACGACCTCGCTCGATTCCCCTCGACCATCTACTGACTCGCCTCGTGCTTTCGAACCTCTTTCATCGCATACGAGCGCAACCGAGTCCCGGAGTCCCGACTACTGGCCTGCAACTTTGCTGCCTCTAACGTTACTACCACTACCACCACCACCACCACCACTACCACCACCACCACCACCACCACCACCACCACCAGTGTTTGTCTGTTCGATACTACATACTAACTACCAACCCAATGAATCTTGTCTTTTCCCGCTTTTCGCAGTATCATCAATGATACCGAGTACCAGCCAAATAGCTTAGACACTAGCACAAGATGGAAAAGTTAAATTCGATTGCAAGTTTCGTGGAGCAGATTTGGTTTATGAGGTTTTTAGCGAGAAATCGTTAGATCGTTTGTAAGGGAATGTAAGGAGAATAACGTTGACATCGATGGTGAATGCTGGTGGTATCGGTATCGGTATCGGTATCGGTATCGGTATCGGTATCGGTATAGGTGTTGGAGTTGACGTTAGCGACGATGGCAGGCGAAACGATCGGCTAAGAGAGGAGAGGAGAGGAGAGGAGAGGAGAGACGTACGGCGCGCATTGTTGGCGGCAAGAGGCAGCCGGGCCCGACAGAACGGCGCCAGCCGGCGAGAGTTTGACTCGGCTTCTCCGCACCGTCCATCTTTCTTTCCCACCTCTGCACTGCTAGCTCTTTCTTCCCTTCCTGTCTCGTGATGTCGTGCCTTTCTTCTCTTTCGCCTACCATGCCGGTCTCGTCTGTTTCCTTCGTAGTCGCGCGAATATCTTCTCGACTCGAATTCGAGTCCGACCGAATACTTTTGTTTCCCGTTTCTTTATCGACTTGTCTTTTTGTTGCGTTTACTTTTATTCTTAACGTTTACCACGTGTTCCTTTACCATCGAAGTCAAAAGGTTTCTTACCTTCTAAACGTCTTGAAGCTAAATGTTCCTTCTACCTCCCAGATAGTCCCTCGAAATCCACTCGGCCGCTTCGAGCTTTTCTCAACAGCCTGTCCTTTCCGTCCGTACAGCGTTCGCAAGTCGAAAGGGCCGAAAGGTTTTCCTTTCTACCCTTGTTCGACTATTTACGAGCGGAAAAATCCCTCCAATTGTCCCGATTGCTCTACGATGACGAGTATCGTTGCGCCTCCTCGTAGCTGTCGTATGTTGGCCATCTGCTACTATTGAACTTAATCTCTGTTTCGACTGGTCGGATTATCCTAATCCGATCGATTGTTTGATCGCACCTTCGTTGGCCGAACCAACAGTTCCTAGTTCCAACAGGCTAGCTTCTTTCGTTTGCAATCGGTGCAATCGATATTTCCGATCAAGTACAACGACCGGCATTTATCGTTGCCGTTATCAGCGATGCGGCTGTCCTCGAATCGCGAACAGGTAATCGTTTTCTATCGCAACGCACTCGTTGCAGCTGCGAGCCAGAATCGATTGCAATTTGCAAGGCGTTGCGATACCACGAACGAACCGTTGCCAAAACAATTGACATTTATTCTTTTCGACCCACTCGAACCTCTTTTCCTTTCTTTTCTCTTCTGATTGTGAATGGTGAAACGTTCATATTCCTTGGACGAGATGGAGCCAGGCAAAGGACCCCCGATGCGAGCGCGATCGGATCGTCTGGTATCTGCGAAACATATGCGCAGATAGGGGTGTGTTAAGGGTATTAAAGAGAAAAGGCGAACAGGCAGGCCGGGCCATCGGATTTGTTGGGATGCGTGTCGACCAGATGCGACGAAAAAGGCCAAGGAAATTCCCAAGGGTACAAACTGCCCTTCCAACTCGGAACGCGTTCGACCGAGTTTTATACATACATACATACAATTGTATAAGATCAATGTAGACGATTCGTTTCCTCGAAAATGTTTCCTTGAGATGTCGCGAAATCTGAAAGATGATGGGGAGGAATCGTTGACAATTTCTGAGAAGGATCCATGTTTCCAGCCCGAGTACGAGGTAGTAACCTGTCGGGCGAGTTTGGCAAGGGTCTTCTCATTTCCGAGGGCGTCGCGATTTGTCGGTATCCCCACTGTGTCGTAAGTAGCGGCACACGCACCTGCCGTTGCCACTTGTGTGTATAGTAGTTACCAGTCTGTTAGCTTGCTGCTAACAATAAATCTTACACCTTGCTTCGTTCCTCATCTCTTCTCTTATCCGCGCCCCTTTAATTCTTCGATTCGCTGGACTTGGCCTATTCTTTTCAATATCGATCAGTTGTGTTTTACGCGTATTACCGACCGCGAAACGTGTTTGCGTGGACACGGCCGTTTAACGTGGCGCGCGCAAACCATGTTACAGCAACATGTGCGTACTTTATATCTCTAAATATTTGATAGGCGGATCGCGCGGCTGCGTTCGCATCTGCGCCACTGTCAGCTTCAATTATTAAAGCTTTGCCATATGTCCTTTCTCATCCCTACGAGCCCACCCCTCTCTATCACCACCACCATCACCATTTCTCTCTCTTTCTTTCTCGTTTCCTTTTGGGCCAACCACACGTTCCATTTTCCTTTTCTTTTTCGTGGCTGTTGCTAACGCGTACCGCTATCTATCCCGCGATTCGGGCGCAATCGAAATTCTATCGCCGCTTTTTCGGGGCGATTCCGTTCTCGCAAATACATAGTGCCGTTATCAGGGTGAAATTCAATTAATTTCTGTTGGAGTCAAGGTTCGACGTATGTACCTATCATTATTCGATCACGGTCGATGGGTGCAGAGTAGCAGGTGTCGATTGACTCGGCTCTCGGAGGTAAATGCACCGGGGCGACCAATGAGAGAAGGTGCATGCGTGTGCGCGCGCGAGCGAGCGCCAACAGCAACAGCAACACCAACATCCGTGTCATCGGTGGACGGCTGAATTATTTCGCGTGGTCCGCGCGGTTCTTCGCACCTGCCGTTGTCAAAAAAGACAGCGTCATCTTCGGCCGTCGTCGACGCTCGATTCCGATCGATTCGCTTCGAAATTCGACATCTTCTTTCTTCGGTGAATTTCGAAAGGGGCCACCTTGTTCGCGGTCTTTTACTCCTTCGCTTCTCGATCGATGCTTCGATAAACGGAGCAATGTTATGGTATGGAATTTCTGATTAATCCACATTATTGCAGCTGTTTATTTCGTCCATTTTTTTCCCTCCAAATTTGCTGCTTTCGAATCGAAGTAAATGGCGCGTTAATGACGGAGGAGGTGATTGACGCGCGTTGACCAGGATGCTCGAGGAACGCGACGCTTCGGGCGGTAGCCGGTATTCCAGCGTTTTCGTTCATCCTTGGAATTCGAGAAGGCGTACACGTGCTGACGAATGGTTTGGTCCGTAGGAAACTAGCATTAAAAGTGTATAGTAGTAATTTGTAGCCGCTCAAGTTGGAGGAGAGATCGGCAAACGCTCCCACGCTTGCCTGCGTAGCTATGCGATAATGGAGCGACGGAATCTTGTTATCCTACATGTGTATATCGTTCGGTAGCGATCGGTAGCCATAGGTAACGAGCAAATTCTTTTCTTTCCTATGGCTGTTTGACGATTAGACAACAACCTAGAGCAACGAACCACAAAATCTTTTCGAGTGTCGAACGCCTGTTTTTTTTTTTTCTACGAAATTCACATTTCGCACTCGACGCGATGCGACGCGATGCGACGCGATGCGACGCGACGCGACCGTAACCGTGGGAAACATACGGTGGGCGGGAGTACCGTCGTTCGTCAGTTGGTCCAGAGTTAAATTGGACGCGTTTAAACGGACAACTACTCGTTTTTCATTTATCGCTTTGTATTACACGGCAGGGATGAACGCTCCTCGATTATCGCGACCTTAATCGGACTTTTACGATTCCTTTGCGAATCTTTGAAAGTAGAAAATTTCACGCGTACGCTAGAACGTCTATAGCGCGCGATTGGTGAAGGAATTGATAATGGAATTGATGGGGAAAGAGATAAGGAGCGAAAAAGGTATGTAGTGGCGGTGGCGCCGTTGATGGAAGGAACGAAACTTGCCGAAGCTCAACAGGTGGCTCGATCGAGATCTGGATGAGAGAAGGTAGGCGTGCAGGGGCAAGAGGAAACGAGAGGAAACGAGAGAAAGAAGAAAACTGCACCATGCAACCGTGTATGTATGTATGTATGTATGTATGTATGTATGTATGTACAAGAGGGAAAGAGAATATGAAAGACAGAGAGTAGCCTAAGAGCATTCTTAAGCGGCTTTTCTCCGAGCGCAGTCGCGCTGCGATCGTATTTCATCTCGCGCGTATACGGCATCGTTTATTTCTCACGTTCTCGAACCTCGAGGGCTCTGGCTTCCTGACTTACGGTCCTTGAAATATTGCGCGCCAATTACCTCTTGCCGAAGAATGTGCCAGGCGGGGCGGATCGACGAACCAGTTTCATTAATTTCTCCTTTCTTTCGCGCTTTACGATTAGAAGAAATTTGATGCAACACAGTTTACAAAATTTCTCTAGAAATTGAAGGTCGACGTCAATTGACGTCAACGACGACAAAGACGAAGACGAAGACGTTCTTTCGAAACGATTCGTTTGGTCGACGAAACGTGTTACAGGTGCACGGAGCCTGGAACCGGACCACTCACTCGTTAAACATGCCACGATGCACCTGCCGCGCTTCTACCCTTCGTTGCCACCGTTCACCCTCTCCCCGTTCATCCATCCTTTTGCATTCTCCGTTCTTTATCCATCAGTGGATAATCTGTTAGTACTCGAAATCTTATCTTTCGTTCTTTCTCTTCTCATTGCGCTTCCGTTCTTTTAGTCGTTTGATTCGTTCAAGTTGTCAAGGAGTCTCGATGGGTCAGCCATTGTCAGCTGGAAGAACGGAGAAAGATTCGTTTCGGTCCGAGGCAAACTCGGACAGGTGTAGCAGAGAAAATACGAGTAGGTTTAGGGTTTAGGGGTATCGGTTACAAAGCTGGGTAAGAGTCGACCCTTTAGAAGTTTAGGGGGCCCGGTCGCATCAAGAGCGTATTGTTCGCCGAAGGAAATTTACGAATGGCAAGGGTGCGGGGGTGCGGGGGTGGTGGCGTAACGAGTCTGATTTATGCCAGGTTCGAAGTTCGAAGGAAAGAAGGCGTTCTCGACCTACCTCGTCTCGCGTACCGGGCACCTACCGATTTTCCCTTGTTTAGATGTCTTGCTTTTCCCTCGGTGACCAGGGAACGTGAACGTCCAAGCTAATGGATTAGAGAAAGAGAATTGGTCGTTGGAGAGCGTGCTCAGCAGGCACGAAATATCCAGGTGTTGGCTCGTTCGAGGTAATAATGGTGATGCGCGGACAACGGTTCGATGACCCAGGTGGTAAAGGAATTGTATACGGTGACACCGATACCCCAAATACGGCCAGCGGCGTCATTGTTCACGGTGTAACCGATACCCTCTGCTTCCGAGAACAGGCTGATCTTCTACCTGTTCCTCTGTCCGCATAATTGCTCGGCCTTTACACACCTCGGCTTTTGTGTTTCGACCAGTCTTCTTTTTTCCGGAATGGAAACTCTTCGTCTTTCCTCGAGAGGGAAGAGAATCTCTCGGAGGTACATATTTGACGCGTTGAAACGTTCAATTGACAAGCTTACGGTACGATCGACGTATCGGCAAGAAATGCCCCGTTGAAATCGGCAAAGTGATCGCGAGTAAAAAGTTGCAGCTCCTTACCGTCGCGACTATGAAACACGATACGAGGAGCGAGAGCATGGCGCTTCGATCTCGAACGCTTGCCAGTGCAGACGAGCGAGAAAGAGGGTGCGAAGCGGAGAGGATCGAGAGCGCGTGTAGCGTGTAGCGTGTAGCGTGTAGCGTGTAGCGAGACCGTCGCGGTGCGGTGTGGTGCGGTGCGGTGGTTTGGTCTAAAGATTACGGGCCGCGACATCTGGCGCCACATGCCCATTTAAAAGCTGTCGCGTATACGTAATCGGACGATGGATAGAAATCGTTCACGGTTCTCGTACAATTTTTCATTTTTATTAATTGTACAAAGAATTTTATAATTACATGGATAGTCGGTCTGTTGGATTTCGATTCGAATCGTTTCTTCGAAGGAAACGTTGAAACCTTAGGTTTCAAGTGACAAACGGTTTTCTTTTTCTTTTTCTTTTTTCGTATTAGAACGATTCAAAGGGTTTCCCGAGTACGGAGCTGGGTGAAAGCTTTCGCTTATCCGGCGAATCGACCGCATGAGCATACGCGCGTTTATGCATAATTTGCTGTACAGCTTGGTCCATTTCTATTCCAGTCGTATGTATAACAGCTGGTTGGAGGATTGGTTAATCAGCCCGCGCGTCATTTTGTTTTGCGACGATCCGTTTCAACGTGGCGCGGCAAAGATTTTCACGTTTTCGTTACGCTCGATTTGGCTCGTTTTCACTCCTCTTTCCTCGTCTTTTCTCGAGCGTTCTAATTTCGTGACCGACACGTGCCCGGATGGAAACAGATGTACCTCGGCATCGTCGTATAAATACATCGATGCTCGCTCGGGTAACTGGGCGGCCGAATATCCCCGACGGTCGACGCGACGCAAGGCGACGCGACGCGACGGGGTTTCGAGAGTCGAGAGTCGAGAATCGAGCCTTGGAATCGATATAAAGTTACCGGCGCGGCGCGGCGCGGCGCGGTGGTACGACTGGCGCCAACGTGACTGCGCGATTCCAGTTACTTGGATCGTGGTCGCGGTACGTTTCGCGGTCGTTAGCGAGACTGCTATCGCATAGATTCCTCCCAGTCTCCTTTCCTTTCTTTTCCTTTCTTTTATTTTCTTGCTTTCCATCGAAAGCGTACAGACTAGAAATGGAAATTAGATTACCAACCGAATACTGAATTAATCTCGCTTGAAGCGAACCTGACAGAGTTCGGTTTCTTGCTGCGTTTCACGGCGAAGGTACCGATTACAGCACGGCGCGGCGTGGCCACGTTTCTCTCGTCTACTTCGAACTAACTTTGCGCCTACGTGCTCCGCGTAAAACGCCTTGTCCGACTCTTGTCGTTCCAGCTGGCGCCGGTTTATTTTCTTGCGTTTCGATGCGTTAAGACTTGAAATCAAAAATTACATGGAATTTGTAATAAAAGTTGATTTAAAGGAATTAAACGGAACGGGATAACGTTTTTTTCCCAGCAATTCGTGAACGGGAGGCGTTTTAAAAATGCACACGGCAAAAGGGCAGGTGATCGCGAACAGACCGATCCCGACAAAAGGGTCCCGAGCCAAAGGGTAAAAAACGAATTGTGCAATTCGTCGAGAAGCGCGAGCTACTTGCACAAACTAAATACAAACTGCGTGTCAGGTGTTGTGCCATAAGGGCGGTGCATACAATTTTACGAAACCTCTCGCAAAAGCTATGAACGCGATAGAATCGAGTAAGTCGTAATTGTTGTCACTCGAATTCGTAGGGCGTAAGGGAAGAGTTTGTTGCGTCATGTCAGGTGGAAATTTCGACAGGTGGGAATGCATATGCGAGCGCGCTTCGAAACCGGAAGCTGCTCGAGCACGCAAACACGGCGCGTGTGTTCCTATGAAATTCCTCGTTCCTTATTACACCACGTTTCTCGCTTTTCTGTCACCCGTCGAATTCGTTTTACCTTACCTTTGATTGACACCGGTGGCCGCGTTTCAGCTGATATCGAGATAAGCAGCGCTTTCTTCCCCCCTCAGTTACTTTCTTTTTTCAATTTGCGAACAATTCTTCTCAACGAAGCGGAATGTCGTCAACCTTAAGAGAATTTTTTCCTCGAAAAAGTGGTGTTCGCGTGAGGGTGGCGTGTGCCCGCGGGGGCGTTGGATTTCGAATCGCGTGCAGGCTTATTGGATCGTGGTTCTCATCAGCCACGTCGCAGAACTCGTTCGCCTACAATTCGAAGGAGCATTTTACGGAGCATTTTACGGAACACGCTCGGCTCCCACTGCTTCAGCTCCGTGTCGGCTCGCAACGATGCTGCGCGTCTCTAAACGTGGGCGGATCGGCCGGTCAGCCGCCCCGGGTGTTTCTCACCCGCATACCTTGCGTACGTGCTCTGCTCATCCTCCTCTTCCCTCTTCCCTCTTCTCTCCTCTCTCCTCTCTTGTCTCGTTCTTTCTTTACACATCTTGCGAGCGATTCTTTTTCCAAAATCGAGATCGAATCCACGAAGAGTGAAAAGAGGTAGAGAGAGAAGTGAATGGGGAAAGAGGTTCGCATCGCCTCGAGCTTGTTCCCATGAGTTGGGGGTGGTAGGGGAGCAGTTTGCAGCGCCGATAGTTGTTCTTCGGCTACTCGAGGGCATCGGCGTTCCTCGAGATCGGTGCGTGCAACCGTTCGCTTTCCAACGCGTTATTACGAGAAACCATAATGATCGGCCAACATCATTTCTTCCTGCGCTCTTTCGTTTCGTGCGAAATCATCGGGTCAATTATATCTTGAAAAACGTCTCTTGCAACGTCTCTTCTTTTCTCACTCATCGTAAGCGAAAGAATTTTATCCGATATCAGTTAAATTGAGAGAGTAAAAATTTAATTATCCAACACCCTTAGATTTTCCAATTATTTCGTTTTTTTCGCCTTTTTCGCTTCTTTATGCAATGCATTGATTCAGAGCCATTAATGCTTGCAATAAGGCTCACCGTGGGATTGAAAGATGCGTCTAACGTTCCGCGAATACCGCGATCAGGAATGTATACGAAAGACGAATATACCCGTTTGGCTTCTGGCTTCTGGCTTCTGGCTTCTGGCTTTTGGCTTCTGGCTTCTGGCTTCTACCTTCTACCTTCTACATATCTTCTATGTATGTACCTTCTGGCAAGAGACAGACAAGATTGGATAGTAAAGGGTGGGAACTAGAACGCGTGATCTTTGTCGTTAATAAAAAACTGAGCAAGATTTTCAAAGCATCCAAGGGTTTTCAACGCGTATCGGGTAACGTGGAAATATTGCCAGGGATTATCATGCGCGTGTATGGATGACGAAAGAAGTTTAGCTCGTAAAGCTGATTAAACCTTAGTTAATCAGAAACGAGCAAGAGAGTATCGGATCGAGGAAGCGGACATGGTATTCGGTAAGCAACTCGTTAACTTGTGCTCCTGGTGAACGGTTGCCTGAGCGGGCGGTCCCGCGCGGCAAACTCTTCGCGGGGCTACCTCCGTTACTCTGCTGATCGCCTACTCTTTGCGACATTGCGATTGAATTCAGTACCGCAGTCCGTGGATTCTTCGCATTCTACATTCTACATTCTACATTCTACGAGTATAATACGTCCTTCCATTCGACTCTCTTCGACTTCTTTTATTTATCCTCCCTTTTGTCACATTATTCCACGGTCCATTTTTCTCGATTTACTTGCTTGCTTCCACTTGAATCTCTACCGAGGAAATATCTACTGCTGTTATCTCGTTCTCGAAGCGTTAATGATATTCAAACTTGATTTATCAATGATTATCGCAAAAGTAGGAAGCGAGAAGGTAAAGTAATTTTCAATTGTACTGTTTCCCGCCAAGATTTCTTTATTTTCGGGCGCGAAACGACGGCAAACGAGGTTGAAGGCAGCTGGTTTACAATTAAAGGTAAAATAAACGCGGATAGTTGCGGAAAGGAAACGAAGGGAAGAGCAGAGAAATCAGCTTCTCGATCGGCTGCGTTCCTGGCATGACGGTGAAGCGCCGCAGCGCCACGCGTCACGGCGAGCATCACCGCAACGCGCGGCGCCTTTACGCCGGTCATCGCGACGCGGATCCGCCGTCGTCTTATGTCTTCTTCCATTTTATCGAGTCTTCCTTCTTTTTCCGCTCTACTCAAGCGCCTCGTTACCACCGACAGACGAAATGAAAATTGCGCGGGCTCACGGCTCACTCTTATTTTATTCAAAAATATCCAAGTCGCGCGTATTCGTATTATCGATAGTCGATAAATCGCACCGCCCTTAAATTGAAGTTCATTTCAAATGGTCGGCCAGAAATTGAAAATATATATATATATATATAAATAAGCAACAATTATAAATATGTTCGAAGCAAAGGCTATTAATTAAATTTTTTTATGTTATTTTATTATGTTGATCAAATTGTACAGCTGTAGACATCTAACAGTGCAATGTTAAAACTAAAAGTGGTAAATTTTCATTCACTTTTTCCATCGTATTTCATTTTCTCGGCTTATTAGAAGTCGCAATATATTCTGCATCGATCGTATATTTCGTATAATAGCATTAAAATGCATGAAATGCGTTAAAAATATAAAATGTATGTATACATATACCTAACCGAGTTTTGATACGCAATCATTTTCAAGCCGCTATCATTCTTTACCGGCAGAGAGTGTTACGAGTAGCGTTCTCGAAGCGCGCAAATTCTATTTTGAAACTGTAAGAAATGTTGAAGAAATGGTTAAGAAATCGTCTGATCTTTCAGCGATATAGATTCGCGTTTTGAAGTAAGAGATATCGCTGCGTCTGCCTTCTCTCTATCTTCGATCTGCTCAGGATTGTTCCATTTCTGCAGTTCGCCGCTGCCGAAGATAGCAAAGGTAAGAGCGCCAGAACAATAAGTCGAAGCTAGAACCCAGAAAATGATGCTCCATCGAGCGTAGGTCTGATTTTTGTAAGTTAGCGTGCCGACCATATAACTGCTGAGGAATCCACCGAAAGAGCTAAGGGTGTTCGCCATGCCGAAGATGGTCCCGGAAAAATTTGGTGCAATGTCCAGGCTGTTTCCTAGGTAACCTGCCGTTACCGCTCCGTTGATCGTTAAAGCAATGGTGAAGATGGCTACGGACGTGACACGGTCGCATCCATGATAAGCTTGTACTATCATCAACAGTCCTGGGCTCAAAATGGCTACGAAGAAGCATTGAAAATGAAATGCGACATAATGTCGTAGTTTTACATAGATACGTATGTAGGTGTACTCACCGAACGTAGTGAAAATTTTTCGAATGGCAGTTATAGACAACTTTTTTGTTCTTAGTAAATAATCGGCCAAGGAAGACATCGACACGGCGAATATGTATTTACCAAGATACGGCAAAGAAGACAGTATTCCATTCTAAGCGAAAGAAAGAAAGAAAGAAAGAAAGAAATTTCAGATTAACGAAATCGAAGAGGTACAATTCTCATGTGTAATACGAATAGGAGCAAACCTCTTTAATGTTAAAATTCAAAATGTATTTCATGTACGTTGGTAGTTGATTGACAACGGTGAAGTAACCGAACACGCTGCATGCGTGCGTCACAATGATGGCCCAAACTGGAATCGAGGTGAAGATGGACTTCCATGGAACGGCTAATCGCTGAAAAGGGAATAGATTCTCCTCGCTGAAAAGTTTAATCTATTTTTTCTCGATTACCTTTGTGGTGGCAGTCGAGCCAATCGCATCTTCGATGTATCGACGTTCTTTGACGGAGATTCTTGGATGCTGAGCTGGAGAGTCGAATATCAATAGAAACCAGGCTATGCTCCAAAGCAGCCCGATCGTACCGGTTACGTAGAAAACGGATTGCCATCCGAAAGAAGCGATGAGAAATCCAGACATCGGCATCGTTATCGCCGCACCGAGCGACGAAGCTAAAACGAGGTGAAAAAGTCTTGTTTGAAAAGCGCGCGTTTCTAACGCAGCGTTGTACCCGATCGTTGTTAAATACCCATCATGTTGGAGACAAATTTGCTTCGGTCGGTCGGTGGAATCCATCGAGCAGTCATGGGTTGCATAGCGGGCCAAGTCGCTCCCTGCGTTCAAGTAATCGCAATCGCAATCGCAATCGCAATCGCAATCGCAATCGCAATCGCAATCGTTTCTAGTCTACACTGTACAATTAATTGAACGTTTAAAATTGTAGAAACGCACCAGCATGAATCCAAGAACGGTTCTTAAACCTGCCACCATAATGTATCCATAAGTGGCGGATAACGGTGTTAAGAGCGTTATACCACTCGATAACAGCATACTGTATCCAAACACCCTCTTCGGGCCTACGATCTCCGCCAGTCTTCCGCCTGGTAATTCGGTGCAGATGTAGCCCCAGAAGAAACTTCCCAGTACAAGATTCACTTGGTATTCGTTCCACGGGTACCTAGTTTCATTCACTTCCTCCTGAAAGGAAATGAAACGCGTATACCTGAGCAATGAAAGAGACCAAGCAGAAGTGGTTTGAAGAGAAAAAGAAATGCGCCATACATGTGTAGGGAATTTAACGAAAGAAGAAACGTTGGTCGGGGAAGTTGCATCGTCAGTGGTCGTCGTCTTCGGTTCTCTTCTCGTTGTTCCATTATCAAATAAGTTTGCAGCGGTTCGCTGGGGGGGGGAAGATTCGAAGCATTCGTTCGAAAGGTGAATTCTGCTGGAACGAGAGCTATCGTTGCTCGGAATTACCATCGACACGATGGCGATCGTCATGTTGACGCGTAACATATAGTTCAACATGAAACCCAATATCACCATGATGTTTAACACTTGTCTGCACGTGAGCAAGTCTGCAAGTAGGTACATGAAACGAGAATAAAGCGAGTTCTTGGTTGACCGGGTTAACTCGTTGACTCGTTACGTTTTTCAGTTACCGTTTGTAACTTAATTTATCCATTGAGAAGCGGTCGGTGTTGATGGGGTTACAAGGATAAATTTGAAACGAAGGGAAATATGATGAAGAGTTTGGTCGCGCGACGACCCTCCATGATTGCTTCCACGCGTATTAGTGACCCCTATGAGTAACAATTTTGTCTCGTTGACGATTATTTAACTCGGAGGGTTCGTCGGTTCTTCGAATCGCGGAATCGGAACTTTTCCTCTTTTGAAAGATGTGCGAGCCGATTGGGAAAGAAGAAGCATTGCCTTTGAAACTTTGCTATGGCGACCTTCACCCAGAACTTGGTTATTTATATTCTTCTTGGTCGGTGCATTTGTCAAGAGCACGGACGTCCGAAGTATACTTCTTTATCGAACGGAGCGTGGACCGTGCCCGTTGAGCGCGCGTTTATGCGTCAGATTGAAATACGAAGGTGAAGGGTCGTCGCTTACCTTTTATGTTCCGGTTCGACGCCATCCTTCGTATCCCGCGTGCAGAAAGTCGCTCGAGGGAAAGAGAAAGTTGACACTCGCGTTTTTCGTATGGTCGTTGTCGCGAACCAACCGGCGGCAGACTAGAACATCTTTCGAAAGAAAGACGTCGTCGTCGTCGATGTTGGCAAAAGTTTTTGGTGCAAAATCGCCAAGTGGGAATACGCGGTTGGCAGCTGTTGCCCTCCAACTGGTCGCGCGATGGTTCAGTTACGACAGAGCGGTTACACGTTACACGCACGTATAACTAGTTGTGTTGGTGCTTCAATTCCTATTCCTATTTCCGTGATCGTAGATGTAGATATTCACGACGCGGCTAGTTCTGCTGTTCCACGAGTGGACCGTTAAGGTTGCCGCAACTAGCAACCATTGGCACCGTTACTGTTGCTCTCGTCCCTTCTGCCGATTGTCGCGTCGCGAGAACGATGGGACCATTAACAAACATATAGGACGTATTACGTATCTAGCGAGTTACTAGGCAAATTATTGTTCGACAAGTAGAGTAAATTTATGTAAAAAGATAGTTGAGGGGACTGATTGGTAGAAATTTTACTGGATTCTATGTACATTCTGTGTTTCATTCGCGTTGGTCACGACGACGACGTTCGCTTGGGAAAGATTAATCCAAAATGCTGAGCTTGCTGTTGGTTTTCCGGAGTTGTGCCCGCCAGGGTATGATCGGAGCGTCATCGTCCACGTCGTTGGCGTTATTCGTGCAGTTGGCGTCGTTCTTCTTCTCTTCGCTTTCTGTCTTGTCCTCTGCTTTCTCTTGTCGTTGCGCGTCTGCTTTCGGTGATAAGGTGGCATCAACTTTGACCGTTGGTGCCGCTGATGCCGCTGGCGTCGGTTGCACCGTTGCCACCACCACGTGTGCTTGATTCAGTCTGCAAGAAGAAAGAAAACAATTATTCCGATTTTGCACCGGAAACAGATCGCCATCGTGGATTCCGAATATCGAGATGAACCTTTTTTCCTCGTTGTCCTTCTTCGCAAGGAGTTGTCTCTTCCAAGCAGGAATTGCCTTTTGTCGTCTCTCCTCGTTCTCTCTGGCAATCTGTTCCTCCAACTCTTTTTTTGCTCGCTCGGCAGCCTTTCGTGCCAACATTTGGCGTTTCCATATCGGTATCAGATTGCCGGAACTATCCTTCTCCGGAATCTGAAACGGCAGAGATCGATCGTTATCGATCCATTGTGTAGATTAGCCCGAAAGGAAGAGGGTGACTTACCTGATCGACAAAATTTGAAACGTTGAAAGCCTTGTTGATCTCCGATATGAGATTCTGCTCTTGCGTTTTCTCCACTTGAGCCATTTCCACTTTAAGCTTCTTGATTCCTGGAATGTCCTTGGTTCGCTTCAGCTCCGCGATCAAATCGGTCTTCTGGACGAAGAACGACTCTGAAACTGAAGAGAACGAGGAGGAATGAATATACCGTTGGATAGGAGGGTGCGAGATACGTACCGTTCGTCATAGACACGCTTCGCGGCGGTGGCGCGGAAAATGTTTTGGTCGCGTTCATTTTCGCGCTGGTTCTTCGCAGCTGGATACTGGTTAGGTCTTGAATGCTGATAGTGGCCAGAGGTTGGGGGTTCTTGGGGGATTCTGATTCCGTGTTCGCGTTGTTGTTGACGGAACCAGCAGAGTTCTCGCCGTTTCGTCGTAACTTTTGAAGCGGGGACAGCGGCGGTGGTGGAGGGCCCGATATAGATCTTCTTCCCTCTTCTCCCTCTTCTTCCGCTTGCTCCTCCTCTTCCTCTTCCTCTTCCCCCTCCTCCCCCTCCTCCTCCTGCTCCTCCTCCTCCTCCTCCTCCTCCTCGTCCTGTCGCCGTTCCGATCTCGAGCTAATTTCCCTTCGATCGTATCTTCTACTCTGTATATCCAAGTTGTCCACCGACCTACGATAGTCCACGTTTTATAGGTATGTAGTTACGCGAGAAAAAAATGACGACATCGAATGACCGACCTTGCTTTCGACAGGCTATTCTTCGAGGAAGCTTTGCAGATGCTTTTTAGGTACTCGGACGGTTTGAGCAAAGTGTTGGAGTCCGCGTTGGCGAACTTGGGAGGTATGAACGGCAGCACCATATGTTTGTTCACCAAATGCGACGTTTGACTCGCCTTAATTTCCTCGGTGTCTGCAGCTGGACTGGCAGGAGGCACTTCCGGCTGGCGATGCTCGCCGCAGGATACGTCGGACTTGTTGGTCGCTGTTCCGAAACAGAAGCGGTAGGGAGAAGGAATCGCAGTAGGTCGGGCAAGTGAAATCCAGGTAAGTGTATTATATGCCCGATGAGCGCTATGGTCTAGTAAGTGGTAGTCTACGCGATTCAGCGGTGCCTTAATTATTGTCGTTATTATTGCCACTGGTTAAGTCGAACAATCGACTAATCGATTGTTCAAACTGGATTACCTGGGGATACGAAGAGGCCGCTCTCGTTTCTTGCATCTCGGTTGCTCGCCTCGGCACCGTTGTCCTTCTTCTCATCCCGGCCAACGTTCACCAACAGCACCACGACGTCTTCTTTGTCTGGCGGTGGAGGTGGTGGCGGTGGTGGCGGTGGCTTAGCGAAACTGAGAAACACGCAGGATGGAAGGGGATATGGTGGCGAGACGATGAAATTTTCTTCGTACGAAACGATGGTTGGCTTCGTCGACGCGACGGTTTGCCGTTTCGGTTCTACTATTATCATCGCGAGAGCGCAACAACAGTCACGAGCAGAGGAGACTCGACTCGATCGGACAAAATCGAATCGGATTATAAGCGAACCGTCGCGTCGCAAAGTTCGATCGTTTCTCCTCCCCGGTTGTTTTTCCGTCGCGGTCGCTTATCGCTCGACCTACTTACCTAGCTCCGTTGCTGACCGGTTTGATCTCCTTTTCGCTTTCTACTTGCGAACCCGTCGAGTCTTTTTTCTCTGAAAATCGATCGCGACGTCTTGTTAGCACGGCGACGATTCGACAACGCGTTTTTCGCCTTCTTACCGATTCGTTCGTTGCTGCTGTTTCGCGACAACGACGGAGTGGACGCGCTCGAGGAGAAGCAAGGAATCTCGCTGCTCGCGTTCGACGACTCGCTACCGCTACTCGATCTGCTGTATCTTCGATCGGCTTTCCGGCAGCGGCTGAAATTCATTTTTATGCTGATCGCGATTTGCCTCGAGCTTCCCTACTCTGTTCTTTTAACCGTAACACGTTCGAGAAATCGAGCTGGTCAAAGCTTTGAAAATCTGCTAACCGAGCGTCAGCGAAATCGGCGATATCGTTTTATTCGTACCTGCCGTCGGATGCGTTGTCGGAGAATTTCTTTTGGGCAAGCGCAGCTACACCGGCAGCTTCTGGTTCTTGGCGTAGACAGATTTGTTCGTACGCGTGCTCAGATGACTCGCGAACCATATCCGACTTGACCGCGTAACCGTTTCCGCTGGATGGTCGGTCGAGGAGTCCATTGTTGATGTGCACGTCCACTTTCACTGAAATCGACCGGTAGAAAAGAATCAAGAGCCGATTTAAAATCGGCGAGGAGACTCGCCGAGTCTTGACTCTTACCAGTCAAAGGTTCGTCTTTCTTCTCAAAGTGGCGATGCTTGTCCGTGTCGGCGAACAACCGCGTGATCCTGGTGTAGACGAGATCGTGGGGACTGTGCAGGTAGAAGGACTCGGTGTCCTTTGGCTTAGCGGGCTCACCGATGTACGCGGACATGGGGTTTATGTAGATTCCATCGCGAGGCCTAGAGCCGGGCGGATGGAGGAAAAACGGTTCTTGAAACATGCCGCAACCGCGTAACGAGCACTGAAAGCAGTAGAGCACCAGCGACCATTATCGTACACCGCACCGCGCCGTCTCGCATACCTCTCGCACGCTCTTCCGGAAGAGTGACTCGCGCCCGCTCGGAGCTCCGCGTGTACCGTTCGTCGCCTGGTCGCGTCGCGTCGCGTCGCGTCGCGTCGTGTCGTTGCGAACTCGGTCGATCGGAAATTTTTCACTCCGCGAGCAACGAGTCTCTCCTCCGAAGAAAGCCGTAACACGCGCCCCATTCGACCCTCTGCATCTACTCTACTAGCCTTGTCGACGGAACCCGTCGTGCAACTGCAGCTCGTCGCGTCGCTGATATTCTCCGTATATTCCGAATCGGAACGATCCCTGGCCATTTCGACATTGGTACGGTATTCTTCCTTCTTTTCCTACGGCACATCGCGTTTCTCTGTTAATCTGTGTTCGTTATCGAAAGAATCAGGATGGACCGTTAACGCGTTTAATCGCGCTATTCCAACACGGTAACTTTCTACACGGAAGGAGGAATGAAAGCCGAGATAAACGCGCCGCGATGAAGCGACGAACGTAATCGCGATTGCAACAGGGTCACCGGTTATGCACGGTTGCGGATGTTTGCGCGCACAGGGATTTCGTAATTGATCGTCACGAAATTCGTGTCAACTCGTTTAAAAGCTTTGTTACCGTAAGTCTGGACCGTGAAACAGAAGGCGCTGTTTCCACGCCGTTCTCCGTTCTCCGTTCTCTTTCGGTCGGTGATCGCGCGCGCGCACACGGAGAAAACGGGTTGCGATTCTCGAACCGATACGGCCGAGTTACCCTTATCCAGAGAGAATCGAGCCTTTCCCAGCCGCGCTAATACTTTCCAACAACTACTTTAGCTCACGTTTCAATGTCGATTCCGCGATTAAAATCGATTATCGAACGCGTCGCAACGACATGCTGTGCGAATAACCGGGTGAAGGATAATCGTAACGCGTGATATACCTACTCGTAAAAGATTCCGTTCAACGTAAAGAACAATCTCTAGAATCGATCTTCAAGGATCGACGCATATGGAAGGTGTATGCGCGCACCGTGATTCAGTAAATAGAACGGAAAGGTTCCGCTACGACTTCTGCTCCGATTTTTGTCGATTCGTACGATGCAATCTGTCGATTGGTCTGAACGTTAGGATAACATTCTGTAACAACGACCGTTCTAATATACCCTTTGCTCGCCTTTCACCGATTTAATTTCGTTTCACTTACGTGTATGTATGTACACCCATGCAAAAAATTCGAGCCGACGATCGTTGCTCCTATTCCAAAGGATCAGTTTATCCGCTGTTATCGTAATTCACCTGGCGACGTTTGCCTACCATTTGTTTTTCCCGAAAAGTTTGACGGATTTCAAGCCTGCACCATTCGTGATCCTTGACGAGTCTGCGTGGACCGGCGCGGCGGAGTCGAAGGAAACTGGTGTAAAACTAACAAGTCGGTCTAACGGTTCGATAACCGACTCCTTTATATATACATATTTCGGATAGTCGAGTGTAACTTTTCCTCGTGGCCGAAAGCAACAAGCGTCGAGAGAGACCGGACCGGACCGGACCGGTTGGACAACGAACTCGATCCGCGCGCGGTAAGCGGCAGACCGAGACTCGATTCGATTCGATTCGATTCGATTCGATTCGACTCGACTCGACTCGACTCGGCTCGGACCCACCTGTTTCGAGCGACAGCCAGCTAACTGGTCGCTACAGGTAGGGGTAACACTGTACCTAGTTTTACTACTACCACCTCTTCCTTTCTCCCCGTTTACCAACCTACCTTTCCTACCTGATCCTCCTCGTATTTCGCTGAACGTGCTCCGTCGAGGTTCGCTGAATCGCGATAGACTCGATTCCGCGAACATTCGTGTCAAGCTTTAACCGGAAACGAGTAAACTGGACCGATAATTGTGGAAGGAGCGCAAACGCATTGCAAGGATCCGTTATCGTTATCGTTATCGTTATCGTTTTCGTCCTTTAGACCGAAACTAGCTTCGAACACCGCGTCGACTCTGGCGCGAGCGCTCGTTTGCGATCCCCGTTAGTCGTTTCGTCAAGTAGGATGCAGAAGAAAGGTTGCTTCGTTGTCGAGAGAAGGATTCCTCCGTGTAAATCTCTCTTAACTGTAAAAGGCCCCTACTCTTTCCCTGTGTTTTCCCTTCTTCTCGTCCGTTCCTGGTGTTGTTGCGTCGCACCGCGTCGCACCGCGTCGCAATCCGGTCAATTACGCGTAATTACCTTTGTTCCTTCTTCCGATTCTTTTTCCCTATTCGATGATTCGTCACGACAGTCATTCTCATTTCTTTCGATCGACGTTCACATTTTCTTGAACGTTCATCGTGCTCGTGGTTACCGATCAAGGACCGGTTTTACCAAGCGAAAGGCTAACTTTACCCTCTTTTACTATCACCGATAGTAAAACTATCACGTTATAGCTGTCCCCTTTCTATCTCGATCACTGCTTTTCAATTTTCACTTTTCGATTTTCGATTTTTTATCGTCGATCGGTGACTCGGGTCTCTGACCCGATGAACAAAAAAAGATCGTTGTTACGAAACGCGAAGGTTTTGCAACGTCGCGTCGTTTGCATATCACTCTTTTGGTGTCCAAGAAAAACATGGATCGTGTTTACGTGGTGAGAAACGAATCGTGATTAGAACAGCTCTTTCCCCCACTATTCGTTCCGTTCCGTTCCGTTCCGTTCCGATTAATATGCCGATCCGTGAATCATTATTCAAGGGAGCGTGTTTTTATTCTTTAATATAACGTGTAAATTGCTCGATGAAACTTGTTTTTGATGGAAATTTTCTCGACAAATCTTTGCGCCACGATGCGACGATCGGTTGACGAACTTTGGGCGGAAGAACACCTCCACCACCACTTACAAAATATTTCACTTTGTTTCTCTGTTTATCTTTTTTTATAATTGATACGCGTGGAACGCGAAAGAAACGAGAAGGAGAAGAACGTCGAGTATCGAGCATTGCTGATTCGTCGAGCATCATCGGCCGAGCCCTCTAATAATAATTAACTCGGGTCGAAGAAAAAAAAGCAATTAAACGCAAAATGTCCTACGGGGGGAATATAGCTGAGAGGCTCGCCTTGAGAACGTGATACAGCGATAAATTTTCATAGCACGCGTGGAATTTCTGGCTTTGAAACGAACGTCGAGTGGACGTTTTAATGAGTCGCGCCTTCGTATGCACGGCTTCGCGATTGGTCGATATCATAGTAAAACGCGTAAACACGTTCTTTGCATAATGACGATCTCTTTGCGATTACGTGTTTTCTAAGGACGGCCAGTTGGGGTCGTTGGGGTATATATAAAAGATTACAGCAACCCAGAAATCTCGTGTGTGTTCTGTGACACGTCGAAGGCGCGATGAAAACGGAATTCAAGGTACGTGACACGACCCCTTTCGAGACGTTATCCGTCCTCTTACTTTCCAACTTACTTAACGTCGTCGTCGTCGTCGTCGTCGTCTCGTTTCAGTATCTGACGGGCTTTGGCTGTGAGTTTTCTAGCGAGGACGAGCGTTGCCCAGCTGCTCTGCCCGACGGTCAAAACAATCCCCAAAAATGTCCTTACGGGCTGTACGCCGAACAGTTGTCCGGTACAGCGTTCACTGGTAAGCTTACCTCTCGTGCTTTCACGCGGATAGGAAATTTCAATTTTCCCAATTAATTCTAATCATTATTACGATTTACTCGCAGCTCCACGGTCTCGAAACAAACGTTCTTGGCTCTATCGAATCAGACCGTCCGTCGTACACAAACCGTTCGCGCCCATAAACGCAAACACTCGTCTCGTCTACGATTGGGACGCGATTCCTCAGATGCCGAACCAGGTATTTACATAGTACCTTTGTCTCCTCTTTATTTCGTCTTCTTTTCGACGCTGTCGATTCTGTGTTTCAGCTAAGATGGAAACCGTTCGACGTGCCGAGCAGACAAGCTGCCGAGGTAGATTTCGTTGATGGTTTGCACACTCTATGCGGTGCCGGTGATTTTCGTGCTCGACAGGGTATCGCGATTCACGTGTACCTCTGCAACACCTCCATGAGAGATAAGGCTTTCTACAACGCGGACGGAGATTTCCTTATCGGTTCGTTTACCTTCAACTCCAACTGCGTCGGTCAACGGCCAACTGATTCGTGAGTGAAAAGCTTCCTGTAGAATGGAATCGAAAGAATTCTGGTTGTTGCAGTGCCTCAATTAGGCGCATTGGTGATAACCACGGAATTTGGGAAAATTCGCTGTGAACCGAACGAGATATGCGTAATTCAACAAGGTATGCGATTCAACGTTACCGTTTTCGGACCGTCCCGTGGATACATCTTGGAGGTGTTTGACGATCACTTCCAGCTTCCAGAATTGGGTCCGATAGGTAATTTCTTTCTGTTTCCCTACGTTTCCCTACGTTTCCCTACGTTTCTCTACGGAAACTGAACGAGATTCTCGAATAGGAGCGAACGGCTTGGCGAACCCGCGTGATTTTCAAACGCCAGTCGCTGTTTACGAAGATCGAGAAGTCGATTACGAGATTGTGTGTAAGTATCACGGCAAGCTGTACGTCGCGAAACAAGACCACAGTCCGTTCGACGTGGTAGCCTGGCACGGAAATTACGTCCCCTACAAATACGACCTCGAGAAATTCATGGTCATCAATACGGTTTCCTTCGATCATTGTGTAAGTACTACATGACTTTCGAAACTGACGATGAGAAGAAAAGAAACAGAAGATCGTTTCCGTTCTCATTGCATAGGATCCTTCGATCTTCACCGTTTTGACGTGTCCATCGGGAAAAGCTGGCACCGCGGCAGCCGATTTTGTGATATTCCCTCCTCGATGGTCCGTGCAGGAGCACACTTTCCGTCCCCCGTATTATCATCGTAAGTAGCAAATATTTTTTGACAAACGGAGAGAAATTTCCTTTTCTTTTCGTTTCTCGTTTCTCGATTCTCGCTTTCCTCGCTGAAAAACGAAATAATACCACGTAATTACATCCGTCATTCCCATCCTTTTGCTTTTCCAATGTGATCCGTTGCTCGATACCTATTTCGTCATGCTAGACCGCTTCTAAAAATCGCTTAACCGAGATACCGGTGAAAACTCGGAATTTTCTCCGACGATATCGATCAACTTTTCCTTTTTCTATCAGTTTGCCTTTCCTTTCGTGCGACACCTAATATTTTTATTCCACCGTTGCTTACCGTTGCTGTTGCATTTTTATTTCATTCTGACCTACTACGTGCACCTACAATAGATGTATTCTACGATTTCTTAAGACGGGAGTATTGTAGTGTCGTCGTCGCGTCAATGAATCGATGCTTTTCGATCTTCAGGGAATTGTATGAGCGAGTTTATGGGCCTGATTAAGGGACGATACGAAGCTAAAGAGGATAGTTTTCATCCAGGCGGTGCATCGTTGCACTCTATTATGACGCCTCATGGACCGGATACGCGTTGTTTCGAAACCGCTTCGAATTCTGAGCTTAAACCCGAACGCATCGCAGATGGAACTCAAGCTTTTATGTTTGAGACGTCGTACAGTTTGGCGATAACCGAATGGGCAGCGAAAGTTTCCAACAAATTGGACGATGATTATTACAGGTGTTGGGAAGGTCTGAAAAAACACTTCAGTCCGTACGGGGAAAATGTCTAGAGACCACCGATGATTTTTATCCTTTATTATATTGTATGTACGTATATTCAACGTTATTCCTTATCTCCTTTCAATTTCTTTTCTTATTTTTCTCTAATAAAGACGACAAAGTTTATTTATACTCGTTATTCACTCATCGTGACTATCTTTGTCCTTTCTGAGAAAATTATTACGATAAGGACCAAGAATATAATTATACAGCGGTATGATTTCAAAATCAAATTACCCGCAAAAAGTAGTTAAAAAATTGGACCATTGCGCGATCTATAGAAAGACGGCTGAGATAGGTTAACCAGTGGGGCGTCATCTATTAAAAAACAGCGGAAACTCTTTGCCGGCTTATCGATTGATCTACTTACTTACCACTCGTGCTTCCCCTCCGCAATACTTACCAAGTACTTACTTTTTACGTCATACAAGTATAAGGCGTCGCGTTGGTCAAGTATGGCCATTTTCCCCCTACATACGAGATATATTTATATCTCTGACAAAATAGTTTCGATTAAATCGCGATTAAGTGTTGCATCGTGAAAGAGTCGAACCATTTGTCGTCAGTTGTTAATATTCTGTGCACAATAAATATGGTGACTGTGATACGATTCACATTCGATTGTTGTGGTTGATTCATAACTATATAACCTTACGATGAAAAGACTCGTAAGTCTTGTGATACTTATTTGTTTTTACGATGGAAACGTCACCGGTTTGTCTTGTTTTTCAGATTACTGTCAATACCTAGTAAGTATTAATCTTGTTCATGTAACAGTTGTACATACGTACTTACATACGTGATCTTATTTGCTAAACGGTCATTTACTTTTACAGACCGATATTAATTCGACGCTTGGAGCACAATGCTTATTGACGAAAGTTAAAAGGGGTGAAGGTATGGTTTTCATTTTTTCATATATGTATATATTTTTACTTCTTTTTTATTGATTATGTTTAAATGTATCTTTGGTTTTGTAGGTTGTACCAAAATCAGGATCGCTGACGCGAATCGCAAACCTCCGGAAAATGCAACGGCAAAATTTACTTTACGCGCGTACGTGTACAAGGAAGGCGACAAGAAAGTAACAGCATTTAATTTAAGCATTACCGACATAGATTTCAATGGTAAGAATCAATGGGTAACATAGTTTATTACGTAGAACTAAACGCGCATACGTACTATGAAACAGGTTTGTTTACGCGTTATCAAAATTTAATGGATGAAAATCAGTCAGCCTGTAGACACGTACAGCTTTATGAGAATAAATCTGACCCTGCTCCAAGGGAATTATACGTGTCTTGTCCGTTTGCTGATATAGTGTACGAAACTCTTCCTTATCAGTTAGAATATGTTGTTAATGGAAATGGGTACAAATACATCAAACAATACATTTTCACCGTACCTAGGCATAAATATATTGGTGAGCATAAATGATAGGTGTTAAGGATGAAACGTGTTGCAGATTTAATGTCGTTCGAATTTCTTTCGTTTTAGAAGAAAACGTAAGCATAAAGGAATACGTGCCGTTTGTCTATATCGATAAGACCTGTGAACCGGATTTTTCGTTGCACGTTCAGCCTTTACCGGAAACGTATAATGTAAGCGAATACAGAATTTGGTGGATAAACAATGACACCAATTCCGTGTTGTACGCGGGTTTGTTATCCGCGTCGGACAACGAGGATATTACGTATAATTTTACCGGTCATGTTGGTGCATTTTATTTCAAAGTTTCTCCCGTACATCCGGATTGTGGGGAATATGGGTGCGCAAACAATACTACACCCTGCATCGTTAAACGTGAGATAAAAATGATAGATGTATATGTATAAGTAAGTCATTTATACTCACGGTGCATCGAGTTTTATACTTTTACAGGAGAAACATCTCATCCTCTTATAATTATGATTATCAGTACGGTGTGGATACCACCGGTGATAGTGTACGTGCTGTATCATCTTTACAAATTGTATCAAAAGGGTAAAGACGTAATACCGTATATCTCCAAGCGAATCTTGTCATTTTTCTTTGAAATTAAATGAAAATATTATTGTCTCGTGTGTCCTTGCAGTAGCATTGAAAAGAAGAGAGAAACCAAAGTGTTTATTGGTATATTCACCGAGCCGTCAATCGCATAATAACGTGATGATCGAATTGGCTAAATATTTGAGATATTGCCATATTAACGCTATGATAGATGAACTTGATTTTACGGATACTTCAGGAAAAGTTAGTATCAAAAGCGAGATAGGGTAACTGGTATTGTCGTGCAAAAATTTCACAATTTCACGATTTCCCATATCGAACGTAGGATTCAAAAGAATGGTGTGACGCTGCTTTCCAAAGTGCAAACGTCGTTCTTATCGTAACGTCCCCGCCAATTAAGAAACCTGCAGTGTTGACCATTTGTCAGAAGACCGACAGTTATCTCCTGAGATTGATCAAAGAAAATATTGGCGAAAAAGACAAGAGGTATTATGTCGTACACTTACCGTATTGCAAATTCGACGATGTACCCGAAGAAATGAGGCACCTGAAGAGATTCGATTTACCGAAGGAGTTACCGAGACTTGTCAAACTTATTCACGGAATGGAACGTGTTTTTGGATGCTTTCCTTCCGTCTGCGACAAAGACTTTTTAGACAGCGTTAAATTAGCGAAACTAGAATTACTGAACGAAGTTGCGAGTATGTCGAAAGAGAAGCCAGAAACTGGTCAGTTTTCGCTAGATTGAAAAACGCGAACGGTTTTACCGAAAATCATGAATTTACTTTTCTGATCGATCTTACGATGCGATGTTTCAGAGAATCTACCACTGCTGCCAAATACTCAGTCCTGTGTGACGAATATCGGAGAATTGAATTTACTCGGAGAGAGTGGAGAGAATGAACGCGTGCTCCTTTATAGATCCTCGCCGAATCATGACAACGAATTTCGTATAAATCAATTGGATTTGTAACTGCTTCAAGTACCTTGCTTTAGTAACGTGTTCGTGAGTAAATTTTTTAAGACCTTAAAATATCTATAGCTATACTGATTTACTTTAATAAATACCGATGTTTTTTTTATTATTATTATCATTATTATCATACAATTTGTTGGATCCGTTTTACACGGTATTATAGATTTATAACTGTCGATTTGTCGCCTTACGGATCTAAAACGAAACATTTTAGCCCTTTATATGTATGTATAAACACGATGACAATAGTTACATTTACAGTATGTGTTTGTGCCAAAGATTGTATGGGGGAAAAAAAAAAAAAACAGATTTTTACTTGAACGCTCGCGTAATTTATGGTAATCAACTAACTCAGTGGAATGCTGCTGTGCTTTTTTGTACATAAATACAAAGAGGACGAATTTATTCGTTGAGGTACGAAACGCAGTCTTTTCTGGATATGAGTTACATCGACCGGAAGTCGAGTATTTGAATTCTCGCTTGCTTGTGCATTCGATTGTCAAATCTTTATTTCGTGCACGCATACAAGCCGGAAGCCTATTCAAGGAAAAAGTTTAATCGGAAGCTTAAATGTTTAACAATGCAAGTTTTTCTTCTAATTGTTCGTCGTGCCGTTGACGAAAAAGTATCAAAGGATGAAGCGACAGAGATGTTTGCAGGCTTATTGCGCAAGACATAATCAAAGTAGAATCTAGTCAACGGTCAAAATGTAAACGACCTTATTGATTAAGATTTGTCAATGGGAAGCCGTTGCTCTCGTCATGCTCCTACGAGCTGAAACGAGTCCTCGTGTACTCGTGTAAATGACGAAACGTAGGAAAATCCCAAATAAGAAACATCAACTATCTGTCCCCTCGACTCATCACTATCGATACTTGACAGTTTATCTTCAAATTGCTTCTCATTTGGTATCAGTTTCGTGATCGTTGTCGTTTGTACCGGAAAAGACGAGAAGATCTTCAGCTTCCGCGGATCTCTTTCCTTTCATGTCGATATAGGATTGTCGTTGTTCGTTTATCGGCGTGACCAAGTCATTTTCGCTATTGCTGGTAACGCTAGTGTTTCTTATTTTGATCGGACTCTCGTAATGATTACTGGTTTGTTGATCATTCACGTACAAGAGTTTGACGGGTTCCTCGGGAAAGGACGCTATAGGCTCGTGCCAGAGGGTATGAAGTTTGTCTATCTTGTCGCATTTGGTCACGGTATCGCAGGATGGTTTCTCCAAATAGTTGATGTCGGTTCTCAAGGCGTTGCTATCGATGCCATCGATTCCATCTATGGCATCGTTGCCAGAGCCTGATTGATAAAAATCGTCAAAATGGAAAGCGATAATAGATAAAATAAAATACAATATGAGATACGTACTGCTCGGACTGTCCAAGGCGTGAAGAGAAACAAAGTATGCCTGATTGTGAACGGTCCTGGGATTCAAGTCCAAATATTCGACGCTATCCTCCAGCATTTTCTCCCACTGACTTGTAAGCTCTTTGAAGGATGGCCTCATACCAGGTTCTTGGTGCCAGCACGATACCATCAACTTATACCTACATACGTATAATAACGAGTTCGTACAACGATTACGACGCATTTAAGAGAAATCAATTTACTCACAATTGTTGCGAACAATTCGCTGGCCTCTCCATACGATATCCTGCTTTCAGCAGGTTGTACAGATTGTGCACGTCCACGCCAGGATAAGGAGACGCGCCCAACGTGACTAATTCCCAAAGAAGAACTCCGAAACTCCATACGTCCGACTTGCTGGTGTACACGTGGTCGGCCAGCGATTCAGGTGCCATCCATTTCACGGGTACTACGCGGAAAGAAACATCGACTCTTTGTTTGTAACGAGCGAAAGAAAGAAAGAAAGAAAGAAAGGGAGATACGAAACAGAAGAGTACCTCGGCCTTTGCTGCGCTTTAGGTACGCGTCATCCTCGTACACGTCTCGAGTTAGACCAAAATCGGAAATTTTGCAAACCTTCTCCGCCGCTAGCAGCACGTTTCTGGCAGCTAGATCTCTGTGAACCAACTTTACGAGAGGGCACAATTCTCTCTCTTAGTCTCGATTTCGATCGAGCGAGTTGTCATTATTACCTTAATATCGGCGAGATAAGTCATGCCTTTGCTGATCTGCCAAGCGAACGAAAGAATATCGCGAGGAGTGACCGTGTAAGCCGCTGTCGACACGGTGTCGAGGATCCTCCCTTCGGATTCCAAGTGTCGGCTACGTCTCAAGTAATTCCTGCAACATTTCCATATCTCCGGTGTACGTGAACGTTTTGTACATTCGTGCGTGAAAATGCGACTCGGAAGAAGAATTTAATTAATCCACCGCCGTTATTGTCCCGACGCGACGCGAGGCGACGCGAGGCGACGCGACGCGACGTCGACGGAATGGAATTCCATAGTCGGTACACGCGTCGCGATCTCACCAAACTAAAAGGCGCAAGAATTTCAAGTCACTCACCTCAACGAGCCGAATTCCGCGAATTCGATGATGAGATAGACCGGAGCCCCGGGAGTAGTGCAAGCTCCCAACAGTCTGATCACGTTCGAATGCTGAGCTTCTTTCAGTAATTGATATTCGGAGAGTAAATCCGCCAATTCGGAAGCGCAAGCGTTTTCCTTGAGCGTTTTTACCGCAACAGTGGTAGGGCCGGCTATTCCTGCGATGTCGATGGCTTTCGCCCGCAACACGCGGCCGAATTCTCCTTCGCCCAACACTTGTTCGATGCTTAATCGCGATCGTGGGAATTCCCATTTCGGGTCCGGCTAATTGGCACACGTTCAACAATCTTTATTCGTCTATGTTGATAAGAAATGCGACTAATAAATAAGAAAATTTGATTTTTAAACTTCTGCGACGCAGAATAGGTTTCTTCATTTCGTTGAATTTAACTGACGATATCAATCTCGTTATTCAGAAATCGCATCTCGCATAGGAAACGGTGTTGTTCCTCGGAAACCATTTTAACAATCTCAGTCAGAAGATTAATAGCTTTAAATGATTTTTTTTTCTTTTTTCCTTTTGTGTATGTTGGCGTTTGTCACTCGCCTCGTTTGCTTCGTTTAATTAAAAATGAATTTTTATGAAACTGTGAATTGGTTGGTTGCGCGTTTCGTATAATGTTGCAAGAAGGAATGGGAGCCGTTAAATCGATAAAGCGATGAACGACTCCATTGGGAACAACTTACCGGACTCGTCTTGGGAAGAAGATGACGATTGGCCGCGGTGAAAGTGTCCAAACCTACGAGCAAGCCATCACCTCGGTCGATGTAGTCCGAAGAGGGTAATATACCAACTCCGTTCGAATCGCGTTCAACCCTCCGTTTACCTTCTCTTCGCGCTTCTTTTGCGGCCATTCTGGAAACGGGAACGGAAACGGATACGTTTTTTCGGCTTACAATAAAAAGCGAATAAACTGGTCGGTTAGACGAGCAAACAAGAAGAAAAGTTTATCAATTTCGCGCCCCCTTATCGTCGTTTACATTGGCGAATAATAGGTTGCGATCTGAAAATGAAAAAATTGATCGAAAAGAGAAGAAGGATAGGCGTTGAATGAAAAGAGAGGATCGATAAAAGGAAGATAAACGAGTTGGATAATGCACGTTGATAAACGTATCTCTGTTCGTTGTGTGTCGACGAGTAAAGTATCGGAGAATCGGCTCGTTCTGTTCCTCTATCGAACAGAGTTTGTTCGCGCGAGGATAGTTGACCAAGCTTAGCGATCAACGTGACGCGTACAAAGGATTCGTTTCGAAGTTATCTGGATTTCGGCCTGCCATCGTTCTCCAGCTGTCGCACGCACCCACGTGTATTTTCTTCCCTCGAACGCAAATAAGAAGTTTTCACTCTGGTCACGTTTCGCGTTACGCGTTACGATCAGAATTCAAACGTACAGGAAGAACAATATATATTCGACCGATTGGTTTGCGCTACTAATTTAGCTATCTAGGCCATCGACCAACATTATTACTCCCACTAACGAGACAAATTTTAACCGATCCTCACCCCACCTGGCTTACCTGTATCTCGAGCTGACGAAAGAACCGACAATCGCTACCAACAAAAAGAAACTGCCTGCGATTACGCCTAGCATACAAATGGGTCCGCATGGTCCGCTGGATGCTGTGATAACATAGAAAGTTTGTTTGTAATTCAAATTACAGAAGCTTCGTCTTCGAAGCTTGTTCCATTATTATTGGAATCGTTTTAATTATCAATCGTGTACTAGTATTATAAATGTCGCGAACCTTTTCTCGCACCAAGTACGTTATCTTGATAGCGCGGTTTAGCGTCCTTATCATCCTTGTTATTAGTCCCTTTACCAGGGTTATCGTTCGGCATGCGATCTACGTTGCAGGTACACTGCAGCACGTCGTTACACGAGCACGTTCCCAAACCGCTCTTTATTCCGCGGCCACCTTTGTTCATGTCGGCAAAGTGTACGTCCGCTGAAACGTTAGTTGGTTGGAAATTTTCCTGTCAGGAAAAACAGGTGGAAACGGATGAAAAGAAAGAAAGAAAGAAGGAAAGAAAAGAAAAGAGAATGTTTACATTCGACGGTACAATCTTGCGGGCAAATGCGAGGATCCAATCGTTCGAGCTCGTCGCATTGGTTGTCGGGACAGTAAGTCAAGTCGGGAGAGCAGGTGGGATAGTGATCCGACATCATCGAGACCTCGTTCGATCTCTTGTTCCATCTCCACACGCATTGCCCGGAATAACTGCCTTTACTGAAAATCCAAAGCGTTCCCGTTTCCATTTCGGAAGAAGCATTCCGATGATCGGAAGGAAGAGAAAGGATATAAAAGTTTTGATTGAAAGGCGCGAAGACGAGTGGTTTAACGGGCGGTTTAACGGGTGGGAAACGGTTATCGTGAGAAGCGAAGCAGAGCCGTAACCTGTATAATCCGCTGGCGACACCGCAACTGGATTCGCAGTCCTGCGGCGTTTCCGCGTTCGCACAGGAATGCAAACGAGTTTGATTGCATACGCTCGTTTTCGTAACTGGCACTGTTATTAGATTCATTTTAATCGACTTGGAACCGACGAACCTATCCTTCTCGGTCCATTTGATCTTCAGCCTATAAAGTTGTTAAGTTCATTTCCAGTGAAAGTAATTTGTCGCGGTAATTACTTCTGATCACCACTGACAACTTACACCAAATTCGATGGCTCCGTTTTAAGTAGACTCTCGTTAGCCACGTAGACGATGCCTCCTTTCGGAGTGACAGCGAACGCATTCGATCCGTGAGCGGTGAAACTGGTGAAGGGATGCGGTTCGCTGGTCGGTTTCGCTATTCGTGAATATTTCGAGGCCAGTCGAGCAACTTTGACGCTCGAAGGATACGAGATTTGCTGTCTGTTGAAAGGTACGGATGACACCGTGGTAGTGGTCGTTCGGTGTTCCGGTCCGAAAAACGTCAACGAGATGTTCAACTAACAAGACAAAATGCATGGAATAAAAATTCGACGAACAGAGACAAATAGAGAAGAATAAAGCCATTCGATTCGTTTTTTCGACAGTGGGCGTGAACTGAAAGGTACGATTAATACGTCGAAATCGGAAGTTTGGCGTACAGATAATAAGGATCTTCCGCCTACGCGAGTGCCGACGAACAATTTCCATTAATTCTCGCTTGGCCGGATCCGCGGAATCAGCTTCGAAACCGCGCCCATCGAACAACGCTATCGCCATCTAATTGTTTAATGAGTCGCGATTAGTTGAGACGAAGCGAAGTGGAAATGGAAATGGAAATGGAAATGAAACAACAGAAGAGACTCACCGTATTCTCTCCGTATCCTGGAATCAGGGATTCGTCCTTCACTTGAAGCGTCACCCTGTAAGGAGACTTTGGTAGGAGGGTGGTTTTCGCGGAAATTCCTGCAACAGACCAGAGAGAGAAATTTACAATCGGACGGATCAGCGCAAAGATAAGAGAGAAAAAAGTTCTCACTTGTTAATATGGCAGTGTAAGGAACACCGTTGGAAGGCTCGATCGGTAGAGTGTTGTACGTGACGTTTAGAGCATCGTGCGCATCGCCTAGTATGCGAACGGTGTAACTATTACTGCTCTTCTCGTCCGCGTCTTTCAGTATCAAGTTGTTGTCGTCCACCAGCTTGTCACCCTGTTGGAACGAAGAAAAATGGTGGACGCTGTTTAATGGAAAAGAAACGCGACTCGCAAAATGTTTGGAATGTTTCGCCTCGCGAATATCAGGGAGAAGAAAGGCATCCGAGCTTAATCAAGATCCGTTCCTGAGGGCTTTTTCCCTCGTCGCGCCCTTTCCGCCAGTTTTCGCGCGTAGCCCGCTCGAAACAATGCGACGCGATCATGGGAACAATGCGTCGCTGATTAAGTACGATTCTTTAGAGTTTCGACTCTCACCGTGGTAAAATCTCGAAGCGTAATCGCGATGGAATCGTTTCCTTGCGCCATAGGAGGATTGTCGTCCTGATCCAAAATGTCTACGTGCAGGAGGCTGATAGGGGCGTACTGTATGCCTGTGGTTTCCTCCCAGACGATACACTGCACTTGAAGAGTGATCCGCGGACCCGGACCTCCGGGTGGACCCACCGCGTCCCTGTCGAGAAACGCGTTCGCCACCAACGTGTTGTTCGTCGCTTGAAAGTACTCCGTTCCTAAAATTGATCGTACATTTCCAGGTTATAACCCCATCTTGTCGGTTCCCCGGAATTTCAAGGCGTGCTGCACGTTCTAACGCGAAAGATTTATTCGGCCCGGCCCACTCGGATTATAGGGATACGAGTCTCTGTTCGCTTTAGCGACTCGAGCTCGTTAATCTCTCTCTAGAGAACGTTTCCGTGCGCGAGCTCATGTTGAGCTGTTTCAGCATAAAATCGAATCGAGGATAACGTTTAACACTTGCCGTTTAACAATTTGTAGCCGGTCACGTGAAAGCCAGGACAAACGTCGCTGTAAATATTCGGTCCGAACGTGCCGATCATCGTGATCGGTTGATTCTCGTAAATTCTGTACCTACATTCGTACCAGAAGCACATATCCTGAAATTAAACGAGATCGCGTAAGGAATGAATCCTTTAAACCCGCTGACTCCAGTTTATCCGGCTGGAAGGCGCGATTACCTGAACATAATCCGTGCAATTAATTTGCTTGCCCTCCAAACGAATCGGTTTCACCTTTATCTCCAAAGCGGCCTCGCTGCTGGCATTTACCTTCGCCAGCACTACGATCGTCTCGTTTTCGGATCCACCTTTGGACGCAACGAACCACCCCGTAACTAATTGGTTCGATTTGAAAATTTCACGCAAACAATCCTACCTGTTTTTTTTGAAAAACCGTGCAGCAACAAGTTATTCGTCTCGGAATCTATCGAAACGATTGGCTCCCGTGGCACGGTAATTTTATAGCTGGCTATGGAACCGAAAGGTTCCATCGAGTCTTTTCGAAGCGTTCTCAATTCGAGCAGCTTCAAATTCCACGAAAATTTACCGTCGTCGTCTCGCGGAAAATACGGCAATCTCACGGCCAAATCCGACTGTGGAAAATAAACGTCTGGAACAGAAGAATTGAACATAATAGGATATTGTAAACTATTAGCGACGACCGCGACGCGACGAAACGATGTCGCGTCGCGTGTCCAGGCTGTTCGGTATGCAACGTAATGTCACGGGCAAAGTAAAGGGTATTGTTTCGATCGAACAGCAAAAATAAACGTTTCGTCTAAAGCGCTGTTGTATAAAGTTCAACGGTGAGAGTTCGCGTATGGTCAATTTCGTGGAAACGCAACCTGTGTCAAGGTGAACGTTTAATCGATATACAGAGAGGAGGGTAGTTAAAGTCTCGTCCGTGCGCACAAGTTCTCGCCGAAAGAATCGCAAACACGATACGCTACCATCTCCATTCCTCGAATGATTTTCTACACGATACTAAGAATAAGCAAAAGCTCGTATAATGTTGGAGCTTCGCTTAATAATAGGAAACAGTTAAAACTTTATGGTTGAACCGCGTTTCTATTCAACCTCGTTGGTTTGCGAGCTACGTTCGATGCCGATGTTGTAAAACATCGCTATGCAAATAATAGGTAACTCTGTTTGAAATGATGTATATGTAGAATAGAGAAAGAGATGGGGTTTGGTGAAAAGGGCAACGAAGGGAGATATTTCGGTGGTTTTTCAGTTGCGGCGGGGTGGCTGAGTACGAGGTAAACGACGTGCAACCACGATGCGTTGCGTTAAGTCACGCGAAAGTCGAGTTACAGTATTTCTAACGCGTTTAGCGCAAACCTCTCCCATGATATACGTATACATATGGGGAATATCAACGAACCGAGATATTGCGATGATATTTCTAGTCGAACGCAAAATGGCCAACGAATTTCAAATGAAACACGCTCGTAGATGGGTAATTTGCGATTAGACGAGAATCGGGTGGAAAAACGAGGAGGTCGGGGCGCGAGATCGTTGTAGCTGGAAACCCTATTCGCACATCGAGTTACAATTCCCGAAAACAGAGACCGTGAATACGATACGCGCAGCCATAGAACCGACACAGCCCTATTCTGTCTCGTTCGCCGATCTCCAAGGACCTTCCGCGTTCGAGTTCCGGTTCCGAGCTAGGTTAGACACCCTCGCCACCGTGGATCCCGATACATAATTAGACGTATAATTTACTTTGCTCTTTCCCTATACCTTTTCTACATTTTCCAAATCTTCTTTCTTTCATCTTGAACGTGTCAGGGAAAACTGAAAGAGTATCGCACGTGTACAAACACGCGACACTTGCGCGTCCGCGTCGCGTCGCGTCGACTCGATCGGAAACGTTCGAACATGGCCAAAACACCTGCCTGCGCGCATCTGCTAGATATCGATAAATAGCTCTGCGTCATGCCAATTTCTCATCGTCCTTTAAAACTATCTTTCCTTTCTTCCGATCACCAAAACGACGCGCATTTACGAACTACTTACGTCCTACAGAATTCGGAAATAGCTTAACTATATTTAGGTCACTTCTCTCGACACCCCGAGGAAAAAGTTCGGCCAACTTTTAACCGTTGTAACAACGAGCTTACGACCTTCTTAAAATCTCCTCCTAAGATATTTATCGGTTTTCTTTCTTTTTCCCTCATTTCCTCTTTTACCCCGGAAAAGAGAGAACGCGTTTCGAAGGACGAGTTTGCTTTTAAAACCGGCCGTCAACGCTTACGCCCTCGCCAGCATCTTTCTGCTTAGCAGGAAGAAATTTATTCCAACCGTTTAAAGAATCGAAACTTTCCTTCTTTTTCGCGTTCTTACAAAGAACACCTTGATATCGATCGTTTCTGCAATTCAGTCTTTCCTACTTTGTTCTTGCCCCGCGAATGAGTTTACCTCGAAGCCGTAAAGTAAGCACATCGTGGTAGTTTCACTGGCAATAAGGTGGCTAGCGCTTAATCAAAGTTCCGGTAAACATGGCCCACTTTCTAACCAGCGGCTTCTTCGACTTGTTCGAATCGTCGCGTCGGACGAAAGTTTATCATCCGGTTAACTGGTGAGAATGTTTAACGTGTATCGCCGTTTTTAATCCGGGAAAGATGCATCGTCAGGGCAAGGTTTTTCGAGAAAACAAGCTACGGTAGTCTAATCGAATAGAAACAGTCGACGTAAAAACGTTCGTTTTTGTTTTTAAAAGCAACCCAACTTTCCTGCGCTTGTAATCCCACTGGCCGAGATACCTACCTTCCTAATAAATCTTCCGTATTCTCTACTTGAACAAAAGTACGTTCCTAGTATCGGTTTTCCATGTGTTTTTTCAGTGTTTGAAAAAATCCTGCGACTGTAAAAAACTAGTTAAAAAAGAAATTTATCTTTAGGTGATTCCATCGTCTACTACGTGGAAGAATCATTTGTGCAGTTATAGCGTTATTAACGAGGCTGATACGTGTACGCGGAGGGTTCGATCGCGGTCTGTCAAACACAGGCTAGCTAAGCGATGTTGACAAGGGCTAACTGTGTGTCGTTTGACGCGAGGTCTACCTCGATTCTGTTTACTTGGTATACATCTCGCGTCATAATAATACCGCGGATGCAACGTGAAAACGATACAGCAAACGGACATACTATAATACGATGATTAATTTTCTCTTCTACCTCGTGTCGTTCACCGATCCGATCGGTCATCGACCGATAGAAATTCGTTTCTTTCTCCTCGTCACGAGCCTCCTACGTATCGGTGAAATTAAACGAAAAGAGATTTTCAGCTAATTCTCTAACTTTGCTATATTAATCAAAGTAAATGGAATTTTTTATTAAACTGAATTTATTAACAGTACAAGAGTGTACGCGTTAATAAATATCAAAGCGGTAGTTGAGCAGCGTTATATACATACATAGAAATTGTAAACGGAGCCGTATCGTTCCTGCGAGTTCACAGTAGCGTTCCTCGACCATTTGTCCGACACGGAACGCGCTTTCGTTGTAAGTTTAATCAACGGCTGCTCGACCGTGATAATAACGAAAGAAAATAACAGAAATTTTCGATACGTGCAACGGTACGGTTCTTCGAACGGATAGCGTCAGACGGTTAATCCGTTGGATCTGTGTTTAATTATCATCGACGTTAAGAAGTTTGACATTAGCATATGCCTGTGGCGTTGCTTCGTCCAAAAGAAACCTCCGCGGCGAACTTATATATTTTCCAACGGCCAACTGTCCGTTCCTTCTCCGTCCATATTCTACGCGTTTAGACTTTTAAATTAGCTACCCGTTCGTTGATTGCCCCATTGAAATTGTTGTTTCAACTATCAAGAATCGAAAGGGATTGAGTATCGTGGTAAAAGTTTGTCGATTCTCGTTCTAGAGATCGCGATGCGACGCGACGCGACGCGACGCGACGCGACGGAGAAGTTGAAAAAACAAAGTAAAGTACGTTTGTTTTAGTATTTGGGTTATAGGGTGTGGCAAAAATGAGAGCCCCGTGGGATCGTCGGTGTCGCTTCACCTACATACACCTAAAGTTTTTCCTAGTAAACCTTAGATTAAATTACATCGTTAACGAATTACCGCGAGAAAGCGTTGCTGCGACGCGACGCGACGCGTTCGTCGATAAATTCGTCTCGATTCTACCCTATTGTCTGCTATGGGTTTCGTTAATTTCGCTAAACGAGACAACCGCGGCACGTTAAGTACACTCGGTTGGAGCAAAAATTCCGTTACTTTAGGGAACGAACCAGTTCGAAACAGAAAATAGTGTAGGTATCGCGAGGATTACATTGCGAATTGTTTGCTTCAGGATCGGTCTGGCAAGTTACGACGAACGCGAATAACAATAGGAATGGCAAACGCATAGATATAGATAGGTAGCTACAATAAGTACGTAGATGGTTGTTTGCTCGAGGACAGAGGTAAACGTTTGCAGGCTAGCCAAACATCATCGGTTTCGGCCGATCTTTGGCCGATCAAAGCTCAAGAGCGGCGGCAAACGTATCGAGGAATGTTAAACTTACTTAAACGAGAGTTGCGTTACAGTGGAAAACTCTTTCCTATTTCGAACGTTGATCGGCTTCCTTACATATCTACGTCGAGTCTCTATTTCTCTTTTTCTCTCCTCCTACCGCGCCTGTCCGATCACGAATCGGCGTTGCAGTTAGGGCGAGGGTTGCTTTTAAGACCGGCGTTGATTAACGATTTTCCGGTTGCACGCGATCCTTGAGGTTCGTATTTCGTCGCTGGTTACCTTACCGTTGCCTTCTTCGATTTTACGCGTTCACTGCCATCATGAAAACAGTGCCACGTTGGAACAACCTTTTATTTAAGCATTCGCTCCTGCCTCCCTATATTTGCATACCGTTAATACCATTGCGATCAATTAGTTCTCTGGTCTTTATCGACCACGAATATTAATTATAGTCGCTAATGCGCGCAGGTCGTAAAGTGTTCGTAGGTAAAAGGTGGAAGTTCAGTTTGCATCCGAGGCTTTTTGGTTCAAGTTCGTCGAATGAATTCGTTTAGGAGATAGGTGGTGCGCGTTTGGGATGAAAGAAGGTAAACAGAGCTGTCTGTTAATTATTCGCAGCAATGTGTTGGGTTGTGTGTGCATGCGGGCGTGCAGGTTAATCGGCCGCGTGCCTGGCCTCGGGATTAACGCTCCTTTCTTTCTATCTGTCCTGCATTTTATCGAACAAGCGGATAGATAACTCGCATTTCGATCGCGTCCTACGCTTTGCTGTCCACGTCCGCGAAGTCGCACGCGATTGGAAAGCCGATCTCACGAATAATGATCGACCGATAAACGTAATACCTTTTCAGATTTAATTCTCACCTTTTCTTCTTCTACGACGGAGTAAAACGGGAAGAAGAGAGCATTAAAACGAGATGAACGAACGTCGATCGCTCGATCGCGTACACTCGCGTGTGTACCTGCCATTAAATGACCGTTTCGCACGTTATGGAATCTTGTAATTAATCGAGTCGAGCGTGTGTACGAACTAGCTTAATAACGCTAGTTAATGAATTCACTCGAAACGATAGTCTGTAATTGCATTTGCGACGCTATGCGAACCATCAAACTCCCGATTCGTTGCGTTACCATTATCGTCAGCTTACTGTTTCGAAATGGAAAATCAGCTGATTCTGATTAGCACGAGAATCGTTTGAAAAAAAAAAGAAGAATCGCGTAGGAAGAAAAAGGTACGCATGGTCGTGCATCGTCGAACGAAGGGCAGTATCGATTTTTACCCTGCATTGGAATCACGCGAGTCCTAGGTTGCACGCGACATTACGATATCATCGCATTCTCTGATTACGGTCAAGTGCGAATGTCATTGGTTCAACTTTAGAATTACAACGAAAGACTTTCCCCATCAATTTGTGTAGCGGCGAGTCGCGGAAGAATTTTGCGATCGCTTCGTTACTGGAGAAAGTTAAATCGGGTTAGAGCAGCCTTGGTTCGCAGGCAAATTTTAGCATACAATGCTAGGCCGCATTAATTTGTCGTGGATTTAGTAGCGTGACTTTGCGCAACCGAACGTCGCGACGTTAACACGCGTGCTTCTCGCGTTTCGGCAGTTTGCCTGTTACTTTCATCTGTTCCACCTACATATTATAGTACATATACTGTGCGTATGTACATAAATACACGTAGAAAGTTCACACGCGATCGGATCAATTTGAGAGCGAAAAAAAAGTCGTGACTTACCGGAGGCAGGTGTGCCTAATGGTAATAACAACAGCAAAAGAAACAACATCGTCGTGGTCGAGGTTGGTCGATCGATTCTAACGATTGTTCGCACGACGGAACCGCCAACCTAATCCTAGATGTCAACGTAATCTCATCCTCAATTTAATTTTCCGTACGTTCAGTGCCTCGTCGAGAATCGGTTCTCCTCTTCCCGTGGCTCCTCATTCGAGTTTTCCTTTCGCGTTGCGCTCTTTAACGAGTCGAAGAAAAACGCGCGAAACGCCGCTCTTTTCTTTCCATGGAAAATAAACGACTAATCCACATGTCGACAGAGTTGGCGTATCGTTTCGTTTATTTCGATAATTCGATAATTCGATAACGATTGGGGTGAATTTCGTAGAAAATCAATGATCCGATAGAGCAATCGTAATCGATAGGATTCGTAACTGAAAACGATAGCGGAAATGTCGTTGAAAGATAGGTTTGGAGGCGTCGCGACGCTAAGACGCTCCAAGCGTAACTGACTACCTCGAGGCAACCGGCGTTATCAGACAATTTTCCAGGTGCGCGCATGCGTGCACGCGGGTCGGAAGCGTGTGCGCACCCCGAAGAGGAATCGGGGCAAACAGAGCGAGGGAGCCGCTTGGGGAATAGGTGCGATCCTTCCACGCTCCCCCTAAAAGTCCTAAGTGCTACGTTACCCCTTCCCTTCTTTTCATTTCTTTCACTTGTATCATTACTTTTCTCCTCGAATACTTTTTGCTCAATAATACACCTTTGATACGTTAAATTCATTAAATTGCTGAATAGCAATTCCGATATCGGAGGAAATTCACTTCGGAGGGAGATATAATCGATTAGAATTTCCAGTAAAACAAGGATATTCTCTCGGGATATCCTTGGACTCGACGTCCCGAAAGCTCCGTTTCGGCGAGGAGAATCAACTTTCCCCTTTGAAACGATAACAGAACGGTACGCACGAGGCGAGGGGTGCATTTCAATTGATCCGTCGCTATCGTCGGAGGGTTCGTTGACCAACATTATCGTACGCTACTGCGTGCACGCGAACTGTTTGGCTGTTCGACTAAAGGACGCGCCGAGATCCTTTCGTTTCTTCGTTTCTTCGTTCCTTCGGTCATTCGATTTGCGGTATGTAATTCGTAATTCCACCTAGAACGAGAAGCCCCGTTGCATCGCGTCGCGTCGCTTCTTTCAAAGAAAACGTTTCAATGACAACTGAACAGTTATGGATAACGCGATGGTATTAGACATATTGAATAAGGGGATTATTATTACGATTTTCATCGTAGAAAGAAAAGATGAACGTTCGCATGCGAGACGGGGCTAATTCTGAGTCACAGGAAGATTCCTTCGTTTCATCCCGCGACAGATCATTCTTTACGGTGCCTTGTCTCTGCGTCATCCGCATCGCCTATTCTTCTCTACACCGCAAATCGATCGATTCAATTCGTCTAACTATTTATGATATTAATTTCGTTTCCTTTACTTACAATTAGTATTTCGTAATTAATATTTAACGAACAATAATATAATAAATGAATCATTTCCGAGACTGCCCATGCAAAACGGTTAATTCATCTGCACCCTTAACTGTCCCAACAAACTCTGTGCTCGAATAGTACCCATTCTAATTATGGTTCGTTCCATTTGCTAAGATTAATGGTTAAAGAGATTATTCTACCATGGTCGGAATTAAAATGTAATTGTGTCAAACGCATTAGATTCGACGGAGAACTGCTAAAAGAATGTAACGTCGTTGATATGACCATACATGGATTTACAATTAATTAATATAATTCATAGGAATTTCACAGGTAAAGTGAAATTATCATATAACAGTAATATTGCGCAATAGGAACGTTCACTAATAGCTACAGTAATTAATGTCGTACAGATTTATTGCATGTGGCGGGATACGATTCAGCAGAGAAGCTGCAAACAAAACATATAGATGTAGAAAAGAAATACGATTGAAACCAGGTAGTCGTTCGTCGAAAAAAAAAAAAAGAATTTATCAAAAATTGAAATGTCATTCGCACTCACGTTCATAAATCAACTGTCCGTTTTATATCCGCGTCTTCTAACCAAAACAGTTTGCGCGGCTTTTTCTCTTTTTGTTTTTTATAGTTAACTGAGAGTGATAGCTTCGCGATAAAAACTTTTTAAATAATCGCATGGGGATGACCTGATTTCTGTTTTATTAAATTTCCATATAAAATCTGGTTTTATATTTAAAAATGAATATCACAATGCTATAAATTGGGTAATTTAATTAACATGCAGAAAATATTGATCAAAACTTATCTTCTCTGTGTCTTTTATTTAATTTTACATTGATGAGCATTTTGAAAATGAAACAGCTAGTGTCATCTGACGGAACCCGAAGAAATAAACGAAATCGATTCGATACACACATATATATATATATATATATATATATAGCTCGCCTAAAGAATGACAATACAGGCATGTGGTGTCTCTTCCTCCCCCACTACTTGCGTATAAAGGTTTACGCGGGAGAATTTGTACCTCGATCGTGTACCAATATCGATAAAATAGCGATTGCTCTCTGGTTATAATTTAGCACCAGTAGATGGTATTGATAGTACCGTTTCTGCGATGCTCAAGAGAGCAAACTCTTTTGAAACAGATGTAATCAACTTACGATTAAACAATTGATGAATGAAGTACATATGCAAATTAAATGACCGCGCCAAGTGCGTCAACTAGGCACGTGACTATCAATCCGCGATGACGCCACAGTCAACGAAATGCAACGTTTCAAATTATCCACTTTAATGCTTTATAAACGAACTCGCGTGACTTCGTTTCAGTTACATTACGACCATAAAAGGTTCTACTTACTCACCCCAATAAATCGTAAAAGTCGCTTATTAGAGAGGAAAAAAAAGCAAGTTTCTGTTTCGTTAGTTGCGCCCTTCGTCGCCAGATAACACTAGAGGTACGGTTTTTAAAAGGCGCATTGATTTGATCAGATTTTTTCCAATATTATTACAGTTTTTTTTAAATCATTCAATTTACAGTAACAGAATTAAGTAGATAATAAATGAAGTAATTATAGCATTTTGATTGAGAATCTAAACTTTCAGATTTCTGGTCATGTGCTCAAAGAATCAGTTGAATGTATAATAATGATAATTTTTCGCTAATTTAGTATACAAACAATTTAGTTCTTTAACCACTTAAGATCCCTATTTAAAAGCATGTCAACGTAATATTACGTACCTGAACGTTAAGTGGTTAAAAGCGAGCGACGTAAAAGCAAATATTTTCGCATAAAGATTCAGCATCGCAATTACCTTAAAAATATAATATGTACCTCGCCTGTAACTTGACAAACATGTAACACCAATTTGAAAGTTGTATTAATTAATGATAGTCATGTAATATCGATGAAAAAGAAGCACATACAGAAAGAAAAGAAGGATCCTTTATCTAGTACAGAGCAACTCTTTCTTTGTTCCTGCTTATCTGTCGCAATGAAATTCGAGTACTTACTCTAGATTAATACTAGGAAAACGTTTTATTGTATTTTATCGATGTATGAACTTAATCGAGCGTCAAGCAGCGTAGCCTTCGATTCCGATAGAATGGTTTTCCTATATAACGTTAAGGCTATCACAGCAGCTTCGTTTTTCTATTCGCATTATTCACGTCCGCAAATTGACGTTCGGCGTTAATTAAATTTTATTTGAACGCAGTTTTCATGTATGTTCTGTTGATTAAGGCATAGGAGATAAAGACAACGAGAACTAAGATTGAAACGTAAGTATGTGGCATTCAGAATTTTTCAAAAGTCAGACTAGACGATAGAAATAGAAATAGAAATAGAAACGATATTTCCTTTCTTTTTTTTATCTAACGCTTATAAAAATATATTTCTACTTGTTCTGTCTGATATAGCGATCCGTCCGTTTGATCCTTCGAAAAACGAGAAGAAGCGTTTTAATTCCCAAACGATATCACAGTATTGTTGCGTTTCCTTCCCTTCTTCCAGCAATCTTTCCATTTCGAGAGTGGAAAGATTAAAATGGCACAAACGTTCATAATCCATATAGTGCTTCATGCTTGGAGAACTTGCGTCGAAGTTTCCCTCACGGGTTTCGGTTGAAAGAAAGACAAGCAGAAGCAGGCTAAACAGAGAAGATACGGAGTAAAAAAAGTCGCGGAATATACTTATAGAATTAGTTTGGATAGTTTGGTCTTCTTACCGAGCAACAAACAACCCATTCCCATGAACGCGACCAGACACTCGACGTCTAGCAAGGCGGAAAATAGAAAATTTCCTAAAATAGCGGCTAAGTTTCCAACTGTGTTGAGCATTGCGAGGCTGGTGGATCTGCGTTTTTTCAAATACCAATTTACCAAATGATCTTATGGTTAAGAAATTTATTTAAACAACTGCAAGAGCATTTGTCCAAACGTATGTATGTACGTACATACACGATTAAAGGTCGATTTATATTATCTTCGTTTCATCGTCAGACAAAATATTGCGACAGAATTTATTACATCCTACATAATGCAAAATCTTTTTTTTCTTTAATATTTTATTCTCTTCCTCTTCCTCTTCCTCTTCCTCTTCCTCTTCCTCTTCATTTAATAATATAAATCGACTTTTACTCTTTAAGTTGGCAAAAATAGAGTGGAAAAATAAGTGGTGTATGTACGTTTTTGTCGAATTGCGATACAGAGAGGGTAGTTAGTCCGACGCGACGAAGGTACAGATTACCTTAATGGTATCGGGATAACGTCGACGTTCACGGCGGTAACGATATTACCCGTTATTCTTGTCGTCACGATGATGGCAGCAGCGAGGGTGAGCATGTAAGGTGGAAGCTGTGCCCAGTTCATTCCGAAGCTGCTTATCACCGAGATTAGAAAAGCTGCAACTGTAACGCAACAAGGTATCATCCTTAGGCCGGACGGGACGAGCGTTTAAAATAAACATTGCGTTAATCCGATATGAAATCTGACGAGGTGGTGAACGCGAAACGAAGCAATTCTCACCCAGTATCAGTTTCTTTCGTAACTCGCAGGTGGTTATTAAGCCGGCAAGAAAGGAGAAGAAGACTGCCGAAAATGCTATTATGGTAGAATTTAGATATATTGCCGCGTTGATTTTCCACTGAAAGAGAAACGAAGAAATAGCGTTTGTGGTCGAGCGTCAATGAAATTATTCTCTCACCGTGATGCAGATGTCCTGGAATTCCGGGCAATCTAGGTAGTCCCTGGCAGGCAGACTGTTTCGAGGATCGAGCATCTCGCGCATAGTCGGCGCTCGATCTTTGTTCCACTTCTCGTCGTCGAAATTGTTCAAAATGATGAAGAGGTGCGGTACCCAAAGTCTCATCGTGTTGAACCTACCAGTGTGTACGTATCGGATCCCTTTCGATAACGTGGAAAATTGCAAGAGAATAATGCTTACCCCAGCATACTGCCGAACTGAAGGAAATTAAGGAAGGCAACGGTACGAACGTACGGACCGGAGAACAACAGTTTGGTATTATAACAGGAGAGTCGTATTTTTTCGGTAGTTGCCTGGAATATGGATTGTCGCGATATCTGCGAGTTTTCCCATACCAGTAGCGTTTTTATCTGGAACGATAGAAAAAGAGAAATTTGTCATCTCGGAGTTTACGTACACGTAGGTACGTCGAATCTTACCGGAAACGTGTTTGCCGGCTTCCATTTGTTGATGCAGTACATCCTGCGGAGCAGTTTCATAGCTTCCTCGGGTTTACCAAGGTCCATGAGGTACTTGGGTGTTTGCGGTAGCGCGGTGGCTGTCACGAGGCCTAACACCGGAACGATCGAACATATCAGCAGGTAGATTCGCCAGCTAGTGTATCGTCGGTAGAAGACGTCAACGGACAGAGGCAAGGGTAGAATCGTGAAGCCGAGAGCTGCGAGGAAAATATTGCACGTTCGGCGAGAAGAAATGAAAGCAGGAAGAAAAAGTACAGTTTGGCGAGGTGATGCTCACCCGCGGGAACGATGATCGCCGCGTTTACAGCCAGTCCTGCCCATCTGGCGAAGCTTGCTTTATATTTTGCCGAATGAAACTCGGACAAATAGGCGATCACCATCGAGAACGGTCCACCCGTGCTGTGAAATTCGAATTAGCCTTTGATCGCGATTCCGCCAGGTGGGAGGCCGATCTACCCATCTGCAGGATGGAGGGTTAGCGGGAGATACTTACAAAACGCCGCTAAGAAATTTCAATGCCAGAAAGAGGTAGTAATTGTCGACAGCGCTGGATAGCACGTTTAGAATCGAATCCGCGAACAACGCGAAAATGAACAGGTTTCTCGTTCCAACGTACGGCGTCAGGTAATCCCATATGAAACTAGTCAACACCATTCCTATGCATATTCGAGAGGAATGTGTAATTGGCACGAAAAACAGTTTTCATAAAGAAGAGGAAGAAGAAGAAGAAAGAAGGTCATGGAGCGAAAAACACTATACCTAGAAAGGGGAACGCGACGAGAACGCCCTTGCGGAAGAAAGTAAGTTGGAGATCGCACTCGGCGGAAGCGAGAATGAAGGCTGTCGTGGTGGTGTCAAAGATCCCGGTCCACGCGACCGGCAATGCTGCCAGAAGCAACAACACGTTGAACGTTCCGTAGCCTGGAAAGTAGGAAAACACGAGTGTAGATAGAGAAAGATGAAAAGTCGATGGGCGAAGATGAGCGGTGTTGCTCACCTGTCGCCGATATCGCCCTTTCGATATTCGCCGTTCCATCCTCGTGGTCGTTTTTCGCTGAAAATTACGTGAGATTGACGGGAAAGCGAGCAGAGACTAGAGACGAACGAAATCCGTCGTCGCTCGCGCGATTCGACGATGCGTTGCGCAACGTTCACGGTTATGCAAACACCGCATAAGCGTTCTATCCTCACCGTTTATCGTCAAGATTTTCACGTCGGTTTCACGATTCGTCACCATACTTTTATAACACGATTTCGATGTCGATCGCGAAACTCTTTCGAATCTCTCTTGTCAGTCTCGAGGCAAAGCCGAAGCCGCGCGAACGTCGCTTGACGCTCCACTCCCGCGTTTATACTTTTATCCCCGTCGAGGACGCGAAACGGCAAACCTTCGCACCAACCAAGAGATTCCGTGAAGCCAACGAACGAGATTGTAGACTAACGCGAACACCGATTCCTCCTCTGGTCAACTTCTCTCATTCGCGATGCTGTAACTTGCCAATTAACACGGGTCAAACGATTCAATTGTTGCGATCTGTTCACTCCGTCAGCGTCAGCGAGTTATCGTCAAGAGTCGCGCTAAACTGTTACCCGATATTAGACGACTCGGACAATGCAAATTACGGCGATGTCGTCAACGACACCAAAGTGGCTGTCGCCTATGTTAGTTGCAGTCGCCAGTACGAAAAGTCTATCGATTTTAATCGTTTCTCGAATCTTGCTACTACTGAATTCGTTCAATTGTAGGTCGAAGTAACGATTATCAAAACCTGTATCACGATAGATCTTTTCTGATAAGATAACAAAATCTCCAATGCAAGATCGCGCGTTTATCGTCGACTTAAGTGTCTGCTTTGTTTTTTTTAAGGAGGAAAAAACGCAAAAGAATTAGGTATATTGATAGGATTCGATGGTGGAGCTGCGGAAATCGATCAGCCGTCACTCGTTGCGAGACAAGGAATCTCGGTTGCGTTTTTCCTATTATCTATGTACCATTGCAAATGATAACAAATCCATACCGATAGTTAATATCGCCTTCTATTGCGAACATAAGATTCACGCCTTTAAGTTTCATCGGCCTTGAAAGTTACGGCATAGCCCGATATGGAAATATGGTAAATCGATGCGAATCGATACGAAGGGGATGTAAGGTATCGCAACGGAGACGAGGATGCGGATTAAGACGCGCTTGCACGCTCGAACGAGCTATTCGAGAGGCTTCGTCGATACGCGCAAATATGCAAACCACGAGGTTCCGGTGTCGCGTCAAAAGCTAATGGCACAAAGATAATCCCTCTTTGAGTGGATCCCTCGATTCTCCTCTCTTCGTTATCGCTCGCCGCTCGCAGCCTTCAAAGGCGCAGTTCATTTACGACCACCGCACCGTGCTTGCGCGACCGGCATTTGCTTTCGCGGTATCGCAATATTTCCACTCTGCTGGTTTTGCTCTGCGAAACAGAGAGGTAATAAAGGAATGGAAGAAGAGAAAGCGCGTTTCATTCTGGGCCTGGACAGTTAGATCGCACTTGAAGACAGGAAACACTTTTACACTTTGTACAATCATTGAAACCTTCTTTTATCCTCTCTATTGGAATCGTTTCCTGATTCGATCACATTATCTAGCGATTGCATCTAGAGAATTGATTTAATTGATTCGGGTAATGAAATATGTCGAGAGTCGAGAATCAACTCGAGAGATATCAAGGATTTATCAGACATTGTATTAATATGGTATAAAGATACTAACAAAATCTAGTTCATTTAGCAACTAAGTTCATCGTTGAATGAATAAAATAGCGGATTGGTCGAAAGATGAAATTTCGGAGAAAATTGGTATTACGAATGATTTCTCTTTTGGAATCTTGCAATCCGCAAGCTCTTTCGTCTTTGCGTTTCCATTCTCGGTCCATTCAGCTCATTCCTTATCGCTATCTACCTAGCGAAAATCCAACGCGAACAGGGAAGCAGAGTGAAAAGAGAGAGAGAGAGAGGGTTGGTACGTTCGTTAGAACGACCACAGACCTATAGAGAAACGGCAATGTTATTTATTCACCCCACGTTCTCCCTTAAAGATAAGCGTCTGAGCAATACCTACATACTAGCAAGGATAATAGTCTTCTGGTGAAACGATCGTGTTTCGCTCCCTATTGATAAAGTTTATGTTTCTCATAATCGGAGCTCGTAATTGCACCCCGTCTGTTTAATCAAATTTTTCAAACTATTCCATTTGTTTAACGTCAAAACAATTTTTTCTTAAACGGGCGACACTTTTAGTCGGAAAATCTTTGACTGCTCTAGCTCAGGCTCGAAAACGGAAGTATCCTCTCCTCTGCTTCCTCTTTTTACTCAACCACATTCTCTCCCTTTTCCTCGTCCTGCGACCAGTGTTAAACCCCGAATAATCAATTGAAAATAGTCCTTCTGCGTTTGACACGAATCTTTCTCTTCTGAAAATTTCTCACAAAGAACGATTAATCAACTACTATCGTGTTCAATTTCTTAAAAGTCCAATTCTTCGAGTAAACGATTTTCTTTCTCGTCAACGAGACGACGTTTATTGAACGTAGGTAATTGTGATAGTCGAGGCTGTTTTAAACGAGCTCCGTCGTATTTTCTTTTGGTGTTTTACAAAAAGAAAAAAGATCGTTTTCCCGGTAGCGAGAATCAACGCAACGCGCAACGGTTGACAACTGACGAGAATCCACGTTCGTCCTATTTCTCGTTCTGCGACTGGGCTTTTCCACTTGGAAAACTCCTTTTCTCTGTCGAATTTATAGGAAAGACGCGGTCTACGTTGCCGAGCATCGATCAATAATTTCGTCGAAACGACGCTGGCCGAACGGTCGGAAAATAAAATCGCCGCGAGGTTCTGCAAGTAAAACCGATGTAGGTCGATCGATTGGTAGTTTCGCGAAGAAATCAGAAGAAAAAGAAGAAATCAAGTAAAAGAAACGCGATATCTTTTCTTCTTTCAGTTTTTCATGAAGCTCGCGAATTTGCAAAAACTTGGCGGAAGTTTGTTGGAAGGATTAATTATTAACGTTTATGTTTGAAGCTACAGTTCGCCTCTCGAATCGTCTTTCGAGTCGATAAAGGATAATCTACTGTAATGGTTAAATTGAATTTGGCTCTAGCTGGAAATTATCGAGTAATTATCTCCACGGTGGCTGAATATTACCACTTTCTACTAACAATAAGACGACCCGCGACATAAATCGCGAAAAAGGGAAAAAGGATAAGGATCGTAACGGGGCAGCCAGACTGGAAGGATGGACCGGGAGCATCGGGAAGTAGGCAATTTGAATAAACGACGCGCGACGTCGCGACGAATCCATTACGCGCTGACGATGTAAAGATAGGAAAGCCGCTGTTATGCAGTCCTTTTCTCTATTCAACCTGAATATTTTTTCAATATCGTTTGATTAAATCTATCTCAGAACAGTTACAACGTAATCTTAATTTCTAGGAAGAAGTATAGATTGAAATGAAAATAGCGTTATCGATACATAGGTACGATAGGGAATACCGACGATAAAGAAACATGAACATTTAATTATCAGTTTCAATATCAAATGACATAACAGTTGGTTGGCAATTTGTATCGAAGAAGGAAAATCCTTCTAGGGAAGGTTCGAGGGAAGAAAATGGATGAATAGAGTGGGGAACGAGCGGAAATGAGGAGAACAGTGGTGTAGGACGAAATTGGAACGATGCGCGATGGTAGAAACCGAGAGAGACCAAACTGTCGGCAAACTGTATTTACCGTTGTTGCTTGCGAGCCACGGCTTGCATTTAGCTAACTTTCCTAACGATCTCGTGGTTCTACTCGTGTTTTCCTTAAATACAGCGAAACTCGGAGATAAGCCGAAACCGGTTAAACCGTCGCGTCGTCGCGTCCTCGCGTTTCCTTCGCCACTTGTTACCACCGTTGGTCGTTTAATCTTACCAAGAAAGAAGAAAGAGTTAGGTACGTGGGTAGCTACCCTTTACTGAATTCGTTTCTCTCCTTTTATCTGTTATTTTTACATAAATAGTTACATAAGAATTTAGATAAAGAGTAGAGGCGTTACACCGTCGAAAGCAGAGTAAATTTGTCATTCGGCTGGCACAGCCGTTTAAAATTCATCGAACACTCTGCGATATCGTCGCGAGACAATTAAATCAATCGGTATAGAAATTACATTAGCCCCGGATAGAATAGATAGTAAAGTGACGACATTTTGGAGGGCGGGATGGTTCGCTTACGCACTTCACGAACGCCATGGTCGCGTACATACAAGCGTTAATTAGATACTCGCTTCAACGTTCGATAATTGCGCGACGTTCCACGAGCATCGTGATCATTTCAGGGGGCATTTGTTCGACCAGCTCATCCTGACCATGAGAAATACAAAGCTCCCTCTTTCGTTTCGCGGAGAAAAAAAAGTACAGGAATGAAATGAATTTGTGAAATAAATAAAAAACTGATTATTATTGAATTCTGTAGATTAGATAATAAGTTTGATCGGAAGGAAAGATAGGATGTAGAAATCGAATGATTCTCGTTTCGCTGTGCGTAAATGTAACATTTATTTCGGCATAAATTATGACGATAGATACATATAGATTAGGTATAAATACAAAATGAATTGACTGTAGACAGGACTGTAGTGAAAATACGTGGATGCGGCAGCGGCGCATCGCGGTATTCCTACTCGATTCGTTCCGCTCGCTTCCGTTTCCTGGAGAACCAAAAACAGCCCGCGATTTCCCCTATCTTTCTCCGCCTAGGTCTCACAAAGTGTTTTTGTTTTTCCAGAGAAGCGGAAGCGTAGAAAAAAGAAATTGAGAGCGAAAGAGAGGGAGAGGGAGAGGGAGAGGGAGAGGAGGGTGCCCTTTCGGCTCCATCGCTGACGGAGAATCGCGTTGTTTATAGAAAATACAAAAAGTCTCCTCAAACTTTCTGAGCAACGACTTGTCGCAGGCCGAGCTGCGCTCCCTTCGCAAAATCTTTACATACTCCTGACACGACATTCGAACATGCTTTGATTTTTGCAACATCACCGGAAGAGTGGCGCGACTTTTTTTTTTTTTTTTTTTTTTTTTTTTTTTCATTCATCGCAAACTTGTCTGGGTTGGCAAAACGTTCTTTGATTCCGTCTCTTTGATTAAACGAAGGAGAATCGTGTAAGTGGAAGCAAATGACACGTTTGAATTAGGTAGGATGAAGTGGACGCGAACGTTGCGCGTGATTTTTAGCACCGAATTAGAGAACGTAATACGCGTTCCTTCCTGTGGATTCGAGCTTGCAGGTGTGTACGACGTGTGTATAGGGATGTTTAACGCGAAAGTAAGCCCAAGTCCGTGGAACGCAACGATTTGGCAAAATATCGCGTCGCTTGTCGCTGCATGCGTCGTCATAACCTACTTACTTCTCATATAATATATTCATATATGGTATATAATATATACGTATATATGTATATAGTTTTTTTTTTTTTTACGAACCGTTTTACGATTAATCAAGATCACAGCCATAGCTTTGAATACGAATGTTTCGTTCGTATTTCTGTTAAGACCGATACATTTACAGCTAACAATCCGTTTGATGATAATCGTAAAGATACAAGTTGCAGATTTCCTATCGACATCCGTTATAATTCTCTAAAATAGCTACACATCGATTACAACGACATTCGAATGAGATACGGGAGGAGAAAGATTTTCTGGACTAGATAGAGCGTACGAGTAAGATTGGAACGAAATAATTCGACTAGGCGAAAAGCGAACTAACTAGTATTCTACTCTACCTAATTACTCGAATCTATGCACGATAACTGTAAAGAGGATCTGATTAGGGTGTTCCAACGATAAGCAGAATCCGAGCTTTTTCCCGTTTCCGGCGACGAACAGTAGTCGAAGAGCGTCGTTCGCGTGTCACCTTATGTTGGTTATGTTTCATTTTGTTAAACTCGCGCTAATCGACGATCTTAGCCGCCTAGAAAAAATAAAATTTCCCGTTCGGACGATCGCTGGGGCGGCAAACACGCGATTAGCCATATTTCGAGTCGAAAAAGGAGACGCGGACGAACGCCAACTAATTTCCGTCGCGCGAAACGGAAGTTAAACAGAGACGACGACGACGACGACGACAACGACGATGATAACAATATTGATTACGATAACGATCACATCGAACTTCCTACTAATTGCTACGGTACTTTTACGTTGATAAACCTCTGTCTACTGGTAGGAGCATACGTAGATACGTTAGTTGATCGCTTTCTACCTTCCATCCGAATCGTCGAACCGTGGACGTCGAAAAGCTGATTGGTACATACATACATACATACATACATATTTCGTTGCTTCGAACGATTTCGTATGAAAGCTCGAAAGCGGACAAGGTTCTAAAGACAAACTAAAGACCCGTCGTGCAGTTTGACGAAGATAAGACGTCGCTTCTCTTTCGATCGCGAAGAAAGCGTGCATTCGTGGGTCACAGCTACGGCTAAGTAGTTAGGAGGGACCGTGATATCGGACGTACGTTCACTCGAACTGCTGAATCTACGAATCCATCTAAGTCAGCTACTCGAAAAGAAGCGAACACATCGAAATCGTGCCGGTAAGCAAGAACAAGAACAAGAACAAGAACGCTTTCTACTTATCGGCAGACCCGAGTGAGTCTCTTTTGTGCGGTCCGAGTTTAAAAAATCAGTATCTACTACGAGCGATCTACGTTACACCTAACGACTAGAATCTGCTAAATCGAAGCGCGCTACATTTCTACGTTAAACCATCTACGACATCGATCTAGCTTCTCGAAAGTGTATCAAACGCTGCTTTCATAGCGACTTTCTATTTGACGATTCGCGCGAATCGGCAGGAAACTAATGACTAAACTACCGCGCGAAGTGGTAAGGAAGGATAGAGATGCTGGTTCGCGAAAAGCCATTGAAACCTGTAACGCGTAATAGCGTTCGAGACTAATAGATAAGTGGCAGGCGAGTTCCTTCACCAATCCGTCGGAAGCTATATGAGAAGAGAAGAATAGAATTTTCTAGGAAACGATGGCATGCACGAAAGAGACTAAAGAGACGAAAAAAAAACATAGATGGTTGTATAAAGTGCGAACGCGTAGCTGTAAAATGATTATCGAGAGGTACGGTACACCGAAGCTTGTTTTGGCACGTGGCTTCCGTCGATCGTCGAACGCTAATTAACGATCTCTGGAACATATCTTACACCTATTTACGTGTCGTTCGTATTTGGCATTAAATACAGTGTTGAGCAAAGCTGAAGGTACAAAAATTCTTTGATTGGCGATCACGAAGATCGACGAGCAGGATCAAGAATTTCGTTTCGATCGAGACTCGTCGTGTAACGGCCGCGTATCGCTACTCGTTAACAAAAATAAGTATCGCGTCGACTTTGCGGTGATACACGACGATCCCAGGACGATTCTAGGACGATTCGCGGTTGTTGATGGCTCGAGCTTTCCTCGCAAAAGATGAAAACTCGAAATTACTTGCGTAAGCAAGCTACGCTGCTGCTGCTGCTGCTGCTGCTGCTACCGAGGATTAATACCGCGAAATAAAGGCGGATAGAAAGACGCGTGTTTATCGCCTGCGAGATATTAACGACGACTTACGTGCTAATACTTTGGAACGACGGCATCCTCGATCACCGTCGCTTTGCATACTCGACTTTGGTATCGTTCGTCGCTAGTTAAAAACTAATTGTAAGTACTTAATTCGATAGATAAGTTAAACGCTACCTTTGGACGTGTTTCGCTTTTGCTTTTTCGTTCACGCGCCTGATTGCTGGCCGTTACGTTCGTTAAATTGGCAGGTGACGCGATCAACTTTATAAGATACCTTTCGATTTCGAAAGGCTGAAGCTCGTAGACTAGGAGCTTTCCTTCTACGTGTAGTGTTCGCAATCCCCACACTCGGAGAGCGTGGGTGTGGACGGACACTAGGTGGGATTCGAATCCTCGTAGGCCTTTTCGTAGTCTCGTCGACGAATCACCGCAAAGTGAGTCATCTGAAAGGAGTTGGTCTTCTTAGAGCCACGCTCCAACGTACCGGTCATGCTGTAGCCCATGTTGAAGTCGCTCGACGACACGTTCGATGTCAGGTACAACTGTCGGCAGAAACAAAAACAAAGGACGGTCCACCTTCTTCTCGCTTATAGATCGATCGGCCAATAAAAATGACAATACTTTTAGAATCGTTGGAGAGGGAATGAAATCGGGGTGGTGATACGCCGAGGCAGAAGAGGATCGCCCTGGAAGGTATTAGGTATATGTATATACCTTGAAATCAGGATCGGTCGTCATTCTTTTGAAAGAGCCGATGATGTAAAGCGTGCCCGTTCCCGTGACCACCATTTTCGCTTGAGTGCTGTACCTGAAACAGCAATTAATTCGATGAGTAACGCGTCAACCGGACGAAACGGCTAAATGGAAAACGCGAATTAAACGGTTGCAAATTTCACCAGTTTATTAACGGCGCTTGTCATTTTTGCCAATGTGTAATGTCGAATAACATTCAATTAAGGCTTTTAGCGGCTGCCGGTAAACCGTGTATCGCAATTTATTCGAAACGCATGATCGTCGCCGGAGGCCGAGATCCTCGACATCCTCGACATTCAACGATAAATTAAGGAAACGAGTCGATTCTCGACGCTCGACAGATTGCAGGCGACAGTGCTTACACCCCGTAAGTATTTTATCGCGCCGTAAATCGGTAATGCGATTACCTTCGGCCGGACTTTCAACGGCTTATGACAATTTATTAACGCCGTTCTCGTTATTCCGTTTGCACGATGCTCGTTTAGTTAGTGCGAAAAAAAGAAATTGAAAAATTCGTCACGAGAATGAAAACGATCGGTGGGAGTAGCCGTAGTAGGTAAGGGAGGAAGAAGAAGAAAAACGGTAAAAATAAAATATGCAAGAATAATTAATAAAAGAAGAAAGGTCAGAAGAGAGAGGGGAAAGATAAAGAGGCGAAAGATGAAGCTCTGAGCATTTTTGGAAGCGAATGGATGGAAAGGGGTGATGGAAAAGAAGAGCGAGGAATGGTTAACGAGCGGGTGAGAGAGAAAAAGGAAGGAGAAGAGGGCGCAACTCTCCCCAGTGACTCGAGGGGCTTATTCCGGCGGGGGCGCTTCAACCGGCGACGATCATTAAAAGTTTAAACGCTCTCCATTGAAGTGCGGCGGATCCAACACTCGGTTTAAAATCCACCGTGGCTGTTGGTGCTTTGACTTTTCCACCGGCCGGGCCCTCGATTCGCTTCACAAAGGAAACTTCTAACCGAAGCACCCTTTCGACATTCGACCTGGCTACGGCTACGGCTACGTCTACGGCGTACACTCTTTCTTTCTTTTTTTTTTCATCCTAGATCAATGTTGCGCGACGCGTCCGATAATAACGAACGAACGAAACAGCCTTACGAGAATTAATTGTTCGCACGAACATAGAAAGGTTTGGTAAAGCGCAGCGATGGGTGTGGTTTATTTCGAGTTCAGACGATAGACCGATAGACCTCGAAGCGAAAATGGTGAGCTTTGATCGGTGTCGCGTGCGAGCGTGGTCCGAGCTCGCAAACAGTCGCGTATTTGCGTTGCGGTAGGAAAGTTGGAAACAGTTCGAATGGAGGACCAGTCGCGTGCAGCGTGTTTGCCTCGACTTGGCTTGACATGCTCGTGGTGTGCAGGCACACCGACAAGATTACCGGATAGAATATTTAGGGAATCTCTCGAGACCGCGACAGAAAGGAGAGCTAGCCAAAATCAATGCCATAAATCGGAAAGTTTATCGAGCAAACTTTAACAGATTCAGAGGACAAAACGACGTATTCCGGAGCGATAACTCAAGGTAGGACTTGTTTCGCCAAGTTAACGGATACGGTGCAATTAGCAGCCTCGTGAAACACGCCGCTTTCGCTATCAAAGGTTCGTGTAGCGGCTCCTTTCGATACACGTATGTACATATGTAGTTATGTAGTGTCGCGCACGACACAGATTTTACATTTTACACCAACTTAATTGCTTCTCTTGGCAAATTCTCAAAGTAATTAGTTTGGCGTTAGGAGCTAACCGATCACACGATAAGCAGAATGAATCGAAAGGATGAGTCGCGAATACGTGAGATCAGTTTACGAAGAGAAAATAAGAGAACCTCGTTCCCGTAATTTTCGGCTAGTAACGTTTGGCAAACAGCTCGTCTGCATTCCAGCCACGTAATCCGAAAGCAGAAACTTCCGTCCGCGAAAGGAATACGATTACGGCAAAACGTCATAACGGTGTACGTGGCCATCGGCATCCTCCTCTTCGAACGACCTCGTTAACGTCCCAACAACGCCATTATCCCTCGCCCCTCGACGAGCTCATGACTAAACGCTTCTGAGGAGAAAAAATCCTCTGAAATTTCCACTTACCTCCTGGTTCCAGCAACTTCCACCACTTTGCATCGACTTCGACTCCACCAGAACGGTGTCAAAGTCCAGTAGGAACTGCTCGCGCTTCTCGCCCAACCCTCTTCCGGAAACAAAAGCACCTACGACACACAGAAAGGTTCGATATTTTAGAGTTTTCGCGCTGATGCAAATTGAGTAGTTTCCTGATAAAAGTATATCGCTGGCTCGTGAAATTTGACGAGTCGGTGGAAAGAGAAAAAGGAACGACAAGATGCTTGAAAACTATTCGAAGAAGAGAATATCGGGAGCAAGGAAGAAAAGTTTTCTCGAGAAGTAGCTTTCGGTATCTACGACTCTTCTTCTTCAGCAGAATTCCCCTTTCTCTTCTTTCTCGAAAACGTAGAAACACCGGCGAAACCATTTCGATCTGACCAACAAGAACGAGCAAGACGAATGCACGCGTATCAATCGTCGGGTTTTTCTACAATAAATGACCGTATTTTTCATTTTTCATTTTTCATTTTTCATTTTTCATTTTTCATTTTTCATTTCCGTATCTTGTAAAACTGTTTGTTTCGTCGTCGATAGTGATTCTAGTCGAGCATTTCGCGCGTCGTTAAATCTGCTGGTGGCACAGGGTTGCGTTTAAAATTTCTTCTGCACAAAATTGTTTCATTTCAAATTATTTCGTAACTATTCCATATTATTAAACCGATAACTTTTTTTGCACGATAAACTCCATCGTAGTATTCCGGCTTTCACCTTACTTTTTATACACAGTTCGTTTGGCGTCGATGATTCAGTTTGCTTAACCTGAACGCGAGTTACTCTCGTAACGATTGTCTTGAAAGTTTCTTCGACGTGACGTGAGGCGACAAGGCAGAAAATACCTTCGAACCACGAACGTTCCCTCGAATATATCCTTTCGTTTGAGTTCCTCGCGGCCAACGAAATTTTTCGCCACGATGCAGAAGACGCGACAAACGAAGCGACGACAATTTGATTTCATAAAAGTCCGCGTTATTTCCGATTCGACATCGTCCGATACACGCGAATCCAATTGGAAGCTGAATTCAGCCGGCGGCATACGATATCGTTCGGCTTGTTCGCCTACTTTACCCATACTACGCACCCCGGATATACCGGTTAATCCGATAATCCGCTGCTTCGGTCCATTGCTCTGTCGATCGCTCTATTCTTGTCCCCGCCTCTATACCACCACCGCCACCACTTTCCACCTCCTTTTTTTACCCTTTCTTTTCATTTTCCCTTGTTTATCCAACAACTCGCGCCGGTGTTGCGTTTCTTTGACCCCATGGCTATTTGAAAGTCGAAACATCCAGGGGGTATAGAGATACTTACTCCAAGTCTTGCGAGGATCCCGAAAAAGAAAGCGAAAATGACATCCATTGAACAGCAACGTTCCATCGTTGCGAGTGTTCGTATTTCCGAAAGAAACTTGCTAGTTTCGCGGTGAAAAGTTTAAAAGATTATGGAGGCGCCCCGAGTGAAATTTTAACCAGAATTTCAAGTGGCAAGGAATTTTCTCGAGGAATTTCCCGTTTAGTAATTTCTCTGTGTTTTCCGTTCGCGAGTAACGAAAGCCCAAGTGGTCGGGTTCCCAAGGACAAAGCACCGGGTATTTTCTGGGTTAGTTGCCCGAGAAAACGGTAGCCCGACAGCACGATGCCCTTCCAGACAATAAATATATATACACATACTCACACCTTTATGTTTATACATGGGGCGTACATGTAAAAGGTAGATAGACGCGCAGCTATGTACAAGTTAGATTAAATCCGGCTCTGTACGAAATCCCAGAAATCGCGGTACCTACCGATCCGACGCGACGCGACGCGACGCGATGCCGTGCCACGGTCAGCAATACTTTACACCTGTCACGCTACAGACCTAATTAGATGCGACGGGCTTAATCTCGTTACCCGTTCGTTCAACGAAACGACCTTTTCCTATAGCCCTATATTCCTATACCGAGCAAGCTACGAGGGATTTCACGATGATAATTAGAGGACGCTTCGATCGAAACGAGCACCTCTACTTCGATGTTAGAGATTCAAATTTTTTAACTAATCAATGTCCAGTTAGCGGTTTAAATTCCCCACCTAACTGAATTATAATAAATTGAAAACTGCCAACATGGCAGTATACCATATCTGTCGCATTACTCGTAAAGACGATCAGTGACCCAGATTTTCCCAAGAGAGCTCCGCGATAGTTCGTCTCCGTTCGATTTAATAAACTCAGCTTTTTAGATTCCCTCAGCTACTTTTCCTCCTCGGACGAATCTTCCGTTTTCGTTCGAAGTCGGTCAATCTGGAAGGTGGTTCGTCGAACGACACCCGCTGTGTGTGGCTTGGCTCGATTCCGATCGATCCCTTTGACATCAACCTCCCTCTAAATTGAGGCGCTTCTTTCTTTCCACTTTCCTCCGCAGTCTCTTACGTTTTGCGACCCAAACAGTTGCTCTTTGCCCGAAATTCGTTTACATTCGACGATTCTGACTCCTCATCTTTTTCAATCGCCTTCGCTTTCCAACTCTATCGTACACCTTCGTTGACACCTTGACTGTCACGGTGATCAAAGTGTAATAATTAATACCATAATTGAAGATTTAAATTCAGATCTTTCATGAGCGTAACTTTCACGTGTCTGACTAAGCGTGGCAGTCGGCGCGGCGCCGAAATTACGTTTTATACTACTTATCCGATCGGGAATAAAGTTTGCAAACGAGATTCGATCTGGAAAGCGGAAAGGGCGAAATGAAAAGTGAACCGTGCTTCGATCGTTTGCTCGTGAAAGGGTTACGAAAAGTAGACGCGATTAGGGGAAATACATAGGGGGTAGTGTGGGTAACGGATAACAGGAAACGTGAAACGGGTGACGACGAGTGACAGGAAACGTGCTGCGGGACAGAGAGTAGGCGGGAGGCGGAAGCAGAGGTTGGGAGCATCGTAGGGTTGAAGCGGCGTGTAGTAGGGACTTAAACAAAAGAGGGTCGTTAGAAACAAGTGGCGCCGATTAAAAACGCCGACGCCACTCGCCGCGACTCATCGACAAACAACTTTGCTTTTCTTTCTTCTTGATCGCGTTTAATTTTCCTCTTCTTTTTAACCGATCAATTAATCGACGTTTTCAAGCGAGCTCACAAAAGGTAATAAATTTTGGATTAGCGAAAAAAGTGGACAAGTGTGAAAAATGTTAAGAGGCAAGACGTTTCGAAGGGGGGAGAAGGTAATTGCGCGACTCGTGACACTAGGTCGAGAGGAGGTCGCGAAAGGTCTGTCCTACCGCCATAGCATCGTAACGTCCTGCGACCTACATCAACGAAAACGCGAGGATACATTATTACTATCATCGGAAAGCAAAGCTCCGATGGTGCGACGGCCGCAGGGTGTTTCAGGGTCGGTTGCCATGGCAATGCGCTGGGACAGCCACGGGGTGCAGCCTGGAATATCCACCCTCTTGCCTCTTTTCCGCGATTCTCCCTGCTTCCCCCTACATTCGCCTCTCTCCTCGTCCGTTTCTCTTCTCCCCCTTTCCAACGTCCCACATCCTTTCCACCACCCAGCATCCCCTCTTCTCCTACCCTCCCGAATCCTCATCTCCCTCTACTACCCTCGTCCTTTTCGGTACACCGTCTCTCTCGCTGATATCGTTAAGCTCTTCCTCTCTCTTTCCCGTATGCTTTCTCTTCTGCCGACTGTACTCCGCCGTCTCCGATACTCTCTGTCTAATCGCGCTACTCGCGCCCGCTTTATTTCGTCACGAGGGATTTTATCGGCTTGCGAATTTCGTCGTCGCGATCGATGACGCGTAAGCGACGTCAAGGATGGTGGTTATGTTTTTCCTCGCTTTCTTCTTCCTTTCCTCGATTCCCGTACTCTCCCGAATAAAGGGCAAACGGCCACGGACTAAACGAAACCTTTTCATCCAGATATCTTTAATCGCGCCGACACAAAGAACGTCTGGGACACTGAAAGTCGGAGGCGTTTCCCTCTGAACCATTCAACGAGCTAGACGGAACCTCTTTTTTCATCGAAATCATCGACACTGGTTCAATGTGCTAAACGCGTTCGCGATATAGTATAGGTACAATATGTATGTACGTATCAATATTCTTTCTCTTTGAAAAATGACGCGAATGAAAATTTCAGGAAACCACTCGTGTCTGACTGGAAGAAAAATTGAAAGCGCGAAGAACGGAGCAAACGTTTGCTTAGCAAAACTCGTAACCGACGTACGAAGAAGAGCTGTCTGCCGGTGAAACTGACGATGAGGTCGAAAGACGGCCCGGGTGTTTGATAGTCTTTAATATGCAGATAACGAAATCATACTCGTGGAGCTTCGCCACCCACGGCACGAGGCGAATTACCTACTACTCTACTAGGCGAGAGAAAGAATAATTTTGATGAAAATGAACATTGCGGCGACAGAGTGACGGCAACGAAAAAGTTTCCCGTCGAAAAGTGGTAAAGCCAGATAGATAAGGTCGACAACGTAAGCTTCTTTTTTACGAGACTCGATGCAATATTTTACGGGCGATCGACGACGGCCGATCCAAGTACTTGGGTATCCCCTCGCGAAGAAAATATGCTGGATACTGGTTTCTGCGTAGAACGCGAATTTTCTTTTCCCCTTACTACGAATCGCAGGAATGTCGGCACGCCACGGCATCCCCTTTGCGAAAGAAGGGGAAACTTTGTGCAGAGAAGAAGGGTAATAAATGGCCAGAATGAATAATAACTCGGTTATTGAAAGAAAATTCCGACCGATACGAGTTCTGAAACTTGGAAGCATTAGCCCAGTTCCACGAGCTTGCACGGATAAGGCATCGACTCGGTTCTCCTTCTCTCAGCCCCTTTTCCCTCCTCTTTCTCTTCCCAACCAGCTAGTCGCGCGACCCTCTTTTGCCTTTCGTCTTCAGACTTCTCCGACTATACGCTTTGGCTGCCGTTACCGACCAACCAACGTCCCAAACCACCCCCAATCTACCGAGCCTCCAAGCCTCCAAGCCACGTCCGCATAATGGCTATTCAGATAGCGAATCGATTTATTTCCCCGGGGGGAGGAAGGCGCACGGATACTTGGAACCTCTCTTCTCATCAACTTGCAACTTGGAACGATTTTGGCCTTCTTCGTATTCTTTCGTTCGCCAACCATCCGGCAGCTATCGGACAACGTCAGAAGCGTTCGTTAAGATCGATGCGAGCATGACAAACCTTTCGATAGAATAATCGTTTCTATAAGAAGACGATAACGACTAATTGTAAGAATAAAGCGAGTGTCAGCGAATGCTTGCGAAGGAATGGTGACTTCCTATACGGGGTGACCCTCGTACGGCACTAGCAAATTTATCGAGTTATCGAACGAAAAGTGGCCGCAAAGAAATCGACCGTCGTCGCTACCTTCGCTCTACTCGTTTCGTGTAGATTAGCAGAGCACGTTCATCTTCGCAACGTTTTCAGACGAAAATAAAGCGGGACAGGAAAAAAAGGAAGATACCGTTCCTTTTTCCCTTTGAACGTGACTCGCGTCCGAAAGCTTCAACCATTGCATCGAGGAAAAGTATACGAACCGACGCGACCTCGACGTTGAAAAATTCCGAAAAAAGAAAAATAAGGTAAGACTGAAAATGGAATAGACCTTACCTTGTTCGGATAGCCGTTGTATCTAAGAAGCTTCTTGCAGCATTTGCCGCGATTTTCGTAGTAAAACATCTGGACCATCTCTGCGCGATCGGTCGAGGCACTGACGGTGAACGGTGCACCGTCGTTCCCGAAACTCCTCGACGAGGAGGCCGACTGTTGTTGAGCCGATGATTCTCGGCGGCCGAGTGGCACGCACGGACACCACCCCGAGACCATCACACCGATCGACCCGGATCAACCCTGATCTACGCGTCGCCTCTGCCTTTCCGGCCTACCACGATCCTCTCTTCTTCCACTCAACCTCCTTTTTCATCCTTCTTTCTCTTCTTTTCTTCTTACCCTTATCTTCCGTCTACTTCCTGTCTCATTGGCTCCTTAACTTTATACATTAGTACGCTTCGAATAGTTTTCCACAGTTCTTTGCCACTTTTTCCCCTCGACTTGTAGCGACTCGTTTTGTCACGGTTTTTAGACCCAACCTGAAAAAAATATCGAATGCTGATTTGTATCGAACGAGGGGAACGGTGTGCGACGAAGAACAGGCAACGTGTACTCGAATTTCGGCGAAAATCAAGCCTCTTCCGGCAAAGAAGGGCACGTGACTGAAAGGAAGAGGCGTCTCTGGGAGTGAAAGCAAAGCGAATACTTCCGCAGGAAGGGATTCAATTACGCTGCAAGCAATCTCCTCCTCGTAGAATTTCGCGCGAAAGAAAGCCGAGGAAATCGATGAGGTCGATCGTTCGATAATCCGACGGTATAAAGTTAATTTCGGGGTGGAGAAAACGCAGTGCGACGTGAACGAAAGTTAAGATCGACCTTAGGAAAATGCTCGACGAGTTCAACTGGTAAATCGATTATTTTGCTAACGTTATTCGGTAGAAGAAGCTGGGAACTCGACTAGGCAGTACGTACGTATACCGTTGGGAAATATGGAAAAAAAAAAAAACAATGGTCGAATTTGCAATTCATGAGAGAAGCCGACGCGACGGTATTTGTCGGCATCGGATCACGGAGGTAACAATTTTCGCAGGATTCGCTGCTCGACCTAGTTCAAGGATGGCGCCGTCAGTCCTTTGTATTTCCTTTTATACTCTTTTCCCCCGGCACGTATGTAAGTACGTAGGTACGTAGGTACGTGGAAGTCACAGTCGGAAATCGGAAAAACAGCGTAACGTCGACTTGAATTTGTGACCGTAGCGTCGGTAGAATAAAAAGGGATACGCGGTTTAATTCGATGGACGTGTCTAAATGCAAAATTGATAGGTTTATCGGCTGGTATCGATCGATTTTTCTAGTCGACGTCCTTTTCGCGTCAAACGATTCGAATGTTTACCAACCGCAAAAAACCGTCGATGCGTTTTATATGGAGCTTTGGATAGAGGATGACCGACTGGATCGGATCGGAGTGGAGCATCGATGCGTCGCGTCGGAGGGTCAGAGGGGAAAAGGGATGCGGCTAATGGAAACCGCAGCTACGGCGAACTCTCGGAAAATCGGACGGAAACTCGCGCTTCTGACCGATCTGTACGCGTCTAGCGTTACCAGCTACGGTAAACCGGTATCGAACGATGCGGTTTTATTCCACGGCAGATACGAGCGCACCGAATCAAACCTACGTACTCGCTCTCCTACCGTTCAAATAATCCTTCACCTTTTTCCCTTTCATTCTTCCGCGCCATCTCCGTTACGGTTGTTTCTTTTGCCCATCACCCATCACCCCTTACTTATTATGCTCTCTACTCTTTCCGTATCCAGGCTAATTACGACGCCTGGTATTGTTTACTTATCTCCGAGATACCGTGTAGCGAAACTCGAAGCGTTTTGGAATTACGAGACATCGAGATAGTAGACACGGTAGTAAAATCAATTTCAAACTCGATAACTCATCCGTAGGAATTGAGGACAATGAAGTTTCTTTGGAAAGTGACCGCGATAAGTAGCAAGAAACTATTCGATGCGATCGAACGTTACTCGCACCTAAAGGGACCTTTCGGCTAAACAGTTCTTCCGAAAATAACCTTCAGTCTCGTTCATCCTGATACCTATTTCAAAAAGTTCGATATCCATTCGTCGGTGAAAACGTAAAAATAAAAAAATTTCCTTTAAATAAAAAACAAAATTCTTCTTGACAGAAATCGAATAGGATAAGCTTCGCAGAGCTGTTTTTCTCGATAAAAAGTGTAGCGCGTAATTACGATCGTTCTAAAAACGCGGTTTAACGCCATTCTACGAACGTGAACGAGCTTCCGTCAGGTCGGACACGCCAGCAGAGCAATTATTCGTCGACAGGGAATTTACCTATATACCAGCAACGCGGAAAAGAAGGTATAAAACAAAAAGTGCGAATCAGTCAAGATTAATAGAATGAACTTAAAGGTGGTGCGCAAAAGAGAATGCAAGCTGGTCGGAGCCGTGCAAGTTATAGCCATCGGTGTCTTAGACTCCAGGGAGATTCGAGATCGCGCGAATTAAACGCTGTCTGTTGCGGGGAACGTCTCGCGTTCCTTCTAATTAAACCAATCATGATAATACACGTTACAATGGAGTGGTAACAGAGCGATGATTCCCTGTCTAACCTCTGGAAAATGGAAAGAAGTCGTCGCAGATGGGGATGGTTGCGTTCGTTAAGAAAAAATTCGGAAAATCAAGTGGACGTACCCGAATTCGAAGGTGGTCGATGCGCAGCTGACCGACGAATCCGTAGCGATCGGTCCATGGCTGCGTAGTACGCTGCTGTTTTTCCGACAGATCCACTTTCAAATAGTCTCCAATGCGTTAACCGGATGAATGGCAGGAGCCATAGGAAACGAAAAAGAAAACACAAGGGCGGAAAGGGTGTGCGACGGAGAGACAGAGAAAGAGAAGAAGGAGAAGGGGAAAAAAAGAAAACGAAAAGGCGGTTAAGCGAACAGAAAAGGGGATGATATACGAAAGAGAAACAAAGTGAGTACAGAATGGGGGAGGGATAGAAAGAGAGAGAGAGAGGAGGAGAGGGGTAAATGGGAAACCGGATGGAAGAAAGTAGGTGTTGATTACACGAAATTCTAACGAAGCTGACACGGACAAACGATCGTTCTCGGTTCCACTGAAGAAAACTGAGAAAAGGAAAAGAATAGAAAAGCGAGACGACCGATCGCGCAACCGAAAACGAGTAAATGTCGCGTTCGAGACGACGAACAAACGCGAACTAAAGGGTACGGGCTCGTCGGCTCGTCGCGCTCGACGTCGCGCTCGACGACGAGCGGCGCTTCCTTCCCCTCGACAGCGCAGGACAGACTGACGTTTCGCCACCCGCCGCCGACCGCTCAACCCCCTCTTTCACCAACCCTCGTACGTTCCCCTTTCGCTTACCACCTCCATTCCCACCCATTCCCTCCACCCACCACGCGTGCCTTCCTTCCTTCCTTCCTTCCTTCCTTCCGTTCTACCCTGCCTTACCTTTCCTTTCGACCAAGCCGAATTCCTAGAATGTGTGCCGTTACTCCTGATACTTGCCACCAGAGGGATCATACGCGATGCCAACTTTCTCGCAAGTCCTTCCTAAACTATCCCTCGACGTACGCGCACGCGACTAACGTAACCGCATCTTTGTCCGAAATTTAATACGCGTGAAAATTAATCGTTAGATCGCGTCGCGTCGCGTCACGAATGAAATTGCCGAGCCTCAGCCTCGTGCAAGACGTAAGTTTCTTGCTGAGCTTAATTTCGGCATGTTTCTATCTTTAGACACGTTCGAGGACAGAGGACCGTGTACTTACTTAGGCGTGTGACACGTTCGTTTGCACGCGAATGCTTTCGACTATCCGCGCGGCAGTTGTCCACACGCACCGTGTCTACTCTCGTTTCAAGATAAAAGACGATTTTACAGATAAAGGCTTTCGAGAAGATGGGTCGACGAGCTGAACTTGGCATCGACGAGAAGAGCAGGTGATTGTTGCAGATAAGTGGCATTGGAAGTTAGAGAAAGCCGCGAAACCGTGTGAAAGATGTGTGTAGGGTCGAGGGTACGACCGAGAACGATTAAAGATGGAAGAGAGCAAGCTGGATGGCTACGGCCGATACGGTAATCCACTATATGTAATCTTTTCTCCCAGTTTCCTAGTCTTTGACGGAACCCCGCAACTAGCGAACGCTCGCTCCAAATTTCCTATCGACCGTACCTACGCTCCTTCTACCTCCTACATCTGAAACGATCGTTTCTTCTCCATTTCCTCCTATCACAATTTCACGATCGTGCAACTACCTGGAGAAGGAGATTCGGTAACACACGCGTAACTACTTCTCGTTCAGGGATCAGATTTGAGTTCGTGCGATACAATAACTAAATTCCTACACTTTCTATTCTTCCTTCCGTAGTTACGTTGTTCCGCGATTGAAAAGCGTGGATTGAAAATCGATACGATATCGTATGGCCGGGAGGACGTTAACGAATGGAGCGTTCGTTTCGATTCTCCAACTATTTTACCGAAATACCACGCATACCGACATAGAATCGTGTCCACACAGGCGCGAACCGCGCGACACAATTTCGAAACGTTGAAAACGTTTCCTTCATTAAATCGTCATTGTAAAGCTACCTGTTGCGGTGCACAGGCAGCTGGCCAATTGGTTGACCGCAGCGGATGCGATCCACGACGAATTACGATCAATTTAGAAAATTAACGATTTTTGCGGTTAACCGTGCGTTCCGTGCTTCTAGTTTCGCACTGTTACCGAAAGAAATGCATCGCCGCGATTCAGATAAAATCTTTTATACATTTGAACGTATCGATCGCGGGAACACGGGGAAAATGTCGTATTCGTTCGTGCTCGGAAACGAGACCCTAACGAACCTATTTACATTCGATAATTAAACGAACGCCTACGCAACGAAGCGTGTGTGCGCCCACTTGAAAACAAAACTGCGCCCCCGGCTCGACTCGACGCGACTCGACGCGACTCGACGCGACTCGACGCGACTTGACGCTCTCGTCTGCCTCGATTAATAGTAGGTACAACTTTAAAACCCTCGCCTACTCGCCTCGTTGTCTTAGAAGTTTGAATGGGCGTTACGGAGTCTGGACCCTTTGGCAGAGCGTACCAAGTACCGGCGACATTGTCTTAGTACCGTTTCCACTTTAACCCTCGCTGAATGCACACCAACGACAACGAGAAAACCGTCCTGATTTACAGCCTAACCTCTTTTTAACCAATTTCAAATATTAATTAAATAACCTTTCTTTGCCCAGACTGTTTGCGAAATACGAAATCATTTCAGTGAGAAAAAATAATTTCAGAAAATGGCATGGACGATACGTGTTCTAGCTGTCGGAAAATTTCTCAAGTTACGAACGAGTTAAGAAGAAAGGGAAACGCGTAAACGAATAAACTCGAGAATGGCAGAATAAGAAAAAGACGAGGAATATAAAGTCGAACGGAGCGATGTAACGCGATGGTACGGGATTGGCCGTGTTCCAGATTTCCCTAAAATCCCCGCGGGAAAGCTATTTGCCAAAGTTATAACGGGGCAAAGGGTCGATACTCGGTTTCGCCGAGGATATAAGCGGATTTTTTTGCACGCGCGATAATTGAAGCGCGCTCATTGTTTCTCGACCCCTTTATCTGCAGCGCCTTTCATTGGTCGGCTTTTTCGAAAACACCGGCTGCCAGGCTGCCAGGCTGCTAGGCTACTAACCTGCCGGGGTACGCGAAAAACGGCCACGTTGATGGATAAACAGACGGCATAATGGTGTCTGCGATTCCGAGCATTGTTTCAATTTCTATTCGCGAATGTGTGTACGCGCGCGAATACCCTGGCTAGTATATACGAGGATAGCAATTTGGTTGCTCGATAGACCGGACGTAACTCGAACGCGGTACCTCTACCGATTAATAAAATACGCTCCGTTCTCTGCATTTACGTTTCCCCTTTCGTTCGCGTTGCCTCGTTGCCTCGTTCGAGCTTAGCAGTCTAACAACCACCACCACCACCATCCAAATTCCTCTCGAATTAATCGCGTCATTGACGTCTTAAACGATTTCCAAAATAACCGAGTCGCTGCTCGTCGACGTTCGGGAAACTCGGTGTTTCCACTAAAACACCGTCCGAGTTTTCGCCGTAGTTGTCTGTAACTCGCGTCGTTTCCTGCGATAACTATCCTCGAGCGATGGAAACGTGCAACTTCAATTCGAACAGAACGGAGAAATTCGAGGACGTTAGCTTTGTTTGCAAACTTTTCGCGCAAAGACGAAGAGAAAAAAAAAGATAGGATAGAAGGAGAAATTCGGTGCGGTCAACTTTGGCAATAGGAAAGCGCAGAATCCTTTCGGTGGTAATTTTCGGTATTAGGGTCGTAGGGGCAACTGTTTGCCGAGAGTCGAATCGAACAAAGTCGCGAGTACCGGTTGGTTCGCTTACCTTCGAAAGCAAACCGAGCTAGCCTCGCGTTAAACTCGCTTTGTTCGTCTTTTCATCCAAGCGAAAGCTTCTTCAGGGTATTTTTTGAATCGTTGCGATCCGAATCTCTGACGATCGAGAATCGTTACAGGCAGGATTTCGGTGAATGGTTGTTGGTCGATAGCGATCTCGCGCGGCCAGTGACCATGACGTGACGCACCGCGTCGCGATAACGTAACTTGCTCCACCAAAATCGGTCCACGTTACTCTGAAATTACCAGCGAAGCTGCTTCGTAAGCCCCTTTATTCCCTGCTTCGCGTCTCCGTTCGCTTCCATTCCATCCCATTCCATTCCATTCCATTCCATTCCATTCCACGCGCGATTTATTGATCCACGCACAATTCCACCTCGACTGTCGACTCAAACTCGACTCTGCCAGTGACGCTCAGCTACGCGCTGATACTTCCTTTAAGGAGCTGCTTCCGCGTAATCGCGATTATGATATATATCTATTCCGAAGGAATATTTAGCAAAAAAGAAAAAGAGAAAAAGAAAGGAAGGAAGAATTAAGGGGCTGGCTGTTTTATTAGACGATTTACGAAGTTACCATAATTATAGCCAGGCGTTTCCATTACAAATTTAAATATTGATTCTCGCCGCTGGCTGCGGTAATGGAATCTCAAAAGGCTGGAAACTGGGCTTTGAAGCGTCAGTTGGTTCGAACCGGCGCGGCCTGAACGTTGCTTCCGGTTCACGCTCCGCTTTCTACCTTTTCCAATGCATTCCGAATGGGAATCAAAGTTGCCAGTAACTAAGCAAAGTCAGAAGCTAGGCCGTTGCGATTCGTTATTAACTTGGAAATTGACTGGATATCACCGCCTTACCTTCTCTTTCTTCTCTTTTTCTCCTTTTATCCGATTTAGGAATGCATCGAATAAGAGGAAACAGAAAAGAGAAAGAGAGAGGATCAAGTGGGTGGATGAAAGGCGTATTAATTGGCACGAACGCTCGCGTTCGCGTTCCGATCAGAAGGAAATGTGTTTTTATGAAGGTGGAAATTGCTGATCGCGTCCACTTTTATTGACATTCGATATTCGGGTTAAAACGAGTGCGTGTGCGCGATGGAAAAATGAATCACGGAAGAGAATGGATATGCGATGTTTTCTGCGTTTCGTCTATCCGAGCCGTCATCGACGTTCGCTATTGATCTCGATTCGAGAGCCGTCCACCTTGATTCTCCGCACACCCACATACCTAAGTATTACATATACGAAAACGGCTTGAATTTTAGTCAAGCTTTGTGTCGTCGATATTTTCTTACTTTAGCGAAATCGATAACCGAGGAAATGTCTGTAAAAAGGCTCCTTCCGATCGAGTCTCCTTTTCCTCTTTAACTTTCTCTACGCGTACGCGTGTATTCTCCTTTTCGTATCCGTCCCATCGACCAGTCAGCGAAACGAGATTGATATTGACAACCAGTTATGTAGCAAGATATCTCTCGTACTACTGTTTTTTTCTATTCGATTTCGACGAATTTTATTCATTCGATCGTTTACAAGGAGGAGAAAGGTTATCGTTTCATATTTTCAAATCAGATTCTAACATTTTTCAAGGCTGTAACGACAAGACGGTTGACAAATACGTGGCGAAACGAACTCGTTGTTTTCGACGTTCAAATCCATTCGATGAAATAGATAAATAAAGAAAAGTAATGTAATAGCAGGACTAGAAACTAGTGGTAGCGCGTTATCGTTTGGCGAGCTGCCTGACGCTTGGTTCGCAACCTAGCTAAGCTTTAGTAGAAACTCGTTACGCGTGGCAGATTCGAGTGTGTCCAGACCGATTTTTCCCTTCTCCGATGTATTATTGTCCGCATCCGTTACTATTTCGGATATAACGCACTCCGAGATTAACGATTCGTCAATTAGCATCACGAATGTTACGAGATTTATAGAATCAATAACGCGATCTAGTCGCGAAATAGCTTTGCTCCTTCGAATATTTCTTCCGCAATGAGATAGTGTACACTATCTTGTATTTTTCCACTGTGAAAGCAGACAACGAATTTCGCCTAGAATAATAATAATTTAATTGGACAATTGATAGAGGGTAAGTGCTCGTAGTTGCGCCTATGAAGCGCCCTATTATCACCAGCCAACTACCGTCTTTGTAATGCAAAATCAATTTCCTCTTCTCCTAGCATCGCATCGTCTCGATCGGCCATTTGCTCCTTGACACCTGATTCAAATTCGATCTCTGCTTCGTCCTCCTTTGAGCCGATACCTTCGTTCGCTTCTTCACCTTTAGTAACCACTCTGAAAATCTTCTTTTCTCCAATAACAAACGTTTCAAGAATGTTTCGATCGATTAAATTACAACTAGAAGTGCGCCTTTCATGAAAGAGAGAAAATTTCATCCACGTTTTGCGCAAAGTCGTTTAGCAAAGAAAAGAGTTTCGAGCCGACTCGATAAAAAAATAAACAGCGAAAGAAAGTGTTTGTTTAAAAGTAAGAGAGGAGGATATAAAACGATGGGAACGCGAAGCGCGAGTTTACCATCATTTTCCACTCGATTTAGATGGTTCGTAAATCTTGGAGAACAAGCAAAGATCGCCGAAGGCTCTTTAGAGTATTTGTGGCGTTTCTTTTTCCTGATCGGACGCAATTTATGGTGTTACGGGTCGGTTCCACGGCACATATACCCAAAGGACCAGCCATGACGAACGATTCAGCAACCATGTTTACCGGCCCTAAGCGTTAAATTAACCGAAAACCATGACTGACCAGAGGGAATTTCAACTTTGTAGATTGTAGAGTTATACAGAGATACTAGCTGCTTTCGCTTGGAAACCTTTCACCGAACAACTTTTTCCACATACCTTTCTCGTAAACAAGGAATACCTTGAAAAATATTCATTTCAAACGAAGATCGTTTAATTTCTTATGTTACTAATAAAATATTAACTCGTTGAATGAAACGAGCAGGGTGATGAACGCGTTGAAAAGAAATTTTAATTAATCTCACCGCTGGGGAAGGAGGAACGGTGAAAAAAAAGTGAGGAAAGAGAAAATGATGGGTCATTGAAAAATGCTTAGACCAAGAGAATCGATAGGAAAGGCCGTGGAAGCGTTCTTGAGATGTCCTGGTGAAGCGTGGCCAAGCGTGGTGATGGTTGTTGAGGAAATAGGGAAGCTAGTGGCCGTCTATTGGAAAATCTAGCCTGGTGTATTTTGGCGATGGAGTCGAGTCGAGTCGAGTCTAGTCGGCTGACCCCTCGGAGGCTAAGGCCGTGCTTTATTTTGCCTCTCGGGCAACCCATCCGAGGGAAGACGGTATTTTTATTCAAATTTCATTCGATCCGTCCTCGAACTTTCCTACCACCCATTCCACTTGCAATCGTATTACTCGCGGCTTCTCCTTGTAAAATCGACCCGCTCTCTAATACCGAGACTTTGCAAATTTATTCTATTTGCCGAAAGCTGATCGTCTCCTTTCCTTTCTATAAACCCGAATTTTTCACTTTGACTTTGCTCGAAATTTTTATCTTGCTCGCGATACCAAACGAACGTCAATGCTTACTTACGATCATACACAACATAGGGTTCGTTTATACAAACTTGTTTTTCTCACTCCACGTAAAAGGAAACAAACTGTTTTCGATCAGGAGCAATAATTTCTTATATATGTATATCTCGAAAATACGTGGTGGTTTTTCGATATATCTTCACGAACGTTTGCTCGGTTTAACGAATACTTTAGCGAAAGTTGTATAACGTGTAAAAGTAGGAAGAAAAATCGAGAGGGGTATTTCAGTGTCGATAGATTGGAAGGACGGGTGCGTTTCTAAAGCCAGGAATCGCATAAAAGAGAAAAGTCTTTGAATGGTAGAAGAGAAGAAGGAGGTAAACGATGATGATTTAGGAAAACAGTTTGTTACGAGTGTTGAATTTCTGCAGGAAGTTGCGCGTCAATAGACGAAGAACACCGCGTTCACCGGTCTACGCTGTGAATAGACAGCACCTGAGGCGGTCGCGTACCCGATAAGAGTTGCAGGTGTCGGTGGCAATGTCAGCGCTGAGTTATCGTCTCGTTGTTTGTCGCGAAGTCGAGCCACGTTTTGCCAAAGGCGTTCACGAAGCAAAAGCGGTAGAAGCGGTAGAAAGGAACGAGAAGGGTGGGTGGAATGGTTAAGACTACAAACAAGAACCGAGCTTTTAAAGAAGACGAGGGGAACGAACGAGGGAGCCAAAGTAATTTCATTGCTAGAAGAAGAGGAACCGATCGTCCCCGCGACAATCGTCATCCTCACCTCCACCATGCTTTGCCGCATTATAAAATCCTCAAATACCTTTTCCCGCTTGTGTTCCACATCTTTTTTTTTATCCACCATAACCACCAGCACAATAAAATGATATGTATCGTGGAAAAATATAAATGGAAAGGAAGATTCGTTGCGGCAGCAGTTACAGTTGCAGTTGCAGTTGCAGTAAGAAAAGAGTTGCTAATGATTCGCTAACGAGATACGTGCTCGGTCTGTTTCATACGGTAACGAAAGAAAAACCGACCGTCTTAGGACCAGAAGAGAAAGAGAGGGAAAACCCTTTCTCTCGTGACTCTTCGCCTCCCTCTTTTTTGCACTACCCCTGATGAACTTTGTCTTTGGCTTTATCTCATTTTCCCTCGCTCTCTTTTATCTCTGTCTCGTTGTCTCATTTTTTCCATCGCTTCCATCTTAAATACATCCTTTCACCTATTCGTCGTAGATTCGCGAGTCAGATTGCGTGGCATAAGGGTCGCGCAACCTTTCAGAGCTACTGGAGTTACTAGTTCGGTGACTAGGATGACAGAAAAATCTTGTACTACGTCATATCGAAATCCTCTAGATCGTAGAGTCTACGACGAGAAGACATCGCGAAGCAAACGGACGCAAAACGAACGAACAAAACTACCGCCGGTATGCCAACCACTTTTTCTCGATCTAGACTTGTTTTATTTTCCAACCGCTTTACCTTCCAACTTTTATTTACGTGTCGGTCGGAAAAGCGTTCTCGTGTCTCGACATCGACGAAATCCTCGCCTAGCTGACACTGTGCCTACACGGATATTCCGATCCGTCGCCAACTCCCTTGCTCGCCTTTCCATTAAAACCTTGCCAACCAAGCACCTCTGCGATCCTATCGACTCCATCTCTGCCTACGAATATAAATCCAAACGTTGAAAAATGTTGTATCCTAAACATTTCATTTGCGGAATCATTCGAAATATAGAGATCCGTCTTTCCTCGTTAAATTTCAGTCCCTTCGTAAATGACGGACGTCACGATGACCGATCGGCAACCATTAATATTTTCAGCAATGTCCTTTCGCGACCATTTACGCTTCGCATTCGTCATCCGTCGTCATAGCTCACAGTATGCACAGGGTAAAAGTGATTCTCTGTCACCTCTCTATCATATGCCATCCCTTTATTTCAAACCAATCGATCAGTTATCAATTAACAGTGCGAAACCTTTATACGTTTACAGGTTTCTCTGACGGGGAGGGCGACAAAGTCCTCCTCCAGTAAGAATTTGCCGGTCCCGTCAGATTGCAGAAGAACGGGGCCGCCTGGGGTGGCAGGCGTTATTACACGCGACCCCGAGGCGAGCCTCCGTGCAACGTCAGTAAAGGTCACCGTGGTGGTTTTAGTGGATAAAAATCCCACACTACTTGTGCTTTTCACTGATTTCTAAGAAACAAAAAGAACAATAGAATCTAAGGGAGTGAAAATAGGGTCTTTTCTCATGTTAGTCTAGTATGAGGTGAAAGAGGCTCTGCTAAAACAGGTTGTGCTCTCTGCACGCAGACCTAATCTCATCTAGGGGTATCTAGGACCCCTATAATCATGACCCCTTGAAAACAGAGGCATGCCCAGTCTTTTGCATCTGTAGTCACTGTACCAACCAACGCCCAATAAATAACATAGACCTCGATACCCGCGATCTATACAGTGTTTGTTCAGTATCAAACATTTATTAAAATGGCGAATAAAAGCTCGATCATCAATGTCGTGTGTTTACTATTATTGTCTATAGTGATAGGTAAGGGAAAAATTTATCTAGTAAAAATAATCCGACTAGGTTTTTAAATTTAATCAAGTGAAAGTTGTTTACTAAAACCTATATAAATATACCATTTCAAACACAATATATTCATGCTTAGGTAATTTGAATAAAACGTATACTTTTTCAAAAATCCTCTAACAAACATATCGTAAAATAAGATAATGTTACAATCACAAAAGTAAACGTTAACAGAAATGTAATCAACATTACGGTTGCGCCCTATTTTAGGTTATGAAATGACATTTATTTCGAGCGAAATTTTTACCAATTTAAATAAATTTTAGATACTAACGCGATTCGCTGCTATCAGTGTAGCAGTGATACTGACCCCAAAGGAGAAGATTTGTGCGGGGCCTACAACAAATTTGACAAAGAAAAAAATATTGCCATTGAATGTAACAGCGAGGAATCTCATATGCCTGGAACGTTCTGTGTCAAAGTAACTCATCAAAGTCCTCGTGGTTTCATTTGTAAGTTTTCTTTTCAATAATTTTGTATTTCATGTCTGCTTTGTATCTTCTAATTTGATCATTTAAATTACCGAATTACTTTGGTTATTTTGTTATTTGTGATTGTTTCTAAAGGGGACGGTAGATGGCGACAGGTAATACGTCGATGCGCTTCTGTATCTAGTACCGGCGTCACGGGTGTTTGTAATTGGGGAGTACTTCCAAACGGAGTATATTGGGAAGAATGTTCTTGTGCCGAAGATTCGTGTAATGAAGCATCAACTTTATCGTCCTTCTCGATAATGAGAATTTTACTTTTGCTTGCTATTTCCATATGTATATATTCTTTAACATGAATATAGAGCTCAATGTAAGCAAATTATAAGTAAGGACAATGCATTTGCTACAAATGCATTGTTATCATTACATGAGGTAAATAATTCCGTCCATAACAGTAAAGTTTAACATACTAAATAAGAAGTTATTTGTAAAATTATTTTTTAGAATTATACATAAGCACGTATCTATTTCAGATGAATTTTATACAAATCGATTTTAAAAGCATAATGACAAATAATGCAGTTTTTTGTAAATAAAAGTTTGCACTGTAATATCTTACTTTCCAAATGAATTTTTCACGCAACTAAAGGAGACCCTGTACTTCTTACTTCCAGCTTCGTGAAAGAAGCAACAACATCGAAAGTTAAAAAATGTGCTATTTGATGCAACAATATGCTGCTTGTATGTACATGAGTACACACAAGTAACTTTGTTTTCGAGGGGTCCCGATTTAGGGGGTCCCAGACACCCCCACAAAGTTCGACTATTGCGCCATCTATATGGAAGTGGCGGAAACTAGTCAATAAATTACCGACTTATCGACTGAACTTCCGACAGTCGGTAATCGACCCTTCGGCAGTCGATAAGTTAACAAATAGTTTGCGCCGATTTTATATGGATGGCGCAATAACCGATGGCTTGGGGTGTTAGGGACCCCGAAGCACCGGTGACGCTCTGCATACAAACATTATGGCATCCGGGTTGTCAGGGACCCCGAAGCGCTCTTCATGCACTTTGGTAAATAAATCACTTTAGACAAGCAATAAATTAATTAAAGAATCGAAGAGCATTTGTAACTGTTATTATTGTATAACGTTCAATAACAATTTGATAAAAATCAAATTTATATTAAAACACAATAATCACTTCTTAATATTGCATAAAAATTAAATAATTCAAACAAATTTACTGGATATCCGTGTATAAAAATTATAAAAATAATAAATTTCAATGGATATAACAATAATTTAATTAACAAACAATTGTAAAATTATAAATAGTAATTAAATAAATTTCAATAGAATAATCAACCAAAATTTTACAATATACCCACGCGAAGATTAAAGAAATAAACAATTTAAATAGATATAACAATCATTTCATTAATAAACAATTGTAAAATATAAAATAATAATTAAACAAGTAGATTGCGCGCGCCGCGCGCCGGTACGAGAGCGACCTGGAGAAAGGTCAAATCTAGTCAGTCTTATCGCGACTGTCGTAGGATACGGATCGAGCTGTCAAATTTTCTTTGACGAGCCAACAGACGACGAGCTATGGGTCAATCATGGGTCAATCTAAGATGCGTGGCGAGTGCAGTGGTGCAAGTCAACAATCGGTGAGTCGCATGCTTTAAAGTTCCTCCGGTTCCCATCACGTCGTAGGACGAATGGTCCGTAGCGACACGGGAATTGGTTGTAATTATTATTTTTTGAGCAAGCATAGTGACCCACGAATATCACTGTATCATTTTATACAATGATAATCGTGCAAATTGTTTTTTTGTGTATTTTATGCCTTAGCTCAGGATAGCTATCTCCACGTGGTGTGACCTGGTAATTGATATCGTTTTCTAAAGGTAACTTTTAGAAAGCGATATCAAGCTACGAGCTACGATAAAAAGATTTATATATTTTTTAATTGGGAAACAATAGTTTAAATTCAGAAATGTATTTTCGCTACATTGACTAACAAATATTTTTCTTCTAACAATTTTCGAGAGGAATTCATTATTGAATGAAAATAAAAATTTGCATAAATGGAGGGTGGATGGGATGAGATAGGACGGGTCTCCAAACCGCAGCAACCTCCTCGTGGTGAGACCTGGGCAATCGTTATTATTTGATGACTAATTAATAACTGTATCATTATTTCTATGGTACATTTATTAATTATGCAGCAAATAATACGAGCGAATTGGCTGCGAAATTTATAGTACCACAGTATCGATCGAGCATCGATCGTTGAATGATGACCGCTTGATTAGCGCCAGTGTCGGTCGCCGTGGGGTTTTAGTCAATAGGAATCTGACACTCCCCCGCCGCCCTTCCCCAGGGGCCGCTGGGGGGTCTTATGTAAGATTTCCCCACGTTAAAAAAAAAAATCTTTACATCTCTGCTTTCCTTACATTCCTGCATCCCTTACATCACTGCCTTCCTTATATCTCCGTATCTTTTACATCCCTTAATTCTTTACATCCCTCCATCCTTTACACCCCTTATATCCCTGCAACCCTTATAGCACTGCATCCCTCACATCACTGTCTTCCTTATATCTCCGTATCTTTTACATCCCTCTATCCTTTACAACACTGCATCCTTTACATCCCTTATGTCCCTGCAACCCTTATAGCACCGCATCCCTCACATCACTGCCTTCCTTACATCTCCGTATCTTTTACATCCATTAATTCTTTCCATCACTCCATCCTTTACATCCCTTATGTCCCTGCAACCCTTATAGCACCGCATCCCTCACATCACTGCCTTCCTCACATCTCCGTATCTTTTACATCCCTTAATTCTTCACATCCCTCCATCCTTTACATCTCCGCATCCCTTACATCCCTTATGTCCCTGCAACCCTTATAATAAATATATTACAAAAACTGGTTGGAGTAAAGGTAAGTAAAGGTAAGTAATTTTGAATTTTTGAATTTTTGAATTTTCAATTTCTGGCCCTCTAGCGGCAAAAATGTGAACTAAAATCTCGACCTCGAATCAGCGCCATCTGGTTTTAGAAAAAGGAACTAAACCAAGCAGAGATTTTGGCCCTCTAGCGGCAAAAATGTGAACTAAAATCTCGACCTCGAATCAGCGCCATCTGGTTTTAGAAAAAGGAACTAAACCAGGCAGAGATTTTGGCCCTCTAGCGGCAAAAATGTGAACTAAAATCTCGACCTCGAATCAGCGCCATCTGGTTTTAGAAAAAGGAACTAAACCAAGCAGAGATTTTGGCCCTCTAGCGGCAAAAATGTGAACTAAAATCTCGACCTCGAATCAGCGCCATCTGGTTTTAGAAAAAGGAACTAAACCAGGCAGAGATTTTGGCCCTCTAGCGGCAAAAATGTGAACTAAAATCTCGACCTCGAATCAGCGCCATCTGGTTTTAGAAAAAGGAACTAAACCAAGCAGAGATTTTGGCCCTCTAGCGGCAAAAATGTGAACTAAAATCTCGACCTCGAATCAGCGCCATCTGGTTTTAGAAAAAGGAACTAAATCATGCTGAAGTTTTGGCCCTCTAGCAGCAAAAATGTGAACTAAAATCTCGTCTTCGAATCAGCGCCATCTGGTTTTAGAAAAAGGAACTAAATTTTGTAAAAATATATTTATTATAAGGGTTGAAAGGATACAAGAGATGCAGAGAGAATTCAGGAGTGTAAGGGATACAGAGATATAAAGGATACGGAGATGTAAGGGATGCAAAAATGTAAGGAATGCCGGCATATACGAGATGCAGGAATATAGGGAATGTAGTGATATAAGGGATACAGGGATGTTAGGGATGTAGACATGTATGAGGTAAAGGGTTGGGACTCGTGAGGCCGTTAAAGACAAACAAATAATAAATAACTGGGAAAGTTGAGCTGAGGCCCATGAAGAGGGATAAAATAATAAATGACTTGGGAGGGTAGTCCACATGAGGCCCGAAAATAGGGGTGAAATAATAAATAAGAGGATCAAATAATAGGCGAGGCACACAGATGTAATAGAATCAACAAGTTCATGTTCCGAATGAGTTTATTCAATAAGCTAAAAAGATGAATACAGCAAATCCTTACTTTTAATAACGCGGAAACATGTCTGTGAGTGACGTTGAGACGTTGTACGCATGCTCGAAAACAAGGCAGAAAAATGTTATATGTGTAATCTTACAATAATAGTACAGTAAAATCTGTTAAAAAGGACATCTGAAAATATTAGGTCGCTGCGCAGAATGAGTCGCCGGGGTCCTTGGCACCCCAAGGAGATAATACGTTGGTGCGCAGAATCAGTCGCCGGGGTCCTTGGCACCCCAAGAAGATAATACGTTGGTGCGTAGAATCAGTCGCCGGGGTCCTTGGCACCCCAAGAAGATAATTCGTTGGTGCGCAGAATCAGTCGCCGGGGTCCTTGGCACCCCAAGAAGATAATACGTTGGTGCGCAGAATCTGTCGCCGGGGTCCTTGGCACCCCAAGAAGATAATACGATGGTGCGCAGAATCAGTCGCCGGGGTCCTTGGCACCCCAAGAAGATAATTCGTTGGTGCGCAGAATCAGTCGCCGGGGTCCTTGGCACCCCAAGAAGATAATACGTTGGCGCGCGGAATCAGTCGCCGGGGTCCTTGGCACCCCAAGAAGATAATACGATGGTGCGCAGAATCAGTCGCCGGGGTCCTTGGCACCCCAAGAAGATAATACGTTGGCGCGCGGAATCAGTCGCCGGGGTCCTTGGAACCCCAAGAAGATAATACGTTGGTGCGTAGAATCAGTCAACGGGGTCCTTGGCACCCCAAGAAGATAATACGTTGGCGCGCGGAATCAGTCGCCGGGGTCCTTGGAACCCCAAGAAGATAATACGTTGGTGCGTAGAATCAGTCAACGGGGTCCTTGGCACCCCAAGAAGATAATACGTTGGCGCGCGGAATCAGTCGCCGGGGTCCTTGGAACCCCATGATGATATACTGCCGATATGTAGTCACGGCCTTTGGGGTCCTGAATACCCCGAATGGCATAATATCAATACGCAGAAAGAGTCAACGGTTTTCGGGGTCCTGAACACCCCGAATGCCATAATGTCGATACACAGAGAGAGTCCACGGCTTTCGGGGTCCTGAACACCCCGAATGCCATAATGTCGATACGCAGAGAGAGTCAATGGCCTTCGGGGTCCTGAACACCCCGAATGCCATAATGTAGATACGCAGAGGGAGTAAACGGCCTTCGGGGTCCTGAACACCCCGAATACCATAATGTCGATACGCAGAGAAAATCAACGGCCTTCGGGGTCCTGAATACCCCGAATGCCATAATGTCGATACGCAGAAAGAGTCAACGGCCTTTGGGGTCCTGAACACCCCGATACGATATCAGATCGGTAGTATTCAGAGAATGCCACCGATGCAGCGGGGTCCTTGACACCCCGAATATCATGATTTCGGTATTGATTGATTGATTGATTGATAAGTTTCCCTCTTTTAAGGGCGGCATTATCGAGGGGCTAACGACCCCTCTCTGCCCAACGAAAGTTAGCGTCTACGCGCGCACTGCGCGCCTTTTTTACTTTTAACCTTTATGTCATTCACATCCTCTTTCCATCTTTGCCATACTTTGTTTTCTTTCCTTTCTTTTTCGCTTGCACCCCCTTTTAGTCGCCTCTTACGACAGGCAGGGGATACCGAGGCTGTATTCTAAGCCCCCCAGCCACAGGGGGAATAATGTCGATATGCAAAGAACGTCTAACCCTAACCCTAACACCCCAAGACGATATGTTCGTATGCAGGTACGACCCTTTGTGAACAAAGGCATGTCCAGTCTTCTACTGTCTGTAGTCACTGGTAATGTGTAGAATGTCGCTTTCATTAATTATCTATGGCTCCATCTATTACGATACAGAAACTATCAATTTTACCATAAACTTCGTGGGGAATTTTCTATTAAAAGTTTTGCACAAATGATTTTCAGGATTTACGCATGCTTTTGCGCGTATCTCTGGAGTTCGTTGTATACAACTATTCTTCCTTTGGGAAACCCTCAAGTTGCAAGTAAGATTTAAAGTGGCACGTGGGATTTAATAAAAAAATTATTGATATCATAAGGATTAAAATAGTATTCTAGTGGAGTTGTAATAAGTTTGAATAAACGATGAATGTTGCTGATGGAGTCGGATATTCACGATCAGAAGTATTCGTGCTCGTGGCCAGAGTATCTTTTATTGCGGCCGTTGGGTTTTTTAGTATGAAATGGATTATGAATCAACTTGATCCTACGAACAATGCGAAGAAGAAAGCTAGGAAAAAGGTGACACATTTTATCTTGAAAGATTGATTCTTACATAATTAGCGATTCACACATTAGGGAAATAACCTTCTTGTACAGTTTTCTTTTTCTTAAAAAGCATGATAATCATTGTAATTGTAGGCACAGGAACAGTTCCGAAAATTGGCCAAAACTGATAACTTATTATGGACAGTAGACATGGACCAACTAACAGATTATGAAATGATGATAGCTAATCATATAGTGGATCCTCAAGATATCAGAGTTTCATGGGAAAATATCGCAGGCCTTGAACATGTTATTCAAGAACTTAAAGAAACTGTTATATTACCTATACAAAGAAAAGAATTATTTGAAGATTCTCAATTAACTCAAGCACCAAAAGTAGACAGTTATACATTACAAATTGATTAGTCCTTTAATTAATAAATTTAGCTTAGAATTTGTATTTCATTTCCAGGGAGTATTGTTACATGGACCACCAGGTTGTGGTAAAACAATGATCGCTAAAGCAACAGCAAAGGAAACCAAAACATGCTTTATCAATTTAGATGTAAGCATCTTAACTGATAAGTGGTATGGTGAAAGTCAAAAATTAACTGCGGCCGTCTTCTCATTGGCTGTGAAACTTCAACCATGTATCATTTTTATAGATGAAATAGGTCTGTAATAGAAAAAAAGAAAAGAAGAGAAAAGTTGCCAACTTGTTGTATAACATGCATAGATTACAGACATTTTAGAATGTTCTATATTGTTTGTTTGACAGATTCATTCTTAAGAGCACGTAATTCACAAGATCATGAAGCAACTGCAATGATGAAAGCACAATTCATGTCTCTTTGGGATGGATTAATCACTGATCCTTCTTGCACAGTAATAATAATGGGTGCTACCAACAGACCTCAAGACTTGGACCGAGCTATCCTTAGGCGCATGCCAGCTACTTTCCATATTGGTTTACCAGTAAATAAAATTTATAAAGCAATATATTCGCCGAGTAACGAGTTTTCTCGAATATGTCGGGTACATTCGTGCGCGAAAGATTCTATCGTCTTTGCGTAATTAATTCGCGATAATTAAATTACATTTCAGAACGAGCAACAACGAATGCAAGTGTTAGGGTTGATATTAGAGCATGAACCAATAGCGGAAAATGTGGATATTGCGAAATTAGCGAAAATGACCGAGGGTTTTTCTGGATCGGATTTGCAAGAACTTTGTAGAAATGCATCTGTTTATCGCGTTCGAGATTACTTACGGACTCATACACAGTTTGTATCCAGTACCAATAATTAATGAATATGAAATCTTTTATCGATTCTATTTGTAATTTATTTTCTTATTACAGAGATGCAAGCGCTGGTACTGACGATGAAGAATACCATGACGCTGTACGACCTATTACAATGGAAGATCTTCTTACCTCGTATAAAAAGATGAAAACTTCTAAAATACATACGGGTACCCTTAGTACAGCCAAATTAGATCTAGATTAAGAAAGGGTATTTATAACATATTACTTAACAGTCTTTTTTGGAAAACAATTTTATAATAATGTTATATAATTTTATTTTTTCATGTATTTAAATTCTTTTGTTTAATTGAAAGAAACTTTGTTTTTCTGGCGCTTTACAGGCTGGGTGTAATCATTAGATATACTTATTTTATTTAGGATAATCAGCATCAAATTGCTATTGGTTATTATCAGTGTTCGATAAATTAGATTTGTTGGATAAACTGTTAGTTGCTGATGATCCGGTGTATAGCGTACGCTGATAGCATTTGGGGCTAAAGCTTATGAATGGATCTACAACATCACTGTAGAAAGCTACTAGAATTTTTAGTTAGACATCGTTACGTAGAATCATAATTCGATGTATCTCGAACGGCAGAGATATATCTTGTGGGTTCCTTGGATCTCTAGATACTACAATTGAAATACAGATAACACTCTATTGTTCTAATATTAAAGAGGATGTATATACTGTTCAAGTCAGGAGGTTACATGCGTTGAAGTACATACATGGTTACTGTGGCTATCATCCAACTGCTACAAAAATTTAACTCTCTTTGAATTTTATGCTGTCGAGGGTCAATAGGGAAGCTATTCAAACAGGGAAGCTAAGAATATGTTTAGAACAAGTGGATGTGTACTTTGTAGGAATTTGGCAATTCGATCCCGTAGAGTTTCACTCTTTTGTGGCTCTATTCGGAATGTAGTATTTTGATCTCAGACCTTCGTTCGGAACTTCACTTCGAATGGATCCGACTAATCGCCATGATTATCCTTTTTATACCAAAAATCAGACAAGAGAAAGGTAGTAGGGATGAAAGTGAAGCCGTACACCGTGGGAAATACTTCACAGTAAAGATTTTCGCTTAGCGGTTTTATCCTGGTTCCCAGAATGCACTCAAATCTAAAGTGCCTGAACTTTAAATAAGAAAAAGAATTTGGCGAATACAACAATACCAACAGCATACGAAACATTGATACACAGCGACGAACTTGGTGTAAATGGATATAGAAGAATTTTACTTTTTGCGAGGTAAAGGATTTATACATGTATATGAATACGAATGTGTATTTGTGTATAAATATAAAATCGTACCGTGTAGTTACGAACAGAAGAAAATTTTTGTAACAACTGATATTAGTAACTTTTAACATTATTTACAGTATTAATGAAAGCCTACAAAAGCTAATAATGGTTTTTTTTTTCTTTTTCTTAATCTAATTTGATGAGCTTGATTCAAATCAAACAAAATCTTCCAGTATTTATGTTTTGTCGCTATTAACTTATCGCATCGCTGGTTAAATGTTTTACACTGGAAGCTTCGGACCGCTTATATTTTTTTTTTTTTCCAAAAGTTACCTCTGTATGAGTGCGTGCGAGTGTATTATGCATTTTAAAAGATCACCTCATAAAAAGCATTCGATATATATCTTACTGTTGTATAAATTTTATCGTGTTATTGTTACATCTGTACGTACAAATTTCTGAATTTTCTGTGTAGATAACAATTCGTAATTATCATTCATAAGTAAAGAAATATATATTCAAATGATATTGCTAATTGCGCCCTTGTAACTGATACGAAAAAAAAAGAAATCAATAGAAAATACTTTTTAACTGTAAGATATAAATGATTTAAATTTAAAAAAAATGTAAAAATACAATACACTGACTTGTGTAAAATAATTGATAGTTTGTATGATGCGTATTTAAAAAATTTCAAAAAGTACAGCTTGATTTATTAGTTAAAATTAAGTCGATTGTATATACCTAGTAATACGTTAAATCAACGAACATCTTTTAAGGACTACATTATGAAGTTTAAAATAATGTGTGTGGGTTGTACATTATTACATGTACATATATGATGAAAAATGTATAAATTCTGATAAAAAATCATTGCGTTACGAATTCAAAAATGTTAAATACAAGAAATTAAGTACTTCAGAAGGTATAAGATATTTGGCTTATCCTTCTATTAGGAAAGCAACAATTTGAATGAAACGTGTAATCTGGTTAATAAACAAGTATAGAAAGAAAGAATCATCAGAAGAGTTCAATTACAACAGAAAAGATGATACATTGATTGTGCAAATGTATAGGATAAAAATCTTGATCTTTATGATCCGGCGCGAATATTTGGTAAGAATGAAGAATGGAAAAATATGGTGAAAAAGAGGATACGCATGCGTAGACAGGTAACGAAGTGTTTCGGCGAGCAACGCACAGCAACGAAAGTTTCCGGGAATGAAACTTCTAGGAGCGCAAAGTCTCTGTGAGTTTCTACCCTTCCCTTTGCTTCCTTTTGACCGGTAAGCTACGGTCATAAAGTCGGTGGTTCGCCGAGGGTAGGCCAGATAAAATAATATTTCTTCAAAAACAAAAACAAATGCAGTTAATGGTGGCAGGGAAAATCGGAATCAGCCGCGATACAAACGCGTCATTGTGAATGGCGCTGCTAGTGATAAAGGTGGCTGCAAATTTTCGATTTCATACCAGACATAAACTGTGCTTAAAATGGATGTTACAAAAATACTTTTGTTCGCTGATTAAGCGTAACTGATTTTACTTTACCGATGGTTTAACAAAGATACGGGGGCAATAATTAAAAGAAGAACGATGAGAGCGATCGAATCCCGGCACGATTGTCCGTAAAATCCTGCCTACCATCGTGATGGTTGGTTTGCAGCGTGGACAACCGTTCCGCAACACCCGTGGTGGATGATCTTAGCATTGGCGGTGGGTGTTTGTGTCATGTGTCCGCGTATTACCTGTGTTGGCGAAGTGAGGATGTAACATAAAGATTGCCATTCCTCACGAGCGCATACATAAATATGTGCGTTCAATGCATCTGTAAAAGTTACATATCTGAAAACCATTGTACATACCTTCGTACTAGAACAGGAATCAAGTTTGGGCGCTACTACTTTGACACGATGACACAGTTGTTGTATCAAAACATGATCCTCCTGTGAATGAAGCCTTTTAAATGAAAGTTTACACCTTGTTTAGAGCGATTGAACGCAACTTGTCAGCCAGCAAGGAAACTAGACTAACGAATCTGATGGATCTTCCGAAATTTCTCTACATGTTAAGATTATTTCTTAGAAATTCACCGTAACTGGGAGTGCCGCTAGACCGCGGTTGAACATGCTCCGGAAGGATTGGACCGAATTTCACGTTATACATATACAAGAAAAAGATTGGTTTTTTACTTTTCAAAAGAAGAATGCTACCATGAACGATTTATCTAAAATCTTACGGATCTTACGAATTCTTCGTAAATAACATGTGAACTTTCAATTAAGGAGGACTCGAACAATGCCTTTAATGAAACTAGCATGAAAATGTACCGCGATGTTAAGTGGCCTCTGTGATGTATTGCGAACGATGCTTAACCTAACTTTTCAGTCGACGCTCCGACACGGCGTTTTCTTGCGAGTACTACATAATATTCTATCGATAACGAACTCGTAACCAAACGGACGTAAATCACGAAAGATTGTCATTTCTTTTATATTTTCGTTCTTTTTCCTTCTTCGATGGATCAAGTGCCGTTCTCGTCTTTTCCGCGTTCTTCTGTGTATCTAATTTATCGTAGAACATGAGACGTGATCGTAATTTTATAAAACTGAAAATACTTTTTATTAACTGTACCCTCGATTTTCTCGTGGAACAGTATAAAGGTTAATTTGACAGTATTTCTGCAAATATGTTCTTAACGGTTTTACGTCTAACGTTTATGTTCAAATTGAAATGCAGGTTTATTTATATTTTTTTTTCTCTTCGACCGTGATTTTTCTACCACTTGCCAGTGCCTGTATAAGACGTGTCTCTTAATACTCGTTACAAGAATATGAGTAGTAAAATATATTTGTACATATATATATACACATATATATATGTTTCATCGCTTGTACATAATTGGTGATCCATCTCCAGACTTTGATAAATTTTTTATAGCAAAGGTGATGGGTACAACCTGACATTTTATTATCTCAACCTTATCCGCGTGAAAAACTTACCCGCATACTATGGTATGCGGTTTCTTTATCCTTGTATTTAATTTTGAATCGTGTTGTGCGTGAATTTTATCAAGTTCCACTTTTGTGAAAGTTATGTACTAATTATTGCATCGAACCGGTGATGGTTACAGTGACATTATTATAAAAATTGTAATAGCATGGCAAACCATCGCGAAAGAAGATATAAAGCTCCATGAGTTGGATAATAGAAAGGACACATGCTCTGGGAATTAATGGGTATATGCTTTTCCTGCAGGAGACCTACAGGCAGCAGGTTAAATAATAAAATCTCAGAGCATATCTCAGCATCGGTAACACCCCTCCATGTTTGTCTGGAGGAACAAAGAGGACCAGAACTGGGCTCTTGCGACGCCTCGGCTTGTAGGCCACAGGTAGATGAACTAAGGTTTTAAGATGAAATACAAAAATTTGGCTAATAGATGAGCAAATAATTATGTTGTATCTAGGCGCAAAGGTTATTTGAAACGCAGGAATCAGAAGAAAGGTGTGGCGAAGAAGAAGCGGAGAGTGAAATCATTGGAACTGAGGAAGAAGATTTGAAATTTAGTCAGCTGAGTATGGCCAACACTATCAGTAATATGAAGATGACGAATCGTATCAAGGGGCTTGTAAGCAAACGTCGTAAGCGGTTTACAGAAGATGGTTTTGACCTTGATCTCACGTGTATCCTTTACCAAAATTGTCAGTTGCGTAGATCGAATAGAAGGAGAAAAATATCGTGGCGTATAATTTTCTTGATACGTTCCTTAATATTAACTATGTTTTGTAACAGATATAAGGGATAATTTAATAGCAATGGGTTTTCCAGCTGAGAAATTAGAAGGAGTATATAGAAATCACATAGACGATGTTGTTAAATTGTTGGAATTTAAACACAAAGATCATTATAAAATTTACAATCTGTAAGTGTCTTAGATATTTCGTTATCTAAGTACTTTTATCTTGGTTACGAGTTAAAGGAGTAACAAAAGCAGGCTAACATAAATTGAATATATGTTTTAGATGTTCCGAAAGGTCGTATGATTTTAAGAAATTTAAACAAAGAGTAGCCACTTATGCGTTTGATGATCATAATCCACCGATGCTGGATCAGATCAAACCGTTCTGCGAGGATGTAGACGAATGGCTTTCTCAACATCAAAAGAACGTAGCGGTAGTTCATTGTAAAGCGGGTAAAGGTCGAACAGGTGTAATGGTTTGTTGTTACCTTCTTCATACTAAACAATTTCTCACTGCCACGGACGCTCTTAACTTCTATGGAACTAAAAGGACACACGATAGGTAATTATAACGAGGATAATTTTCGTTGTTTTGTTGATGTATTGTTTTTGTTGATGTTATTTGTTAATTAGGAAGGGTGTAACAATACCTTCTCAGAGGAGGTACGTGGATTATTATGCTACTCTTGTCCAAGAGAGATTGAATTATCAACCGGTTACATTATTATTGCGAAGAATCCAATTAGATCCAGCGCCCATATTTCACGGAGGTCAAGGATGTAAGAATAATCATGTAGCCAGCATTCGAAAAGAGAATTAGACAAGAAGCAAAATACGGTTACATACAGTTTATATGTTTTAGACTTGCATTGCGTTATATCGGAATCGAAGAAGAGGATATTTAGTTCCGACATAGTGGAAGTACGAAAAGGAATGCATTGTGTTAGTATTCCGTTGAAACACAGCGTACCGTTGACGGGTGATATTCGAGTCGATTTCTTTAACAGACCAAAAATGAAGCGAAAGGTATTTCTCCTTGTTAAACTCTGGAGATAAAACAGTGGATTTATACAGTTTATCGCGACACAATTAACCACGATTTCTATCTGTTTGCTTTCTATGCAGGAGAAATTGTTTCATTTTTGGTTCAATACCTTTTTCGTGCGAGATTACTTAACGTCAACGTCAGAGTACGATAACGGAGAGTTACCAGTTGAACGTTCGACAAGGGCATTGAGTTGCGACGGTACAACTATGGAATTACCAATGGTTATGTCGCATATGAAACCCAGGGCTGGATCGTTAGCTAGTCTCGGACCTATGCCACCCACTCTTCTTTTAAGCATAGATAAATGGGGTTTAGATGACGCACACAAGGACAAACAAAACAAAGCGTACAGTGCAGATTTCAGGGTAAGTTAATTTTCTTCTTTTCCAATAAGATGTAGAATCGTTTTATGTCGCGGTGGATCGTTCGAATGTTGCAGGTTAGCTTATTTATGGATCGAATGGGTGGTAGCGGTGTGTCAGCTACGACGAATAGAACAGGAGAAATAGGAATGGGAGGAACAGGTATACAGATAGGAGGAATGGGCGGACAAGAAAGCCCTAGCGAGTCCAGCGAAGCGGACAGTAGCGAATGTGACACGACCGGAGATACAACGGGTGATGAAGATGGGGAATCTGGTGAGTCCTCTGCATCTCTGGTGGTGAATCACCATCTTCTTACACACAGCAGTAGCCGTACACACGTTAGTATCCACCAAAGAGCTAGTCTCAGAGAAACTGCAAAGGGTTTACTCTCGCGTGGGGATAAAAGTAGAAGTAGTCATCGACAGAGTACTGGCAATGTGAAACGTTCTTCGGCTCTCGTACGTTCAGCCACATTAGACACGTAATATATTTTATCGTATTTTGTACTTAACACAGCTGAGTTCTCTGAACTGGCATTCAAGCTTTACAACTTTACGTGAAAACATTTTTTACAACATATTTTAGCTTTTCTTTGTCATGCTAGCATGAAACCATAGCATTCGATTACTACTTAGTTGAAACGTATCGATTTTTACTTTTATCGTTTGGTATATTTTAACAACGTCGGATCGACGCGTATTCGACGATTAATCGATCTGTTTGAAAGAATTTAAAAGAGAAAAAAGTTCCAAGATTCGATTATAGTTTCAATGTTAGCTCGAAGGATCAGTACGATTTCTGTTACATTGAATACATCGAAGATTCCATTGAACGTTCCGAGTTGAAGGAATCGCAAAACAGAGTATCGTGTTTCTTTTTTTCTGTTTCCTCTCGTAGCGTCTACTATTTGCAAAATACAAAGGTGTTCCAGTATTCGATGGATTACGATTTTTAACATACGTTATTGGGTATTTATTTAGAAGCGAATAAGAAATGTGTATCTAATATTACGTACGACCTTGATGTACATTCTATATATTTTCATTCGATTTTTCGAGTATATCGTCTCGGTGACTGTTTATTATTATTATTATTATTATTATTATTATTATTACTATTAATATTATTACAATTACAATTACAATTATTATTAATCATTTTAGTAGTTGAATTTAACGTCGAGCAAGAGAATCTTCAAACGACGTATATGTAACGATGTACTATGTACGAGACACTAGTATTTATTTCGAAATTGTGTAACGGAACCAATTTGTAAAGGTTCATTGACCAGTACGACTAGTACGGGGACAAGAAACGCGACAATTTATTATACTCGTATCAGTTTTTACCTTACGTTTCTGCTTGTTGTACCTATCTATTCTTTCTTCGTGGCATTAAGATGAGAACGGACGAGTTAAATGTATCCCGATTGCCTTACATCCTGTGATCGTAAACATTTTTTCAAATAGCGCGAAGCTAATTCTTCGTATAGCCTCGAGTGGACAAGTTGATAGTCGCGTTAAAATGCTTGTACGATAACGTGTTTACGCGTGTACAGAAAACAAATTTCATTCTCTCGATATTCGTAAATAGGAATATGTTAAATGTAAACAGGCTGTGCAATTTTTCGAAACATTTATTCCTTGATATCTAGTAAGCATGATTTCTTTTCTATCTCGTATACGATCGAGTAAATAATCGCGATCTAATTAGGCAACCGATCAAAATGCATTAACGAATTTGATTTTCTCTCCGATACGAAGCGATGATACGCGTGAGAATTTATATGCAAAAATTTAACATCGAATGCACGTGGAAACGAAACGAGCGATACCGTGAAGTTTAGTTTTAAAGGAGCGGTCTTAAAACTGATATTTTACGTGTGTTCGCCTTTTCTTTTCCATAAGTAGGTATATTATTATTGGATCGTTGCTTGTGTATCGATTAGAAAATCCTTTATCAAGTTCGAGTATTGAGTATTACGAAAATGTCGTGATGATTTTTACGAGTTTAAGACTTGAATAGCATGCAAATACAGCATTGATCGATGAATTGAAAAGAAGAAAAAAAAAATAATTGATCGACTTGATGAGTCGGTTCTGTCGCGTTTTTTTTTTTTCTTTTACCGTTTCAAACAATTTATACGATTTTAATTTAGTTTGTTACGAGAGTATGTGGATATTGTTACGAAGTAAATGCGCATATCGTTAAGTACCTACAAACTATTGATAAGTAAATTATGATACGGTTCAAGGCTGTCGCTTAAATGCGATCAAAGTGTTTTTTTTTCTTTTTTTTTTCTTACGGATGCGCTCCTTAGTGGAAGGTTGCTCGTTTCCATTTTCCTGTACGTACAGATTCGTTTCCGGTTGTTGTTTTTTCCCCTCCCGTATAATTTGCACGTATCAGCAAGTGTCGCAAAGTGCGTTTCATTGGTAAACCTCGAATGTTTCATCATTTTCTTTTTTTATTTTTTTATACTCATTTATCATGATGGTAGAGCAATTTTTCAATGACTTTCTCGTATCGACATTTTTATAGCGAAGACACGACCGATAAATTAATTTATTATTATCTCGCGAAATATTTAAATTCATTTATCTCTGGATGATCTGCGCGCGTTCGAACGTGTGATAAATTTTTCAATTTTTACGTACGGTGTGATTGTTGTACAAAATCGCTAGACTTTTTAATTGTGTATAACAATAAAGTAGAAAGATTACGAATGGTTTGACGAAAATCGTGTGATTGTCATTATTATTATTCTTATTATTATTGTTATTATTTTGTATTATTTGCAATTTTGTTGACGAGAAAGCGTGGCAATGATACAAAGTTCCAAACGATAAAAAATCACGATCACGATCGATTGTGTTTACGTGTTACTAAAGTTATTGATACACAACGAAGATTACCATCTTCGTACGTATTAGTTTTGTAAATATGTAGTAAAAATATCGCAGTAATAATTGGGCAACTTTTTTTAAATACAGGGGCTGGATGTTCAGATATTTTTCGCTTATCGATAAGTTCCTCTTTGAATTATCTTATGTACACATATTGGTCTTGATTCGAACGTATGCTACATGAATATACAAAGATTATAACAATCTGACACTTGAAAAACATAGAAGGAATATCAAAGCCCCGATACGTTTTAATTCTACTCTGGTTTTTTATATCGTTGCATGTTGATAGTTGATAAATTGTAGTCATCGGATGTTTGTAATAACTGAAAAGTTTATGAAATTTATACATTGCATCTTTATTTCATATTGTGTAATGGTCATTTTGTGATACTATTATATTTATGATTATTATCTGTATCGTTGTTATATCCCTATTCTCGTTCTTCTTCTTCGTATTATTAATTATCAATTATTTATTACTATTATTATTATTATTCGTCATCTTCATCGTCAGTTATGCTGCTACTACTATTACTACTACTACTACCGCTACTACTACTACTACTACTACTACTACTATTACTACTACTACTACTACTACTACCTACTACTACTACTACTACTACTACTACTACTACTACTATTATAATTATTACTGTTATCATTATGATTATTATTATTATCATCATTATTTTTACTACTATTATTATTACTATTACTGTTATCGTTATTATATATTATTATTATTATTATTATTATTATTATTGTCGCTCATAAAATGGCGATTTTTAAATGTAGCTGTATATTATAAAGCATATTCCTGTAACAAATACTTTAAGGAGGATATTACACGTGCATTACATTTATAATGTAGTGTTTTTAGTATCTTCTGCTTACGTCTTCCAACTCTCTGTGATCCGTAAACTTGACACCTCCATGTCCTAGTGCTGGCTGCTGACTTACGGTTTCCTTCTATCTCTCTTTCCTGGCCGTTACTCCTTAGCAAATAAATGGGCATACTGTTTGCAATGCTTTCTATTTGTTATTTTCACCTTGATTCATATTTTCTATCCACTTGAAATGCGTTTCAAATAATCTAACATTTTAACGGATACAGATTTCACGGGATCTACCAGTTCATATTTTGTCAAAGAATCATATCAGTGTTGGTACATATTTTGTATAGTTTGTAGAATGGTTTTGTTTTATATATGACGTTTTTCACATAGAAACTCACTATCTCGCACGCTTATTTTTTCTTTGTCCACGTAATATAATTAAGTGGGCGTCGAATATTTTCCGATCTACTCTGAACGTTTCGAATGATTGCAGTCGATGTTGTATTGGATTGATCGTTTGCTTTAGCATGCTTATACGTAATGGCACTTGCTCTGTGCCTTTCGTAACATGTACATACCTAAAGCAATATTTCAGACGGTGAGGGTACGAGTGTCGAATAGTCTTACTAATATTCTTATTCTATAAGAAAAGAAGGAAATTTCTTTAGACGAAGCTTCACTTTACCCTCGACCGGTTCGTATTTAGTTGTAAAGTTGATCCAATGATATATGTAACAAACACACACATCCACATGTAAATATTAGCTGTGTACGTAACAGGTATTCCGCACACATGTTTACTGACTTTTTCCGTCTCTGTGTGTCTGTTCACCCCTTAGTGGACATGGACCAGCGTGTTGGCCGATACCGCCTTCTCTCAGACGGAGGAATGATAGATGTTTTGTGAGCGCATCACCAGTCATCCTCGTACATCGATTTTGCTCTCCTTTGTATACCGTTGCGCGAACATTACAAACTCGACTATCCATCGAATCAATCTATCGAGATAATTGATCGCGATCGGACAAACCTTTTCCTCCTTTTACGATTAACGATTAAACTTTCACGGATTAACGAAGGCTAATTTCACACGACGTTACTTTCTTCCTTTATCGACGACTACCTTTTGCTCCGTTTGAATAGTATTGTATGGAACATCGTTCACACTGGCAAATGCCATTTTTCGTCGTTTTGCGCTTATTTTTCGCAAGTTTGCGTCCTATAGTTTTAGCAGAATTTATATTTTTATAATAGACAATGTTTTTATACACTCATCTCATCGACGAGCTTGTAAATTCTCTGAACCGCGTACACACCATATATGGTTCTGAATCTCGGAAAAAATGTGTTAACGTTCAAAGAGAGAAATTTCAAGCTCAGCTTTTTAACGATATACGTACGTATGTATGTGCTTTCTGTGTAACGTTTGTCCTTTCTTATTGCGCCGATGAATGCAAAGCGATCTTTTCCTAACAACGCGAAAGTTTAGTCGAGTTGTGCAGCTTCGTATATAAACGCTGACTTGTGTTTCGAAGGAATGTCCGCGTTGCTCTGTAGGCTAATCAAGGAGATGCGCTTATATAGATTATGGATCCAGATGAAATAATGCTGTAAAAAATGGCAAGACTATTTTCGTAACGTTAATAAATTGTAAGTCAATAATAGTAAGAAGAAGAGGAAGAGGAGGAGGAAGAAGAAGGAGAAGAAGAGGAGAAAGAGGAAGAATAACGACAAGAACAACGTGAAAAACAGCGTCAAAAACAAGAGCAAGAAGAAGAAGAAGAAGATGATGAATAGGAAGAGCAACGAACAAGGAAGATGACTGTAAAGATAATAATAGCGATAATGATATTGGTAACGAGGTCGATTTAGAAGGAGAATGAGAATGAGAATTTCGTTACTACTTATCCTTCGTTCGATAACCGGTGACATTTATCGTTTACCTTTACGTTAACTTTCTTTCCTTCGTAGAAACGATCGGGTTGATACGATTGCGTTTCGCGATACACGAACGATTCGTTCAACACCGCCGCGCCGCGTAGCTTTATATTTTTCTATGAAAATCGACAAGCTTTTCCGCACCATATATATGGGAATGTGTATAGTTCACAAACGATTATCTACTCGACGAAACTGAAAGAGAAAAATCGCGTAACGAAGGAAAAGGAAGCAAACGATGAAAATAAGATACAGTATGTACAGTGTCGTCGGATATCCAAGCTAACGAGAATCAATTCGATTCGCTTTACCATCTTCCCCTCTGTTTTAACCGAACATTCTCAGAAGAAACGTGCGACGCGTAGCTTTCAATCGTTTAGCGGCCGATTTTCGAGCAGATCTCGTTATGAATCGTCTTTGTATCGGCAAACTACGGGTTGGATTTCGAAGGAACGTTTCACTTTGCACCCGTCTCTCGAATAACAAATGATTTTCGTCGATGTTAATTTTATATTGGATGAAAAGCGTGAAAAGGGTGGAGGAGGAGGAAGAGTAGCATGGTTTCTGACGCCGTCCTTTTCTAACGCGTAGCTTCTACATCGCGATAAAACGTGCGACTGATCGTTTACTCGAATTCTCGCATTGTGCATCGATTTTATTCGCGTTTCTTCCTCTCTCCCTCTTTCTTCTGGTTGCGAAAGTTTAGGAAAAACGAGGGTTGCAATCGTAAACTTGACGCGATTATAGGAGGTGGGCTGGACAGTTGAGCGATAAAAATGTTAGAACGGAAGCTTAGTTAGTTTCCTGATAAATTCGAACTAATCTAAAGCAAAATTATTCGCGCGTCGATCGTTTATGCTGAAACCGGAAAATCGTGTCGCATTGATAAAATAGTAAAACATCACCGAAACGAGATCTGGCCGAAATAATGAAAGGAAGAGAGTGAGAGAGGGTAAAAAAAAAGAGAAAAGGTGGATAGAAGCGCGAAAAAGCGGAATTAGTAAATTTACCTCGCTCGAAGCTACAATTGGGTCATCGAATTCGCGTCAACTCGTTACGACAGGCAATCGTTACGACATCTCACAGTTTTGTTTTTACTTGTTGTAAATTGTAAAGTAACGAGAGAAAATGAAGGTAAACTTACTAAATGCGTTTTGTTTTTTACCCAGCAGCCAGCAACGGTTATGGTATACGTATGTATGTACGATATTGTTAATTCGTGTGACGTACGCGCTTCTCGAACGTATTTTTTCTCGTACGAAGCTCATGAATACCGTTTTATAAGTGACACCTTTTAAAATTAACTTTTATATGATTCAATGCGGAATGTTCAAAAATATAAATAAGATGCATTATTTTCTCGGTGATATTGTATACGAATATGTCTAATTGACCGAATCTAGTCCCGTTCAAACTTGTTTGCCCTCCTTTTCTCCTTGTTTCGATTAATTTTACACACCTTTCTTTACACCTATTCTTCTTTGTTCTATTTTCTGTTTTCATTTTAACGATGATTCTTTTGTTTGTTCCAATGAAATACGCTAGGAAACACCGTGTATAGAGTACAAAAGAAGGAACTGCAAGAACAGAGTCAGTCGCAATCGCAGCAATTTAAATTTATTATCACAGGTATGCATCTCCTGCATAGATTCGACGTATCATTTTTCTCTTTCCCCTTCCCTTTTTTTTAAATCATCAACACACACCGATAAGATATTCACGTGACTGACGCTGACTCTGCTTACAGGGGAGTCGACGTATTTGTGACTTTGAAAACTAAACTGCTCCTGCGGAGCGAGGATCGATCTCCTGCCTGACTGCAACGCATCGCTTGATTACCAGTCAATCGATTGATAACCAACCAACTCTACCTGTGCCTGCCAGTTCACCGCCACACACGACGCATAACCGTATTCTCCTTAACTGCTGGTAGAATTTCATGCTTTTTGCGTTTCTTCTCTCTTCTCTCTTCTTCTTCTTCTTCTTTTTTTTTATCTATTTCTTTCCTTCTCTTATTTCTTTCATTATACTCTTATCACTCGTAACGTTTTTCTCCTTTAGCGAAAACGCGCAAGAAGGAGAGACGCGTTTTTTAAAATGCATCGACGATCAACCTCTGTGATCTACTTTTCGATTTTAATTTGTCGCAACTTTTTTATCATTTTTTTTAATCGAAACTGTTAATCGTATCTGACGAAACAGGTTTTACTCGTATCGACTAACGCTGATTTTAAATTTTACAGAAGTAAGAAAACCTTTCGATTCGCGTCCAAGTATCTGCGGTAAATGTACCAGCAGGATTTTATATAGATTTTCTTGTCGCGAAATGAATTCCCGTTTCCTCGATGCGATATACGGTGGACGCGGCGGTTATACGAGTTATCGTATGCAACTTCCAGCAATGCTGATAGAAACAAAATGAAAAAATTGAATGGGCGATTCCTTTTGTATATTTTGACGAACCGTCGTTAGGAAAAATATTTTACCAATCTGTGATCGTGAAGCGCGATCTACGAAAAGCGAGAACGAGAACGAGAACGAGAACGAGAACATACACGCATTACCGGAAGTTCAACCGGGGCCAAGAGATTTCAAAGATTTTACGTGTTGTTGTCGTCGTTGTCGTCGTTGTCGTCGTTGTCGTCGTCGGATAGAAATTGTAAATGTGGTTAATTATTTTAAGATATACTTATAGAAAAATGCGTACACGTTCTCGAAACACAAAGTACAAAAGTAACACGATCGGATCTCAGACGTTTCGAAATAATTGCGCTTGCTTCTTTAAGAATACGTATACTTAAGATATTTTATATAATGGTTATTTAGCAATTAGTCGAAAGTTTACACAAGTATTGTAGAAAATTGTTTCATCGAACTGTCGAATGTCGTTAACGCGAAAAGGGGGTAATCGATTAATGTAGGATATTTGATGGCCGAGTTGCATACACACCGTTAGGGTGTCTCCGATTCGACTAGTTTATTTGATTTCATTCGAGGAACGATGATTGCGCGATTTGTATATGAAAATGAATACACGAGACGCTGCCAGTCAGTCACGCGCAATTATGTACACTCTAAATTGTAAATTCTTATAAATATCGTCACACGATTACGCAACACGATCGCTTTCCTTTCTTTTCGTACAAGTACCGAAATAAGAGAACAAATGAAAATGGAAAAACATTTAGGGATCGCAACAAGCGCGTCAGCGTCAGCGTCAGCAATTTATTTAGAAATTAGAAGAAAACTGTGCCGCGTCTCGATCGAATCTCGAAGCTTTAGTTGGCTGTAAAACGAGCGTTCGATGGCGCGCTACCTTAAAAAATATGTAAAAAGGTAAATATCGCAGAATACAGAGGTAACAAGTTCCGTCTACGATGACATTTGTAACGGGACAAATATTTTCCTCGGATTCTTAGTGCGTTTTACCAATGCGAAAACCCGATTTACCTTCCTCTGCCTCGTCCACGATTGAAACCGCCTCTACCCCGACCGGCAACTTTTCCCTTCGGTGGCGGAGATTTTGGCCTGAGTGCCTCGATGCGTTCGGTACATCCAGTTGTGATTTGACCGTTGGCAAAGTAGCTCGTGTAAAGATCCGCGTTAAAGTTCGTGTTGGTCAATTCGGGGCCAACGGTCAGCCAGCCAGGTCGAATGGTGCTGTCGCGACCGAACAAGTGCAACCTGAGAAAAGAAAACGAAAGCAACGAAAGGTAGGTTGATTCGCGGTGGTTATTTTCGCGGCCCTTACCGTCGTCTGCCAAGACAGAAATGCTCGATTATGTGAAATATCTCGACGGGCTTCTCTATGGAACCGTACTCGGGCTCTTCCGATATGATCAGATCTATATCGACGTTCGCGTGAATGAAATCGCCGTCCGTGGATCGTCGGACGGTTCCTTTGATGCCCATCAGACAATGTTCTTTCGTTCTCTGAAGAACCGCTTTACTGTCCAGATTTTTGCTGTGTCCCGGATTATTGATGTTCGTTCGAATCCAACAAATGTCCTCGCATCGTCTGAAGCCCCATTTGCGAAGGCAAAAACGTCCCATATCTAATCCGTCGCTGCTACCGCACCAGAGAAACACGAAGCTTCGATTGGCTGCCACTTCGCCGATATCTAATTCCATTATCTACCAAGTTGTTTTTAATACGCGTGTTTGCCAAGCCTTTTTCAACTGACACCCTCTCGTCGGCGTTGCGCGTTCCCCCAAATAATTCTTCCCTTCGATACTCACCTGATCCCAATTCCATAGCTGAACGTTCGTAGCACCGCAGGTCCGTTGATATTCCTCCAACGGAGGCTCTATCAATATAACGTCGAATTTGCAATTTAGCTCTTTCAAATTATACGCGAGTAGATCCGTCTTCAAGTACATTGGTGGCGTGGCGGTTTCCGCTATAAGATCATCTTTCAGCTTGATCAGTTCTCTTAGTTTCGGATATTCCTCGAACCTGTCGGCCAAACCCACGTCCCTGATGAAATTTTGCGGTCGTTGGCCGGTGTCGATGAAATGTTGACAGTAATCGTTATGCGGATTCGACGACTGAGTTCCCTTGAAACATACAGCGCGCCTATTTGAACCGATGCGACGCGCGCGACCTACGCATAATACATAATGACGCTGACCTACCTTCAAGAACGTCGAAGAGTCTTTGTAAACGATCTCGTCGGTCGGAACCGCCTCGTTTTTCGAATCTTTCGCAGCATTTTCCGGCTTCTCCGGTATCGATTTCACTCTTTTCCGCTGCGCCGCGTCGTCCACGTCCGTTCCTAGAATTTGCCGCAGCTCGTCCACGCTCGAAACGCCTAGCTACATACACGACAGAAGAAGAACGACATAACCTCAACGAGAAAATTGCGTTCAAACTTTCTTCTTCTCACCGTCTGAGCGAGTAACTTTTTGCGTTTCTGCGAACGTTCGCGTAACGTTTGAAGCATTTTTCGATGATTCGTCAAAAGCCTTTGACAAAATCGTTCAACTTATCGTGCGTTCGTCGGTGTTGATCGAACGCGTTCTTCATCGACGCGAAGCGGCTACCGTTTTCGCTACCGTTTCAACACGAAAAGCACACGCATTTACAGCTGAATTTACCGGCGTCTTTAACGTTCGATTCGCAGAATATCATATTTGGTGATTGCTCGCAACAATGATAAAACTCGTGCACTTTACACGCATGGCACTTGGCGGTCGTGTCGAGTGTCGAGCAACAACGGCGACTCGTAGCCCTCTCGCGGCAAACCGTATTTACCAACAAGAGCGTCTCCGGTTCGAACGCGCGAAATATAGCCGTTCAAAACATTGCTTTTATTTTTATTTTTAAAATCGCACTTTCCGTTTCATCGTATGTATTGTACATATCTACATAGACTGGAGGAACGAGTAGAAGCCGCGCGCGTTATCATAGAAGAAGAAACGATAGTAGACAGAGGTAGGAGTTAGAAAGGTGGTAGCGATCGAAAGCGAAAGTTACGGGAAGAGCGCGAAAGAAAAAAAAAAGTGTGCCGTGAAAGCGCAACTTAGCGAAATAAAATGAACGAGATAACGGAGTTGACGCGTACTCGGACGGGAGGCGGACACGATCGATTGTTAGTCGGCGTTTAAATCGACCTTGATCGTCGCGAGCTAAATCGTCCCGCGATCTTGTCCATGTCAGATGTACCAAGTTTCTGATCGACTCGTCCACTAGGTTGATCGTTGATCGCAAATTGCTTCATTGCAACCGGGAAGTTGTTCATTTTCAGGTGCTCGTTTAGCGGTAAGTGTTTTACCGTGTTTACCTGGAAGATTGAAAAAAACAGAATCGGGCATGATTCTGAACTTATCGCCACGATTCCGAGCAAGAATCTCCGGCTGCGAAAGGAGGACGCGCGTAACGCGAGAATTTGCGTCCGTAATCTCGATCGATAAGAGCCGGTGAATTCGGTCGATCGGTAACGATCGGAAATAGAAATGACGAGAACGGTAAGACGGCGGGGCTCATCTCGCGACCGGTGTCAAGGTAACGGTTGTCGGAAGCAGGTGATCACCTCGTCGTTCACCTCGTCAAATCACGGTTGGATTTCTCCGTTACGATTTTGTGCCGGGACCGCAAGAGCGTTTAACAAGGTTCGTATACACATTTTACTTTGATCGTTCGTTTATAATTCTCTCGGCTGGTACCGAAGCTGTAAGTCGGAAAAGTATTTATCAAAGTGTAAGCGCATAGCGGAGAAGAAAGGAAATTAAAGGAAAGGAAAGGAAAAAGGCGATAGCGATAGAGGGTGGGAATTTCGGATGGGGAAGGATATTACCGGCTGGATAATCGAATGCAGTGTTTTGATCGAAGAGTAATCGACACGGTATGAGTCACGTAGGCTGATTGCGAGCGAGCGAGCGAGCAAACGCGTTGGCGAAAACAATTTTTTGCTAATGTTCGCGCTGGCAAAGGTGTTGGAGCGAAAGCAGGAAGAGAAGCAAGCGGGCGGGCGGACGGACGAGGGGAAGGTAAAGGATAGAAGCGTCTGGTGTGATCCGTCGGGGGGTTAAGAAAAACCGTCTCGAGTGAATCGTCGTCGGGCCAAGTTGGCTGCGATTGGTCGATTCGGTGGGTCTCTTCTCCGAAATCCAGCCGGAATTCCGAGAAATCGGCTGCGGCGCTACGCTCACACCGGCATCCCTCTTTATCTGTTTGCGTAGTCGGTGCCGGCAACACGTCCAGTCGTCGTCCCTATTCGTCGTCGCGATAACACAGACGGAAACAGAAAACCAGGACGACGCACCGATTCCAACAGGGTTAGAAAGAAATAGAGTGTCGGTGAAAAAGCGAGCGGCGAGTGGAACAGAAAGGAGAGAGAACGAAAGAGAACGAAAGAGAACGAAAGAGAACGAAAGAGAATGCAACCCTGCGGGGTCGTTGCGTGTCGGGTTGATGATGGGTTCACGATTTCTCGATGCTTGCGAGTTCACGAATATGCACCGCGATGCCTTTCGATCCTCTCTGTGATCGGTATGCGTTCGTAACGTTAACGGATTGTTACACACGTTTGTTTCCGCAGGGAAGAAGATCGAGTCGAAACGGTGGAGAGTGGTGTGATCGAAGAATTCGGACAAGATGAGACCCGACGAGGTGATACAGAACGAGCGGAGGGCGACGGAGACGATGTCCGAGACGTCGGAGGGCACAGTGACAACGGTTTCTGGTAAATCGGGCTTCGAGAGCCGCGAAGAGTTACGAACAATCGCTTCTCTGTTAGCCATCAGCAATCCGGACGAGCTGCATCAAGAGAGATTTCGCGTTGATCGCCGCAAATTGGAACAGATGCTTCTAGGTGAGCTATCATTTCTTATTTCTCTGCTCGAATTTTCGTAAGTGTGCCGTCTTCGTACCCATCTATTCGGCAAAACCTTTCGCGTCTACCGTCGACGTACGATTTAAATCGATTAGATATCTGTTTGTAAACGGAATTACGGCTACTGTCAAACTATCGAGCTACCTGCTCTTCTCTTATTTATCATCGAACCGAAGCCGGTGCGGATCTTGTAAACACGTACACACGATTAAGTTTCGAATTAAAGTCGAAATCGAAATCAAAGTCGAAGTCAAAGTCGAAGTCGAAGTCGAAGTCGAAGTCGGCGCCCCCAATTTTCTCCTTCGTTCGCTCTATTTAATATCTTGTCGATAGATCTTTCTCATAGCAACGAACAGAGCTTTAAAGATCAATTGGTGCTTTTCACGATTCATTTCTAACTCGATAGAAACGATATAATTATTTGGCTGTTCCACCGTTCGAATGACCTTGATAACATAGATAGGTTGCTAAAAGAAGTGTTTTCTGCTCGATACAATGATTAGCTTTCGCGCGTTTTCCAATCAACAGGTTAATGTCATTCCTCCAAACGTTTCTTTGACCTCGCGCGTATTTCGCGAGCAAGAAAGAACGTGTAGAAAAACAACGTGGAGTGGAGGGAAAAAAAGAAGGAGAAAAAAGGGCGTAGAGTTCGTTGTACTCTAGCCATAAACTATTTTTTTTTTTTTTTATTTTGTTTGCAGGTGATATTGACGTACCCAAGCCAGCGGACACATTTTTTCACAACGTAAGTTACGTTTTATCGACCTCTACGACCTATTGTCCGATAGATCGAGATTGATTTCAACCCTTTGCTCTCGATTCTCGATTCTCGATTGCCGATTCCATTTAAATTACACCGTATCGCTGCGCCATATTTTTCTTCTTTAGCCAAAATAAATGTACTCGGTGGCATCGATGATAACTTGTTGTTTCATCGTTCGTCCCTCCTCCTTTTTCTCTGTACGCGTCGGTTTTACAATTAATACGTCCATCGTGAGATAACGTGGTTGCGCAATGCTCACGACTCGACTTTCTGTGCTTAATCGCGTAATCGGGTAACGCGTTGGCACGATAGGTTTTTCAGAAAAACTTTTCTACTCGAAAAAGATCGGTACGCGGTGTCAACGAGGAGGATTATTTTATAGCGAATTGCGTTCGCAACCTTGCGATTATACTCCAACGATCCTTGTTCGCGCGAATCGCAAGGTGGTTGATTCGGTGCGGTGTTGGTAGCGCGGAACACATAGCAATTGAATATGCAGCCGTTCGCCAGCAAACGCGAAGGCAACGTTCGCGCTTATCCTTATCGGTGACACGTTGCGTAAAAGGGGGCCTGGAAATACACCGCTCGATTATTTATAGACCGGCTTTACTCGACTCGGCGCTACGCGCTCGAGCCTGCTCCCTCCCTGCTTTCCTCGAGGAAAGCTGTTACGCTTCGTACGGGACACGATGGTGTCGTTCAACGAATTATCGTTCGTCTCTTCACGGATTTTCCGGGTTCTCCGAAAATACCAGCGAAAATTCCTCAGCTATCGTACGTGTCATTTTTATTTATCACTGGTATCGTCGGGAAGAGTAGAGAAAATTTGGAGTTTGCAGTTTGAATCGGTGTTGCGCGTTTCCCGAAATACCGTATTACACGCGATAGGTAAATTTAGCAAGAGTCAGTGGACCTCGGAACTCGATTTGTCCCTACCATGGCGGTGCTGGTTGGCAACTTTAGCGAATGTCGAGAACCGATACGCGCCGAGTAATGGCAGGTGTCCTTACCTGAAGGATAATCCAGGATTCCGAAAAAGGAGAGATATGGTTAGGGCAACACGTATACCTGGACAAATCGATTGGCAAAAGAAAATTGTTAGCGTGTATCGTCGGATATCGACATCGCGCGACTTTCCAAACGATTCTCCGTAGTAGTTGTCGTAAAAGCCGAATTGACCTGTGCTCGAACGGGCATTTAGGATGGTCCCCAGGTAGCCTCGTACGATCTTCGAGCAGCTGTGCAACGCGCAAAGTAACTACCTGTTTCTCGGAGCGCGGCGTTTAAACGGTGCATCATCGCAGTGCATCGCGATTATTCGCGTCGCGTCTGACCGTTTCTCGGTCGAGTCGAACCGAGCCGAGCCGAGCCGAGCCGTGCCATGCCATGCCATGCCATGCCATACCGTAGTTTCGATGGAGGGAGAAGGGAGGAAGGCGTAGAAACGGAGACGGATAGAGTGGTAACGGCAACGAGTGGGAGGCGGTTCACCGAGCCGTCCCGTTACATTAGGTATCTGCTGTTAGTCAGTCAGTCGTGGCAGCGATTTCGAGGCGGTAAAACGAGAGACTACGCGTGTCGTTCGAAAACACCGTCCTTTCGAGGAGACCGCCGCCGCGCCGCGCTGGTGTCACGGTGAAAGCCGGTTCGAGTCTTTTACACCCCGTTACACCTCGCGGATACGAGGCCGAAGACGGTGAACAAGAAGCAGTGCGGCGAAAAGTGTCCGCGAACGTTGACTCTGTCGGCCGGCCGGCAGTCGATCCAAAGAACGAGCCGAGTCCCCGATCGACTTTGCTTTCTTGGATCGTGGATCGATCCGGCTGAAATTTCGCGATGAAGTGAACGGATAACATAGTTGTTCCAGTGAAAGTACGCGTCATCCGGAGGAGTTTCCGTCGCCGCCTCCTCTCGTTCGAGATTATTTTCGCGCCGCACCGCGCCGGTTTCAACGCTTCCTCCTCGTGTCGCCAATCGAGATCACGATGTCTCTCCTCTGAACGTTTGCGAAAAGAAGAAAAATAAGTGGCGAAATCCTTTTCTCTACGCTCGCTCAGCATTTTTTTCTCCGTATCTGTTTGTCGACGTTTCGTCAAAGATTTGGCAGACCCGCAACCGGTCGAGATACCATCTGTCGACAACGATGACCGTGGTAATGGCTGGCAATTTTTTAAACGAACGCGCGCGACCAAGTTTCTCTTTGCTAAAGTTCAACGAGATTAATTTGTTCCAGGTTATGGAGGAAACAAACACCTACGTTACGTGGCCGTCCCGACTGAAGATCGGAGCAAAGTCGAAGAAAGGTAAGAACGCGTGCGATTTTCGAATTGTCAAAGAGATCGGGAATGGGAGAGACGCGTACCGGAGGTTCGACGACTTTTGGCGACCTTGGGTGACGGGGTCGAATGTATCGAGCGCACCGAATCGAATTGAATCGAATTGAATCGAATGGAATGGAACGGAACGGAACGGAACGGAATCTCGTTACATATGCACTGTAGGCGATTACGTCAGTAGCGGATCGGCCGCGTCGCGCCAGCTGACGCTTCGTGTATCGCGTATTTTCTCGCCACGTCTATTTGCGGCTGGTCGCTTTAAATCGCTTACCGCTCGAAATCGTCTATCGTGAATTTCTTCGATTCGTTCTATTCGTTGCTGAATCAACTGTTTCGCGTTTCGTTCCGATTCGGTTTGCCGACACGTCGCGTCTTATCGAGGTTCCACGCGCAACGACGATTCCTTTCCGAACGTAGGCTCGATAATTAGAGCGCACCTATTAATCGAAAGTGATTACGAAACGACTCGCATGCTTGCTCCGGTGCAACAGCGCGTGTCGACCAAGTAAAACGGCTGCGGCCGTAGCTCGGAAATTAGCTCCTTTCCTGGCTTATCTGTACAAAATCCTCTTTGCTGCTTGTTCCTGGCGCGTCTGGTTAATTCGCGATGAGATCGAGCGTTGAGTGGAAAGGTTTCGTGGAGCATCCGTTCGTTCGGTCGCTGCTTCGCCCGTTGGCCTTTCCTCGTGTTCGTTCGTCGTGGAAACTTTTCGGTGATTCATTCCTTCCTCGTGACCTGAACAGCTGTTGCGCGCCTCCTCCACTCACCTCCTCTCGCTTCTTCTCGCCTTTGCCTCCTTCGAGCTCTCTCAAGCAAGGAATCGTTTGTGCGTGACAAGCCGCGTAATCCGGTATAAATAGGTCCTCCAGAGTCCTACCTCCTACGGATTTCCTACCTTCCTTTGCGAATTCTCTACCTCGTTTCCCTCTCGATACTTTCCTTTCTACCTATCTCTTGCATTTTGCTCACGGGGCCATTCCCAATGACATTCGTCGACCGAATTATTCCGCTCTCAACTGTCTGAAAGGTCGTTCGTCGTTCGTCGTTCTTGACGCCGATTGTATTCGACTTTGTACATTTTTTCCGCTTTCCCGACGATCATCAAATTATGCAACTATGTTTTTACCAATGCAACGCGGCAATTGTTCTGTCGTGGCCGTGTCGAATGGAAGTATGTATTTATGTAGGTTTCTCGGCGCGCGCTTCGCTCTTGTTTCCTACTCGACCGATCACGGCCGTTTCGTTTCGTTTCGTTTCGTTTCGTTTCGTCGGTCGCATCTCGAAAATTGCTCGTTCAACAAGGTAGTAACTATGGTCGAGAAATAACGGGAAACGTCCCAGATTCCTCGAGAAAGAGAGAGATTCCAGGTTTCAGCGATAAACACGAAACGGTCGAGCCAAAGTCGACGAAGAAACTGTTGCTTTTTCCATTTCGAACAGAGGGGAAAATTTGGCGAAATTTCAACGTTGCGAAAGCTGTTTTGCGATACGTGCAAAGGCGACAGCGACAGCCTCTATCGCTTGCATAGAGATGATACGTTGGGCGTCGCGATAACTTGGCCATCGCGAAACATCGAGCTCGAAAGATCGCTCTTTGAATCCACGTTCTTTTCAAAAACAGTTGTCCGTTATCTTGTCAAACTCACGGATCCGTGTCTCTCTCGCTCTTCAAAGATTGCACGAGGATTCAATGTCAAAATAAATTTCACGAGTAGCAATCGTGAAAGACGATATTTGCGAGTATTGCGCAACCGAGAAATTATATCGTCAAAAAATGATTCCATACTTGTTTGACTCGATTTCTCGTTGTCTTCGCGATCGGATGGCGCGTTTCGTTCGCGTCGATGGGTAAAACCTCGATATCGATATCGATATCGATATCGGTAACGATCGCGATCGCATGGTTCGCGTTATCTCTATCGAAGAATAACGGACAGAAAACGCAACGAAGAGATTCGCTAAACTCGTACTTGATCTATTTTTCGGTCAAAGATTTGATTCGATCGAGTTCTTTTCCCCGTTCAGTTCAACGTTGAGCAACTGAACCGTTTTCATTTTTACGCGAATTCGTTGAATATCGATCGTTTCAAGGCATCGTGATAATCCGAAAATTCAATCGCGATATCTCCTCGGCGATAAAACGCACGTTGAATTCGCGGAAGGAAGCAAGAATCGTGGTAACGCTCGCAAAATATTTACACGGCTGAGAGAGCCAGTCCAGCGTGTTCGTCGGCGAGGTACAACGAGTTGCCTTGCCTTACCTTACCTTACTTCACCTTACCTTGCTTCACCGCTTTCCTTCCTTCTTCGAGATCGATTACGAAATCTTTTCCAACATTCGATTTCCTGCTTTTTCGATCGTGTACGCTACGACTCGTAGCAGACCCGATTAATAGCTTTTGCTCTGCTTCCGCACTTCCGTTTCTCCGTTTTTGCACGCAATCATGAGATCAAGCGGTGTACGCGAACGGACGATTGATCGATCGGTCGTTAATTACGTTCCCGCGACGACGCGTCATCGTCCTCGACTTTGGAGCGTATCGTATCCAGGAAGAAAACACGCTCGAATGAGTAGGTTGCGCTTGAGGAATATTAAAAACCGCTTAGTAATCGGTGTCCCGCTCGTACAAGCTTCCCTCGATACTCGTTACTCCTACAAAGAATAACCTATGTATTGCTGCGTTGTTGCATAATTGCTGTGCTCGTTGTTTTACAGATCCGCATATAAAGGTCGCGGGTCGACCGGATGACGTGCGAGCTGCGAAGGAGAAGATAATGGAAATTTTGGACACGAGGGTAAGAGATCGCAATGTTCTTCTTTCTCTTTACATTCTTTTCTTTTCGTTCGATGAATCGAGAATCGTAATCGTTGGTGAAAAGAGAAAATAAAGGAAAAAAAAAAAATAAAAAAAAAATAAAAACGAATGTAGGAGAGAAGAAGAAAGATAAGGTAGTAAGGCGATGGAGCGAGTGGAGTGGCAAGCAGGCGATTTGCTGATTTTTACCGAAACGTTACGTCATTTCGCGAGCAGCAAGATTAGCGGTGACCTCGTCGATCGGCTTTCGACTTTCAGCGTACCGAATTGATCGACTCCGCGTGTCGTGCAAACATTTTGCTCTGCTCTTTATCGAAGATAATCCTTCGTTCGATAAATAGCCTGATGGTCGGTGCGCGTTAGTACGTCACGCGTTACGCGTGTGCCGTATACCAACGTTTTTAACGATATGCGGCCACGATCGATATCGCGGTATCGATTTTTCTTACCGCTCGTTTTTACCTTGCAAATTACGCGTGGTAATACGCGTTACGTAGCTCACGCGATGTTTCCGCTCGCTCGTGGCTCGTTTTTATCAAGAAACAACAATATCGTCAAGATTTCGAAGAGCGAGGAAGAAACGGGGTGCGCGACGCGACACCGCATAGCGAGAGGCTATGCTATTTATACGCGAACGTTGTCTCGCAAATTCTTAGCCAAGAAAGCGAGACGTTCTGCGCTAACCAGTCCCGCTCGCGTTTGTCGATCGGCATTACGTTGAATAGCCACCGTACCGTTACCTCCAACGCGACGCAATCCTTGTCCTCTGTATATGCAAACTGCACCTTCCTCTACTTCTCATTTGCTCTCTTTACCGATTTCTATCTCGAAAAGAAAGCAATAGAAAATCGAATAAGAATCGCGTACTGGCTGGTTTGTCCAGACACTCTACCTGTCTCGTTGTTTCTCCATTACAACGACTCACCTGCTTCTGGTGTAAACCGCACACCACACACAGCACCGCGCGAGCATTCACTTTTTGCCACACGATTCTATTCGATTCGATTGGTGCGTGCGTAGAAATAGCGCGGCGATAGAGCGCAGCGGGTTGCATAGGCCGACAGGGCAGAAAGATATCGCGAATGGTGAGCGGCGAATGGCGAACAGCGAACGGCGAACGGAACTTTTACATAACACTCTCGATAGAGTTGATTCGACAACGGTCGTTGAGATCGTGCTCGTTGAACTCGATCGGTGGACGATGCGCGACTCGTGTACAACGCGCATACGTAAAACACGAGTGCAAAAGTCAATATGCCTCGGCGGAAAGTCTAACGGTTCCCTAACGTCGTCGTGGACGTTTTGTATTTTTCCATTTGTAACGTTGCGTCGCAACGTTATGAGCAAGTTATACTCTTTATCGAATATGTTTATCTTTTGCGTCGTCGTTACGCGCTTTCGCGCCGCTTTTTCTCGTTGCAGCAGAGCAATCGAGTAACCATGAAACTGGATGTAAGTTACACCGACCATTCGCACATCATCGGAAAGGGCGGTCTGACGATCAAACGAGTGATGGAGGAAACTGGATGTCACATTCATTTCCCGGACAGCAATCGTAGCAACCATCAAGAGAAGAGTAATCAGGTGTCGATCGCTGGAGAAATGGAGGGTGTCGAACGAGCCCGTGCTCGAGTCAGGGTAAGTTTCGAAGACGAAAGTCTTGTTTAAACGAGCCTGCAATGATTTTTCTTCTTTTCCTTTTCAGAATCTTACGCCTCTGATCTTCTCGTTTGAATTACCGATCATGGGCTCTTCGCAGACCGTGCCGGATTCCACTTCGCCGTACGTGGTTAAGATTCAAGAGAAATACAACGTCCAAGTGATGTTTCGCACCAGACCAAAACTGCACGCTACCTTGGTGGTGGTGAAAGGTTGCGAATGGGAAGTATCTCAGGTGAAAGAAGCGACCGTGTTGCTCATTCACTACATGTGCCAAAACCTAGCTGTAAGTTATCATTATAAATTTCCCATCTTTCGTGCTTTGCCGTGTGTCGCCCCTCGTGTAGTTCGATAGGTATGATTGTTTCAGAATCAAATACAAGTACAAATGACGATGGAGATTTCGCCGCAACATCACAGCATCGTTCTCGGGAAGCAAAGCAGTAATCTGAAGATGATCATGCAACGCACAGGCACTCAGATAATGTTCCCCGATGCCGGAGATCCAAACATTCCCAGCCTGAAGAAGAGCAACGTGACGATCACCGGTGGCATTCACAACGTCTATTTGGCTCGGCAACAATTAGTGGTAGGTCATGTTGTTCGAGCGATTATTTGTCTTTCTTATCGGGATCTGCGTACTGCTTATCTGCTCGTTTCTTCTTTTTCGATACACCGTCCCTCTTCCTCTCCCTGCCCCCACCGTCTTTGCTTCGCTTGATTTCGTTAATCATCACGCAACCTCGATAACGTCGTTTCGCGACGACACTTTTCTTGATATGTATATGTATACAACGACAACGGCAACGGCAACGATCGTTTCTCCATTCAGGGTTCGCTGCCTTTGGTTCTGATGTTTGATCTTCCCGAGGACTCGATGTCCTGCGTCGACACGGAAAACATTTCGCAGTTGATGCAGTCGTTGGACGTTTTTATAAACGTGAGGCACAAGCCGAAACAGAGCACGCTGTCGGTCATCATAAAAGGGATCGAACGAAACGCCAGTAATATTTACGAAGCGAGAAAACAGCTTTTGGGCTTGGACGAGCCCCGGGTACACGCGGAGATACCTGCCACTTACCATATTCCGAATGCAGGAAATGTCTTTCAGGGAAACACCAGCAACGGTACAGGTAAATCTTGTCCTTAAGTTTCCCTTTACGATTCCACGGAAGCTACACGATCGAAACGATACGTCTCGACAGGTACCAACAACAATCTGATGGGCAATCTATCGGAAAGCTTGTCAAACATCTTGACGATAAACACGCAGAATCCACCTTACTGCGTGTCGCCGATGTCTCATTCGCCGAATCCGCTGGGCTTGTCGCCTCACTGGGGCTTGTCAACGATACCCTCCATGTTCTCGCCGATTCCGCTTCATCATTCTTACCCATATCCGCATCTTAATCACCTGCTGACCACGCAGCACGTGTTGCACAACAACGGGATGCCTCCTCATTCCCACGGACTGACGAACCACGCTTTGACCAACATCGGCCAGCTTCACTCCAACGTGCCTACCGGCTTTCACAGTATTCCAGGACTGAACGGTAGTTCCTTGCCAGACAGCAAAGAAGGCAGTGGTAAGTTTCGTTTCGAACCAGTCTCTGCGATTTCTTCAGTTCGCGTTCGATCTTTTTTTCTTTTTTATTCTTCGTTGCAGCTTACTCGTCGTTGAGCAGCGTTTCTAGTTCTCTATCTAGTCCAGCAATCAGTCCTCGTAATGTATCTCCGGTCAATCCTATCGAGACTAGTCCTAATTTAGGTAAGAATCGTTAACTAACCGACGACGAATATAAATGTTATTGTTGTTGTTGTTGTTGTTGTTGTTGCTGTTGGTTACACAGATTTATCGAGTATGCTGTCCGATCTGTCGGTCTCGGATCGACGCGCACCAGGTTGCGAAAAGAAATCCTTGGAAATGGCTGTGCAACAGAATTTCGCCCCGTTCGACTACGAGCAGAAGAAAATGTTGGCGGCGAAAGCGATTCAAAGGAAACCGAGCTTCAACGATTATCGCGTGCCCACGTCAGCTTGGTCCGGTTACGGGCTCAGCCAATCCATTCCTCCCATAAGCACGACCGACTTGAACAAAGTAAGTGTACCCACGCGTATCTCTCCTAGCAGAAGAACAGTTTTTCGTTGTTCGCAGGAGTTAACGGCCACTTCTCATCCGTCCGATCTGTGGAAAGAACCGACGACACCGGTCTACGGCAAGGAGGTCGAATTTGCTATCGGTTCCGGCAAAGATCGCGTTGGACAGATCGGTATAACCTCCAACTACATGGAACACACGCCTACTTCGCAACTGAACAGAATCACTTCTCATCGGTACGACGACTTGACCAGCATGCTCACCAGTGTCGGACTGGAGAAATATATACGTGAGTTAAATTCCTATCACGCCGTTGGTTCTTGCTTATCAGACAATGAATGTCGCTCCTTTGCTTCTGCTTGTTACTTCAATCGACCAATCCATGTTGCTTGTTTTTCGTTTGCCAGGCCTGTTCACGTCTCACGAAGTGGACATGGCTACGTTTCCCTCGCTAACGGATAAAGATCTCTGCGAAATCGGGATAAACGCTTGGGGTGCGAGACGTAAAATAATGCTGTTGATCGCTGGTACGTAGTACGCGCTTCGGCTAATTAATAATCAGGCTTTTTGTCAAACGTTTACACTTATCATCCTCGCGTAACGCGTCGTTCCGTTTTACTTTTTTATAGAAATGAACAAACGAACCAGTCCGTTTTGCGGGAGCGCGGCTCCCGGTGCAGAACGCAAGTCGTCCAACGCCACCATCACCTCCAGCACGATGGAAAAGTGTAATCTGGACAGCAAGTGGTAAAACGAGGACAAAAAAAGGTGATATTCTTAGAGAACCGTTGAAAAGCAACGGACTCGAACAGGATTCTCGTGTTGTACTTAAAGCTCGTGCTGTCGCGGAATGTTTGCCCGGCAGATATTGGATTTCGAGACAGCGGAACACGAGAAAATCGAGATCGAATCGGCGAGGCAACTCGCGCGATTCGACGCTAGAATCAAGGTATAATTAGTGTGTTAATTTACGATTCCAGGCACCAAAAGGATAACCCGACGATTCTTTTTTGTGAACGAGGACCGTTTGTATTCTTTTTTTTTCTTCTTTTTTTTTAATTTTTTTTTTTTTTTTCTTCACAGTCCTCGATCCACATGTTCGGAAGGTGCCTTAGATTAAGTAATTCGTTGTTAATTTTGTTTCGTTAACTTTTTCTTACGTTGCTAAATGGTCTTTCTATTTGTCCCGCGCGATACTCGACGAATCGATGATTCTCTGCATCGCTTTGCGCGTAGTATCGTTCGACTCGGTTGTGTGTCCTGTGTGCTTGTGTAACGGTGAAGAGGTTCGTGAATCGCGAACGATAGGCGTACGGTATATAAATTAATGAACGGATAACGGTTCGATTGGTAGAACGAAAGCTTAGCAGAAGCGACGCGACGCTTCGAAAACTCGATGTTCCGCGCGTTCAGCGGCCTTTCGCTTTAGCGAAGTTATAATATTTATCTCGACTAAGCTCGAAATTCGGTGGAACGCAAAGTGAAAGAAATGGGGGAGAATCGAGATGAAACTGGTTCTTTGCAGCTCCGTTTTCGAGTTTTACAAAATAACAAAGTATTTATTATTCATTCGCGAGGGACGCTGGACGCGCTTCGAGCTACGGATTATTATCGATTCCATTTCTTGGGTGCATCGTGATTTTCTTAGGTTTTCTTTTGTTTTCTCTGAATTTCTTTTTGTTTCTTTTAAATCTAAGCACTCGATAGAATGGCGCGGTGAAGCATCGAGTGAGATATTTTTGTCGAATCAATAAGCTGCATGCGCGTGTTTTCTTGTTCCGTTTACGTAGTAGCAGTTTTACAGAGGTAAGGTAGTCGCTCGATATAAATTATTAACGTTTTAAACTTATTTTTTTTTCTTTCTTTTTTTTTTCTTTCTCTCGCGAGCACGAATGAAACGGAAACGTTAGGCAATCGAGCGGAGATTTTGCTCTTGCAGTAATCGACAACGATGTAGATTAGAGAAAGTATCGTATCGAAACATTCGTTAATCGCGATTGAAGCGGTTCGTCGATTGACGCAGTCAGCAATGCAAATTGTTCTTATCGCTCGGTGTATGTGTGCTAATGAAAATCGCAACACCGTCTTGGCCAAAGCTACCGAGGATGCCTAACGAACAATTTTACCGCTAAAAGTTCTTGACTAAGTCTTTCGTGAAGTCTTTTTAAGCATAAATTATTCTCTCGTTTGATACAGCACGATCGACTCGTGCTCGATAGCGATCGGAATATTAGAAAAGAAAAAAGAGGTACTATATGTTATCTACTTGTGTGTACCTAACGATAAGTATACGTATGTGCGCGCGGCTGAATGTGTGTGGGATATATTACAAGACTGTGTCCGATCGTCCCTGTTCCTCGTGTTCGTGTTTCACGGCTAAATAATAATATAATCGTTTCTTTGATAGACGAATATACAACTAGCTAACTTCGAACTCGTCACTGTTCGTTGTTCGATCGTTGCGACGATCGGACCACGGACATATTTTCTATTTTGCTGTTGCCTTCGTAACGGAGAATTGTTGTTTTCGTTTTCGTTATCGTTTTCGTTTTCGTTTTCGTTTTCGTTTTCGCGATGGAACGTCGTACAAGCGTTCGATCGCAACGCTGATTCGTTATTCGCGGGATGAAGCTTGATCGATGGGCGCAAGATTTTTCTCTCGGAGCTCTTGCACGATCGATCAGAGCTCGATCTTTCTTTCGACGTAGAAAGAACAACGCGTATCTAAAGATGATAACGATGACAAACTATGTGATCCGATATAGCTTTCATTAATGGCTGTTACTGCGATTAACAAAGTTAGTATTATTAACGGGATCTTGGGTATCCATTTTTTCGAGCAATTAGATGTTTGCTCGTTTTCCTCAAACAATTGAAAAAAGCCTTTGAATCGGATAAACAAAGTATTTAGCAGCGATGATTATCGATCTAGTCGCTGAAACACGCTCGCGCAGCGTGCCTATCAGCTAGTGGAAAAAGGCGAGAAATGAGAAATAAGACATTCCAGAACAGCGAGAAACGCGAACGAGTCAAAGGATTAAAAGCGAATACAAACGAGTTTTGAACGTTGTTTGTTTAAACTTGTTTCGTATCGATGTTGTAATTATTATTGCTAGACGATCGAAGGACGTGCCCGCCCATCGAGCAAGCGAAACAACATAACGAATAAATTAATCGACCAATGTATGTACATAATATAAAACAACAAAAAAAAAAAAAAAAAAAAACAAAAAAAACAAACAAACAAACAAAGGAGAACAAAAAAAAACCAAAAGATGTGTATCGCGTCGGGTGCACGAAAGGGAAAGCGTTTTATAACGATGCGGCATGATATTTTTATACGGTAATCTTTGGTTATTTCGATAAACAACGAACATATCTCGTAATTGATCCATTATCGTTTGTTTCGAAGGAAACGCCGAGTAAATAAAAGAAAAGTTAAAACCTTGTATCAAAGTGAATAAAGAAAATTTTTGTATTGCAATTTTTTAATAAAAAAAAAAAGATTAATACGTATGTGAATGATACACATCTAGTTTCTGATACAGACCAGAGAAATGTAAATACAATGATGAAGGATGGTTTTGGGTGGTTAACTCGTTGCCAGTTCGCCGGACGTTGTGGAACTTGCTTGATACGTTTTCATGTCGCCGGTGTACAGTCGCGTGGCACACTCGGGACAGTGAAACTCGTTCATCGCGGCAAAGTGCGCTTTTAAACAATAGTAACAAAAGATGTGTTGGCAGCCAGCGTGCACCGGTAAAATCGGCGTGTCGCCGCAGTGAGCGCACTTGGTCGATTGATCCATGATGGGGAAAGAGCGTCGAACAGCGGCGCGTTTTCCGGATCGCGTTAAAAGCTTCTTGAACGCGTGCTTGATATAATGAAAATTAACCATGGGTAAGCCGGTGGTGAACAATTCCATTAAACCGTGCCAGAGCAGTTCCCTCGTCATATAAGAGTAGCCAATGTTTCTGGGTTTCTGAACGGTCGTCGAACTGTTCGCTATCCCCAACAGATACTCGACCAAGCGAGGTTGCCTTCCTCTATGTAGAAAGAGCAGCAAGTTGAGGAACTCGAGTAATCTTGCGACGTCCGTGATACGATCGAACGCGGTCTTTAAATTTTCATTGACATCGGTGTTTGCGAGCTTATCTCTTACGTATGCCGGGACGATAGTTAAAATTAAATAGAGAACGGACTTTGTACGTGTGATGTTCCCGTAATGTAAATTCAACAGTTGTTGGCCAAAGGTCGAGTTTCCTCGTCGCAATGAAAAGTTCCATACGAAATAGCAGAGAAGAGCGTCGATTTCAGGCTGCCATCGATCAATCTTCTCGATCGGTTGGTACTTGGTAATCTCTTTCACTTGCTTCCTAAGCACTTTGTAGATTTCCTCGTCCAATTGAGCAGCGTCGATCTGATTGATTCGAGACACGTAGGTAGTAGTCGGTGACATTTCTCTCGATTCGATGAAAGCGAATTCAAGACGTGTCGCGTCGCAGCGTTGTAAACTCCGGAGCAACGTAACGCCGCGTCCGAACGTGGCGCGTCGCGCGACACGGAATGACGTCGTCGTAGCGTGTAGATCGGTCGAGGAAGCGATTATTTTCGTTGCGGCGCGATCACTTTTCGCGTGTAACCGCGCATTGGAAGGGCGAGTAAAGTGGGCGAACGGAACGAGTCGAGTCGAGTCGAGTCGAGTCGAGTCGAGTCGAGAAGAGTCGATTCGTCCGAATCGGTGAGTTCTGGGGTTCGGTTTAGTTGGTTCAAAAGTCGTAAAGGATAAGGACGTCGCAGTAAACGTACGCGAGTCGTGTCGACGAACGTTGATCGGTATCGTTTTGGAACGCAAATTTGATATTCGAAAAGCTTTTGACGGGCGAAGAAGAACGAATAAGGAGAAACTGGAAAAGTGAGGTTAGGAAAAAGGAGAACGGCGGGGTTGTCGACGAAACGAAACGGCACGACGCGACACGAGCCAGCACGATTCCTCACGACTTGCCACGACTCGACGTCGGCTCCGTTCGGCTCGAACGAGACGTCCCCTAGTCCTAGTCGAAAAACGAAGGAGGCATCGCGACACACAAGTTCGATTACGAATCTCTGGTTACCCGCAGTGAAGGAATCGCAGTCGCGGGGCACGCGCGTACCACTGCCCTCTGTTAGCGTTCTCTTGGAAATCACGTGCGAAACGAAAGGGATTATAGTCGCGGACTGTGTTCTTTAGTACGGTTTTCGAGAGGAAAAAGCAGTGAACGATCGCTGCTAGTTGTCTGTCGCGAGACAGTTTTTGAGGTTAACTCGACGGACAGTTCGAAGCGAACGCGACCCGACTCGAGCCCGCGTCCTATCGCGTTTCTTCGGGCTCCATGTTGCCGCTGGTGGAATGACGTCATCGAGTGTTAGTGCTTCGAGAGTGAACTTCTTTCTTAACCGTTCTTTCAAAGTTACTCGATCATGTTTTCGTGATAAATTTTAAAGTCTTTTGGTGCGGAAGACGGTGAATCGATTGAACCAGCGGCGAGTCCTGCTCGCCGCTTATCACTGCCCTGCGCTATTACATTACCCATTCACTACTCGAGGTGAGTACTCGAAATTATGTAATATCCGTTTTTTATTTCGCATTTGCAAGAATTCACGGTCGAATCATCGTTCCGTCAACTGACATGTTAACCTCTGATCCGACCATTCGATCTCTGTATTTTCTCTCTCCCCGTTTGCCTGTCTGTCTGTCTGTCTGTCTATTGCCCACTCCCCCACTCTCTCTATCTCGTTCTTTCCTTGCATTTTCCTCGTTATTTCGCAAAATATTTGTATCTGTTTCGATTTTAGCGTTCTCGCCTCCCTCCCCGCCTGCTAAGCATATATCTTTTGAGGAAAGGTCTCGCAAAGTGACAGAGCCATATAACCTCCGACGATATCACTGTCGCGAGTACCTACCAGTCGAACGCGTTATTTTCGAGTCGGCCACTTGTTCGCGACCACCGTCTATCTCGAAAATATATCTCTCGTTTCGAGTATGTAGCGGATACATTGACGACATTGACTACCGCGTTAAAATTCGATTAGGATCGTAAGGTTATACTGTTGTGTTTTTCAAATATCTATGTTTTCGCGGCGATATATCGCGACAGATGCATGGCGCGTGACACGATCGCTTAATCGCATCACTAGGAAAACATGCGGGTGAGTCTTGTTTACGCACGATTTCGAGCAACACGCGCCACGCGTTCTCCGAGGACAAACTTTCCTTTCTACTTTATTGTTTTCGCATTGATTTCCTTTGCCGTTTCACGTTTTTAAGCTTTCTTCATTTTTCTTCGAGCGCGAATACAATTCGGTGCGTCGAGGTTGGACTGGCGAACACCGCGTGTACGGTGTATGTACTACTACGGGTACGGTGATTCGATGGAAGGTGGGCGTGGCGTGCAAAAATTTCCTAGCAACCTGACTATTCGGAGACGTTTCTTTTGTCCGATTTTCCTCGTGTACGAAACGGCGTAGGCGTACGATATTTACTTGAACACAGAAGGTTGTTATTCGAGACGTTTGTACGAATGGGTAGGAATATTTGTAGCGACGTACCAGGTGCATCCAGCTATTTATTTACGAATAACATCCTCGATAAGGTTGCTCACGCGTCTTCCGTATACGGCGCGTGTTTTTTCCTCTGATTAAACCGTGAAATTTTCGTCCCTTAGGGTCTTTTCGCGCTACGTCGTTTTCTACTCTACCACCCCTAGCGATGTTATCAAACTTGAACGCGGTAAGCTATCCTTATTTCAAAAGCGTGCTCGTAAAACGATCGCCTGACGTCTCCTCGCCCTCGTGAAGAGAGGAAGAAATGAGGTATGCGGTTTAAATAGTCGGTGAATGAATTGCTTTTTTGTTTGCGTACTTACATACACGTGTAAAGTATGAAAGTCAAAGGATGCAAACGGTGTCGAAAGTTTTTGTTTGACCGTAGCGTGCTGCCATCTCGCGTTTTCACGTTCCGGTGTATCGTGACCCCGTGGAACGGGGTCACGTGTATCAGCCAGCCGCGGCCTGCCACTTCCTACCGTTTCCTCGCATACGCAATCGCCCCTAAAAGCGCCTTCTTCGATGTTTCGTCGAGGGAATTTTGAATTTCAAAGCAGACTAGGCGCAGCGGTGTTGCGAGTGACCGATCGATCGCGTCTAACGAATCGCGGGGAAGGTTGGAAAATAAATCGAGGCGGGCCGAACGATATCGAGGACGGTTTTCATTCTTGACCGAGAGACGAAACGGTCGGGAAAGTCAAGCTTCGCTCAGGCTAGATAGGTGGTGGCGCGAGGCGTGGCGAAGTATTGATCGTCGTTGCGATTTCCCTTCCTTCTTCGTCCTCCTCGACCAACGTCATCCACCGTTTCGAACCCTCTCGCTTTACCACCCCCTCGTTCGACCCACCTTCACCTCTCCTTTCGCCCCTCTCGCCCACCCTCTATCCTTGCTACTTTCACCTCCGTATTCACCTTTCTTCTTTCCACCGACATTCACCCTCTGCTCCATCCGACGAATCTGGGAGCCTGCTCCTTTGTTTCGTGTCATCTCGTAACTCCAATTCCCCGAATCTCGATCGCGTTACATATCTCTTGTCCCCCCCTCCTTTCCTGTTTTTCGAATAGACACGAGCACTGTTCAGTGTTCAGAAATCGGTTGACCGGTCGATCACGTCTTCTTTATCGATACCGAGCAACGGGAGTATCGCCATCTGTGAAGGGGTGGCTGAGTTACCACAATAGCGCTAGCCTCCCCGAGACCCCCCCGATCCTGCCAAAAAATACACCCGACTAAGAAGTTTACTTTCCCTAGATTGATCTATGTCTCTTTTTCGAATCATTCTATGCTCGAATCGAATTTCTTTTAATGGAAAATTTCGAGAGATTCACTTGAGAAAAATCAACCACGTTTCGAGGATAAACGCGTACGCTTCTCCAGAATTTCTTATTCGCTTTGTCTCGAACTTGATAACGAGCTTTCTTTTTTCTTTTTTCTTTTTTTACCTTCAACGCGTAATTAGCAGAGACTCTTTAATACTTGGAAAAGTTCGTGCTCCATCCGAACTTTCTTTTCTTTTCTTTTTTAACCGGTCTTCGTTTTCCGTCGAAAAAAGGAAATTAAATTCTTTTTTTTTTCTACGTACTACTTCTGACCAATTGTAACATCTACTCTGAGCTTTATATTATAACGTTGAGTGTAGAAGAATGAATGATTAACCAACGCGAGTTTTGGAGTATCGTTGGAAAAGTCGTCGAGGATTTCATTTTGTTATTATTCATTCGACGGTGCTGTTCAACGAAATTTGTCAGTTTACGAGGCGAGTTCGCGTTACTCGGCGCAAGCTTGTGATCGGAATTGCTAATACGAAATCTCTCTGGTGTTGTTGAAAATTCTTGCCACGCTCCGGTATCGCGTTGAAAACTTCAACGATACGCCGCCGCATCGATGAAGATTCCCTCCATGGTTTTCCCAGGAAAATGCGAGACCTTTTCTTGTTTGCCTGAGATCGCCGATAGCCGGTACAGGTACAAGTACAGGTCTGGTTAAAATTTTATCGGGCTTCGTGAAAGGGAAGCTTTTTTTTTCGATTTTTCACGTGGATAGAATTTTCGCTTCTTGTTCTTTGCACGTGGTGGTGCACGTTAGTTGACAAGAAAATTCTTGCAAGATGGATAGTTGAGTCGCGTTTACGTTGCAGCCACATAAATCTCTACTGCTGGTGATAAATGTAAAGCGCGTTACCACTGTTGCGATCGTTCGAAGACAGACCAACCAGTTAAGGAGGAGGAGGAGGAGGACGAGTTAAGACTTATAACGTTCTCACGAGTTTATCCGGGTGTTGTTTAGTTGTAATTGAAAATCTGTAAATCGAACCAAACGACACCGACTGGATCCATGTATGGGTTCGTTGTCCTGAAAGGGTTAATGTCATTATTATCACAGGTTCATTTTTTGTCGTTCTATCGAAGGAACCGTGTACTAGACAGGAAATTAACTACAGCTTCTTTCCGACCCCTTCTTCACCTTTGTACGCTTTCTCTCTGATAGAGTATCGTGTTTACGCGAAAAAACGATTGTTCCGCTCGAGGATGGCTGCACCTGTCGTCACTCGATCTCATTAGCTGTTTAAACGAAGCATCGATAAAATATTTCTTTCCGTTCATCTTACTGCTCTGACAAGCCGAAAAGTATGATTTTCAATAGAGAAGATCGGTGCATCGGTATTTTTTGCTCCCTCTGGAAGGGAGCGATTCTTCCGGTGGAACGTGTGCAAGCAAAACGCGAGCTGGTTCGTTTGTACGCGTATAGGGGAATCGGAGAAGAGCCCTCGACGCGCGGCAATCTAAATAATTATTGCGAGAGGGATAGCTGTAGCCGGCTTGCCGTTACGCAAGGGTGTACTCGTTCTCTCGAAACCGCGTAATCACGATACTATGTATACCTCTCCTTTCGAATCGAATCGAATCTCCAAATTTGTTACTAGTTCTTCTCCTCTTTTAGAGTTAGTATTTAGACAAGCGTTAGACTTTGATCGATAAGATTCTTTGGAAATCGGTTGTGATTTGTCGAAAAGCAAACGCCAGGATCCTCTGTAGAGGGTATTTGGTCCTAGGAGAGTAAGTTCAGGGTGTGATGAGAAACGTTGCTTTCAATTAGAGGATGCATCGGGATAGCAGGATGGTCGAAGGGCAACGAGTCTCGTATGCGCGGAAAGGATTCTCTCGAATCACTTGTCTCCCTGTGGAGTAGCTCGTTGGAATCTCCCCTAACGACCGAAAGAAACCGCGTTCGCGAAAACAACATCCCCACCGTTCCCTCTTGTCATCCCCGATCGTCCCTCATCGTCCCCCCTGGGGATGCGTGTACGGTGTACAGGGTTGAAAGCCGGCTAAATCCCGTCAGTCAGGAAACAAACGGGAATCTTCGCTCGATATGCGTCTACGGTCTACGCGATGACGGAGGGTGACGAACACCCACACTCCCCCTTAGTATCCCCAAGTACTTCGTTTCCTTCGTACAGAAACCGATGCATCCCCCTTTCTCCTTTTTCTTTCTCTCATGTTCCCTATATTCCTGCTCTTCGAGTATCTCGTTAATTATATTGTTTCGCCTTGACTTTTTTGTTGCAGAGAGATCACCGAGGCGAGGGACATGGAACTCGTGGTAGCTTCCTGAATCGGTGAGTGCTTCTAACCCCCTTTTATATTGGACGATCGTTGTCTCGTCGAGTTAGAGGCGTAGCCTTTGATTAACGCGTTCACTGCTAGCGAGGCTCACCAATCACGGACCTTGCAAAATTTCATTTCGCTCAAATATTTCAGGAATAAAGAAATAAGAGCTCTGTGCCATGCCGTGCCAATCAACGCGTTAAAGTTACCCCCGGCTATCTTGTTTTTAATTAAGAGTACCGTTTGCCTTCCTCGATCTAATTCAGCGTTTATGAAAGTTCGCAAACGTTTAATCGACTCGCTCGACGACGAGTTAATCCGTTGGTTATTCAGGGCAACGCGATCGGTTGAGAATAATCAATCAATCGCAAACTGGAATGTTGCAGTGTCGCTGACAGAGGAGAGGTCGA